TTGTACACTGTCGACATTTAAATAATATTCTCTTTGGTTGAGACAAATTGCTGGAGATTTTTGGAGCAGCTGCGAAGGAAGTTTAACTAGTTTAACCAGAAGTGGGCATATTATATTTCAATGATTGTTTGTTTTTTATAATTTATAAAATGAAATCTGAGAAAAGAGGGTTTTAAATACGAAATATATTTTTAGATACTGGTTTTGAAAGGGTTTTGGGACTTAGGCTTTGATTTAGGTTGAAGTAATTGTGAGCTCTTTGATTAACTGCCTGCTTAAATGGCATAGCGAATTCAATTCAGAAACTCAAGTAGCGAACCTCGTAATTTGGTCAAACATCAGGACCCACAGCGCGACTTCTTTGATTTTGTTTTCTGTTTGTTGCCTTTTTCCTCATTTCTGGCGCTCTGCTGCTGCAAAAGGCTGTGACCGAAGGAAAACTTCTAACGAGTTTCGTTTTCGGGTTTTTCCTCGCCGCTGTTTTTGTGGGCTGGTGGTCCTGTGGTGGCGGATCCGCCTGTCAGTTGCCAACGAGGAAAACTCCGGCTTTTCCTCTCTGGCTCTCCTCCTTTCGCGTTGTTGTGTGATTTATATCACAATTTACTCGCATTCGTTACCCGCCTTTGTCCCATTGCCGGACTACTTGGCCGTTATTGAATTACTTGCGGCCAATGGAACTCGCAACTCACCTAGCGCCCCTCTCCGGCGGTCTCCCCAGAGGAAAACATAGTTGGGCGGACTGTCGATGATAAATCAACGCGCTAACGAATCTTCGTTTGCTTTCGCCTTCGCTTTTTCGGCTTTTGTTTTGCCGGCGAACATGCGAACATTCGACAAAAAAAAAATGAGAAACAGAGAAGGTGCTTTCTTTTGGGCTAACAATACCTTAAGCCTTCCGAGTTCCCCTGGCAGCGGGAGAGGCTTCATAAATTGCCAGCTGCCTTTGTTTCTGAAGATTTTTGCTTGAGTTATTTTTAATTTCGTGGCGCTTGCAATTTCTCAGTGTCAGTTGGAGAGCCCGAAAGGCGAAAACCGAAAACCGAAAACAGAAGACCTGCCACAGACAGAGACGAAGTGGGCTCGAAAAGAGGAGCTCGAGTGCCTCATTAGCCTTTGTTGTGGCCAGACTACAAGAAAAGGAATGCAATTTTACCCCCACCGTAAGTAAACTGATGCCGCTGATAATCACTCCCAATTGTTGACGGGCTGTGTTTAATTAAATTAGCAACACTCGAGTAATTAAAGAGGGCTTCGAACCCCCTTGGCCCATTGGTGATTCGGTAAACCCTTCTCCGTGTTTTCCCTTCTGGGCAACATCAATCATATGCCAAAACACAAATACTGAGCTTGACGAAAAATAGAAAGAGAATTTCTAACTTTTTGCTTTCTGTGTCAGGCCCGAGAAGATTTATGGCCGAAAAGGGGACGAGATAGGGACCGCAAACTCGGGCACATGTGAGTTGGCCAACCGAACAGCCAAACAGCCGAAAAGTACGGAAAAAGAGGAAAACCAGAGAGAGGACAGGACATCCTTTAAACGGGGCTAACAAATGTAGTTTTGAGTCACATTTGGCCATGCATCCGACTGATTGTTTAAATAAATGAGTCAGTGCCGCCCCAAAACTATCGATTTTCCACTGCAACTTGTCGCTTCCCCCACAGCTCCACACTTCCTCCACCAAATTGACAAGCCATTGATTGATGGCTCCTGCGGCTCGGCCATGGCATCCCCTCAATCCTTCTTGGCACATTAATTTACTAAAAAATGGCATTTTATTTAGTTTTCATGGCCCGCATATTTTGCACCCACGAAACCTTTTCATTATTCTGAATGCTAACAAATAGTTTGCCATTATCCCTTCTTCGGAGGAGGCTGAAGGAAGGGGGCGGAGTTCCCCACTTCGGAGTCTCTGGCCACCCACGACATGTCGAAGCATTTGATTGAACGACCACACAACCATTTACTCGACCATCCCTCACACACGTACAGTGCGCGACAAAAATTTAAGACGTTCTAGTAACATTTGCTGAACTATTTTCTTTCTTTGAAAATATAAGTTTAATAAATATATGGTGCTCAACTCATAGGAAAAAGTTTTTGCTTTAGACACGTAATACTTAAAACTAGTTAAATTTTATTGTACTCCTTATTTTAATGGAACTCAGGTTAGCTCGGCTCCACTGTATCGTAAAAACACTTTATCAACGGAAAGAACTATATATAACATATCGCATAATCGATAATCATAAACATTAGAGCTTTAAATTTAATATCGCTGATGGTCTTTCAAAGGCGACTGGACCACAGTGAGTGGTGAATGCTCCATTGAGCATTTTTATGTGCATGAAATGTGAAATATCGAGGAAGTCGCTAACAGAACTAATTTTCCCCTCACGTCAAACGCCCCAAAAAATGGCAGCGCTTTTAAAATTCACTGATGGGCAAGACGTGAAATGATTTTATCAAAGTGAAATATACAGAAACCTCTTCAAGCCTCAAAATATGCTGCAGCAGTTTGCTTTAATAAGCCTCAAATTATAGGACAAACAGCAGCCTGTTTTTCCACTCGCCCTTCTTGGCCACAAGTTTTTTGCCTGCTCCAATTTGATTTTGTCATTAAAAAGTTTTTAGCGAAATAATAAAGTTTGTCAGCGCGGAATTCGAGGACCGAGCGAACGCAAAAGATCCGGAAAAAGGAAAAGGAAATCACAGTCCAAAAGTGGCCAATGAAAGTTTTAATTTTCAATGCAGAGCGGAAGAAGGGAAGCAGCTGGCCAAGAGCAAACTATGGACCTTGGTCAGAACCAAAATGTAGCGCTTATCTTCGCTGAATCCTGATGTGTCCGATCTCGGTTGCGATATGTCAGCAGTTAAAGCGCATTTCGCTGGCATAAAAAAAATAAAAAGCGGTTATAAATAACCCGCAGTCATCACTTTTCGCCACATAAAGTTTAATTAAAATTTTTAAATCAATAATAAGTTGATTGCTTTTTAAATGATTCTGGCTGCCAATGTGCAGCAATTTTATTGAGTGCCAGTGATTTTAAGTGTAAAATTACCCTAGAAAAAGTGTGTTGCTCTATTGAATTATTTCTGATTGGTCGATGAATAATTAAGAGATAAGCTTTTTGTTTATTGGCCTTGTAATAAAAAATGTGTTATTTTAAATATGATTACGTGTTTCTGAAGTGAGAAATTTATGATTAATAGGTTTATGTAGGTTACGTTTAAGTAACAAAAAGTAATTATTAACATAAAAGTGGGGTAGTAGGTAGGAATGGAGAGATTTAAATCCAATTTTCAAATCAACTGAATTTCTGGATCCATTTTTCTGGATCACATGATTTCTGGACTACTTTCTGGGGCACTGGATTTCTGGAGCACTTTTTCTGGGAGACTGGATTTCTGGATCAAATTTTTCTGGGGCACTAGATTTTAGGGTCTCAAAGTGACCTTGAAAACGAAAGGAAGCTTCGGCTTGTGATCCAGAAATCATGTGATTCAGAAAAAATGATCCAGAAATTACTTGATTTAAAAATTTGATTTGCGAACAAATAGGTATTTCAATTTTTTAATGCAGGAATTGTGTTGCGTTTGTACCGTTTGATGATGGTGACTAATTGTACGAGATCGTTTTCGAAAATGAAAGATACAAGATCGCTTTCGAAAATGAAATTGATCAAAAGTCGACTTCGTTCGAGCAAGAAAGAAGATCAAGTGGTTCATTTGATATTTTTGATGATTTTTTTAAGAATTTTGCTAATGAATAATGCCGTAAAAAGTCTTTTTAATATAAAAATTCTAAAGTACATTTGTTTTTACGATATACAGATGCAATTTGAAACAATTTACTTATGCTTTACTCTACTCTTCTACGCAGTATAATTTTAAAACTAAAAATGGAAATAATTGTGTCTTAGCTGTTATTTGTTGTAAATGTGTACGGAATGGCGTAAATTGATGTGAATTGTGAAAAAGATAAAACAGCATCAAAATAATAGATTTAAACGATATACGACATACATATGTTCCAATGCTGAATTCTTTTCCTATTCGTTAATGCAGTGAAAAATTTTGGACGAAATTTAACTAGAAAGAAGCAGAATATTGGTGGTGTAATTGAGTCATCCAGTTTGGTTTCAAAACGTTTTAAATTGAGATACCTAAGAACTGAGATCAATATTCAATGTAGATATCATAGTGATTACAGAAATAAAATATTGTGAATTTATTGTAATCACTATAATGATATAGTGATATGTAATCCTCTAAATCTGGAAAGTTATATGTTTGAACGGAACTTTAATTATGATGAAACCCACCCTACCACCGAAAAAGTTCAGTCAGAGAAAAATATCGGAAAGCATCAATAAAGTTGTATTATATAAATATGTTCAAGAACAACAACAACACAAAAATATACGGCTTGCAAAAAAAATTGTTGATTTCATTCGAGAATATCTAAACATTCTGTCGCCTGAGGATAAGGAAAAACTTTCAAGTATACATACATATGTATGCGATTGGAACATATAAAATTTGAAATTTTGTCTTTAATCAAATTGAAACGCATAATAATATGAACACAAGGATTACATCGTGAGTAGTATAAAATTTTCAATTTAATTTTTCAATTTAGTATGTTTAAAAATATTCAATCATTTTAAAGCATTTACATAAGCAGAAAAAATCAATTTGTCATATTGTTTTTATTATTAACATGCCGAGTCCTTATTCATGCTAACATTAACTTAAGCCTTACAACAACAACATCAGAAACGTCAACATCGATAGCAAAAACAACAACAGAAACAACAGCAGCAGAAACAACAACAACAGAAACAACAACAGCAGCAGAATATATTGTCATTGATGCGTTCCGATGTTTTTCTCTGACTGAACTTTTTCGGTGGTGGGGTGGGTTCCATCGTCATTGAAATTTCTTTCAAATATAAAACTTTTCTCTAACAGGTTTTGAGGATTAAATTTTTGTATATCATTATGGTGATTACAATAAATTCGCAATATTTTATTTGTATAATCACTATAATATTTACATTGAATATTGACCTTAGTTCTCAAGTATCTCAATTTAAAATCTCTCGATCCATACTGGATGACTCAATAGTTTTACAGAATTGTGCTTTATATGTGTGTGTATGTATAAAAAATGTAAATAAATAAGGGTAATTAACATTAATGCTAATAAATAAATGTATTTGAAATTTATTTGAAATTTATTTGAAATGCAATTGCTGTTTGACCCCTCGAATATATACATATATAGTAGTTTTATAGAATTGAGATTAAAAAATAAATTTATTTGAAACGCAATTGCTGTTTTACACCTCGAATACATATATTTATAGGTATATAGTAGTTTTATAGAATTGTGAATAAAAAATGTTTTATCATGTGTGGTTATGTGTGTGATTATCGTTTATTTAAAATTGCAGTTTGACCTCTCGACCGCTCAATTAATTGTCATGTGCAACGTTTGCGTATAGTTGTTGATGTCCTCGTTGAGTATAACGTTTTCCAGGGTGGCGGGGTCTTTTCTAACAATTATATACTCAATTTCACCGTTGTCCTTTATACGTTCAATTATTGTTGTTTCATAATATTGACTACATTGTATTTCTAAAGTTTTTTTTTTGTAATTGCTTTTATATAAACAACGAACTGATATAGCTGTAGATTTATATGCAAGATTAAAATGCCTATAGAATGGTTCTGTTGAGTTCAGTCTTTCACCAATATTTTTTTGCTCTTTTTCTAATAGGTTTTTTTGAAACAATTGGACTGCGTCGTCTTCCGTAAATTTCTCGTAACTATCATCGTAATCTCCTTCTGTTGCTGGTGTTCCTGATGTCCTTGTCGATGTATCTGTAGATTTATATTTATGATTAAAATGTCTATAGAATGGTACTGGTGCGTCCAGAACCCCAGCAATATTTTTCTCTTTTTCAAATAGGTTTGTTTGACAAAATTCGACTGAAACGTCTTTCGCATAACTAACATCGTTACCTCCTTTTTTTGTTGAAGTTCCTGATGTCGTTGTTGGTTTTTTCGGTGACGATTCTTGACTTATGAACTCGAAAATAAGATTAACTTTAACAACATCATTATTTGGTAAAGTGATATTATAATCTAAACTTTTTGTACTTGTCGCTTCACAGTTTCCAAAATTTACATTGAATAGCAAAATAACTGCAATGATTATAAGTTGTAACATTTTTATATTTTAATTTTCAGCCCCTGGTTTATAGTTTCTAGCTTGCAATCTGACTTGTTACTAATGTCTGAACTCGTAGCGAGAGAACAAGAATCAACTATGTTCATTATATTTTTTCGAAGCTCTGTTGAAAGCGTTGTATAGATGTATATTTTTCCTAAGCTCGTTTGATAGCGACGTACATAGGTATATTTTTTTCTAAGCTCGTTTACATATGTATATTTTACTCCCTTTGTTTACAGTTTCTAACTTGCAATCAGACTTGATACTCTCACTCAGAAAGAAATGGAAAAAATATATATTGTATTTATAATATAATATTTTCCGAACCTCGTTTGTTAATCAGTTCCGTAATCAATAGGTCCACTTTTCACTGTTTCATTCGTCAAAAAATTAATAGATATGCTACCCAAACGAGCACTTACCGATATTGATTTAATGAAGTTTGCTAAACAGCATTTTAACCACTTTCGTGGAGTTTTTATGCGTGATCGTCTCCCCAATAAACCATGGATCAATGAATGTGGGATAATACACTTGGGTTAGGAAAGCGAACGTGGTGCACATTTCCAAAATAGAAATTTAAAAAAAAAATTATAGTTTTGGTGATTTCAGCCACCGCACTATGGGAAAAAAGTCGATTTTTTTGGCATTAATTAATAACTTGAGAACTAATCAACATTTTATTGATCTGTTTTTTGATTCCAGTTAATAATAAAATAAGGAATGTATTTTAAGAAAATGGGGTGTGGCCTCGCCTATTTTTTAGATTTAAAAATTTTTTTTAATGAATAATATTAAAAAAAAAAAATTTTTTTTTTATTTTTGGAATAAAATTGTTAAACAAAACAATTTAAAAAAAGTTCGTTGTCCTAACTTTTTTTTAATAATTATATAGATTTTTTTGCATTTTGCGGAACACTTTTTTAGAGCCTGTAACAAAAAAAGTATACAACTTTGATTTTAGTTAATATGTTTATGTTTTTCAGACTTTTTTTCCATGGTCCACCTGGTTCTTAGCGTTTTTTATAGAAAAAAATGTTTTCGAGCTTAGCCAAGTGTCATGTCTTCTCTCAAGCTGTGTTAAATTTCTATTGCTAGGTTAGCACCTTAAAAGTTCAATTTTGAAGAAACGTGCAAAAAGTTGCAAAAATGATTAGTTTTGCGATATTAGGGATACATTTGGTAATAACTTTGCGTTTTTACCTTTTTGCAACGTTGTGCCATTTATAAGTTATACACCACGGAACACAAACAAACTTGTAAGTTTTAAGCTAAAAAGATACACATATAAAACAGATCACAGTTGGACAACAAGTCATAATAATCAAAACATGTAATCTAAGATACATTTATAAATACCTTTGCTACGATTTGCCATAATCAGAAATAATAAATCAATTTGTTGCTCCACAAAATAAACAATGAAAGTTTGCAAAGATTTTTCACTAATTTAAGCACACAAAAAAGTCAATCGAACATCTGACTTTGTTCGTTTATCAACATTATAGTGTTGTTAGTAAAAAATCTTAGATAACGGTTCTTGGCTAATTAGGGTATGTAAATTCAAAAAATATATTTTATTTTTGAAAATAATTTGTAAAATAATTTGATTTTATGCCAAAAAAATCGACTTTTTTCCCATAGTGCACCGGTTGAAATTGTAAACTATTTAAAACCACCCATTGAATGTAACCATAGAAATGAACAAAAATTCAACACATATTATATAATTGTGGACATTTATGTTTAAAATTTTTATTTCGAAATAATAAACTATGTGATATTGAAAAACAAACAAAGCTTAAGTTATATCTTTATGACCACATGCAAGAGTGCCTTTTTTATTATCTTTTACATGTCGCTTATCATCTAAATAGTTTTTGTTTTTTATACAAGCAAGCAAGCAAGTTTTTCCCAATATTTTTCCATAATCTATCATGGATTGTCATTTATTTATGAAGGAATTAACAAAAATTGATGGTGATATTTCTAAAATACCATTAAACAAAGAGTTTTATATATCCATATCAATAAAAATTATAATTAGAAAAAATCAAATTTTAGAACTTCGATCTTTGGAATAATTTAGATTTATGCCTTCAAGTCTAGATAGCTTAGCAAGTTATTTTTCAAACTGCTAAACTATGCGGTGTATGGCAAGACTATGGAAAATGTTGACAAGTGAAAATCAATTAAATTAGTGTCCAGTTGGGAGAATCAATTAAAAAAATTAGGTGCTAGAGCACTTATCTCAAAATATAATTTCAGTAATGTATTTCAATTTACTAATGATTTGTTCGCAATACAAATAAAAAAAGGATCAGTTGCTTCTGATACACCTTTCTACATTGCAATGTAGATCAATGCATTGGTTTCACCGTTCTCGAATTATCAAAATATAATATATATGTATAGTTTTCTCTAAGACTATATGAAACCGAAATATCAAGAAAACTTTAAATTAATGTATATGGATACTGATTCTTTTATCTATGATGTTAAGACTATAGATTTTTATGATGACATTCGTTGTGAAAATGAACAGCATTTTGATACATCAGAATATTCTGAAGACAACGTTTTTAATATACCATTGCTAAGCAAAAAAAATTAGGCATGATGAAAGATGAATGCAAAGGGAATATAATAAAATAACTTATTGGACTCAGAGCTAAAATGTAGGTATTCGATAGAAATCTGTAAAATAAATAATGCTAATACATCAACAACGAAGAAAAAAAATTAAAGTTGTAAAGACTAGTGTAACTTAAAAATTTACTATTGATGATTTTCGATATTGCTTGTATTAAAAAACAAAAACTATTTAAATTATAAGCGACATGTAAAAGATAATAACATAGACACATGGGGTCATAAATTTTTTTGTTTACATATACATATTCATATGTTTTCATGAGTTTTATTTTAACTTAAGTTATATCTTTGACTATTAGCAAGCAAGCAAGTTTTTCCCAATATTTTTCCATAATCTATCAGCATACGATTGTCATTTATTTGTGAAGGAATTAACAAAAATTGATGGTAAAATTTCTATAATACCATTAAACAAAGAGTTATATATATTCATATCAAAGAAAATTGTAAAAAGATAAAATGAAATTTAAGAACTTCGATTTTTGGAATCATTCGGATTTATGCCTTAAAGTCTAGATAGCTAAGCAAGTTATTTAAAAGAAAAAATTTTAGAAAAGTGTGTAAAAAAATCTATAATTTGGATCCATGTCAATATTATACAACACCGTGTCTATCATGGGATGCAATGTTGAAAACAACTACAATAGAATTAGAACTGGTCACCGACATTGATATGTATAATTTTAAAATGAAAGGTTCATTATCCGTCATGCTTAATTTTTCTTTGTTTAACAATGGTATATTAAAAACATTGTCTTCAGCATATTCTGATGTATCAAAATGCTGTTCATTTTCACAACGAATGTCATCATAAAAATCTATAGTCTTAACATCATAGATAAAAGAATCAATATCCATATACATTAATTTAAAGTTTTCTTGATATTTCGGTTTCATATAGTCTTAGTGAAAACTATACATATTATATTTTGATAATTCGAGAACGGTGAAACCAATGCATTGGTCGACATTGCAATGTAGAAAGAAGTAACAGAAGCAACAGATCTTTTTTTCATTTGTATTGCGAACAAATCTTCAGTGAATTGAAATATCATACATTACTGAAATTAAATTTTGAGATAAGTGCTCTAGCACCTAATTTTTTAATTGATTCTCCCAACTGGATACTAATTTAATTGATTTTCTCTTGTCAACATTTTCCATAGTCTTGCCATACACCGCATAGTTTAGAAGTTTGAAAAAATTATTTCCAAATTCATTAACAGCTAATGTTCTATAATGATTATTACAGTAAATATATGTTTTAAGCCAATCAGATTGATCGAATTGTAATATTCGATGAATTTTCTTTAAAATCATTCCACGATGTAAATTTCTTTAGTGAATTATATAATTATGTTTCTGTGTCAAGTCTGCAATCAATTTTGTTTGTAGCATATTTTTATTTATTTTGTTTTGCGGACAAAATGGTAAATCATTAGTCTACTTCTAAAATACTATAACCAACTAGAGAATCATTTGCATTTTTAACATTTTTAACCATTTAAAATTTTTATATGGAATAGCTTGTAACATGATATATCCATATTAATTATTAACATCTAAGTATACAATATAATTTGATTATTTGTTGCAATCATAGTCGTTCGTTAGATATTTATTATTTGCAAGTGAATGACGTCCACTGCATTAAACAAGACCACCTCTAATACCTTTTATAATGAAATTATAGTTGTTTTCAACATTGCAACCCATGATAGACCATCCCATGATAGACCAGGCGTTGTATAATATTGACATGGAGCTAAATTATAGATTTTTTACACACTTTTATAAAATTGTTATTTTAAATAACTTGCAATTCTCCTGTTAAATGACAATGGTCTAAAACGATGATATATCCAAGTTATTATCAAGTAAACATTTTATGTAATAACTATATGCATATGTTATATGCTTTTGAATTAGGCTTATGTTATCTTTACTTTTAATATCTATCCCTTCCAAAATACATTCAAAATCAGCATAGTGACATCTAGTTGTTTTTTATAATTCTTAAGTCTTAATAGAAAATCGTTTTTCCATTGCATCTCAACTATAATTCTATTACACTCTGAGCTATGTCGTTGCACATAAATATATTTGACCATTTCGTTATCGTCACTTGTCTGCGAAGTAATCTAAACAAAAAAACAATGATTATAAAATTTTTCTTTTAATTTTGTAATTTAATACTTACCTTGAAATATTTCTAATCCAAATATATTGATATTTTTCCTCCTTTTCGAGATGAAGCAGATATATGCTGTGTACGTTATTAGTTTTATTATTGGTAAAATAATATGATCCGATTATTGTGCGATCATCGTCGTCTACTCCCAACACAGTTATACTAATTTCAGGATTATTTTCTTCAAATGTTTTAATTTTATCAACCGGTTTTATAAACTTTAAGTCAATAAAATTTAATGTTTTATTATTTATTGTGTTTATATCCGATTTAATGTTGTGAACGACTCTTTATTTTTAATAAATAGTTCGATTTCGGTTATATTTACTCTTGTCCACTTTAGCGAAAGCCGATATTAATGCCCATTTAAAGCAATAAACATCTTTATTTTGCACATTGACACATGATCCTTTACAAAATATTTATTTCGGTAAACAAATGTAATTTGAATCCCTTAGAGGTTGGTATTTATTTATATTCACTTCCAAATGTGCTGTTTCAATTATTGACCAACTACTGTCACGTTTTTGAAATTCACTCATTTCATTTTTTGTATAAATTATTAATTATTGATTATTTCATTCAGTTTCTCATTATCAGACATTGTTGGATTTTAAGTTTGCATTTTCGTTTGAAACGATTTAAGGTTCATTTGACAGTGCTCTTGACTCTCTTTAAAAAAACATAATTAGAAAATTGTTCGAATTTACATATATTGATATGTATTTGTAGAACCTCAATTTACTTCAAGAGGTAAATTGATCACTTGTCCATCGATTTATTGATAAAATAATGTGATATCCCGACATTCTTTTTTAGGATTTTCGATTATATACGTTTCAATGCGATTCCAAAATTCACTTTTTATACACCTCAGGTAACCGCTTATTTGCGTACTAGATAATTGTTAATGCAAGTTGGTACGCAAATGATACGACCAGCTAATGTATTCAACGTGTTGCTCAAATACACCACAATAACGAGTTTCGTTAGACGTGAGGTTTTTCTTTTTATGTTCCATATGAAGTTATGGAGGTTTTATGGCGAAAACTGTTTCCACAAAATTCACAAGTAACAACACCCATTTTGATTTGTTTAATTTATGAATAATTCCTGTGCGTTATATCATACTATAGTTGTGGTCTACAGCTTACACAGTTTGTGATAACTGAATGCTACTTTGCACTAAAAAGAAATCACCTCGAAACAGCCAGTGGCTTCGTCCTCGTCGTTTTGAATTAGATTGAACTGACGAGCTCTTATTTATATGAAATTGTTATCTAAATTTTGTTGTTTTGCTGTGTTTTTTTTTTTTTTTTTTTGCAATAGTTTTTTTTCTGCCTTCGGAATACCATAAATTTGTTATCTGAATATTGCAGTTTTTTTGCGCCATAATTTTATTTCCCCTTCCTAAATACCACATACAGTAGAACTCGGTTTTAGCAACTTTCAAGGGACCAACGATTTTTTTTTAAATAAAACAAATTAATTTTTTAATAAAAAAAGTTAATAACTTTAATTCAATAACATGGGTTTTTCATAATAGGTCGTAGGGGAGAGTGGGGCATTGTCGTCACTTTTTTTTTAATTGCGAAATTTGTTGATAAAATAACTTATTTTTATCATGTAATATACATGGTTGGATTCGGAAAAGATCTGGCTATAAAATGCAGTAAGTATTTCGGACATCCTCTCATTTGTTTATTAATACGAAACTGTTATCTGAAAGAAGGCAAAACTGGAAAATTGAAAAATCGTGGGGCAAAGTCGTCACCTCCCTGTCGTCACATCCTCCAAAGTCGTCACATAGAATAATGAATGCAAATATAGGTACCCATGTGCACAAAACTATTTCAACTTGTCAAACACACATTTATTGATATTCATAAATATAAAAAAGTGGAACACTATATCTATTTTTTGCAAAAATTTGACACATTCAGATCTAAGTGAAGGCACTTAGCAAAAATCAGAATTTCTTAAAGATTTTTCTTTGGGCGACCTCTTTTTTAGAATTTTATTTTTGTTTGAAGAACATTTTGAAGAAATTATATTTTATATTTAATACTTTACATAAACAATCACAAAACAATAATAAATTGATACGAGTTTGTATTTCAGTCTGAGATAATACAGTGACGACTTTGCCCCACCCGTTGAGTGACGACAATGCCCCATGCGACATTTTTTGATAAAAACATGAATAACAAATCGAAACTCGAATCAGCTGTTACACAACCTACCATCTCGTGTTCGCCAAACATTTCTCAACAATAATAATTTACCTTTATACTTCTTTGATCGAAAATGTACTTGGAAGAAAAACAGTTCTGCGCCGGAGAAAAATTACTTTTGAGGCTCCGAAACACTTTCTGATGAATAAATAATTATACATAACCTATAATTCTACCAAACTCCGTCGGTAATGTAGGAATAGTACAATACACTTACGCTAAAAAAATTGGGTTGGTAGCCCTTTTATTTTTTAAAATAATAGCGAGTGACGACTTTGCCCCACTGACGACATTACCCCACTCTCCCCTATACATACACTGGTCGGCATATGTATATATTTTGACAAAATAAAAGTGATATACTCTATACTCGAAACTTGAACTTGCTTCTTTTAACTTTTGGTATCAATGGAAAGGTAATTTAAATGCCGTTTGACTGATACCATACTTTTCTTAACTTATTCGATATTTATTGAAAAGGTCAATTTTAAAAAAAATCTACTTTTTAAACTTTTTTCCCTCGTCTACTAGTAATGCCTGTAGTATTTACATATGTATATAACTTGCTGCTTCTTGCAAATCTTGCAATTAAGTGAGAAAAAACACAGTGTGGGAAATTTCCAACCACATACAAAACCAATCATCTGTGGGAATTCTGTTATCGCTTCCTAAGGACAAGAAAAAAAAACAATATAAATATATTTTTTTCCAATTTCCGCTGCAACAAAGCATGTTTCTTGATAAAAACAGTGGGGGAATGGCAGTGGCGTAACTATAGGGTGGCAGAGGTGGCCAAATGCCACGGGCCCCCGACCCAAGAGGGCCCCGGCTCAAGAGGCCGCTAGCTCAGTTTTTTTTGTTCTATGTGTTGTAAGAACCTGTGTTTTTTATTTGAATTGATAATATAAATATACATATTTTAAGTTCTGCTTAAAATCCATTAAAGTAATAAAACTAAAGTAAAAACCATAACTATACAAAAATACGATTTTAAATTAATTGTTAAGTATTTCAACACATCTTAAACAATAAGAAATTGATCACTTTTTTTAAAGACGCATCCATTGGTTTCTACATTTTTTTTAGCGGCAGCGCGGCGGGTGAGCATTGAAAATCGGGGAATTCCTTAATTTTGTTAACCAAAAAGTACTTTTTTCGTGGCGCTGCCTTGCCGCTGCCGCTGGGGCGATGTAGAAACACTATTATAGGGGAATCCCGGATTTGATATTTTTATGAGGGCTCTACTGACTGCGTAATACTTGTGTGATTGTTTTGACAATTGATCGTCCAGATCCAGAACAACCACAACAAGCTACTATCAAAAATTAAAGAGAATTAAATTTCAGCGATAAGAATATTGTGTCTTCTCCATATGTATGTTACTGATAGGGGTAATCTGGTGTGAAACTTGAACGTACTTGGCTATCTTATTCTTTAATTCTTCACAAGGCGTATTGTGAACCGTGTTGGTTATTCGAAAATCGGGCATTCAAAAAAATACAAAATGTTTGGATTGAGGGCTATGACGATTGGAAACATATTGTAGATGCTACAGAAAGACACCAGACATCGGTGGCTACATGGGACACTCGATGAAGAACAAGAGTTCATGATCAAAAAAGAAAAATCTTTTTGGCGCCAAGTTCTTTTTAGACTCCTTGATGTTACTTTGATGATGTTATAGACACTTTTGCAGAACAGAAAGTTCGAAAAAAGATTTTTCTTAATAAATATCTTATTGAAGTTAATTTGTTTTTGTTTCATTGTAAATCAATCCAATCAGCATAGGTCTAGCCTATAAGGCTAGCGTGGGGACATGACCCATGCCTATGAGACCCTATGCCCAGTAGTGGGCATATATGTATATAGACTGGAGAATGTGGATATATAGACTGGAGAATGTGGATCTATATAAATGTATACAGTGTCGGATAACCACTTAAGCGGTTTATTAAAATGACAGGGCCCCATCAAAAAAATTTGCCACGGGCCCCAGATGGTATAATTACGCCACTGGGGAATGGGGAAAACTCTCATATAAATAGCAACACCAATGAGCAACAAAAATCTTAAAGTCGGCAACGATCAAGCTTAAGTTTTTTTTTAGAGGGCGATGGTGAACCCTCTGAATACAGTTGAAAAGTTCGATAAGAATACTGTTCAGAAGACGATTGACACTTATAATTGACAATATTTAAACGAATTAATTACAATGTTCTTTGTATATAATAACATCTTATTTTCAAGTTAGTTAATCAATAATAATTTTTGTCAAGTTATAAGCTTTACTCGTGGAATTATTAGCATTTACATCCCAGCAGCATCTTCATTAAAACGATTTATAGTAGCTCTTAAGCTAAAAAAGTGTTCTCAGCATAAAGTGATTGTGATTACGATTTTTCTCGTATTTTCGGTCCATTTAAGGGAAGTTTTTGTTATTGTATATTGTACACGATAAACCAATTATAATTCATCCTTTTAGTTAGTATCTGTAAATTAAATGAATTAAGGAGATTAAATCCTAATTCAAAATTGGTAAATGTAAAATAAATTGTGTTTTGCTGTTAGATTTCCTTGTCACCCTATTAGCATCCCTGCAGCTGTATCGGCATAAAATATTGACTGTGAAACAAAAGGTAGATGGGTTTCACTGCCCAATAAAAGGGCAACTGCGAGGCACTCTCCCTGCGCTTATTGAATTATATGCAGCTCTGGCCGATGCATAATTCAATTAGCATATGGAGAGAGCGGGCCAGTGCCGCAGGCACATCCTGTGAGTCCAACATGACGTATGCGCAATGCGGGGCCAGCGGCAGTTGAGCAACTGGAGAAGATGGACACGGATCTGGGAGTGGGACTGCGAACCGCTGCTGCTCCGTTATGAATTACATTTCAATATGCTTCAACGTGTTCATCATTTATTAACCCGCCTGGGGAGGCACTCGGAACTGGCAAATGCCGGCTGCCGGCTGCCAAATGCCAATTCAGGAGCGGAGAGGAGAGGAGAGGAGTGGAGCGGAATGGAACGGAGCGGAGCAGAGGATCCTTGAGGCCGAGCTGGGACCTGGCTGCAAACAGGAAGCCGGAATGTTGCTGAGCGACTGCCGACGAGTGCTGGGCTCCGTTTGCAATTTCCGTTTTGTCACATTTGTCTAACTAAATGGAAATTTATGCAGCTCCTCGGCCGAGATCCTGCTGGTCTGGACCTGGGGTCCTGGTTGGGTTAATGCTTTATTCACGGTCGAGCGCTTAATGAAAGAGTCATTACACTCATTCACTCATTCAATCGCTGATTCATTCATGAGCAGACGAGAGCGCGTGTCCTTTGTTTTCCGTTTCTCAGCCATTTCTGCCTCGGAGGCCCCTGTTGTTGTCGTTAATTAATTGATTTTCATTGATGCTTGGGTAGCATTAATCATACGCCAAGTTGGCCCAGCGACCGTGGAAGACTATTGTTATTCCTCCTTGCCGAGAGTCCTCCTTCCTCCTCGCTACTTTCCCAGTCGTTCGTCGAAACTTTTGAATGGGCTGCAGGAATGCAGTTTTTGTCAAAGTCTCTCATTAACGCTTCAGTTGCCAGGGAGGCAATAGGAAACGAATAAGAGAAGCCAAAGGTTGCATCTGATGAAATTGGAAATATTTTGTACATCTCCGCCGAGCACTCAAGATATTTGAGTGCTAAAAAGCTTTACTTTTATTTCTACTTTACTCTGTAATAATTTAACCTCTGCAAAAGTTCGCTTTAATTATTGTTTGTATTCTGAACACCAAAATCAAAAAGAAACATAATTACAAATAATTGAAGCTCAGGCAGATTTTTTTTAATAGCTGTCCACTTTGAAGTTTTTTGTTTAACACAAAATGTAAAAGTCAAGACATCTTTCAAACTAGTTGGATTATAATACAAAGGCATACTTCCCATAAAGAAACGTTTAATACCTTCCAACAAGCTTTGAAAGAGTTATTCAACTTTTCTTATTACCATTGAAAAAGTTTTTAAATTGGTCACGCATGGATGGCTGAAAACGTGCTGCAATTTATTTGCATCAATGATTGAATTAGAGAAAAAGATTCAATAGTTTAATTTCATCCCGCCAAACGCAATAAATTTAAATATATTTTCAGTTCAACGGTTTCACGAGAGCAATTATAGAAAATGTTAAAAAAACAGAATGCAAGTTTGCACTTTGGTGGGCTTAGTGGCGAATAAATAAATCATTTGCGCAAACAGTAAAGGGGTTTTGCATAATAGATGTAGCAGATTTATGTGCGGTAATGTTGCCTAAAATATGCACAAGTTATAACCGTACTTATGAATTTATTCATACAGATATTGGGGCTCCAAGCCGGAAACTCTCAAATTGTCCCCGTTCTCAAAACGCGACTGCCAACGCGGCTTAGCCCGAATCAATTAAGTCGGCTTGTGGCCTGTCTGACGGCCAGAGAGCTTCCATTTCCAGCTTAGTGGTTGACGTTTTGACAGTTTTATTGTAAGTCATTCGTGTTAAACTGCTTAAGCGCGGCCTTATTTTGTGACCCATTTCAGCCAGGAAACGATTACAATTTAATCAACGAAATATTGAATTAAATTCAAAACTCGGCTTAAAGAAAAAAAGAAAAAAATGGGGTATTTAAAAGGTTGAAAATGTATTGTATTTGAATAATTATTTATACTCGTTTGAAGGTATCCGGAAAAGAAGAAAGTCCTAGATTTATTTTGATCGTGTCAAAACTACGCGTTCTTGTTTGTTGAGTTTTGATGCTTCGCAAAAGGAGTTTTGAACATTAAGAAATGTAGTAGTTTTTCAATTAAAAACATTAAAGACTGTGTCGTTAAAAATATTTTTTTAATTACTGTCAATTACTGTACTTTGACATATTATCTTTAAGTATAAAACAGTAAAAGAAAGTTTACCTTCTAATAAATATTTACAATTTTATCGTCAAAAATTTTTTGTCATCAAATGGAGATTTGTTCGCAGTTCATAACATTAACAATGTACTTTACAAGATATCTAAGCTAACTTAAGCACTCAGTACTTCATATAAACATTTTGATTATAAAACAGAAATCCAGCTTCTGGTAGTTTATTTAAAAGTTTTAAATGGGCATTTCTGCCACTCAAAACAAATGGTCGAATGGTCATTTTATACGACATTAGTAATACCAAATTAATTAAACACTAGCCGGATGAGTATTAAGTTTATCAATATAAATAAATAGTAAACTGCTAAAATGGCAGTTGGAATGCAAAGAAGCAGAACATTTTTGAGATAAAGAGCCATCTATGTGTTAGCTTAAAAGAGTGCAAAGCCTTGAGTATTAGATGTAGTTATGAAATAGTCCGGCTTCAATTTTCAACGCTAGGTGGCTCTTCGACTGGGGCGCCAAAATTTTCAATGATTTTTTGAAATGCGAAAGATTTTTATTTGGAACTAAAACTAGCAACCTGTGCCTGTTTTCCCATTAAAAGCATGAAGATTTTTTATGAGCAATTGCCTTTATCATTTATTGTTTAAGAATTAAATAGGAACTCTCGAAATTTTTAGCTAGAAATTGCAGTGGAATCATCACATCTCTGCTTTCTCAGTTTTTATAAATTGACCTTACAGCTGACCGCCGAGGTTTGGGGGTATTTCGCGCAGACACGGTCACACCGACGGTAACAGCTGCTCGCGGGTACAAGAACGAAAATTGTAACCGAAAAAAATCACAATTGTGCAATTGCTGCAAAAAAAGAAACAATTGAAAAAAAGAGCGCGCAACTTTGGTGTAGCCCGTCGGCGGGCGAGAGAGCGAGCGGAAAAGTGGATTAAAAATATTCATCGCAGGAGGATGAAAAGCGCCTGGTGACACAGGTCGGATACTTGACGGCCACCACAAAATGCAGACTGTTGGGCTGTTGCATAAATTCCGTTAGTAATTTTAACTATTTCTGCTGCCTCTATTGTGGTTGTTGTAGTTGTGCGCGTGTGCTTAATGTGTGTGCGATTGAGTGTCTATATTAGCTTAGCGATATATTTATATTCCTAATTACAAGCGTTGTGTTCGCGTTGCCGAATTAAAAGTTTTAGTTTCCCATCGGCGGGCGGAGCTCTTAGTCGCTAACATTACATCAAACTAACGGTGCTTACGTGCCACACGGCGCACATTGTAATCCCCCGAGCACACACACATACCGTGCCGCCTTCACCTTGAAGTGCCTGTCGAAGTCTCGGAATCGCTTCCTATTTATTTGCCGTTATTCTAACGGAACTTCTTGCACTAAGAAAGTGGTGTCAAGGTAGCCAGCGTAAAAAAAACAGTTGCGGTCAGAACAATAGTGTTAAAAAAAAAAAAAAACGTTTAAACCTTGTTTTCGTTAAAGTTCAAGCAAAATATTTCCATTTTGTACGGAGTTATGTACATATATGTTTTTTTTTTGTTTTTATTGTACCCACTTTTCAATACCAAGTTTTTTCAAAACTGACACAGAATTATTTGTTCTATTGCTTTGGACACAACTGTACTGTATATACATTTGTATATTTATGTTTATATGAGAGTCTGGGAAAGGAAAGTGTCGGCAGCTGATAACGCGTCTTAATTGTTGCTGTTCATCAATTGTACTTTGAACAGTCTTTGTATATATGTACATTTGTGGAAGAAAGGAATAACATTTGTGACAGTGTGCTTAGCAATTAATAAATAATATTAATCGATTCGACTGGTCTTTTTTTCTGGCTTGCTGTTTATGTAGTATTCATTGCATCAGCTTAGTTAACAGGAAATAAATCCAACCTGCTAATGTTTTTATTTTTGTCAATCCAAAAAAGTATACTGTATTCTGTTAATTAGCAATTGTGAATCATGCAGTGTAATATTACTTAATATATACCCTGAATGATAAATAATGGAAAATAACTAACTAATTAACCATAATATTCATTAAGATAAGTATGTATGTATATGAAAAAAAAAAAAAAAAAAAAATTAATCAATGTGGAGTTTTGTAAGCATATTCATTTTGTTTCTTTTTTAAGAGTTTCATGTTCTGAGTGTGTACTGTATATTAAGAACTAGTATTGTCAAACTGTGAAAAATTTGTAGCTAGAGCGAAAATTGTACACAAATATTATCTTCTGAAGGCGACGAAAGTTAATGAGTTTGCTTTCTCCTTTCTCTTTCGCACACACAGCATAGGCGGACGGCACACACACATCACGTGTTTGGCTTTGGCTACAAATTTGTGGCCCACGATCACACGCGAGCAGCTCTCTCCCAATTTCAGCCATTCTCATTGCTCTCTTTTGTAGTCAACATGTTCTCACTTCAACGGCTGCTGCGCCACATGGGCGGCGTGACGCCAGGAGCTACAACTACACTGGTAAAATAATATGTTTAAATTTTCAAGAATTTCTTTAGCTAAAGCCAGATCAGAATTCTTTACTCCAGTTTTTATATTTTCAATTTGTACTGCCGAATTCTTAAAACCTTTTATTATATTATTACTATCACTATAAGTAACAAATTGTTTAAACTCATATTTTGATTTAAAAAATGTTTCAATCTGGATTTTATTTATTTATTTAATTTAATTTATTTAAGTAAAGATAAAGAAAATGTATATCAATATTTTATTAAAACAAACAGGTTGTCAACCGGTTTTTCGCCGATTGTTAAGTTAGAACAACAATCCCACCGAAGTTGCCACCTCATTTACTAAGGCCAAACCCTAGTTCCAAGCCCTGTCTTGAAGCCCATTTTGGGAAATATTTCGAATATTTAATGACATTATCTCAGGAAAGATTCGATATCAGTACTACCAAATCAGAAAGAAAAAGAAAATTACATTATATCTGAAGTTATCCCATTCCATTCCCGTTTAATTTATTTGAATAAATAGTCTTTAAGTATTCTACTAAAATTGTTGTTGATTTTGTTCAGTTTATTCAATACAATAATATCACCACCAAATTTCTCGTAGTGCACAGCGACAGCTACAAAGCACTCTAGTCAGGCGAAGTTCGGCGAAAACGACATTCACGGTTCACCCTCGCATACGGACGGTCGCAGTCACGGCGAATCAGAGTCGGATTTGGAGTCGGCGCACGGCCAGAATTTCACAGCACAGCAGTTTGCCAGGAGGATTCTGCAGCAGCGCAGCCAGGACATTCAGCGCCACATCCACACGCAGGCATCAAAAGGACAGACAAGGGCTAAGTCCTCGCAGCACCAACAGCAGCAGACCTCCACAAAGTTCGCCATGTCATCGCTAGCGGCAGAACCGTTGCAGTCCCAAAAGCAGGATGAAGTCTCGGCCAGCGCGGGCGGCAATGTGGAGTCGCCGGAACTGGGAGCCTCCTGTCACGATGTGGCTTCCGCATCGACCAACGCCGGCAAGAAGCCCTGCTTCAGCACTGGGCTCGGCGAGATTCTTCAGTTCATGGAGCTCATCGGCAATCTGAAGGTATGTAAAACTGGTTTCTCAGCAGCTTTTTTCGGCTTTCCACCCTGCTCCATTCGCCAGTCATATGTTCGCATCGATTTTTCCCGAAATCCTCCGTGTTTTGATTTTGCCACACGCTATTCAAGCTCCCATTTAGGAATTTTAGGTATTGTAAAGTGGTGTTAGAGTATTAAAGAATAGAAAAGACTATTTTATAATTATTATTGGGGAATTGTTAGATATTTTTGAGAGAAAAAATATTTTTATTTTAAAATAACACTTAAAGTAATAAATATTTTTGATTTTAAGGTTGAAGATAAATTATTTTAAACTTTTTGCTTTTCAAAAAAGTTTTTTTTTTAACTTGACCTAGGATTTTTAAATTAAGTCGTGACGAGTATATTATACTGTGTTGTTGAAGTATCGCCGCTGGGCGCATACTTTTGTTTAACTTTGAAGGTCATTTTAGATATTTGTTGTTCGTACGTATAAAAGATATTTTTTGTTGGTAAACAAATAAATCATTTTCCTGAATTATAATAATTGTAAAGTACCCAAAAAATAAACGTAATAAGTTTTAAAAGGGATTGTGTTGGTTTCAACTGGACAATATGAACTTGACAACCTTTCTCAGCCGTTTATAAAATTAAAAACCCCCCTAAAGTCTTGTATAAGACCTTGTTTCTATTACGAAATTCTCCGTTCGTAAGATTTGCACTTGTATTTTAAAAATTGCTTATCAAAATAATTCTACAAAACCCCAAATCTCAAATAAAGCCAGAAGCAAAAAGAAAACAAACAAAAGTGTGAAACCCAAAGCAAGCAGAACGCAAAGATGTGTTTATTTACGTTTTGTATAATCAATTCTATTTTCTCTTCACTCTTTCGATTTTTTCTGCTTAGTATATTTGCAAACGTCTTGTATTATGTCAGTGACAGCCTTGCTCTTGTGTCCCCCTTGAACGAATTTGTATAGTCGTTTGCCAAGAAATATATCTAATATATAGGCATGTTTGTATACCTATGGTTTGATATGTAGCTTGTTTCATTCGGTGTGTTTGAATGAAAATCAATTTTCTGAGGAACTACCTTAGCTGCCAGTGGTAACACTTATCAAAAACTAGGGGTAGAGGCTCAGACAGAGTGCAAAGTCCACCATAAAGATTGTAATTGTATCTTTATAAAAACCGCAGCTGTTTGTACGTCATATAATCTGACATAAGCAAAACAAACAGTGCGAAAGTTAAGAGCTGCACACTTTCTAGAACCACTAGGATTTCTTTTATCTAATCAGCATATTTGAAGTGCTCAACCCATCGCCGGAATGACGAAATCCCCAGGCACGGGACATGCTTTCTTATCGACAAGCTGCATAAAGTGAATCGCTTTGTAATTTGAGTAGCTGCCCCTAGCGCTCATGGGTGAAAAATGTCATTAAAGTAAACTGATTAATGAGCTTTTGTTGTTTTGTGCGAGTCACCTAATCTCCGCTACTAAATTGCAAACTGTTTGCAAAAAAACGTTCAGGCAAAGTTCCAAATGGCTCACGTGAGAACAATTTTTGTATTGCTCTGCTTTGCTCTGTTGTTTTTGCTAAAATGTTTTGGATTCATTGTGGAATCTACCGTCAGCATTGACGTAAAACTTGGGACTTGAATAAACTACAACAACATTTTCCGAGTAGCAGTTTAAATTTTTGCTTTGCTATTATATATATCCTATTGCATATAGAACGTGAAAAAGCAGCAAAAAAAATAGAATGGCAACGCGTGACTTTGATCTTGGCCTTCAAATTATAGACGCTATCTTTGTCAGTTGACGGAGCCCCTTAAGAGGTGGGTGAGGATTTGTTTGAGGCGATAATATATGCTCGATATTTTCCAAACTGAGCGAAGTAAAACGATAGCGATGTGTGTGAAATATAATTGGAAAAATTTCATTTGGTGTTGATTGCTTATTAGCCTTTTAGTTATGGCTAAACACGAAACCCTATTTATAATTAATCAGTATATTTTCCAAGCTCTTAGAACATTTTTCCAGTAGCGGTAGTGTTTTGTTCTGTTTAGTCATCTTACATTTTTTTATAAACATATTCATAAAGCTGATATATTGGATCGCAAGTCAATTAACCAACAAACACTAATAATCACTTTCTCTGTTTGCCACCCTTGATATTACTTATATTAATAAAGCTGATATGCATTATAATGCATGTGGTGCGCATTTCTGTTGATTGATAACAACAAAGCTATCTGATAGGTATTGAACCCGTTACGTGACTACAAGCTGATCGGGATTGGTAATCAATAATGCCGATAAGTCACGAACGGATATGATTGCAGCAGAATTCTGGCTTCTTGCAGTTTAATTAAACAACAATATCATTTATTAAGGCATTTATTTACCTTTGGCAACGAGAAAATAAGCAAACGTAAATGGCAATGGGCTTGCAACGTCTTTTGGACCTTGTTTACCCTACCGCCGGTTTCTATAAATAAAACTTTTATTGATCAAATAGCAACAGTCTAAAACCACCCCCGCTGGCCGGTTTGGGTTGAAGGTCTGGGGCAAGAGGCACCAACCTTGATGTGTGCAACGAGCCAAGCCGGCAACGATGTCACCGAATTCGCGTCGTGTTTTTAATTAGTGAAAGTGGCAGGAGGCGTTATTTGTTTAGTTCTCTATGTACAGTATAAAGGAATCTTTAAACCGACTAGTCAAAATGAATGCAATACATTAAGTAAGACTAATGCAATGTTTTATTATACACAGTATATGCTCTATTCGTATATATTTCAACCATCTGAACGCAATTGTATGCCTCCGTAAAGTCGACTTATTTTTGCTAACCCGCTGTTTTTCCATCTTCTTTCGCAGCACACAAAACGCACCGGATGGGTGCTGCGTGATGTCAACGACTGCGAATCGATTTCGGGCCACATGTACAGGATGAGCATGCTGACCTTCCTGCTGGATGGCAGCGAGGGTCTCAATCAGATCCGCTGCATGGAGCTGGCATTGGTACACGACTTGGCGGAGAGTTTGGTGGGCGATATAACGCCCTTCTGCGGGGTCTCGAAGGACGAGAAGCGGGCTATGGAGTTCAAGGCGATGGAGGATATATGTAAATTGATCGAGCCCCGTGGCAAGCGTATTATGGAACTTTTTGAGGTACGTTACCCACCGTGAACTTTTGTTGAAGGTGTCCTTACGAATGATGTAATTTGCAGGAATACGAGCACGGGCAGACTGCCGAGAGCAAGTTCGTCAAGGATCTGGACCGCCTGGACATGGTGATGCAGGCGTTTGAGTACGAGAAGCGGGACAATTGCCTTCTGAAACACCAGGAGTTTTTCGACTCGACGGAGGGCAAGTTTAACCACCCGTTCGTAAAGAAGCTGGTCAACGAGATCTACGAGCAGCGCGATGTCCTGGCCAAGGCTAAGGGTGCCACGCCTCCGCCGGCCATCGAGGTGCCCAACATGGACCGGCCCTCGAAGCTGGCCAACGGGCACGACGGCTCGAGTTGAGCGTTATTCTAGGAACCAGTCTTAGGCTAGCACATGAACACATCCTCACATACAAACCACCACGCTCTTAACTTGTAAGCCAATCCAACTAACAAACTGTTATGCCTACCTCGACACGCTCATAGCTAGATCTAACTTTTAACACACTAATTTATTGCGAAGGAAGCGGATAAGATGGAACCGATGGGAGTAGCTATCAATTATTCTAAACAAACACCTGTTGAACACGTCTCCTTTGTTCAATTTCCTTTAAGTTAAGCGTAAAGTTGTACGAGTTTATCCAAATATTGAATTGATCTGACTAGGAAACACAATTGTACATAACTAAATGAAATTGTAGTTTATTTTAACCGTAGACGAGGCGAACTATTGTAAATGTTGTCCTAGAACAATTTTATTGAAGCAGCCGAACTTTCAAATCAAAATGTTAAATCAAAATCAAAATACTTGATTTCTTTAAATAATTTGTTCGCACCTGCATTACTTTTACCCTTGAATCGAACAAATGTAACCAAAATTATAATTAATATAACTTTGTGAGTTAGGCAATATAAAGATGCAGTCACGCTTAAGACGTGGCTAAAGACAAAGTCCCAATTGTTTAATTGCTCACAAACTGAATACTTTATTAACGAAACATAGAAACATAATCCAAAAGGGGAGGAAGCTGCAGCTCTTATTAGACACACTCGCTATGTATTCTGAAACAATTTACAGAACATTATCTATCGGATGCATTAATAGCAGGAGCAAACAAACCTTCAATGACGATGAACTGGCTTTCGCGGGAGGACGTCTGATGTGAATGTTGTCCGTGCTTCTTGGCTTTATCTGTGGTTCGAAGGAGTAGGTTTTTACGAAACTATTTAACCAACGGAAGCACTGACTTACGATGCACTGTAATAATCCGATCTGTTTGACCCATCGCGTTCTTTGCCCTGCATTTGTACTCCCCAAAGTCCCGCTTTGTAATCGGACGCAAGGTGATCCGCATCACAACCCGGTAAACATGGTCCACACTCACGGACTCGTAGGAACCTCCTTGCAGCAACTCGGAGTCCCTCAGCCAGAAGTTAACCGAAGCCGGTTGCGATTCTGTGATGCACTCCAGCGTCAGTTTCTGGCCCAGACCCACGTAGATGGTGTCGTATCTCGTCCAGATTGTAGGAGCAACTGCAACAGGTAGAGTTAATTTAAATATTTAAGACGGAACTTAACAGATGTTTGTATACTACAAAATCACTTACAGTTCACCACCAGCATGACGCGTTTGCTCACTGTGGGTGGCACTCCGTTGGAGGCGATGCAGAGATAGGCGCCCATGTGGGCGCGTTGCACCTGCCACAGGGTGAGATTCTGACCCTCCACGCTGTACAACTCCGGGTCGCCATCATCCCCAAGCAGGAGCGGAGCGTTTTCCTCGCGTCGCCAAGTGATGGTTGGCAAGGGAACACCTGTTGCACTGCAAGTGAGCGTCACATTCTGTCCGGAGGAGCGAACCACATCCTGGCTGGTCTGGTAGTCCACGATGTCGGGTGGCACCACCACGTCCAGATAGCCCATTTGGCTCTTCATAGGATCTGTGTTGATTTGGCACATGTACCTTGAAAATTGAAAGTTTTGGATATTGTAATAAATTCTTCTATTCGTACTATGACTTTTTTGATAAACACAGCCATTACATGGCGAGTATATATAATTGTTGAACTATTATTAAGTATTGGTGGATTATCAAAAAAATTTTCCCTTTCATAACGAAAATTCGAAAAAAAAAAAAAAAATCAGCACCTAATGGTAAATTTTTGGTATCCAATAGGATTAGTCGAGAGTCAGCTTGTTATACAGACTAACTAAGTGAGAAACATTTATTAAGAATCTCATCTTAACAAATAGATCTTAACGTATGCTTTAAAAAAGATATGTTCAGTGCAGAACTGAATAACTCAAAAAACTATTTGATGAGCTCGGACATAAGTTAATTTAGTCGAGCTATTTTAAGAAAGCATTGGCATATCTATAAACTCATCCTTAATGTTTTTAATAACAAAACTGAGGGAATCAATAGAGTTCATTTAGACAAATAATTTCTTCCTAAAGTAATACAAATCTTAAAAACTTTTTAGTCCTTTTCAAAGGGTTGAAGGCCCACAACTGCATTGTGATAATCGTCGAATGTGCAAATGGTTTTTGTATTTAGCAAATAATAAATTATATATCTTAAGGTTTTGTAGAGAAACAACAATACAACTCACCATCCGCGATCCGATTCCTGGACATCGCGTATTTTCAGCTGCCAGATTCGATGCTCCGTGTGGGAGATGGCGATCCGATGGTTCTTGGTGATGACGTGGTTCTGGATGCTCAGGATGGTCTGCGTGTCCACTCGCAACCAGGCCACCTTGAAGCTAAAGAGGTCGTGGACAACGCACGTGAGCAGACCATCGCGTCCCACGGGAACTGTTGCGTTGTTGATGGGACCGCTGAACTTGGGATCCGCTGGAAAGGAAGCCCAATTGGATGACATTTATGACTTTCATCATTAGGGCGCTAAATGGGGCGGACTGAAAACAACTGGTGGGTGGTTTATGATGCTTGCAAATGCTAGACACTGACATTTGCTCTGTTCCCATTCGAAGGAACTCAGGCGCAAGCATTTAATTCAATTAAAAAACTTGAATGGATGTTATTTTCGGCAGGCCAAAGTTTGTATACTCTTACAGTTAGATAAAACAAACAAACATAAATAATAAACTATAATAATTGCCGTTATAACGTTTAAATACGACTTTGGCATCTATTTAATACAACCAATGGTTAAAAATATTATATTCAAAACATATACATATTAAAACCAATGATTTGCAATTTTTAGGAAAACTAATTGGTATTTCAAAAGACTATACTCTAAACAAACAAGCTATGATTTTTAATGAGTGTCGAATTAAATATTCGAATTTGATCTGATTAAAGTTTTTAAAAAGGGTTGGGAAACTAAAAATCGAAATTTTGAACTAAGCACGCAAACGGTAAAGAACTGACTGACTTGGCGAAATATATTCGCATAGTGCTGCTGATATATGTATATACTTTATAGGGTAAGCAAAATCCTATTGCATTACAAAAAAAAAACGTTTTTTTATGTGTGCCGTATTTACTTTGGCTGTTCTAATCCACAATTATCAGGATAATTATTCCATTTCTTTTTCTCACACATTTATGCGTGTGTCTGCAGAATGTCAACAGCCTAAAAAGAAAATGCTCAGCAGTTGCCAGATGGCTCGCCTAAAATGGTCAACAATTTTTAAAATTGTTCAGCGGTCATAAATTTGTTGAGGTTAACATTAAGCCGAGACAGCAGCAAATAATCCAACAATTAGGCAAATTAACTGTTTATTGGGGATGGGAGATAATTTTGAAAAGAAGACTTTTTTAGATGGAGTGTATAAAATAAACCCATTTTCTTTTGACTTAAAAATTTGTTGTACCTTAAATACATCTACTAAAAATGTACACATATGATTTATTTTATTTTATTTTAGCTACAAACTTTTCTACAATGAATGTACCGTGTTAAGTTAAAAACAAACTAAGAAGGCTACTAATAGACTCACAAAATATATATCAATGCAAATCGGCAATTGGAACTTAACTTAGAGCTTTAACCTCTCCTTCTAGGATTACTTAGCCCAACTATTTTGAAATTTCGATCTGGGTAGCATATTACTCTAAAGAGTAAGTTATTAAAATAACCCTTTCAACTTCACTCAAGGTGTTCTTTTCCGGCGACTCGAGTCCCATCGCAATCATTTCCAGTCAAGCTGGCCAACCGCAAGACTTCGACATTTGCCGTCAGCCAACTTAACCACCAGAGTTCCGACCGCAGAGGCGACCCCAGACCATTGCAAACACAACAATTGGAAAGGGGGCGGGAAAATGGAGAATGGAAAAATCACATCACATGCCTAACAAGTAGCACGACTTTGCGGCCAGGAGACGAGGACTCGTTCTCGTTCTCGTTGTGGGTCTCCGTCTCGGTCTGGAACACCCCTCCCATCAGACGGCAAATACCTAAATTACAATTATGACCAAATAATAACCCGAAAAAATGCAAAAATCTAATAGAGCGGTGTGGGCAGGTGCTGGTACCTGGAAAATTGTAAAAAGCTGGCTACACCTTCGCAGTGATTGCGTTGCGGTGTGGGCGTGTTTCCACCAAACTAGCTTCAAATTGGGGGCCTACGACGCCATGCCATATAGCCTATAATTTGCGATTATGTTTTCGGGCCTGGGTCTGGGCAAAGTGGGGTGTTTTGGGTCCGAGTCGCGGCGGCACCTTCGTCCTTTTAAATGCGGGATTCGCCATTGTTCGACTGCTTTCAGTTGATACGGTTCCTGTTTCGGTTTCTGTTGTTATTGCAACCTGGCTATTGCATGTTTGCATATTGAAACATTCCGAAGAAAGGGACGAGCGAGACTTTTCAAACCATAAAACACATCATATTTGCACTGGGAAAAAAGGATCAAGTCTTTTTGAGTAGGAAAATTTTCTATTTAAAATTATTTTGAAAGTAAACTACTACTACTCAGTAAATCTATAAATCGCTATTTGCAAGACCCTTTTTATACTTTGTTATTAAATTACCAAGTAAGTATGGATGATATTTAATATTCGAAACGAATAAAACGAAATAAAGATTATCTTCAATCCCCCTTTGCGATTTTCGCATTTTGTTCAGTGCATCTAGGGACTTTTTTTTTACACATTTTATACCTTCATTTATGTCTGCAAGGTAATGTTGTTTCGCATTTAACTTTTCCCCCCCTACACGCCTTAGTTGTAGGCGCCTTTTATAGAGGAAATTGACTATGAGTTTAAATGTATTCCTGTTTTCTTGCACGATTTGTATCGCCAAGCGAAGGCTTAAGCCGTAATTTCCCCGTGAAGTCCCTGCAAATCCGGCAGAGTCCTTTCCCCACGCCGTTGAACTTGAAACGGAAAGTGAATGTCCTGTCCCCCGTTAGACACTCCAACTGTCTGCCGGCGAGTGCAGGCGAAAGGAATCACAATCAGCACGCAATGTCTGCCAAAAAAAGATGGGAAATAACCCACTGCAGTGGCCGTAATACCACCGTAACACCCCCTCCGCACCACTCGCACCAGAAACCCGGCACTTCAGCGGCAGAAACCACCAGCCACGAATAGAAAAATGAAAATAACGCAGAGTGCAATGGGAAGTGGGAAAATGTCGCCTTTCCGCGACTGTCTGTCTGCAGCCCGCTGTGCAGCGGGTGGTGGTAAGTGGGTGGTGCTGGGTTGGCTGGTAATGGGAATGGGGATGGAGATGGGGCTGGGAGTGGTGCAGATCCCATCACTCCTTTGAGCCACCTCTCACTTTCTTATCGCACGCTGCGGCCAGCCTGCCAATATTTATGTTTATTTTGCATTTGGCACATTGATTTAAACAACAAAATTCGAGTTTTGATATATTTATCGCACTTGGCTCGCCAAAGTCAAGGAAAATTTGTTTTGTTTTTGCCGACCATTTTCGCCGGCGGAAGTTGCCCCTCGTTACTCTTCCGCAGTCCTCCTCCGGAAACCCCCCGCCTCCTGTCTGGGGAACATGTTGGCCACAGTTTATTCACTTATGGACTCGTCGGACTTCCGATTACCAGCCGCCTTCCATTCGATCCTCTGCTGCTGGTATTCAAAACGCTTTTCGTTAGCACTTGGACCCCTGATAGCTCGCGGACAATTAGCCCTGCATTTTCCGAGCCATATTTCGTGTTGACGGGAACAGGAGTTTAGCTTGTAGACAGCTTGGAATGCAGTTGTTCAAGTTGACGGTGCTCTTGGGCCAATATTTTTTAAATTACAATAATTTACTTCATTTGGTCCAATTGCTAATCACATTTAATATTTCATTGAATTGATGAAACAACAAGCATTACTCTAAATATTTTGATTCATTTTACTCGAGAATAAATAAATCAATTAATAAATCAAGAATTAATATTATTTTTATTAAAGGCATACCTTAAAAAAAATAATTTTAATTTTATGTGTGATATCTTTAAATATCTATAAGGCAAATAATTTAAATAGTTAGTTTGAGAGTTGCAGAGATTTGTTGAAATTTAACGCGTTAATTGGTCACTTTCTATTTGGTTTTAAAGGTTAAGAATTTCTTTAAGCTCGACTTACAATTATTTAACTCCGAGAAGCTGGCCCGACTTAAACAGAGACACTGCATCAGCAGCAGCCAAGTGCCAGGGAAACCCCTTCTCATATTCCGAATTCAACCGCGGCCAAAGTGCGAAACTTTTAAATAGTGTTTTCCCCCGTTTTTTTTATATATTGCCACTTTCACTGGCCAAATAGCCCAAGTTGTGCTTCCGCTGCACTAGCGCAAATTTATTTTTTCCGGTTTTTGGCCAAAGTTTTGCGCCGATTGCCGGGGACAGACGTCCGCACACTATAACAACTGGCCGCGAACTGCGAGCTGATAATCAACTGTCAAAATTCATATTCAAAATTCAAATGCTGCCCGGCGAGGTGGTGGCGTTGCGCATGTGTCCTGCGGCTTTCCGAGGTGGCAGGATGGCTGGGTGGCTTGTTGGGTGGATGGTTGGGTGGGGTATTGGCCAGTAGTCAAGGTGCCCCGCAGCCAAAGGCGACGAGGTGTGCAATAGTAAATGTTTCATTCATAAAGCGCCCGGCGTAACATTTTCGTATGCACGTGACGGCATTGCTCATATGGCAGAGGACATGTCGTCGAGCGAAAGTGACACATCATTGGCGTTTCAATACACCCATCTCTCATCTCCCATCTCCCTGCCAACTCCAATCACCCAACTCCCCCGATACCATTCTAATTAACCCCGAAATTCCGCCCCTTCCCCGATAAACTTTCACCTGTCTTCGCATCCTTCGGCTTTCAGTTCCTCTGCTGCGTTCGCACTTTTCCGAGTGGCGCGGTTTGCATGTGTGAGCTTTTTAATAAGTTGGCAATAAGTTCGCCTCGCTGTTTGCGCACAATTAGCGCTTTTCAATGGCGATAACAATAATGATAATAAGCAAGGAGAATTTGCCTGATTGTTGGTCCCTCCAAGGAGCATCTTTTGCTGGCACATGCAAGTTTCACTTGCCGTGTTTACTCCTTATAAGACCGGACCTTTTTTGAATTGTTTTTCTTTTCTTGGCGGGTTTTAAGCATACATATTTATGCATATATAAGGGTTATGCTGTTTATAACTTATCAAGTACCAACTATTGGTTGGGATCTCTTAAAATAAAAGATTTACTTTGTTTAGTCGAGTGCCTCAAATACAAATACCAGTTTCTCAGAACAGTAAGTCAATTAGGCCCGGTCACTTTTTGAAAACTTCTTTCCCATCGCTATAATATGCATGCTCAATTCTGATATAATTGATAAGCTCTTAAATTGTTTAGGATATCGAAGTTTTGGACATTAGAGGCCATGTGGCACAAATCTCGAGATGTCGACGTTTTACGTGCAGACGGATCTTTTTAAGAATATTTATGTATATTAAACGGGGTCGTAATCGCTTCTTACTCCTATTACTTACATTTCATTAAACAAGGTATCCGAATAACAGTTATAAGTACAAAAACCAATTCAAAAGACGAAGATATGCCAAAAAACCGAAGATGTGCAATAAAAAAAAGCGAAGATATGCAATAATTACTTCGTCAATTTGTATTATATGAATATCTCATGCTTAGTTTAGTCTATTTTAAGTGAGTAATTATGACTGACCTACTTAAAATAAAAGAAAGAAAGCTTGCAGAAATCAAATATGTCGAACAAAATTTTATACAGTCGGCCGATTTTGATGAAATTTAACTCGAAATTCAAGAGACGTTAAAAAACTCCAAATTCGTTTACGTCGGATAGATGGCCAGATGGACAGACGTATTTCGATTCAGATCGTGATGCTGATCAAGAATGTATATACTTTATGGGGTCTCCTTCACTGCGTTGCAAGCTTCTGACTGAAATTATAATACCCTCTGCAAGAGTATAAACAACGACACCTTACAGGTTCTTAAATCGATAGATTTTCCATATCGTACTTGAATTTATTTAATTTCTTTGCTATTGTTCGTTTGCAATTTCATTTTATAAATAAAATTTTGTTTTTGAAGTGCATAGTATGTAATACTATTGGGATATACAACCTAATGATCTAGGCGAAGGGGTATCAATTTTATTATTTATAATTTTTTTTTTTTTGGGAGAGTTAGAGTTTTTACTTTTTTTCATGAAAAATCACTAAACATTGCTGTTTTTTATAAAACAGTTGCCCAGCCAATTAAAATCAAAAATGCGTTATTTGGTGGATGAATCGGATAAATAAAGAGGTGGCTTGTCTAACTTGACAGAAAGTGTTGGAAACGATGTTGTGGCTGAGAAGGTTCAAAGCACGGAAAAGCTTGTACAAAGCAAATACCACAACCTTACAGATAATGTGGTGGAATTGCAGACATGGTGGTAGAGTTAACGACTAAGCTACCGAAATCGTGTCACTCAAAATCAAAAGCAATATTTCAACGTCAAAGAATTTGAATAAATCGAAACAGAGTTCTTTTTTTTGACATCCGGTTGCTGATCAAAGAAAATACCCCCAAAATGGCACCCAGGAAGGCTAAAGTCCAAAAGGAGGACGTCCAGGTTCAGCTCGGACCCCAAGTTCGCGACGGAGAGGTTGTATTCGGAGTGGCCCACATTTACGCCAGCTTCAACGACACCTTCGTGCATGTTACGGATCTGTCCGGCCGTGAAACAATTGCCCGTGTTACCGGAGGCATGAAGGTCAAGGCCGATCGTGACGAGGCTTCGCCCTACGCCGCTATGTTGGCTGCTCAGGATGTGGCCGAGAAGTGCAAGACCCTGGGCATTACTGCTTTGCACATCAAGCTGCGTGCTACCGGAGGCAACAAGACCAAGACCCCTGGACCCGGTGCCCAGTCCGCTCTGCGAGCCCTGGCCCGTTCTTCAATGAAGATTGGCCGCATCGAAGACGTGACTCCCATCCCATCGGACTCCACCCGCAGGAAGGGCGGTCGCCGCGGTCGTCGTCTGTAAATGTCTGAATCTGGAGAGCAGGAGTTGGTCAAAATACAGCATTTGCGTATGATGGCATACACATACACATACATAGGTGTACTGTCATAAACCAGGAATATATAATTAGTGATGCCCCATCCTTGCTCTAAAATAAATGTGTACCCTTAACTTTAAGATTTGCACATAATTAAACAAGTAATTGTTTTTGCGATTTAATAAATGAATTTTAAATTAAGTGTTGCTTAAAAATTATTTAAATTATTTAAAGGGTATTCAAGGTTTGTCTTGCCGAAGTAAGCTTTTGTATTTGTAATTGCATGCTATGCTATATTTTAATTTGCCGATTATCTGAATTCTAAAAACGCCTAGCGAATGAACCGTTTACTATTTTTAAAGTAGTTTTGAGTGTAGCTGAATATTGTTTAATTTTATGAACAACATTATTTCAAATGTTGTTTCCCGTTGCAATAAATCTAATTTTAATATTTTCTTTTGTGTTTTGTGAAAAGAAAAACGAAACTAATGAACCCGGTGAACGAATCTACACAAATTCCATTAGGGCCCTCTCAGAACTTCGGGAGGTTGAGAATTCCTACATGGAGCACTTGAACAACTACGTTGGCGCTCTGCAACGAAAAGTAAAAGCTCTACAAGTGTATGGTTTTCTTAGTTTTTCCCAAAACCCTGATAACGACAGAAGAACTTTTTATCAGGTTGATAGACTCCGCAACTCATGACAATCTTAAAAGTAAGGCTGATCGCATTCGATATGTTTCCAATCCCCTGAACTCCCTTGCACTGGTGAGACGAGCCCATCAAGATTGGCCCAAGTGGATGGCTTACATCAGGGATCAAGAAATGGCGAAAGGTAAGAAAAAAACACCTTTACATTAAGGTACGATAAATATATAAATCTCCTTGCAGTTGATATTAAGGATATGAATAAATTTGTGAATCTTACGCCCAACGCGGAGGATATGCAAGAGGCCTTGCTGGGAATGGATAGAATAGAGCACTTCTACGACCTGAAGTCCTCTGATATGGCAAAGGGTCTTGTGGCAGGCCAACAACTGCAGTAAGAGTATCCCATTAACCTTGTTATAACATTCTCAACTGAAAAGGGTAATCTCATAGAACTCGAATGTCAGCTCCAGATTTAAAAGCATTAGCAGACTATATGTACAATCAATCTGAATATAGACGCGCAGCCCAGTGGTACCGACTAGCTCTAGGAGCTATTACCAATCCCAAGAACAAGATTTCTTTCAAAATCTATGAACCAAAACAAGAGGATATCAAAAAAATGTTTGTAATAAGTCGGCTTCACGAAGGTGAGTATGCTGAATTAAAGGAAGGTTTACTGTATCTTAATCGTTTCCAAAGATAATTCATTATAAAAGTTCAGTCTCCTTTTATATACTTATTTATGTTTCCCCAACCATAGGATCTATCGACAATTTACCCGACTACATCAGGGAACTCTCCAAAGATCCACAGATTCCTCTGGTTCATTTGAGGCCAAAACCACCTCCCACTAGGGTCGAACTAGGATGCAGAGGAATGTTTCCGCCAGGACCTCAATTGGTATGTCGCTACAATACCACCGCGTCGCCATTTATGAGATTGGCTCCGCTGAAACAAGAGGAGATCAGCAGGAACCCGCTCATCTGGTTGTATCACGACGTGATCTTCGACAGTGAGATCGCGCAACTGACTAACAACTTGACTCGAGACGAGATGATCCAGGGCTACCCTGATAAGTATAGAGCTACGGAGAAGCCTTACCGCCTCTTTCACGCCAAAGTCACCGACGACGATGGGAGCAAGTTGGACAAGACCCTGGTGAACCGCATGGCGGATATATCCGGTCTGGATGTCGGCAATGCGACCTCATTGGCCAGAGTCAACTACGGACTGGGCAGCTACTTCCATGAGCATGGCGATTACACAGACATCAAGCTTCATCCGGCAAGTAACCTGTTTTTAAAATAGGTGTACAATCGGTTTTAAACATCTAATATCGATAAATCCCACAAACTAGGAACTTACGGAGGAGGGTGATCGATTGATGACATTTTTGTTCTATGTAAGTACACTGTTTTTACCCTTTCTGGTGGTATTATAATTTTATCAGATGTTTCTACCTCAGAGAAGTATCAAGTATAAGCATATATCCCTCGGCTTGCCAAAGATCGTTTTACTTCTTTTAGATATTAAATATCCTATTAAAGCGTACGCACTAAAAACTAAAGTATCTTCCCATTTAATATAAAAATTAAATTTACAAAAACTATTTTCTTTAAAAAGTTTTAGTATTACACTTCGTGTAGCAACCAAAACATTTATAAAAAACTGAATTAATTTGTGCAACATTACCATGCTGCTTTTTCCTATACTCCTCCTTTGTACATATCATATTTGAGAGATTTTTAAATTTTCCGACTATTTTTCATAGATGACCGACGTCCCGGTTGGCGGTGCCACTCTTTTTCCAGGAGCCAATCTCGCCATCCAGCCGAGAAAGGGATCCGCGTTGTTCTGGTACAATCTGCACAATGATGGCGAACCGAATACGCTGACCAAACACGCTGTTTGTCCCATGATCTTGGGCAACCGATGGGGTAAGTTTAAACCAAGATCTCTAGTTATTTTCTAAACTTATTTTTTTGCATTGTGTAGTTTTGGTAAAGAGCATGTTGTACTACGATCAGATGTTTAAGAAGCCCTGTTACAAGTAAATAAATAAATAAAACCCATTATGTTTTAAAAGCTACACAAATAGTTTTAATAGTTGCTTCTAAATTATGTTGTAATAAGCTAATAATAAGTCTAATTAGCATAAGCGGCTTAAAATTAAGAATCCTAGAGATAAATTTAAAAGTACTTCCTAAGTCGATTATAAATGCTAGCCAATTAATGAGGAGCCACAATATGAGCCACTGGCTGGGTCGTTAGTTTAAATTTCAGTTCGATGGTTGAAAAACCCCCTCAATTCACGTCTTCCTTGCCACTTGATTTCGATGTCTTGATGGGTGGCACATAAAACCACCAGGCGCAGGAAAAGAAGATGACTGAGCCCAGTTTGCAGATCAACGCCAATAGCCACATGTATCTGTAAGAATAGTTTAAGTGATGGTTATTTTTCAGGGAAATGCCACACTTCTTGTCTTACCTGCTGATATAGAAATTGTCGTAGACGAGGCAAGCTCCTCCTGCATCATTGTCGCAGGACTCCTGCCACAAAATGCACGACTCGTCGATCAGGGCTCCAAAGATCAGTGGAGCAGGAATGGTGCCCAGCAGTCGAACCTTTATCCACTGCAGGCCCAGAGCAAAGGATCGCTGCTCATCCTGAACACATCTGCAAGAGATACATATTTATGAAAGTAAATTCGGGCTGAAATACCTCGTTTTTCAGCGTACTAAAAACTGGTATTTCTTTGTAATGTGCTGATTAATTCTATGAACTGGAAGGTCATGTTTAAGCAAGGTTAATAGAAAAATTGTTGTCCCCATTTTGCAATTCTTTACCGTGCATTTACTTTACTAAAATGTTAATGTATTCTGACAGAAAGATGTTTAACCAATTGTACATCTTGAGGTTAGAAAAGCAAATAATAGAATGGGTCTTGTAAAAATGATGATCAAGATCACTTATTCAGTTTCTATTGCTTATGGTTTTAGTTTTTTTTAGCATTCCCCAGATTACGTTTACTGCTATTAAATGCTGTTAACTTTTAAAATTATTATGTAACTCTGAGGTCCTCTTCGGAAGTCCTGCCAAAGAGGTCAAACTTTAAATCTTGTTTAAATTAAGTAGTAGTAGTTGAGGATAAGGAGTACCAGACCTCAAAACTTACCTCAGAGTCGCCGACAAGGCCGGCATTGTGGCGAGGAAGGTGAAGACCATCAGGACGAAGCAGAGGGCCACGAAGAGCGGCAGGGTGCGGCAGGTGGAGTCGCACTTGAGGTTGGTGGCATCCGGGGAGGGAACTGCCTCGTCCACCAAGCCCACGCCCGTGATGCAGCTGCAGTTGTGGTAGCGCTTTAGGCTGTCCACGTGCTCCTCCTGGACGCATCCTGCGAGGCAGGGACTGAAGTACATGACGCCGTCGATGCCGCAGATGGGATCGTAGTTCGTGCGGCTGCAGCCGCAGTTGGAGTTGCATGCCGCCTCCAAGGCTGGTAATTCGGTCCGGGTGGCCAAGTTGTATCCCGTGGTGACGCCAGCGAACTTCGGGTTCGGACACGAGACCAGGAAACAGGTGGTGAAGAGGGCCGCCACCACGGTGGCCATCAGGCACATCTTGATGATGCCGCTGCAGGCGAGGTTCCACTTCTTCACCAAGTAGCCGCCGAGGAAGGTGCCGCCTCCGCCCGCGGGAACCGTGATCAGACCCATCACCAAGGCGGAGTACATCGGCGAGATGCTGAACTGGTTCTCGATCTGCTTGGGCAGGAAGGCGGCGAACCCGGCTATCACCAGGCCCTCGGTAGCCCCGGCCAAATTGAGGAAGAAGAAGGTGGGGTTTCCCAGCAGACTGAGCACCGCGCGGGGCAGCTCCGCCAGTCCCTTGGCCACTTCTCCGGACTCCGTCGCCTCCGCTCCGGTGGCATGCGCCTCGGAAACCCTCTCCAGCTGCAGCTTCTCCGCCCCGGGAAGCACCCTTGGGTAGCCGAAGATGGGCAGCGCTATCAGGAGGCACATGCCAGCCGCGAAGATGAAGCCCAGCCACCAGGCTCCAATCCACACCTTGCTGTCGCTCGTCAGGCTGAGTCTGCAAGGGTAAAGGTTAATAAGCTGAGAATGTTTACAGGGCCTGTAGTTACTCTTAAGTCAAAAGGCCTACAAAAATATTAACTTCATTATTGGATAGCTAAAAAAAAAATTCAGACTTATTCCTAACTAAGTTTTATTAAATATTCTTCAAACCGAAAAACGACTTTGTTCGGTTCATGTATAAACGGTATGAACTTACTTACTAAATAATCGGAAAGGAAATCGTTTTTATTAGTAACTATGTTTTAGTTTATATTACTCCACCAGTGAATTAATTTGTTTGTATTTAAAAAGGAAAATCATCTTAGATATTGGATAATGTGAAATATAAATCGGATTTATTCCTTTTACGACCTCTAGCATTTCTGTTTAATTTTTAACTAAGAATTATGAATTATTCTTCATCCAGCGAATACATTTTATTGTTGGTACTGCAAAATTTTTCAAAATAATAATTAAAACAGATTAATTACAAATTCGTTATTAATACGGATAAAGTGGATCACAAATTGAAACTCAAAACTAAACAGTATCAGATTTTTTTGGCTAACTGAAACTGGAGTTAATATATTTCGCTGAGTAAACTCGTTCAGCAGCGGCTACGAAAGGTCGCAAAAAGTATTTGTTTAGCCCCAGCCACTCGTAAAGAGCTCCAAAATCATAAACACAATTTTCATGTTCTCGACATAATTTACGAACCGAGGGGATGGGTTCGGGCAGACGTGGTGACTTATGGCATCACCTTGACAATAAGCCATGCGGTGGTATCCAGGCGGACTCGCCTCGGATGCAGATGGCTTTCTGCCCCGGAAAGCGGCGAAGGTCTCCGCAAACCTGCTCCTCCTCCTTCCCCATCCATATGGCCACCGAGGAGGTGAATCAAACAAATGCTCATTCTCATTCGCACCTTATTTCCTCGTTGTCAGCGGGAATGTTGTTTTATTACTCTCTGGAGATATTTACACGGCGCGCTGCTTTGTGGCATTTTCCGTTGCCGGGTTACAAATAAGCTCCCCAGCATTCCGCCCCTTTTCCGCCACTTTTCCGACCTTTTCCCCCCTCGCTGAACGGAGTTAAAGCCACCTGCCCTTTATCTCCATCACCGTCAGCAGCTCGGCACCCACGCACTAAGTCGCGCGATTAATAACAATCATACGTATAGCTACGGCCGGATTATCGGATGCACTTACTGGACCGGGTCCACGCTCATCCAGTCCGTGTAGATGAGCAGCAGTTGTCCACCAAGAACGTAGCCAATCGCGGGTCCAACGGTGGCCATGGTGTAGTAGATGCCTGCGGAAACCGAACATTTTATTGGGATGCTATAAAACAGTCATTAAAACAAATTTCGGCAAATGCCAAAATATATCTGTATCTCTATTTGCATGGTAAAGCTCTTACATGCGGCTTTCCTTCTCTTGTGGAATACACTTTCCAAATGACAACCCTATATCTTTTATAATTGATTTGTAGGAAAAGCGTTCATATTACTAAAATTCTTATTAACTTTTAATTGGTAGGAGAAGTTCTATAATTGTCAAAACGAATATTTGTATAATTTCAAAGTTGAACCTAATTTGTATTTCAAGACAAGAGCGACACTAGAAATGAAGTCAGAATTAAAGTTGTTTATTACCTGCTCTATTTGAAGTCATATAATATTAAATAGCAATCAATCTTTCCGTTAAAAGTATCCTTATTTTGGAATAATTACACGTTCTTATTGCTGAAAACGATTAAAGGTTTCAACCAGTCGCTTCGCGGATTCTGCATTTATTTGTTTATCTCCGAGACGCACCGTGCAATCATTTCCCGGGGATGAACCCACCAGCCGAAGGGAGCCCCAAAACAGAGCCAAACTCCCGGGAAGAAGCGAGTTTCAATTGTCTCAGAGCCAGACAGCGATATCCAAAGCGGCGATGCTGGACGGGCTTGATAATTTCGCAGTCGTCTTCGGATGGCCCGATAAACCTAACTAAGAGGCAATAAATTTCAGCTGCCGCTGGCTCTCCCCAGTCTCCCCGGGTCGCGACTGAGTCAGCAACAATCTGGCTCTTTAAAATTGGGTCACCGGGGGGAAGGAAGCCTTCCGACACGAGACACTAGACACTAGACCCAATCCCCCGGCAGGATTCGGAGCTTGGGGGCTTTGGAGCGCAAACAGTAAATAGTATTCGCTCCCTTTGTAGCCTGCCAATAGGGCGAATAAAAATAAATATGCATGTGTGAGCGCAACTAGCAGATACTTTGATATCGAATGAGGAGCGAATCCCCGCCAGAAGTGCGGGTATTTGTGCATACTTCATTTGTTGTGCGACTGCCGCAGACAAAAGTTTGTGCGCGCCTTATCAACGATTGCGCCGCTTGCAACTTACCCAAGTAAACAGACGACATCTTCTTTGAGACGTTCTCATCGATGTAGGTGACGCCCAGCGTGAAGAGGGGCGAGGCTCCGGCTCCGTGGAGCAGTTGGGCGCCCAGGAACAGCCAGACCGTCCAGGTCAGGCTCTCCCCCCCTTCTCCCGAAGCTCCCGCTTCGCAGGCGGTCTGCAAAGGAATATGGTTGATGGGTGTTAGAAGGGCTGAAAGGAATCTCTTTTGAATTAGGTAAGAATCAACCCACCATTGACTGGCTGGAGTTGGATTGTGATCCGGCGGAATCGCACACATTCCCCTCGGCGATGGTGGCTCGGTAGTGGCCCACCAGGAAGTTCGGCAGCAGGAAGACCAGCGATCCCAATCCCATCACGATCAGCCCGACGGCGATGAAGCGCGGCTTGGAGGCCCCTCGTCGTCCGCCGTAGTAGGTGACCGGCACCAGGCAGGCGAAGGAGGCCAGGTCGTAGCCGCTGGCCACCAAACCCATCTGCCGCGAGCGCAGCCCGAAGCGCCGCTCGATTGTCGAGATGGACACGTTGATCAGACCGTTCACTATTAGACCTGTAACATAAGGGGGTTTTAAAAGACATGTAGTAGATAGATATGTCTCCAAAAACATCCTTCAAAATACATATCTCTCATCTATAAAGAAAAATTCGAAACCCTTCACCAATTACAAATGTAGCCAGCTTTTAGGGGATATCAAACTTGTCAATCTACACTTTAATTAAAAGTAAAGCAAATTCAGAAACCACTTTACAAAACATTTTTTTTTAATTAGAAAATCTATATTTTACTAAACATTTTTAAACCTCAAAGGACCTTAAAAGCGTTGATTTTTGTGCAACTATTAAGGTACTAACATTACTTATAAAAGAAGGTTTTCAAAATTTATCTGCAAGAGATTACGGGATTACAGCTTGCCTACCAAGTAAAAAAAAAGATTAAATTTAAACTTAACATAATTTGACTAAGAATTAATATAATAAGATTTGATTATAATTTTACTTAATTCTTCACTTAAGAATCAGCGTTTGCGTCAAAGGATCATCCCCCCGTCGAGGGTAAAAACACGGTTTCGTTTCTCCAGTCAAGACCTTCAACAGATTGTCAAACAATTCACGGTTGTGGAAAGGGAAAAGAGGGCGGAAGACAGTCCTCTTGGTGATGGAGGGGGTTGAGCCAAGTGGCACGGGGCGGGCCATAAATTAAATATCTGTACGACAAATTGATTTTGAGGGCTTAGGCGAGTTTTCTATCATAAATAAATATGTTAGTTCTGGGACCGCCCTTCCAACCTCCAGTGCCATTGTTGCATAGAGTATTTCCTTTTTTCTACGACGAATTCAATTTATTTTTCAATAATCGCCTGAAAGAAGAGCTCTCCTGGTCATCTTTGGTTAGAAAGGTGATAGAAACCCTCACAAGAGGGCGGGAAAATTTAGTGCCAGTGTGGGGGAACACTTACAAGTCATTTACCCCACTAAGTGCAATAATTTAATATGTCCCGATGGAAACCTTGAGACGGGGGAGCTGCTGCTCCGGAGTGGGAGGGAGGGGTGTGTGACCTTTGGCTCCAAGTTGGGAGTGAAGTGTAAACGGCTGCACTGGATACGTGACAATCTGCGATTTAGCATGTGCATCGATTGCAGTGTCTTCGGTTTTGGAAGAGGAGGAGGGAGTGCTCATATTTAAACTGTTTGCCTAATTAGCAGTAGAGATACAATATACCACATAAGTTAAATTAGATAATATTAAGACTTATTAAAGGACATATAGTTGAATATACAAATATTATTATATATAATACAAAATAATTCTGTTATATTTAATATAATTAATTTCTTTTCAAATATAGTTCTTCTTCTTAGATTACATGAATTATATTAAGTCAAATTCATCTTGTTTAGTTATTTAATACACCAATGTTATTGAAATGTAAAAACAACCAATTCCATTTGTAATCTTAAAAGACCTATGCCACTTTTTGGGATAATCTCTTTGCTCCAGAAATTCACATGCTCACATACATATGTTTCAATCACTCCCATTTCTAAAAATCGGATATTAGTTATTCGGGCAAATATGCTGCAGCCACAGATCCAGAAGAAACGACAATAAACCATTTGAATTGTATGCACGGCGAGAGCGGAACGCGGCAATCCGAAATTGTTGCGGATGATTTATGTTAATGCCGTGTCAACTGATTAATATTTTCGGTCACGTGCCGCCCGTCCGGAGTGGGATCCGTAAGCCGAGCCACGGGGAGAGGAAGGCCATCTCTGCGTCACCCACATCCAACCGGAAGTGTTCGAAGGCGAAGTCGAGGGTCAGTCGAAGGCGGAAGCGACGGCCATCCAGCAGCCAAGTGCAACAGATGCCAGCAGGCCATTCGAGCTGCAAGAACTGCATGGAGTCAGGCCTCTGGACTATGGACTCTGGACACTGGACTCAGTTGGCTTACACACGGCACACGGCCAAGGCATAAATCCTGGCAATGAAACCCAGAAACTCTGAAAGAGATGCTGCCGTGAATTCCTCCCATAGTGATCGTGGTATAGCAATTATTTTAAATTTGTGTTTTTAAAACAAAATGTACATTTTTTATAGAAAAACTTAAAGGACAGTCTTGCCGCTTTATTTTAATAATTTATTTTAGTAAATTAAACTCACCGTCGGCATACAGCTAATTAGCAAATGTTTATTAAGCTTACTGTAAACCTTAAATCTTAAAACAATTTCTGTACTTTCAATTACGCGTACTTTTAATGAAAACAATATTTTAGTCCGATTTGAAGTAAAATTAGATTCAAGCTAATCCCTGCGATTAAGCTAAACTGCGATTAATGAAAATATTTTTTTTTAGTTTTTTATGGTTTTTGTTTACATTTTTATTTTTAAACTTTACATAATGAAACTCGCGTTAAAACACTTGAGAGGTGGAAGTGCATGACAACGTTTATAAATCTACACAATTTTTTTCGCATTTTGAATTAGTAATATTATAAAAAGTTTATTTTTGAGCGGGTGCAATATTTTTCCGTGTTACGCCAATATTAATAAATTAATTGTTTTATTTAAGCGGAAATTGGGCGGTGACTTGACTAGCTCTAAGCCTGAAATCGAATTTAGTGTCATGTTTGCACCTTTCAGCCATCCTGGCAGGCATCCAAAAATGTGAAAGCTGGCCTCCATCCAGCGAGTGCACTCCTGCAGATTCTACTCAATCCCCGGAACACGGAACACGGCCTAATCCCCCGGAACAGGGGGTACATAAACGTGTCGTCAGCTCTCGTGAAATTGGCGAATTTTAATTAACCGCTTGAACCCATTAGGAGTGGAGGAGGACACACTTCCCCCCCGAAACTGAGCCGTAGCCATGGCACCATGGCAGCAGTTCGGCTGAGCCGGGGATCTCGAGTTGGGTAAACAGCGATTAACATTGTTTTGATTTATGCCGCTGCCCCCGGAGAAGCGCCTAGGACAACGTCGAGGAGTTGGGGCCCCGGAATGCCATCCCAGTCGAAACCTCTCGGAAATCGCTGGCCGAACTGAGCCCATTTCAACGGGCCTTTCAAACTATTCAAAGTGCGGTGATTTTTTGAGGTTAATGCATCCTCGGGCTAGAGCGTCAACGGCTCCTTGTCTGCTCCGGGCAGATATTAATTTTTAATTCACTCCTATTCACTGGAATATCCGGCTCCAGCCGGGTGCCACCTCCACCTGCCCAGCTCCTCGCCGGAGCTCTTATCTGTTGCACACAGTCCTGCTCGAAGTGCCCCGGATGCTAATGAAGCGATGCGGATGTCCTCGTCGCCTTCGCCATTGCATTGTCTTAGCCGACTCGAGACTCTTGGCTACAGCCTGCCTGAAAGTTTCCCGGCAAAAGTTTGTCTTGTAATCAAGAAAAATACGGCCATGTTGATTCAATACATTCAAGAGGCTAAAGCCTAAGGTTGATCCGGTAGTTATTCCCAAACAATATTTGGAGCCCAGAGTGGTAGGAAAATTTTGCTGGCCTCAAGTTGCTCGAAATAAAGTTAAGCATTTTCATCCTGCTTGTGCACTAAAAACACAAATTGCACGGAAATAGTTTAAATGCATATATTTATCTAATTGGACAAATATACGAGTGTACATAGCCTTAATTATGAAAGATATATACATACATGAGGTGTATGTCATAACTATGATGCCAATCGCAATATTTTTCCCTTGTTATATAAATACTCTAACTCCTTTTTTTAAGTACCTGTTAAGTGTCAAAAAAATGTAAACAAACATAAATTTAAAATATAAACTTTAACACTGTTTGAAATATAAATAGTGTAAGAGGAGTTTTAGCACAGATATCATTCTTTTGAATTCCATTTTGAAAAACATTTTGCACAGATACTTTTTATCAATTTCAGTAGGTGTGGCTACTTCATCGGCGACGTTTTATTTAGAAAGACAGTAAATTAAATTAAAATTGGCTGCGAACAGACATTACTCCAGTACAATGTTACAATTTTAGCAGCTCCGAGTTAAACGCTTCAGCGAGAAGCGGTCCACGAAAATAAACAAATTCGAGCGTGGGCGGAAAATTCGCGAGACGATTCATTTAACGGAATTAAGTGAGAATTCCGGAACGCGAAATTATCGGGAGGCTTACCTTGGAGAGCTCCGCCCCAGCAGAGCCAGAAGAGCGCCCACTTGGCGGTGCAGAAGCGCTGGAGCCACGGCGGATTCCATCCGCACCAGCCGAACCGCTGGGAGTCCGCAACGGAGTCCGCTCCGGAGGAGGCGCTGCCAACCCGACTGGAGCGGGCACTGTTGTTGTTGTTCACATTGGCGCACTTGGGAGCCAGTGCACTAGGAGATTCCAGCTCAATATCACCCTCAGACATGGTTTCACTTTCTTTTTTATTTGCCGCACAAAACACCGGCGATTCGAATGGAACTGCGATCCGCACCGAACGAAGTGCGGAAACTGACTGAGCTCAGAATTTCAAACCGCGCGGACAGAAGCTCAGACCGACTTCTCTGTTAAGGACTCGCCGCTAACAGGACTCTGTAGATGGAGTCCCACCCCGCCCTGTGTCGCCCACTCGAAGCGTCTCGGATTCATGAATGAAATCGCTCTTCGCTTCGTTCGGTGGCACTCGGATTCCCTTATTGTACTCTTGTTGTATATCAACAGTTGTCATGACGCTGCCTTCGTTTACCAAATTATCCGGGGAATCGCGTGGCCAAGTGGCCAAGGCGGGAACTATTCCGCACCAATTTTCAGATAAAAATGATTCCTTTTGTTTATTTTCATTGAAAAATATTTGTTCAGCACTCGCCCGATAATGTTCATATTGTTTGCTGCGAGCACACGATATAACGTGAGAGCTAGAGCTTATTATATCGCCAAATCTAAACAAATATAACAGCGGCTTTTAAAGTAAGCTGAAAATCTCAACAAAATAATTGGTATGATTTTCGAACAAAATAACAAATTGGTTTTATAATTCTATATGAACGGGAATCGGTAAAACTACTCAGGAGAGATGTCCGTAAGTTGGGAAATCGAATGTTTTTTAAAAAAGATAAAAGTAAGAGGGTAATCTGTATTTGTTGAAAAGTACATATGTAAAAGGTTGGAGGAAGAACTCACAATCCGTGAGATCTCGGGAACAGATTCCAATTACTCGTAAGCAGTTTGTTACAACATTTTATTTTCAACATTTTGGATGATGAAAATTATGATATAAATACGCACAGAATAGTGTTTCTTAAAAAAAGCCACCCCCACATAAGCCGCAAGATTCAGTTTATGTGTTGCAACACTTTTGATGATATGCGCTTATATAATATTATACATTATCAACATTTTTAACTTATTATTAACTAATAAAGATAATCCCTTATCTGATTTTTGGTGGCAGCAACAAGAGTTGGTCAAAATAATACTTCTTCCTTTGACCTTTTATATATATTTTACTTAATTGAGTCGTAAACGATTAGGAAAAGCTATATCTAACCAATAAATCTTTAAAAGTAAAACTCTTGATAAAATAAATAAAACGATTCCTCATTGTAATCCAATAGATACCGCATATGCATGTTATCTTTGATAAGATACCTCTTGTGATACAACTCGTCATAGTTGATAAACTGTTTTTATTTTATACTTTTTGCTAACGGTGGTGCCTTTTAACTTAACCACAACCCAAAACATAAATACTAAAATAAAATATAAATGATTTCCTTTTTTTATTTCCTGTAGAACCTTTAGGACTATTTTACTGTTGGATTTTTGGTGCAGGTTCAGATACATTTAAAACTGAGTGACTAGCTTGCATTGAAACTGACAGACAGGACCAAATTAAACCCTGTGGTAACGCCGTTCAAGTATATATATTTTAAGTGGTAGGTAATGTATTCTTTCCTGTGTTGCATTCTTTTAACCAAAGTTAAGGCTAAATTTAGGTTCCGCAACGGAGTGAGATGAAAAATGTGCATTTTTAAAAAACAGGGTGTCTGTTCAAACTAGGCTACAAATGTTAAAAATGTGTGGTGGCAAAGAAAGTTTGTGCAAAGCGAATACCACCATATCTCGTGGTGGAATTGAGCACGAGGTTGATGACCAAGCTGACAAGCAAAAATGGTTGGTGACTGAGCAGCGAATGAGGAACGGTGGAATTTGGAACAAGGGACTATTCTTATTTTTTTTAATTTTCCCACGATTTAGCCAGGTAATCAAAAACCATAACAGCCGAATTGGGACCTGCCGACAGTCAAGGTCTGCAAGTTAAAAAAAAAATGCATTCAAATAATCGGCTCTCCACATAATGATTCTAATGATTTGAATATAACAGCATGTTCATAGATAATGCCGTGAATATAACTTATATATGTAGGGTTAAAAAGGCAATGTGTCAGGAAAATTTAATATAAACATTTTCGCCGGGTTTATTTGTGATTAACATTTTCCATTTTCCCACGAAAATTGTTGAAATAAATACATAATTATTCCGACTACCCGAAGAAAAAAATGTTTTGAAAACCTTTCCGCTTTCTTAAAGTTATGCAAAACAGTACAGCTAATTTCGTTACAACTTTTATGTTTATTCAGTAAATTTTTCGGTTTAGTAGTTTTTTCTAATTTATAAACTTAAATTATAAAAAATAAGTAATAGAATTGCCAAAGTAACACAGAATCATAGCTATTGACAAAAAAAAACAAATTTAGCATCAAAAGAGTAAACAATTGATTTAATAAACTGCGAGGTGCATTTAGATTGCCGAAAATAGGTATCTAGCTATATGGCAAACTCTTAGCTTTAGCACCAGAAAGAATCTTATTCACTCTGTAAATTAAGTACGATACATTTTTAAGTATTTCCTCTCAACTCAGAGATACATTTCAATTGGTAAATTTAGGGAAATATTTGAAAAATTTGTTTGCTTTTCACTACTTAAATACGTTCATAATATATAGAGATATACACATATAGCTACATTTATATTTTTAAACAATAAAATATTAAACAAAAACAAAAATCGTTAACAAAGAGCAAAAAAACTCAGAATTCGGGGTAGCTTCGTCTAGAGGCTCCCCATTTCCCTACAGAGAGTACACACGCGGTATTTACAAGATCTTCCATGATTTATAATATGTTTAAAGTTATATATATATTTATGTTTGCTGTGTGTTTCATTTATCTATAACGTTTAGGCACGCCCATTAATGGCTGGCATTTTAAAAAGTTGCATCGTGACCCTATGATATCAGGATCAACTCTAACTAAGGATCTGCCTCAGTTGATGTTGAGGGGGATGGATGTACTTGAGTAAGTTAACTTAGAGCAAGTGTTACGTATGTACACTCTGCGCTAAACTCATATATTTTGGTTATAGATACACGTACAGTGAACGCTTTGGGCACTACGACAAATATCACATAATGAGATCAATTGGATTTATTTTGGGTATTTTTGTTTTCGTTTGCGCTTCATTTCCGTTAAGTTTTTGTTGTTGTTGTTGTTTTTGTGAATTATGAATGTACGAATAATTGCACAATGTCATTGAACTTAAGATTGTCTACTGGTCTGACTGGTGGGCTAATTACATAATTAGTGGCAATCGATAAGCTGATTAAGTACCTAATTTAAGTATATGTATATCTGTTTTGAAAGTTGTTCCGATTCATAATACTTGGGCAGATCTGATTCAGTTCGCACTTTGTTTGAGTTGCTAGCGAGTTGGGGAACGTGGAAGAAGGGAAAAAACAATAGGGAATTTCACTCCATGAACAAAGGTGTGTGGGAAGTAATCCTATTTCGGGAAGATTTCCCATATTAAGTTGTAACATTCGTGCTCTTCGTATAGTTAAAATTAACTTAAGTATGTATAACAATGTATTTCCGGTGGCTTTGTGGGTCTGATTCTAGTTATTGTTAACTTTTCAGTGTTCTTTTGGATTGGTAAGTACAATTTTTGCATCTAAGTTCCACACGATTTTCGATCCTAACGTTAATGCAACTTTTTAAGAGCCAGCTATCAATGCGCACACTAAGACAAATAGTGTTTTATATTTATGTGTGGTTTATATGTGTGTACATTTGAAATATTGGTTCAATATTTTACATTCATTAATGTTTATCCATTTTTAGACCAGTATTCACTTTAGAAAAACTGCACCCAAAATTAGTTTCGGAAGCAATTCTTCTTAAAGTGAATATTGGGAATTTAGTTTGCATCTCGATGCCGTAAGTATAATTAAAATATATTTATATTTTCTTGTTATAAAACTTAAAATGAATTTAACCAAAAATAAAACAAAGTTAGTAATAACTTGTGTACTTCATCATATTTGTTTTGGGGGTTAAAGGGAAACCCAAAGTTCCATTATCATTATCATCCTTGACTACATAACCATTTTTTCAAGGCGGGTGGGGTACAGTACAAGGGAGAGCCATGGGAATGCTGGGTGGGTGTTGCTTTCTTCGGTTGAGTTGGGTGCTTTCTCCGTTCCTTGCCTTTCTGTATTGCGATCAGCTTCAACTTCCATGTATCTTTCTTTAAACAGCACTCGAAGATGCTTCTTCCTGCTCCTGTGCTTTATCCTCCGCCAGGTGGCAATCGGCCACCTCGCTGTGCATTACGATCTCGATGTCGCCCAGTTCGGTTGCCGCCTCCGCCTTCAGGGCTAAATCCTCTGCCCTCGACAATTTCTGTAGCGTGTGAAGGGTCTCCTCGTTGATCGTGTGCTCCGGCGAGATGTTTTCCTTCAGCTGACGCTTCAGGCTGAGCGGCATGTGGGCCGTGTTGCACTCCGGCGGGGATGGCGACTCCGTGCTGCTCGAAGCAGACGTCCCCGTGCTCAACTCATGCTGGGCAGTTGCGCCCGAGGCCGCCTGTTCGCAGCTGTTGTTGAAGGAGATGTTCTGGCGGAAGACTTGCTTACCAAAATCCCGCAGCTGTCTGGACGCCGTGTCGAGAAAGGACGAACTGGCCGAGTCTGTGTTCTGGCTGGAGATGTTGCTTCCGGTCAGCGAGGTCCACGAGGCGGCCGAGGACTTTCGAGCCACAGAGAGAAGGGGATTTGGTGTCGTGGTACTGCAGTCGCCTCCGCTTGCTCCTCCCAAGCCGCTTCCTGATGTGGCGTCTGTTAAAAACAAAAATTTTAAAATGTTACAGTATCTGTTTGTTTTGTTTTGGGAATTGGAGCTCTTAAATTATGGTTATTATATAAAAGAAAATAAGTGCAAAGAAGCCCTTTATTATTTTACGTTATTTGATTGTTTTTGTTATTATTTTGTTAGTTACTATAAATAATAATAAATAACTAACTTTGTGTGCTGTTTGTAGTTGTGTTGGCGGCGGGCACAGTGCTCGCTTGACTGGCATTCGCTTCCGGCGAGGAGCTTCGCTGGAACATATTGCCCGTGTTGAACAGCGTGAGCAGCTTCTCCACCGCCGACGGATTGGCAATCCACGATGTTTTGCGGGAGCGCGACTGCGGGACACTGGTGACGGGCTCCGCAGGCGGCAGCGGCTCTGGCTCAGACTCCGGCACCGGATTCATGTGACTGGCCACAGCAGCAGCAGAGAGAGCAACCACGCCGGCCGATTCCTTGGTCAGCGTGATGTCGTTATCGCCAAACACGGCCAGGGGACAGGACCTGGGTGGAGCTTCTGGGACCGAGGCCACAGAGTCGGTGGCATCGGCGGAGATGGAGGTGGTGGTGGAGGTGCTCCCGTTGCTGGTGCTACTGCTCCCGCTGCTGCTGCTGCCGGGCGACGTGGAGCTTGAGAGGCTTAGGGTGGGCGAGATGGTCAAGCGCGGCGAAACCTTCTGGCCGTCGGCTTCTCGGACCTTTGTACTATTGTGCGCGTCGCTGGCATCGCTGGACTCAACGACCACCACACTGCTGACCGGCACCGCGGCGGCTGCCGCCTCCACTGCCTCGGACAGCAGGACCGCCTTCCGCGCCGACTTCAGCATCGGAGTGGGCGGCAGGTCGATGGGGGGCGTGTGCGGCGAGATCGGCGGCAGCTGGCGGTTGGCCATCGGCACCTGCGGGTCCTCGTAGATGCGAGAGACCTGGAAGCGGGACCGCGGCGACACCGACAGCCGCTTGATCGTCTGCGTGGAGGAGGTGACGGAGGCCATCGCCGGCAGCGAACTGGAGGTGGGCAGGGCTCCCACGGCATTGAGGCTGCTCTGGCTGCCGCTGGGCGAGGCGATGGTCGGTATGGACATGCAGCTGCTGGCGGAGCGCGGCGTGTGCGGAGGCGGATGCTGGGCCAGGGGCGAGATCAGTGGGCTGCCCACTTCCGCCACGCGCGACACGTGAAAGCGGCTGCGGTTCGGCGAGGACGATGGCGATATGGTGGGCGGACTGGGTCCCGGCGAGCGGAGGCGGGGTCCACTCTTCCGCTTCGCCTCCAGCAGGGCGGCCGGTGTGGGCAGGGCGGTTGCTGCAGCGGTCGCGGTCGCCGTTGCCTTCACCGTGCCAGTGGCCGCGTCCACGAAGGGGCGGCTGTGGCAGGTCAACGAGATCTTCCGCGAGCCCAAGTAGTAACCGCCGCGACACCGTACGCCCGGTAGGCCGACGCCAACGCTGCTGCCGCCGGCCACCACCTTCGCCGCCCGCTCCGCCAGCTCCTGGGCCTGCCGCTTCTCGTTCCGCGAGCACAGGGAGCGCACGGTGCCCAGCACCCTCGTGTAGTCCAGGTGGGCATCGCTCCCAATCTAAAACAAGGAACAGAACATATCAAATCTATTAGTTTTGGTATCCTACAAATAGTATTGGTTATTTAGCAAAAAGTGAGCAGTAGCCACTTTGGTGTTCAGTTGTGGATTTGCTCAGTTCGCCAAAGCAGTGGATAATGCAAACGGTATTAGAGTTTCGTCCAGGGGTTTCTGACAAAAAGGGAGGACACGGAGTCTGTTATATAAAGCATCAAGCTACAACTGAGCAACCGAACAACTGACTTTCTTTCTAAGGGTGAGCTAATTCCCACAAAGGCAAGCAATAAGTTTAAGAGTGAAATGTTAGCTCTGATTTAAGCTGCAGAAGAAACGTTTTTCAGGCGGGCAGAGTGCGATTGAGTTGTTAGCGATGTTAGCGAGGGCAAGCCAAGCTTTCTTAGTGAACAGCAGTCGAGCACAGATGGCAGTGGGCGGAGGGCAGAGAGTTGGAGGAGCAAATTGAGTGGGGGTTTACTTACGCTCTCCTGGGGCAATGGCGATGGCGGTATAACATTTACTATCGGCACTATGGGCAACTTTAACGGAGATGAAAGAGGCAACAACAACAGTGACCACAAATGAAAACGATTTAATTAAAAATTCAAAATCAAAACTCGCGACGCTCTGGGCGCCCAACATACAGCCATCCAAACCAAGCACGATATCTCATAAAGTCATGGAACTAAATGGGGTTAGCAACGGCTAGCCGCAGCTTCGACTACCCTTGGTAAAGTAATACAAATAATAATAACAATACTAATTGTTCAAAGTACCAAACGGAGTAATTTTAAAGAATTTTTTCAGCATGTTTAGATTTTAAGATGAAAATCTCTACACAACAAAACGAAATGTTAGATCTCTCTATTATTATTCAATTATATTTACCAAGGATATTTAGATTATGAAATCATATGAATCTTTTGTTAGGCAAATTATTACTGCTCTGTTTTAAACCAAAGGGTTGCAGTTTAGTAGGATCTTATTGCCTTGTTCAATGTTGAATGAACCAACTCTCATTTGCGTAACCAAAGATTGAGCATGAACAAAATGCAAACTCAACTTCTACTGTGACCTCTGATGGGATTGATCGACTCTCGATTGCAATGGACATGTCATACAGCTAATACAGCTAATACTGGCTAATAGTTCGATTCTAGCTTACCGTCAGGCGCTTGGGCTCATCGTTAATGTCGATCTGGGTGAGCGTGTTATTGGACTTGAGCACCTCGGCGATTATGTTCAGACTTTCCACCTCTAGTTTATTGTCTCGGATGTCTATCCGCTGGAGCTTGCTGTTGCCGCCGAAGGTGAGGATGGAGGCCAGCGTCTCGATCCCCTTGGCGCTCAGATGGGCACTTTGTAGCCCCAACGTGGTCAGAGTCGTGTTCTTGGTCAGGCTGTCCTTGATGGTCGAGATGAAGTCGTTGGACAGACAGTTCTTCCCAATGTTGAGCAGTTCCAGTGAAATGGTCTTCTGCAGCAGCTCGGCCACCGCAGTGGCGCAGTCCTTGGTCAGGTTGTTGTTCCACAGGGTCAGGGCCTTCAGACCGCTGGGCGAACGGTTCGCCTCCAAAGTGGCCTCGGCCAGCTGGCGACGCGACAGCGTGTCGTTCTTGGTCAGCTTCTCGGCGAACTTCGGATCGGCGGAGGCGGAGGAGCTGACGCTGTTGTTGCTGGCTCCGCTGCTCAGCCCATCCAGCGATGTCTCGCTGCACAGGCTGTCGGAGCTCTGCGACCGGTTGCGGGTGGACTGATTGAGGTAGGCACAGCTGGACTCTGTTCGCCTCAGTCCGATGCTGGCTCCTCCCGGCGACGTGGACGGCGGCGGGGGCGTGGGCGCCGGGCTGAGGGTCGGAAAGGGACTGGGACTCTGTTCTTTGTCCGCCAGCAGGCACTCTTCGGCAATCGTGACTTTTGGCGGCGGGAATGCATCTACCAGTTCATCAAGGGCGCGTGCGCCCAGCGGTGGTGTTGGTGTCGCAGCCTCCTGGGCGGCCAGTAGACACTCGGTGGACTCTGTGGCAATGGTGGCCGTCTCGATGCCACACATCTCCTTGGTCAAGTCGTCTAAGCGCGTGCTCTCCAGCGACACCGAAAGCCGGCTAAACTCGTCGGGCAGATGGCGACTAATGTCCCCCTCGGAGGCGCTCTCGAACGCCGAGTCCGTGCTGTGCGTGTCCTCGAAGTCGTCGCCCGCCTTGGCATTCTTGTTAACGTCCAGTGGCCGCGACCCACCCGCCCCCACTCCGCTGCCGTTTATACAATCGCTCTCCTCGGCGGTTACCTCGAAGATCGCCGCTGGCGAGGAGCCACTGGCATTGGCTCCGATCTCTATCGGCGGTGCTACGACTGCCAAGGTCGCCGTCGCTCCTGTCTCCGCTGGCAATTGGATTGTGTTATTGTTGTTGCTATTGTTGTGGGAATTGTTGGCATTGTTGTTATTGTTGTTGTTGATAATGTTGTTCTGTACACAGGATTCATTGGGTTCAACGGTTTTAGCCTCTGTTGAGGGAGTAATATCTGCAAGCAAATCAGTTTAAATTAGATCCCAAAAACGGTTTAACAATTTCTGAGTGCAACTCACCACATAAGTTGCGTTCGATTTGGGAACTTTGCTGTTTTTGGTGCGCTGGAGACAGCGGCTCCTCAGGCGCAGCTGCCAGAGCCGCCGACTCCGACTGCATCGGGCTGGATGAGATCACGGACGGAGCGACCTCGTCTGCTGCTGGCGGCTGCTTGGCGGCGGTGGGTTCGTAAATCTCGTTGCTGATCTCGCTGATGTCCTCGGAGCAGCAGGCGGCCAGGGTGTCGGTGGAAATGTTCGAGGGCGCCTCCTCGCTGCTGCTGTCGCTGTTCATGGACAGCAGCTTGTCCAGCATGGATTGCCCGCCGCCGTTTTGGCTGCAGTTCCTCACGGTGCGCACAGTGTCCTCGGTGTTCTCGTCGTCGTTATCGTTCTCAACGTCCACTAGGACTCCCACCGCCGGATCGGCGAGGGCTGACTCCTCCGCTGGAGTCTCAAGAATCGAGGATACCTGAGGGAATGGCTCGCCATCGGCGTCATCTTTCGCTTGCTCGGCCGCCGATCCAACGGATTGGGGCAATGCCGAGGGGGCCTCCGTCTCCACTGGCGACACGCACTCGTCCACCTCGATGGCGCGGGTCCGCTTCAGAGCTCCCATTCGTCGCTCCAGCTCGGTGGACTGCAGGATGAGGGCCTGCACCAGGTACATGACGCCCTCGTTTCTTATGTTGTTGTTGCTAATGTCGATCAGCTCCAAGCTGTGGTTGTAGCGCAGCATGTCGGCTATGTGCTGGGCATCCACGCAGTCCAAATCATTGAAGCCCACCCACAGTTCCTTGAGCATTTTGTTTTGGTAGAGACCTCGGCCTGCAAATGATACTAGAATATAATAAATACAGTTTAGCAAGTGCTCAAATAAAAGCCAATCGATTTACAGATTAGGGACATGTTTAGGACTCCACAGCAATGATAAAATACACTAAGGACACTCCAAGTAACTTACAGAGTTGGACTAGGGGCTGTCCCCTGAGTCCGCAGTGCTCAAGCTTTAATGTGTGCAGATTGGAGGAGCCCAATGCCCGACCGAGGCTGTCGGCACCCAACTTTGTGATCTGGTTGCTCTCGGCATTGAGCAGCTGCAGCTCTTGGCTGTGCTCCACCATGTAGGCACACAGCTCCCAGCAGCGCTTGCTCATCTGCTCCTTGTTGTAGGATATATCCAGCTCATAGGCGGCCTCGTAGTATTCTATCATCTGGAAGAGGGCCATCAGACAGCTCTCGTCCAGCGTGCAGTCGGACAAGTCTATGCATTTGTATTGTATCTGCAAGCGAGGAAGTACGTACTATAGTTCGTAGTCTGGAAAAGGAGTTTTCAAACTCACTGCTTACCCTTTTGAAAATCTCCTCGAGGGCTTCGCAATCGTTGGCGGCTAGTTGGTTCCCCTTGAGGGGAAGTGAAGGCTGTCGCACCTGGTTTATATCTAGGTTCTTCAGGTGGTCCATTACACTCTTTAGCGGCTTTGTGTGATGCTTTTGACATGACTGCTCATACTGATCGACAATCTCGGAAATACTCTTTACTTGGAATACTGGAATAATTGACATAATGGTAAGTTAACGCCACAGGAGACAATAAACTAGCATAAACTAAACTAAGTAAACTGGATATGAAATAAATTTATATTAATATCGGTTTGGTAAATATAATAATTTACATAAATCTTTAAAAAAAAACACACACAATTTCAAAAAATGAGGTTTTTGTAGAACGCTGTTCACAAGCTGCAAATATATATCCCACTATTAAAATATCAGGAGTTTCTTAACAAATAAATGTGTTTTTAAATTGTCTGGGTCAATAAACTGTTGACAATGCTCCCGCGTTCCACCCAATCAAGTGTCGCCATTTCAAAGGCATCAAATGGGTCTGGCAAGTATATTTTATATGGTCAAATATGACAAATAACTAGAACTTACGGCGCGTGCGAGTGTTTCGTTTCTACCCAGAACACCATCGCCCACTTCCCCTCTTCAGCAGCCTCATCATGATCATCAACAGTCGCCGGCGTCGGCATCAAACACATGGAGAGACATAGACAAATTGTCCACACAAAAAATTAAATGAAATTGCGGCGGCAATTTCCAAACGATTTGCTTTTTTCCAGAGGGGTTGGTTGACATGAAATCGTGAACTTGTAATTTGCAACTCATTTGCGTTGGACACATCTTGTGTGCTGTCTGTCATTGAGGGAACCGAATTTAGAAACCGCAACGTCTACTATTTAATGACAGCTCATAGCTAACAACAGGAACTCATATAAAGAGCTTTTGATGTGCTCACAGAATATGATAAATAAGTGGGTCGATGATGAATGATGCACGTCAGGGATTTAATTATTAACACCAGTGTTATTTTTTGCCCTCTGTAATAATGGGAACTATTGGTTACTATGGTGCTTCCAACGCATCTATGCAGTACAACAGAAATGCGAAAAAAGACTAGAGAAAGAACATTGTGCCAAATGCCAAGTGCACCTTTCTTATAAATAGTTGCCAGCACACTAGCACTCACCTCCACCCAGACACACATAAGTTCTTATGAAAAACGTAAACAATTTAATCTATCACTGCATTATCTACAACATCGGTGTTAGAGGCAATTAAAAGATTCGTTTTAGATCTGCCAAAAACTTGGATGCCAACATAGAAGCGGCAATAAAAAGAGAGATCCGAAATGTTGTCAAGAAATCTTTTCGAAAGATTTTCAATTTTGGCAAACAGTCAAAAGTTCTTTAATTCTATATAATAGTTCCGTCCTCCTCCGCCAACCGATGCCACCTTGAAACCAAACATCTGTTAAGTGATTCATTAGCGTTGAGTAGGATAATTCAAAATCTGAATTATTAGGATTTTTCACACGACCGGGCAGACAATGTGACGACCATGTTTGACGTTTCTCTTTGATTTTTTCAGTTTTTTTAGTTAAAATAAAAATGATTTAGACCTAGCATATTATACTTTGACACTTGATTTTATGGGTCAACAAATGTTTCCCAAGAGAAGGAAATAGTTGGAGAGAAAAAAAATTGTATGCGAATAAGGACATATTATATTGCGTTTAATTTTAGTATCTATTGATACATATTTTAAGTTATTTGTTACCACGCTTAACTTCCAATTTCACATTAAAATTTTCTACCTTAAGAATTTTCTGCTTTTCTAAACTTATATCCAATTGGGATCAACATATGTATTTTAAAAACTTTTCTGAAATCAATAGTTTTTTACCTTTAGCTTTTTGTTTCTTAATTACATACATAAAAATGATTATACAAAGCTTTAATTCCTATTTTTAGTTGCGATAAATTTTTGATAATTTCTTTGGGCAACGACAAAATTGTAAACAAAAACAGGGTAAGCCCACCTGAGAATTTTGTTCAAAAATTTCCTAATTTAAGCTTATTTGTCATCGTCAAATATTTGTTCGTATTTCTGCGGATTTTTGAATTGAATTATAGCTAGAGATAGCGGCGGCAATAAAGGCAAATAGATTTCTTTGGGATTAAAGAATGGCAAATTGATCGATGTTGTAAGCAGGAATATGAAAGTCCCTTGGATAAGAGAAATTTTGTCGATTCGCGGTTATCGATCGCTTAGATAAATGACTAAGTCAATACAAACATTGTAGAATCGCGTGCCGCCGTCTGCCTGCGTCTATTAAATACCTTTTCTATTTTTTATTATTCTATTGATTTTTGTGCCTTATTCGCCGATGTTGCTGACGTCCCTGCTTCTCACAAATGTCAAAGCAAAAATCGTATGTACAAATAGAGAAAAACTATAAGTAAGCGAAAGGCACTCGAAAGAGAAAAACAAAAATTGTCCAATTAAATTGCTGTTAATTTAGTGCTAAACATTTACAATGTCGGAAACTCGTTCTCCCCGCTGTGTCATTAATTTTATGATTTCGTTATTGTTTATTTCCAGTTGATAGTACATACATACAAAAAGAAATTTACCTTAATAATCCAAGTCAATTTAATTTATTGAAAGAGCCACTTTAAATAACCAAAAAAAATTAAGATTATTAACATATTGCTTGGATGTCTTTTAACCTTTCTTCATTACTATAAAAAAAATAATTAAAAAAAATTAATAATGAATATTGAGCTGTGCACCATCCAAATCTTGAGTTATCTACTTGGACACTGTTTCAAACCAACCCAACGTTTTTGAAAACGTCCCATTCTCTTATCTTATTATTGCTATCAACCGACTGCCATCGACTGGAATTGACAAATTGACTGCCATGACCGTCGCTCGTTTGTCATTATCGGACACCAATTCTCAGGCAAAACCAGACGAAGGGTTTTTTGTTAAAAGATAACCGTCTCAAAAGTTCTGATAGATAAATAAAAAAAAAAACATAAACCACCAAAAATAAGCCATAAACACGCATTGTTATTGTTAAAACAGAGAATGAGGCGAGAGCGAGTTTCATTTTAACTGAATGCAAACGTTTGCTACATTTACAAAAAAAAAAAAAGCTTACTCATATTTACTTGTCTTTGTCGGCCGATTCCGGTTGTCCGCCTGCGATTTTGATTTTCTTTATACCCTTTTTAGCTTGCCTGAGCTTCGCTTTGTTTTCAAATTGCATAAATTAATTACATCGCCAATGTACACTAATCGAGCTCGTGACATTTTGCACAGCAAGTGATACTCTAGTTATTATCTTTCATGTCGTTGACTGCATAATTGAAATTTTTAAACTAAGCGAAAGTTATTAACTGAAAATAAGGCAGCCAGTTAATAAAAGTCACATTTAACTGTTTTTATATAATGATATAATAATGATATAATGAGCTAAGGATATATAATATCTTATTTAGTGCTTCACGATTTGTGAAATCAAAAACTAAACAAGAAAGGAAACTAGCTTCGGCAAGCTCAAGCGGGATATTTATTTTTTCGATTTATCCTATGGAAGTTAAACGATATAGTCATCTAACTTTTGGTTAAGTTACAAAGAGAAAGCTTAAAAACTGAGATTCTAGTTTGCGTAGAAACATCGGCTACATCGATTCAGGTGGTGCTAATTAAAAATATTAATTCGGTCTGAGATGGCTCCATCACTGTGTTATATTGCAAACATCCTCTCTTTTATTTTTATTGTGATCTAATAGTGAAAAATGGAAATTGTCACTCTTAAGACCGTTCAATTTGATGTGTCCGTTTGATTCTGTTTATTGTTTTTTTTTCTGCTCTAAGACCTTACACTTTACTACTCATTAACTTTAGATGCTTTTATGATTGCTGAGCAGCTAAGTTAATATGAATATAGCACACTGGCCTAGTTTAGGTCTCAAATCTATGTAGGTTATTTACTGGGATTGGACCTTTTGCAGATAAGCCAAGTAGTTTGTAGGGCAGTGAAATGCATGGAATTTCTATTTGCACAAATGTCCAATTGTGTAGCTACCATTTTCCTATTTCGCTGCCATCAAGTCTGTCTGTCATAATGTCTTCTCTTGGGGCTTCTCTGTTTTTTGTTGTGCTTTTGTTTTAGTGACAACGATGACATCACATAGTTTCTACACCTACAAAAAGAGCAACAAAAACACAGACAAAGGCAAACACAAAGACCAGAAAGGAATCGAAGTAAACAAACAAACGTACAGACAAATAAAAATACACAATTTACATACATGTCTGGGTCTGGGTGTCACATACATGAAGGTAAATAATATTGGAGACAAAAACAAGAACAAAACGGAGCAATCGTTTAAACAAATTTAAAGACGCTCCGACGAGACGAACGACGAGCAGAAAACGGAGCCAACGATTGGCGTCCAAGGCAAAGTTAAAACGGAGCAGAAAACAGCAAAGCAAAACCCAAATCAGTATTGCCGGCCAAAAGAAGCAGCAAGCAAATAATAAAATAACAATAAAACATGTGAAAAGCACGGAGCAAACTGAAAAGCAACAGCAATAAAAAAAAAACGAAAAACGAACCGGACCGTATCTTATCAGCAATTTCTGTTATCGCTGACGTGAAAATAACAAATAACAAAATCAAAGAAAACTCAAAAGCAATAGCAAAACATATAACGGTTTCGGTGCACAAGCAACTTAACAGCCAGGTATTGAAAATACTACGATTAAACCATTCCTGGCTGATCAAGAATATTTCTCTAAATAACAACTTACGTCTATTTTAGCGCAAATTAGTAATAACTTGTTAATAAGTTATACGTTCAGCTGAGAAACTAGTTGTGAAAAATTAAGGATTTTATTTATACCGAAAATTAAAGAACAGATCGAAAACCTGTGCAGACAGTGGCACTCTTTGCGAAATTTACATGATGCTATGAGTTACTGCACAAAATCAATGCTTGTTTCTAAAAACGATACGATAAAGTCGGAAAAGATAAGTTAACAAAAAAATGAGCCCAATATAAAATAATTGCTTACTTCTAATTCTACTTTTTCCTATTACCAACAGAATATATAGTATATTCTAGATCAGCATCGTTAAGCGAATTAAAAAATCTACAATTTGCATCCTAAACGTTGGCGTGGGATTCAGAATTTTCAATCAGTTTGTCTTCCTGAATTGGCTTGCATTTTCGTAGTACTTAGCAACAGCAACTGAAATGCAAATAGTACGCATTTATCAGCTGCAACGCCTCTCTGTTCGCTTTCTCAAAGGTAAATAAATACTTTTGCGCATTTTAGAGACTTGGCAGCCAATTCTTATTTTCCTCTCAAAAAAACATGTTCAAATGAAATTAGCTGACAGACCTCTCGAATCCTCTTTACACCCGCATTACAATGCGAAAATATGTACGAGTATAGCTTTTCAGCTTTACATACATGAATTCTCAGGAAGTAAAGTAAATAGAACGGCTAATTGTAACTTGCATTTGGCTTCCGTGTTTGCCCGCGTTCCATCGGGCATGATAAGATCAAAAGCACGGCTTCCCAGTGGGATTGTGGAATGACAAATTGTCAATTAAATACTAGTGAACAAATGAATTCTGAACAACCGGAAGAAAAAAGTTGCTTGCTGTTCTTATATGCTCAAAAGGTTTAAACTATTTTGTAAACGTTTTATATAGGAAGAAAAACATTTATATATTTTTCACAATATAGTTAATATGTTATCTTTGATCAGTGAAAAATAATACTTGTAAAATTTGAGTTTTGAGTTAATCCAATTAGTTAATATGTTATCTTTGACCAGTGAAAAATAATACTTGTAAAATGGCCTGCCTTACGTAGCTTTGTATAAATATAAAAAAAAAAATTTAATTGGGTTTAACTCAACTATTTTTCCCGTTACAAATGTTTTAGAAACCTACATTTCTTTCGCCCTTTAACATTAAAACTCACCTTGCTTCCAAGGATTGGCGGGCTCTAAGTAACCAGTGACCAGTTCGTTATCCGGAAACGAGACGCGTCTTGCGATGGACGAGGTGAGCGAGCTGTCCGAGGATTTTCGCTGCAGCAGACTGGGTGCCGTCGACAGGATAATGCTCCGCATCGGAAGGCCCATGGGTGCGGGTGCTCCACCTCCTACTGCTCCAGAGCTGGGAAAATCAGGGCACATGGTCGAGCTGGGATTGGAGGCCAGCGAATCGGTGCGCCATACCGCCGTCTGCTTGGCATCGTGGTATATCTTGATCTTCTGACGTTGCTGCGTTCGCATCTGAGCATCGAGTGCGGACGACTCCGCCGCAGCAGCAGACGCAGCAACATTCGCCGCTGCAGACGCATCAGCTGTTTGTGCCAATTCCGTTCGCTCTGCCACAGCTGCTGGGGTTGTTGTTATTGTGAACGGCAGCGGTTGACCCTCAGCTGTTACATCTATTTCCTTTACACCAGCTGATGTTTCTGCTGCTGCAGCAGATGTTGTTGCAAAGTGCGTTGCAATTATTGGCTCCGTTCCATTGCCTTCTTTTGTTGTTGCAATTGTAGCTGTTGATGTTGCTGTTGTTGTTGTAGTTGGCTCTGCATTGTCGCGATTACTGTGCAACATTGTTGCTAAGCGTTTTCAGTTGCTGCTGTCGTTTTCAAGTTGGTCGCCCTTCAAGTTTGCTGAATGTGTCGAACTTGTTGTTTATTGTTATGTTTTACATTTAAATCACTTTATATATCGACACTCATAAGCTTCAATATAGTTTTTTCTTGATATACCGAATTTTTATATTTCAAACGCGCTCTCCGTTTACATTTTCGGCTGCTTTTTCCAATTATGTATTTATTCAATCACTTCAAAATAAATATCAAACTGAATTAATTTGAACCAAACAAAATTCTAAGAGTTTTGTATGCCACTCGCCTACTGTTTAAAATGCGATAACATAGTGTTTTAATTTGTCAAACGCATCAAATAATCAGCAGGGGCCAGTTTACAAAACACGACAAAATTTTCCGCTCAAAAATTTCCACCGCCAAAAGCACAGTGGAGCAGATAGAATGACAATTTCTATTCTTTAGTAAGCCTGTTGTGAACGTGAAATATAATTATTTTTCGTCATTATTTATTATTTTCTTCTTCTTTTTTTTTGAACCAGTTTATTTTTTAAATACAACTTAACTATTTATGGTTTTCAAGTTTTTCAATGAATAAAAATTTAGTTAGGTGTTTAAAAACTATCTATTAGCGCAGCATTTGTTGTTCTGACCCCCTTACCCACTGTGCACTGTTTAGTCTCAAAACCATAGGAAAACGAATTTTAAAAGACACAAAGAGAGCGGAGCACACGCACACCCTCAAACACTCTCTGGGCGAAACCAGCGAGCAAAAGAGAATGGTATAAAAAACATTACCTAATTGTTATTGTTTTTGTTTGCGTTTGCACTGACAGAAAAAGAGAGAGAGAAAAGCGAGAAAAGCCCGTCGCAGATTGTTTGCGATTGTTGTTTGTTATCGTTTGTCCCCCTCTGCACTTTTCGCATTTTTGTTTACCTCGCCAGGTTGCCTTTCTCTCACGAGCGTCTGTGTAAGTGCGGCCTGGGTTGGCTTATATGTATGTGTGTGTTCGAATAACACGCGCCCTGTTGCATGCAAAACTCAAATTAAAAGGCAAATTGCAATTGGTAATTATACAGGCAGTCGAAAGGGACAAACAATTGCACGCTCTTGTTGCACACTTTTCCACGAAATTTGCTTTAGAATAAATACACAAATTACGTCACGCATATCGGTGTGAGTTTAGGACTACTTAGTTGTTGTTGTTATCGAAGTTTTCCCTTCGATTTTCGCGTTGCGTAGTTTGTATATGTTTTGTTTCGCACATAATAAAATACGCTCAGCTTACATTTTGTTTTTGTTTTTACGCACTTTGACTTTCGCGCATTTTTATTTCGCGCACCCAAATTTCTTCTTTTTGTTATACAACTTTGAGCGAAGGATTTTGATTTTGTATTTATGCGGCCAATCAACAGAAGTGGCGCTTTATCGGGCATTTAACCGAACCGTGCTCCATTCAGCATACAGCTATCGATGATTAGGCATCCGCGACCCAACAACAACCGATCACAAAGACGTTTAAAATGCGAAAGATAGAAATAGAAACCGAGTTGCGCATTTTCATGCTGGCCAACAAAGAGGGTTGCCAGATAGTCGCAGCGCTAATCGGGTAATAAAGGACTGAGTTTTTGGAATCGAGACATCATATATTTTTGGGTTCGTGAACTTTTAAAAGACCAGCCGAATAGTTTAGTTGTTTTGTTAAGCGGATGTTGCTGATGGGTTCTTTATTTAAACAAACATTTTATTAATATAAGGCTTTGTTCTTGATTTACTATTAATTGGCTTCATCTGAGCGCTTAAACTGAGTATTTATATGTTACGTGTAACAAGCGTTTTTTATTGAAAATCAACATTTTTGTTTCTTTTATACCATTTCGTCTTATCTCTTTCGTTTTTAAGAATTGCCATTATTTTGGGAGTTCAAACATATTTCTTAAATTTTTTGTATGTTTAAAATTAAAATGAGAAACTCTGAACCGACCAATGGCGACGTATAAACCACTCCCAACTTTCTCAACAGTCCGGCAACCCATCCACGTGTGCTCTTTTCACGCTTCCTCTCGCACACTCTCCCTTAAATCGCACGAAACATACAACAAACATCAAAACAATAACTTTGTGTACACATGCTCGTTGATATTCACAGCACTTTGCGTATTAATTAATGCTCACACTAGTTATTGAATTTAAATGCATTTTTTAACAATATTATTAAATCACACAGAACACACAATTGCTCTCTTTATCTCTCTCTCTCTGTATGCCAACAATATGATGTCAGAGGAAACCTTTTCCATACAGCTCGACAGGAAAAAATAAATTGGAATCCAATATGCATGCTTTTCCTTACGATTTGCCTTTGGCAAAAAACTTGTTTTTAGGATACCTATCCGAAATTTTGCGCGTTACAATTTCGGGAGAAGAGCATACAGAAAAAAAAAAACAAACTTCAATTTTCAAGGTCACTTTAGAAGTTCTCCAAAAAATTACACACACTTTCTTCACCGCGTGCCCGCCTCCCACAACACTGAGATTGTTACGAAAACACAAGTTATCAATATGGGACTTAGCTTACTTCGCACTCGACTCAGTTTACTGTATTTAAAAATATTTGTCAAATAGAGCCGCGAAACACCGTCCGCGACAAATAACGAGCTCTGGCCAGTGTTACCAACTGGCTCAAATTCTCTGTCACCAACTATTTGCGTGTCAACGCCATTTTTCGAGGAAACTACAATGTTCACACTGAACTTCTTGACTACAAGTACAGTAAACATCGCTTTTGTAATATTTGACCCATCTTAAGGCTGGGATTGGTCATTTCTGTATTTTTACTGTTTGTGCCAAGAGGGACATAGTAGATAATGTTCGAGCTATAAATATTTCACATGCTGCTTCTAATCCTTTTGATTGGGGGCTTTAGGTCCGTTTTTTCTCTAATATTTGTAATTAAAATCCAAACTGTAACATAATTAGATTTCAATATATTTTAATATTTAGTTTCATCTTGAACTGGTAACTTAAAGCCCATCACAAATAATAACTGGTTAGTGGAAGCCCATGGCAAATTTCTTCAGCATTTATTCGGTATTTTTCTAAAGCCCCACAACGTACCTTGGTCACATCAATGAAAAGCCAACTCAGCTGAAAGTGAACTGAACTGAACCCATTTTTATACACAAAAATTTAGTAGCTGCAGCGAAATAAGTTAATTTCTTCTGACCACTGAGCCCCAAGACAATGCAAAATGCGGCTGGCCAACGAAAAAGCGAAAAAGCAACACCAGCTGAGTGACTTGGCCCTGTTTGTGGGTCTGGCGATCTGCTGTCTTCCAACTTTGACGTGGGCCTCTACTCTTTCCGACAAGCGACTGTGCGCCGACCCAAAATGTGAACGTAAGTTGTAATCTGCGGCCAGACAAGACAGCCTTGGACGCTTGATAGCTTTATTTTTCTTGAAATTGCATAATTAACATGGAATTTGGTCTGATTTTGGCCTTTCAGAGATAATCTCGACTGGCATTGCCAAAATCAGCTATGCAACCGGCGGTGAAGGGCTGATATCCTTTAAGATCAACTCCCCTATTCGAGTCCTGTCCAAAAGCGCCGGTTCCAATAAGCAGCTGTGGGGCGTCGAAATTAACGGGCGGCGCGGCTATGCTAACAAAGACTTCATCATGGAGAAGAAGGTACAGGTTCGGGATAAGGATCTATTGTTTGAAGTGCCAGTGGTGGGACCCGGCAGTCCTGTCCAGGTCGTGGAGGAGTCACTGCAGCCAGTTCTAAACGCCTCTGAGTCAGCTGATGACTTGGCAACGACCACAACGTCACCACTTGAGGTTAACGTTAATTCAATAGTTGTGGAGCAAGAAAAAGCGGTGGATCAGCTGGTTCCTGATCCAACGTTGGCTACCAAAGCCCAGGTGCAGCTGGTGGAAGGCACTGAGCTGCCAGTGGAGGTGATTCAAGCTGTCACCGAAAGCGCAGCTGTTTCTGAAAAAATAAAAGAGACCCAGGACGCACCGAAATCCGAATTTGCCTCGGCAATTGTTGACACGAAAGAGCCAAAGGCTTTGGACTTGGACTCCAGTAAGCCCCAGGTAGATTCTAAGGAAGAACCGTCTGTCTCCGGACGTCAGGAGCCAATTCCATTGCCGCAGGCTATCAACGCTGAACTGGAAGACAGTGACGATTTCGATTACGGGGATGACGAAGTAGAGGAAGACGATATCGAACTGAAACAAGGCAGGCAAGATAACGAGTCCATCGCCGAACAAGCAAACGATAAGAAATCAATTAACGAATCGATTGAACTGAATCCGAATTTGAACCCAACTAATAACTTGGTCAACCAAAAAGAAGAGCCCAAACTTGAGAAGGCAGAAGCCGAGGTACCAAAGCTTGAAGACGAAAAATCCGTAGTCTCAGAAACTCCCGACAGCCCCGTTTTAGCAGCTTCAAATGATACCACAACAGTAGATGAAATAGAGGTGAAGGAAACTCCCAAGGACGAAATGGATAAAATCGTGGAACCAAAGATTTTAGATGCTCTGTCAGTAGAGGCCACCGGAAATTCAGTTGTTAATGATGAAGTTCAAGAAGACATAGCTAAGCTGGCCGATGAAGTCCGAGCTGAACCCAACAAAGAAAACCCAATCGAACCGATTGTTTCTCAACCTGAGCCGGAAATAAAATCTGAATCTGAATCATTGACCAGTTCTACAACTCCTGTCATTAAAGAGGCTCCTTTGAAAGTGGAACCTGTTGGCCTGCCGCCTCTGTTCGAAAAGAAGAACTTTGAGAATCCCAATGATTATTATAAGCAGCTACAGGAACAGCAGAAGAAGGCAAACGAGGAAGCCGAGCAGCAGAAGAGGTTAATCGAAGAGGCCGAGCAGCAAAGAAAGTTACAGGAAGAAGCAGAGGAGCAAAGGAGGTTGCAGGAAGAAGCGGAGAAGCAAAGGAGGTTAGATGAAGAAGCAGAGGAGCAAAAGAGGATTCGTGAGGAAGCTGAGCAGCAGAAAATATTAAATGAAGAAGCGGAGAAACAGAAAAGGTTAGACTTAGAAGCGGAGCAACAGAAGAGGTTACAGGAGGTAGCTGATCAGCAGCACTCCAACGAGTCTGTAGAACCAGAGTCCAACGAGGTTGTTGATAACCGAAATGACTACTACAACCAGCAACAGTCAGAGCAGAATTACCAGCATCACCATTATCAACATCCCACGGAAAGTGCCTATCAATACTCATCGAGTGCAGAGCAAACTACTCCAACTCCGGACCTAGAATCCCCGTATGGCGCAATCCATGAAGAGACCACACAAGCACCCGAAGCGGTCTCGGAACGTGCGGGAGTTGGTTCCGTGGAGCCCGTGGCTCTACCGGCCACAGCTAGTCCTGTGTCGGAGGTGCCCGTCAAGGATGACGGCGTCGGCTTCGGTCTCTTCGCTACAATTGTGGACACCGTGAACAATTTCATCGGAAAGGAAGCACATAATACCCCAATAGATGGCGGCGATGAACTGCAAAGAATTTTATATCCAGGAACGCCTGAGGTGGCATCCCATCGAAAGAGAACCGAAGGTGAGTAACTATGTCATGTACTTCAATTTTTTCCATGTGAGTAAAAAAAGTCATAAAATAACTTTAATATGAAGAAAGGCAAAAGCTTATTTTGTACACATACTGTTAACTCTTCAATCAAAGAAGTATAAAGTACAACAAAAGTAATACTAATTTACACTTAAGCTCATATTAAAAAAATGCAATTAAAATATTTTAATCGACGTGCTTAATAACATTTTCCCCCTTTATTTTTACAGACTCTGTTCCCGCTGACATAGATGGTTTTTGTGCTCGGTTTCAATCCGAGAATGCGCACTGCCATCGCTCGATATCCCTGGATAATTTTGCGGAAATAATGGCTGGGAAGTTGGTGGACCACAGTCAGCTTTTACTGTGCGTGGTTATTGCGGCGGCCTCCTCTCTCTTCTTTGTGTTCGCCTACTACTGCTTCTGCAACAGCAGCCAGGAGGGCGCACTTCTCTCGAAGCTGAACCACTTGGAGCGCAGTCTGCTGGCCTCTCACAAGGAAAACCTGATCATCAAGCACGACCTTATGACTACACGAACAAAGTTGGCCAGCATCGAGGACAACTCCTTTGGCTCGAACGACATGGTGGCCGATCTCAAGAAGCAGTTGGAATCAGAACTATACGAGAAGGCGAAGCTGCAGGAGCAGGTTGGCTCGCTGGAAAGGGTAGGGCTAAGGAACATCCTATTCAGATCGGATTTTAACTAGTCTTTTCCCTTGCTAGGATCTGGATAATGCGGCTGAGGCTGGACTAGAGCTGAATAAAATGCTATCCGAGGTTTTGAGTAGTCAAAATGGGGACGAAGCCTTCATGAGCACCGTCGATGAGCTACAAAGACAGCTAAACGACCAAGAAAGTGAGTAAATATAACTATTTATTTTGAAAGTTGGACTTGTTGTCAGATAAGAAAGGTTTTCATTTAATTTCTTATATTTATTTCTATGAAAACTTTAAGCTTCTTAAATAGTTTTAACTTATTATGAAGTTAATTTTATATCATTTAAGCATGCCAATTAGAGACTACTAAGGATATAACTCGCACACTTTTTCAGAGATCATCATCGAGATAAACTCAAGTCTGGCTGAGAAGAGTCGCGAGAACAGCGAACTTCAGTACTCCTTTACGGAGGCCACAGCTCGTCTCACCGCCGATTTGAAGGCCCTACAAGAGGACAACTACGAGTTGGAGATGGAAAAGTCAAAGCTGCAAACCCGCCTCGAGGAAATCCAGGCGGAGACGGAATTGGAGTTGGCCAAGGCGCTGGAGGCACGCAACTACGAAATGCAGAAGCTGCAGAAACAAATCCTCGATCTGACCGCCAAGTGGGAACGGGAACACGGCGATCTGCAGACCAGTCTGGCTAAGATCGAAGCGCTCGAGGACTGCCTGAAGGCCGTGAAGAAGGACGCCAACCTGAACGTCCAGGAGCTGATTACATCGGCCAAGACGCGCGGAGAACTGAATGCCGCCCATAAGAAGTTCGTCGAGGTACAGGCGAAGGTTGAGCAGGAAGTTGCCCACAGGCAGCGCCTGGAGAGCCAGCTGCAGCAGTCAAGTGCCGACGTCGAGCAGCTGAAGCAGGACTTTAACCAATCGGAGCGCGACAAGCTGGAGGCCCAAACGCGACTTGAGGTCCTATCCGGCTACTTCCGCGAAAAGGAGAACGAACTTAAAAAGTAGCCTATCTAAGTTTATTTAGAACATTTATTTATCTTATATTTTCTTTTAGAGAGCTCAGTTTGCAGGAGACTAAGTGGCTGCAACATCAAGGGGAAAACGCCAGCACTGTGGAGACCCAGACGCTGATGAAGAACGAAATTCAAACTCTCAAGTGAGCCACCAAGAAATTTGAAAGCTTGCTTAGCCTAAAGCAAATCCTTTTAATCATTTGGAGCTTTTAAATTTTTTTAGTAGATAACACGTATTTTCTAAATATCCATATTAATTTCCAGATCTCAGAACGATGAACTGCGTGCCGAGATCGAGGCCCAGATTGCCTCGCACAAGGCACAGATGGGCACGCTGGAAAACCGTGCCCATGAATCCTGGCTGGCAGCGCGCCAGTCGGAGCGCCGTTGCGAGGAGGCGCTGGCTGAGGCCGCTGGCCTTAGGCGCAAGCTGACCACCATGGCCAGCGGAGGAGGTGGAGTAGGCGCCGGAGATCCGACTGTAATGGAGGCCATCGCCGCCAACGGAGCACCCGTGCTGGGGGCGGAACTTAAGACGGCTCCGTCACCGCTGCCCTTGCCGGGCTCGCCACTGCTGAACATGCCAAATCCACTGCCATTCCTGGCGGCACCCTTCTCTCCGTTCATGGGCCTGCCGCCGCCGTTCCTGCCGCCAACGGGAGCGGGAGGGGCACGTCCCCCGCCCCTGGGACGCATGCGCTCTCCGCCACCATCTAGCCGAGGCGATCGGGATCGGGACCGGTACTCGGACTACAGCGATTACGATGACTACGACGACGACGAGGAGGACGAGCGGGGCATGGACCGCCGTCGAAGGCACAGCGGCAGCTGGGGCCGCCGCCATCGCGACTCCTACAACCACTCGCCGCGCACATATCGTTCGCTGTCGCCGTCGGACAGTCGGTACAACTACAACGACACGGAGACGGACTTCAGTCCACCGCCCAGTCCGCCGCCAGTTTCCTCGGGACGGAACGCGACATCGCGACCCTACAGCGAGGTGTGAAGGAAGGCTCTTTCCGTGCGACCAAGTCCTACCAAGTATATTAGACTCAAAACTAGTTCAAATATATTTATTAATCAACGACTATCGAACGATCGGGTCGGGGCGAGTCGGGTTGGCCTCTCAAACCGATTCCACTAACAGGGATCTCAGGAGAATCCATCAACATCAACTACTAAGAAAACTCCTGACTCAATGGTGAATGAATGATATCCAAAAAAATTGAATGAAATTAAACACATTGACAAAAAACCCAATTTTGCTGTTTATACCTTGGGATTATTTACTATCGGGCTGGGCTTAGTTTTATTAAACAAATTTTTATAGTTTATATACAGTCAAGGCACAATTGCACAATTTATTTCTATAAGAATAGAAACCCTAAGAAGTTACCTATAATAACAATATAGTTAGCCTCTTTGTTTAACAATCATATTTGAAATTTTTTAATAAAACAAATTAGTCTTTTAGACAAATCACGACTCTTGTGGTAAGAGCTCCAGCTCTATAGACTCGCCAGGTATTTGTGAATAAACACTGTTCGTGGCATTGAAGGAAACATGAAGTTTTGGATGTCTAAAATGCTGGGATATCTGGAAAACAAGAAGAGTTTTTATATTAAACAAGGGCGCGTCGAGTGCATCGGTTATCAGATAATTTAAGCATATCAATATGAGACAGACATATATACACTTGTCTAGTTTAAATGTCGCAAGTGATTTCTTCTACCTGTCATATCATTATTAACAAACACTTTAGATAAGAGAAATGTTCTCACCAAAGTTTCCTTTCCGGTTTTGTAAAAGTGCATGCATAAAGGCTCCATCCGTTGGTTTAAGGCTCGGTTCATGGTTGCCTTGGTAAAAGCAAAGAATTCGTCGTATAGTGTCTGATTGGACATACTGAAAACCTTGAGACGTGGACAGGCCAGCACAACGTCCCAAATACCGTCGGCGTTTGCCCAGATCCGTGTGTTCTCCAGATGCAGTTGCTCCAAAAGGGGAAAGCAGCTGATTATTGTGCGGAAGTCGACGGCGCAACATCCCTCATCGTCGACGAGTGTCAGACAACGGATACCACGGAACTTTCCGAGTATTTCAGTGCTTCTCATCCAGATATTATCGCTGAAGACGGCCGTCACCACATCTTGACCTCTTTGACGTCCAATATCCGCCAACACTTCGTCCAGCAGCTCAAAGTTGTGCAGACGGAGCTTCTTTAACTTGGGCAGGAGCATTATCTTGCGGGTGTTTTCGGGCGACAGGTTGACTATGTCCAGCTCCAGCTCCTCCAGTTCCTGCAGCTGGCAGATGGCCCGCACGTAGGCATCCTCTTCGGCTTTGTGCCACTGGATGCTCAGGGACTGGAGTCGGAGACTCTGGCAGATGTCCTCGAAGCACTGGGTGCTCAGGTACCAGCACAGCTGGAGGTCTAAGCGCCTCAGGTTCGTCCATCGGCTAATGTGCTGGCCACTGCAGTTTCCGCTCAGCCCGATGGCTTCCAGATGCGGAAAGCAGTACACCAGGATAGCGATATCGGAGTCTCCCTCGATTTCGCTGTCCTCATCCGCCATGTAGGTCAACTCCCGACAGTTTGGGAATGTGAAGTACCTCCACCGATCCAGTTGATCCGTGGTCAGGTACTTGAGGGTGAGTTCCGTCAGAGTGCAGCGGATGCTATAAAGGAATACGTCGAGAAGTCCTCTTTTTCCGCCGAACGTGTCCTGGTCCAATGCGTGCTCGGTCCGGTGCTGCCAGGCGTACGAAATCACCGATCTCAGGCGGGAGTTGGAATCGGCACTTTGCCACAGCTGCAGTTGCTCCTCCAGATCCAGGTACTCTACAATTTTACTGGACAACATTTAACCCAGGATCGAACCAAGATTCTGCTCAAGGCGACTTACAGTAAACAATCATCATTCAGCACCTCAATGCATTCCATTTCGACTGGTCTAAAAAGGCCTGGAACCAGATGGATCGAGTTTATAAAGCCAAATCTGTTGCTTCCGATGATGAAAACAAACTATCAAAACATGCTACCAAAACAGCTTTTGACGCTAAAAGCTTTCGGCTGTTGTCGACTATCGATTCCGAAACACTCCACCAATCGGGCTATTCGATAGATAAGAAATTATGTGATAAGAGTATAACTTAGGTTTACATTTCCGCAGTTCGGAAAAATATTATTACGCGAGGTTGAAATTTGTACACACCCAAAAACAGTATTAAACGCTTTTGTTAAATGCTAAATTTAGAATAAAGAATAAATAAGAGTATGCCCATGTTGGGGTTTTTATTCGTCAATCAAATTGCCAAACGTTCATTGATTTGAAAAGTATGTGGAATGTTGCTGGGTATTAACAAAATAAAGATGTGGTGCCCTAAAACTTTTCTCAGCCATTTAAAACTGCATATGCAACACTTAGTAAATGTTCAAACCAAATTTATCAATTCTTGATTTTTTAAGATTATGGACAGACTGACAAGGCTAGAGATCCACTCTAAAAATAATCGTGAGCAATATTTAAATAATAATCTCTCACTGAATCTTATCAAAAACATAAAAACTTTAAATAAGATACGTAAATAAGTATGTTTCCCTAATCACAACCGGCAAAAATAAGAATTTTACTTTGTGGAATTTTTTAAGTAAAACAAAACCATATAAATAAAAAATTGAAAGTATCCAAATTCTTCTGAATATTTCTGATATTATATTATAAGATTTATATTTGTTGCTCTACTCTTCACAGTTGTTTACCTAGGTTTGAGGTAATCACCATTAAACTTGTTTATCTCCGACTCAATATTTTTACTATTGCGAATGCCTATGCGACTTTTAAGATAAGATTAGGGAAAATATTTCTTCAAATCCATTTATAATTGTCAATCAGAAGTTTCTTCAAGGGGTTTCAGTCGATTTCCAGTTTTCGAAATGACCCCACAGCTCCGAAGGATGAGCGATGGTCCTTGGGCATATGATCCCCAAATTCACGCAACTTGTCATCAGCTCCAAAATTCTGTGATTCTTGAAAGTAAGGTGCATAACTAGACAGTTTTGCTTCCATAGCTCGACTTATATCCTGAATGCTGCCCCCAGTTCCTTTGTACTCCTTGGGCAGATACTCGCTTCGTACTATATCAAATATAGCCGCCGGATCAGAGCTCACTGAGATCTAAAAGAACAACATTTATTTAGCTATGAGGTGAGTGATTATGATAAACAGACTCACCCGATTCTTGATTTTGGCCGGAAAGAAGGAACGCAACGTATTGAATCCCGTTTCGAAGGCCGCTGGCACATTGATGAAGTGTATTCCCTTCTGGCGGGTTGGCATAGCTTCATCCGCGTAGGTGGAAAACTTGCTCAGCAACTGCGGCTGGAGAGCAAAGAGGTGGGCACCAGTTACGCCACTCATGTCCATAATCTCCACATATCCGCTGACGGTGGCATTGTCGTCCTCGAACATCATGATCTCACCGAACATGGAACCAACGCGAATGATGTCCTGGAACTTGTACTTGCTCGTGTCGTAGAATCCAGCTCGAATAATAGTCACACGAGGTCCCGGATCGTCCGCATCCATGGGAATTTGAAGAAGAACTCTGTGGACAGTTAACCAGAATATATTAATATGTTGGATATCTAGGGGTACCTGCCACATCACAGTTTGTGAAAAACATTGATGATCCCTGTTCAGAACAGACTGCTAGCACCTAGCCAGGTGCTCATAGGTGTACCACTGCACCTGCAGCTCTCTTGTGCGCTTTTTACAAGAAGCTACACTCTTCCCGTCCTTATCTCATCTACATATGTCGCGTTATCTATTCAGCTACATTTAAGCAGCCTTGTATAAAGAAGCCACGCTTTAAACTCAGTTCATTTGTAAATTAAAACATAGACATTTCGCATATCACACATTCGCATATTCGTACATAACACAACAGTTCGATCAAAGGCAGTTCTAGCGCCAAAGATCGCAAATAAATACATTTAATAAACCCTAACGTGCTTTTAATTATATTTTCAAGGGTGGCATTTAAGTTGTCTTCTCCACAAACGACATATAGAAAACAACAGTTAACTACTTGATTTTTTAATCTATTATTATATGTAATAAAGAAAAATTGGCTAATGTAGTAAAGGTCTAATGTAATGTAAATTGAGTTAACAAAGTTTGGAACAGCTGTTTCAGTAAATGTGGATTTATTTAAGCCTTTGGCTCTAGAAAATTTACGCTTACCCCATTCTTATGATGTCCAGCACCTGGGGATCGGTTGCCAAGCGGCGTTCGTTGAACACCTCTGGAATAGACCTCTGCAGCGTGTAGAACCGATCGAACTTCTCCTTGGCCCGTTCCAAACTGAACTTGGTGCCGCGCAGGAAGGCGAGGAGGAACTGGTCGTTGGTGCAGGCCCTCAGATGTGGTTGCTTAAGAACCCACTCCCTAAGAGCCTCAATATCCTGGGGCACCTGTTGGGGTATCTCGTTCAACTCCTGGATGGCTATGGTAAGCAGGGCGGGTTTTAAGGGTCGCACCGAACTCATTTTGAGAAATCAAATGTGTAATTCCCGCGATAATTGGCGCCCTGAATTGGTAAAAATCGTTAATTTACCTAGTCGCCCTTCCTCACAAACATTATCTTACTTCCCAGCTGAGTTTTCGATGGTTTAAACTTTTAAGTAGCTCTTCCGATGGGAATTCGGATTGCGTGCATATGTTTACCGTTTGAAAATACCTTGTCGACTGCCGAATTGATATACCAGTAACATGTGGAATCAACGTACTATTGCCTGATCATAAGCCGATTTAACAATGCACGAAGACATTGTCGGCAGGGTGGTTGGGTGTTTGTGAGGCGTTGGGTGGATTTTGGGGCCTTGGGTGGGTGGTGGTGGGTGGTACCAGGCTGGCGCTTGCAGTATTCCAGTCGATTCACTTCGTTATGGGTCGCTCTGCGATTGATTGTCTTAATTGGCTTTGGATTTTATTTTTGAGTGCATGCGGCTGCGGTTTTTGCTGGCCCAGATATGAGCTGTTAAGTCCTATTGATAAAGAAGGTTAATCGAGTGCAATTACTTAACGAAATGCGGATTGATAACGTGCCCGTTGGTAGCGGACTCGTGAACTTGAAAGTCAAAGAGGAAATTAAAATTAATTATATTTAAGCTTTTATACATGAAATAATTTGATGCATTAAAAATGGGTTAGGGGACATGCAGTTCCTAATAGCTTATATGACTACCCGTTGAATTAATCTTTTGGCCTTGTCTATTATCATTAATATCGTAAATTGTATTTCTTTTTTGTGTCAGAGTCTATGTTAACAGTAGCTTCTCTTAATAAGAATGATTAAATAAAATAAAATCAATGGTCTCAACCGTTATGCCGAAAGGGTATAATTTATGAAAGAGATTACTTTTTAAATTAATTAGTTAATTAACTGATATCAATATTATTTTAAACGAGGACAATTTTTGAAACTAACTATCTAACGGATGGGAGAATACCGTAATTTTTGGATGAAATATTTTTTAGTGCTTTTGTATGGTGTATTTGAACGGCCACACTGCTTAGGTCAGGTTTTTTAAGGGAAAAACATCTGACAAAAAAATTGAAATCTTCCCGATGACAAGTGTAGAGGAGAATCCGTTCGCCGCCCTGCTCCAGGAGGGCTCCAATTCAGATGGCGTGTCTCACAAACTGGTCGAGGATGTGCTCCTGTTCACGCTTAACAAGGCGTCCCTTGCCTCAGGCCTCTGCTTGGCGGACGTGGTGGTGGATACCAGTGAGCAGTCTCTGAGCGAGGACCTGGTGGCCCACGCCCTCTTTGAACGCTTAATGCTGGGCGAGACAGGCCAGTATGCAGTGGGAAACGCAAGCCCGGAAGCCTTGGAGTCGCGTGCCTTGTGCTACCTGCGAGGGGCTTTCTCTAGGTGTGAACGCATCCAATCGGAAAAGAAAACTGACTGCTCCAAAGTCCTCGCCTTGATTCTCAACAATGCCAGCACCTGCATGAGACAGCCAGACCTCTTTGCCCCACAATCATTCACCGCCCAATGGCTGGAGATGTTCGAGCAAGCCGATGAGCACGATACAAGCACCCAGGAGTTCCTGGTCCGCGTCGCCTGCAAAGTGGTAGAGGAGGACGAGCCGATCGAGGCTCTGGGCGCCCTAAAGGCTATCTTCTACCCACTGCTTACTGAGCTCCAAAAGCTTATTGCCAAGGAGAACTTGATTACGGTTAAGCAAAACGTATTCTGGATCCTCGGCTTCTTTGTACGCGATAAGCGAGCAGCCGAGCTAGGCGAGCTGCTAATTGACTTCACTACTCCCAACCCCAAGGCTAAAGGTAAGATATTTTTAAAATTTATTGAAGTAAACAATCGAAAATATAACGTTGTCTCTATCTATAACATCAACTAAAAGTGCGCCGAGTGGCTTATATGCTTTAAGTTAAAAAAAAAGTTTACATTAAAATTTAAATATGTATTTGCTAAAAATGTTAGTGAATGGTTTAAAAATTGAGAAAATAAGGCTATTGACATTTTTTATGTTTTTTAGGTGGCGAATATATGGACACTTTGCTGGGCAGTCTTCTGTGCATCTCAATCCTGCCCAAGACTCAAACGGCAAAGTACGAGTTTTTCCAAGAGCTTGTAGGGAACCATACGGACTCTGCCCTTTGGGCCCTTTTGTCCCATCACCAGCACTCTATTTTCTTGCTTGTCAAGCAGTTGCTTGTTCTGTCTCCGGAAACGAAGAAGAAGACACTTCAATGGATAGCTAATTGCTTGGATTCAAATGTGTCACGTGGTCACCTGTGGAGCAGCATCAATCTGAACTTGGACCAGACGGTTCATAGCACAGCCAGCGATTCCTTTATGACCGGCCTAAGTGCAGTCCTCACCCGTCTCTGTGCTCCTCTCTGCGTCCCCTCGTTAAAGGTAAAGACTGGTGAAATATCGTGAAATATTTAAACGTTTCCTTAAACGTTTAAACGTTCTACCCAAAGTTGGAATCTACACCCCTTTCTCTCTAGTCCGCAACTTTTAAACAACGCTTTTCATATTAATCGCAGGTTCTTCTGGTGGACCCCACGTATTGTGCAGTGCAGGACAAGGATCGGCAGGCGAAGGGCGTAAGTCTGTTGAAGGCCCACGACGAGACATGCCTGCTTCCCAGCGCTGAGGGTGAGGAGCGTCTGACGGCCGAAAAGTACAATTTCGTGACTGAGATCTTCTACATGACCCACAAGTGCTTTGAACTGGCCAATCGTCCATGCATCGAGCGGCTAACTCGCCTGATGCGTGAACTACAGAATACACAGACAGCCTACAGCGAACTCCTAAACAGCGACCCCAACAACGAGCTGACTAAGAACCTGTTTCGCATGATGATGGAACAGATGCAGCAGGTGCTGTGCATCAGGAACACGCTTTCGGAACCCACAAATGACACGTCCATGCTGAAGTTCTTCGAGGCCTCGGCGATCTGGCTGACGGAGGTGGCGATGCTGCCTCGGGAGTCTTACGAACAGTGTTTGGACAAGCGGGACTTTTCGCCCCAAGTATTCCGTAACCTTGAGTTGCTCTCGGACACGCCTCCCTTCGTCGCTCCTTATATGCAATCGGTGCCTGAGGGCATAATCGACAACATATCGGGGTATTTGAACTTTTGCCGGCGACTGACCGGGGATCAGTACATTGATATTTACTTTTCGGCCCACGACGCCTTTTTTAAGATGATACTGCTGTTTATGGGCAGTTCGGGGTTGGTCAAAAATCCCCATCTGCGTGCCAAACTGGCCGAGGCCCTAGAATTTTTTCTGCCCTCACAGATTATGGGCAGCAATCGAAAGACCTTTGACACCCATGTCTTCGACAACCATCCGGATAAGTTAAAGGTGGTCCGCAGTCTGCTCAACGTGTTTGTAAGCATAGAAATGACAGGCCAATCGGTGCAGTTTGAGCAAAAATTTAACTACCGCCGGCCCATGTATGCCATAATGGAATTTCTGTGGACAAAGCCGGAGCATGTGCAGTGTTTTCGGGACTTGGCCATTGAAGCGGAGCAGAACATGGACGCTATTGAGCCGCCAATCTTCCTTCGGTTTATTAATTTGCTGATTAATGATGCCATCTTCCTGTTGGACGAATCCTTGTCGAATCTAGAGCAGATCAAGCAGCTACAGCAAGCCCAGGACAACGGCGAATGGAATAGCCTGTCCCACAATGAGCGACAACAGCAGGTGACCAACCTGCAGCACTTGGGAATGTTGGCGCGCTTTGATAACATTCTCGGAAGGGACACCATCAACATACTGAAACTGTTGACAACGGAGATCAGGAGCATCTTCTGCCATAACAGTATGGTGGATCGCATCGCTGCCATGCTGAACTACTTTCTGTTGCATTTAGTTGGGCCGAGGAAGGAACGCTTCAAGGTCAAGGACAAGAAGGAGTTTGACTTTGATCCGGCTCAGACGGTGCTGGAGATCTCTCACATCTACATCAACTTAAGCGCTGATGACAGCTTCTGTTTGGCAGTCTCGCAGGACGGGCGGTCATACAGTGAACAGCTATTCGGATACGCCGAGAACATCCTGATCCGGATCGGAGGAGGCCAGTTGATCGGCGATATGTCCGAGTTTGCTGTGAAGGTGGCGCGGATGGGAGCTCAGTATAAAGAGGAGCAGGAGTTGCTTGCCGATGCGCCGGAAGAGTATTTGGATCCGATTATCTCCACGCTGATGACAGATCCCGTCGTTCTGCCCAGCTCTAAGGTCACCGTGGATCGCTCCACCATCGCCCGGCATCTGCTGAGCGATCAGACTGACCCATTTAACCGCGAACCGCTCACCATGGACAAGGTGAAGTCCAACGAATCCTTGAAGCTAGAGATTGAGCAGTGGATTCAAGGAAAGCGAGAAGCGGCCCGCTCCAAAAGTTGAGGGATCGCCGAAGACGCAGCTGCTGGCGCGGTTGCCCAACCAAAGAGTTAACTCCATGGGATAACGGATCAGGCAATAGTCAATGTTTTTTTCATAAGAATTCCAGAATTTCAGAATTCAATCCTTGTACAGTTAGTGGGTTTTGAAATTTATTCTTACTCTGTTTTTCTTATTGGTCGAATAAATGGATCTATGTACGTTTTGAAACGAGGTGTCTTTAAGAATGTAATTTACCATTAGGATTTGGGGGATTTCTTCGTTTTGAATTCACTTATATTGCAATGTATATTCTTGTGATTTCTTTTTTTATTTAGACCAATACCTTAAAGCACATGTATTTTGATAAATGTTCAACTTTCATTTATAATTCAAAATTATAATATAAATTTATATGGCAATTAAATATATATATATTTCTTTTTTGTTAAAAGAAACTTAATTAAAATGCTTATAAACCGATGAACAGCTTGAATTCAAAGACGAATGACTTAAATATCTATACTAATATTATAAAGAGGTAAAATTTGTTTGTTTGTTTGTTTGTTTGTTTGTTTGTTTGTTTGTTTGCAGGGAATAGGCTCCGGAACTACTGGTCCGATTTAAAAAAATTCTTTCACCGATAGAAAGCTATATTATCGTGGAGTTAAATAGGCTATAATTTATTTTGAAAAAAATTAGGGATCCGTAAGAAAATTGCAATATTGTCGCATATAAAGTCAGTTGCTACCTCATCACACTGACAAACACGCTCCCATAGCATTTTAACTCAATTTTTGTGTTCACTGTGAAATTGTGAAAAAAAAAGAATTTTTATTCAATTCAAGTTGAACTGTGAAAATTATGTGGATCGTACATTTGAGGATAAATTCACCACTCTGTCCATAGTCCAAAATGCTTAGAGGACGACGTGCAAACATTGGCCGCAGACATCCAAGCCAGCAGCCAGTATATTCACAAAACTTAAGCGAAGAGAGACAAATGAGCACATGGAGATCATTGGCATCATTCAATCGCTTGGCATTCCAATATGACCCCACTGCGAACTACAGTGATAATGAAAATTTAGATATTGGACCAATGGCGACTATATACCGATATTGCAGTGCGTTAATGTTTAAAAGAGAAACGGCTGGATTGTGCTGCGCAAGTGGAAAAGACAAACTGGAAAAGTGTTAAATAACCATCTTTCTATACTTCCATATATTTAAAAAATGTTGCAACATTGACTTTTATGTTGTTAAATTGTGTTGACCAGCGAAGCGGACACAGGATCTCTAGTGTATAATAAAACACCAAATAAGAAATACAGTTCAGTTTAATTTCGAAATGCTGTTGTTTTACCAATATAGTTTAAATATTTAATCGCTTAACCCTTATTCCACTTCTATGATCTCTGATCCGCTAACATCATCGTCTGGGCTTACTGACTCAAGGAAACGCTGGAAGTGGCGACGCCCCGAAAGATACCACAACGCCTCATGGTAGCTGCTGGGCAGGACCTCCGGCAGCTTTTTGCTGCATGAGTAGGTCAGGTGCAGGCTGTTGCAGTGCACCTCCGTGAAGTGGTTCCCATCGATGGCTTCCACCATTGCTATCAGCTGAATGTAGTTCTCGTGGGTGTAAACTACGTGGGCCCTCAGCTTTATGTAGCTGTGCACCGGAATTTGCTGGGTGAAGGTGACGTCCGAAATGAATCGAATACAAGTATAATCGCTGCCGAAGAGGCAGGCCGTCATAAAGCTTAGCTCGATGGCGTTGCGCAGGATGAAGCCCCCGAAGATGGTGTTCGATTCGTTACGGTGCTGCGGGAACGGGTGCAGCAAGGTGCTGCGACTCCACTGGGACATCCAGCGACAGTTCGGGGGCAGAGTGGCCTCGTCCATTGGACCCTCTATGCCTTTCGTGCGAGTGAACACCTCGTACATGATTTGCTCCTCCTCCTTCGTGGGCTGCCGGTTGGCCTCTGAGTTGAACGGCTTGTCCGCCCGCTGTTTCTGCCGATCAAGAGCCTTCTGGTGTATGCATTCCTCGACGCCGTCGCAAGGATTCAGGGGATTGACTGGAGCCGGGCCGCTATTGGTGGCATTGCAAGCCTCCATCAAGAAAATGGCCTTCGCTAGCAACAATCCGTTTTGGCTCACGTGCGCAGTGACCTCCATGGAACTATTTTGTGTACACGAAACGTGACCCGAGAGGGACACGTCCACATCCACCTTGAATTTATCCCCCAGGAAGAGGGCATGGTCCACTAGCAGGGTGACAAAAGTGTAAGGCAGAGGAACGCCTTCCGGAAGATTCGGCAGATGCACATGGCGATAGCAGATCCACACTATTTATGAACAAGAATGGATTGAATAATATAAATAAGGATGGGATCTGCAGATTAACAAGAACCAAAAATTAGTTTTTGACTAATATTTTTTGGTTTCTTTTCTGTTTTCCGTTCGTTATTAACACAATTTCTATCAGAACCCCATAAAGTTTGTGTTTTTTTGATCAGCACCCCACACTAGGTAAATCGAACTAGACGTTCAAGTCTATATAATTAGTTTCCCAGTTTGAAAGCTATCACGCTGAAACTTTACCAGAAGTCGTGTAGTTATTTCACGCAGTATATAAATAGGAACGTGCCGAATCGGACGACAAAATAGAATAGCTTCCATAGGAGAGGTTGAAAAACCAAAGGATAAACGTTTTTAAGAACGTTTAAAGAAAGAAACAAATTTCATACAAATCTGACTACTTTATCATAAAGTTGTCATTGAAAAGATCATAATATCTATAAACGCAATAAATCTAAAAAATCTACATGCATTTAAATAAATGGTTAAACATTTTAGCATCGTTGTTTTTTCATACTTAAAATACATACTTACTTAAGCTTAATTTTCTGAATATAGAGTTTTCTTGCGTCAATTTGTTCAATGAGGGTCGTAAAACATTACAGCAAGCATTTACTTATCATTACATTCCTTCTAAATTCCCCCTGTCAAGTTGGCTTTCATTACCTTACCGGCGAGAAGGTCCAGTTCCTCGAGCATTCTGCCCATGCGCAACCGACCGTGGGCGTATACAAAACGTTCCCGCAGTAGTGCATCGGATTCCAGGGGTATTTTGGCGGTCGTGTGCGAATCCTTCATGGAACGTACAGGCAACTCGCTAAGCTTCGGCTGAAACTTAAGTAGTCCTTCCCGACTCTTCGGAATTGCATGATAGCCGCCTTCGACTCCCACGTTTTCTCGGATTTTCTTGGCCACTGCACTTAGGATTTGGATTAGTGGGCGAAATGAAATTACACTGTCACACGATTACCATCTGCCATGGTGCCCGAAAAGTGCCCGGACTCCAGTTGCTCTCCGCTGCATCCGGAAATCAGGTGACGCAAAGTCCTCAGCTGTGGCATTAGACTTCGCAACACGATCGATCTCCTCCTGAAGTACCGGCGCAAGTGCATTAAGAATTTGTGGGTTGCCTTTTGAAAAAAGTCAAATCCTATAAATTTAAAGTAGGAATTTGTAAAATGTACAGGTCTTTCTTGAAAATATTTAATGTCAATTAAAAAAGTTTTTAATATGTATGTTTTTTACAGAAGAAAAGAAGACAAGTGCTAAGTTTTAGTAAAAACATGCTTAGATGGGAAATAGTTAAGAGAAATCAGGATTAGAAGATATGTTAAATTTAAAAAAATACAATATGTTTTAATATTAAATAGGTAAAATTAATTCTTATTCTTTCTTTGCGCTGCCTTCGAAGAAGCCCGGCGGAAGACGTGGGTAGTATGGGAAGTACTATCAATTGTACAATTCAAAATGGTTATAGTGGGAATTACCCACCTGAAAACAGATATGAAAACCTTGAAGTGAGCTCAAAAACTTACGGAACATGTGAAACATATCAGAAATGAATACAAATTGGAGTGAGTTTTTGGGAAGCTAAAAATTTTAATAAATTTACTCCCGCTCATCGCCTGTCCGAATAAATGACCCACCTGGAATCGAGCGTTTTCGCCATCCCTGCCCCTAAATAAGCAGCGCGTTTATCTTGCATATTTTGGACCGACACTGCTTTACATCTTATTCCTATACATTTTGCAACTATTCAAGAAAGGCTTTAAAGCTACCAACCTCTCTGTTCGAAATCCGCTCCTGTTTTTAATCAGCGCTGTCATTTTACCCTTAATCGTGTGCGGTCACACTGCAGATGCATAAGGTTGTTTCCATATGAACTGAACTGACTGTTTTTTTTATACGAGTGCAAAAAAAATGGTTAAAACTGTATTTTAACCAATATATTTTATATAACATAACGGTCGTGCGTCTTATAATTGAAAAAGTGAAAGGAGGTTGACACGCACTAATCCGGCGCCGCCTCAGCGTGGTCGTCCTGCTCCAAACACCTCCTGAACCCCCAACCCCTTCTCCGCTCCCGGGTGCGCGAATCAATTACAACGTACGTTGTCGTAACGCGAAAATCGATTTTAGCTGCGGGCGCAGGCAGAATCAATAGAAAGAATGTTCCACTGCGATGTGGAAAAGGAAGTAGAGATAACATCGCCCACAAGGATGAAGCAGGTAGCCGATATTCGGAAGGTGCACACAGCCAGTCCGCAGGAGCGCTGGCGGAGCAGCATGCTCCTCCTGGCGGGAGTCGCCCTGTGTCTGCTGGCCACAGGATGCGAGGCCACTGACACGGACATCGCGCTGGACGCTAAGGCCACGCTAAACCATCGCATCCAGAGCCTTGACCTGCTCGTCTTCGTGTTCCTGCTGGCCCTTACGGTCCTTACCATCTGGCTGTTTAAGCACCACCGCGTCTCCTGGCTCCACGAGACCGGGCTGGCCGTCATCTATGGTAGGTTTGGGGCCTGCCTAGAAAGTTCTTTACATTTCACCACAGGATTGTAGGGCTGTGAAAAGGTTATTTGCTTAAATTTAACCCCGTTATAGACAGTTAAAACTAACTAAATTAAACTTTTATAATTGTATTCATGCTATCGCAAGTCATAAAGCTGCACAGAAGGAAAAGTTGGTTTATTAAAAAATATAAAAAATATATATGTATACATATATTCGTTTATCGAATTCCTTTAAAACAAATCTTCCAGGATCTAAATTTTTTTGTTAAAATAGGAGAACTACACCCAAGAGCTTTCTTTTTTTTCAAGCCGTTTAATCTTCCTACTGCCTTTTATAAACACTTGCATATCGGTCACCTGCGCCCGATGTTACCCCTGCGTTTTTTCATTGTCGCCTCTTTGTTGTCACATATTCGGAATTACGCTTTTCTGTACACCGGCCTTGACATTACGTGCGAGCATTTGAGAGCCACCCTGGGCAAAAGTAACGTCAACAACTATAGAAAAGCTGCACGCAACGACAACAGAACTATTGAAAGAACTCTTTGAAAGAGAAGACGAGACCTTGTCGTGCTTAGTCAGCCAATATCATTGGGGTCTTCCAACTAAATAATTTTCACTGCTGGTTTATGATCGCTCCAATCCGCCGAGTACTTTGTTATTCTAACATTTTAATACACAGTAAAGTACAATGTGTGAGGCAATAAAAAAGCAAACAAGATTTCTCCCGGCTAATTGAAACTAATGAAACAATTCAATAAAACAGGTTAGCATGGGCGTTGACGAAATCCCACGGCGGGCGTTAATTGGAATTGATTATAAAGCATTCCCCAACAGCGGCATAATTTTGCTATATACAACTTGATTTACATATATGTATTTAAAACAATATCAACTAGTACCTTTTGTAAGGCTGACTGAATGATTGTTTTTGTCAGTGATAGGGTTTGACTAAGCATTTTCTTATCGGTTTATTAGTCACACTATTACTTTTGCGATAGGTCAGGCCAGACTGTTCTATGTTTGAAACTTTACTGGAAATTCGAAATTCGAGAGTCATAAGAAAACTATTACGATGTAATCATTTTTTTCCGTTGTTATAGACAACTGACTGAATAGATTTGTGATATTTTCTAAGGCAGCCATATGATATAATTATCTGATTTTTATGAATTTTTTTTTATAATTCAAAAAAAAATTTGGTTCTCAAAAAAACCATGGTCTTGTAAAAAAAAACGACGGCGTTATCAATTTATTTCCATTAATTTTTTATAGAATTTCGATCTTTCCTATGGCAACTATATGATTGAGTTATCCGATTCTGATAAAATTTAATCCGAAATTTAATAGCTGCTAGAAAACGCCATCTGAAAGAAATCAAGTCGATATGATCGAAAACAACGGCGTAAGAATTTTTTATTTCATTCTCTCGTATGGGAGCTTTCCGATATAATCGGCCGATCCGGCCCGTTCCGACTTACATATATACTGCGTACAATAACTACACAACTTTTGGGAAACTTTAAGCAAGATAGCTTTAAAAATGAGAGACAAGTTTGCGTAGAAACGGACAGACAAGGGTTATAAAAAGAGCAACACTGTTTAATTCAAATTAAGATACACCATGGGACAAAACAATATTTTTTATAATTGTACACAATAAAAAATAAAATGTACTTCTTAGTATACAAAAATAGTCGTATATTAAGCAAAAACTTTTATAAATACTAATGGAAACTTGAAATGCGGTTTTGCTAATTTTAAGAAGATTTAAGTTATAATGAATAGAACGTATAATAGCATTGTACAATGTTGTTCGCTATCAATACTAATTCAAAAGCCTTGACTTGCTTACTTCGTTCCAGGCCTGATTGTGGGAGCAATTATTCGGTATGCGGGCACATCCGCCACGCTTGTCCACATGCAGGTGGAGCCTCAAGGGATTCCGACGTACAGCGATAAGTTGCCGCCCGATACGCTCTGGTTTAAAGTAAGTAGTTGAGAGGCAGAACAATTTCAACTCTAATACTTCTACTCAATTCAGTACCCTGTTAACCAAACGAATGGAACGAAGTTGCCGGAGGGCATTAAGACGTACGCATATGTGTTTCGGGGACAGGTCCACGATGTCGATGAAAACGAAATCGATCTCAAGGCAACTTTTGATCCGGAGGTGTTTTTCAACATAATCCTACCGCCAATCATCTTTTACGCGGGTTATAGCTTAAAAAAGGTTTGAGCATTTCGAAGCCTTCTCTTTTACAAACTGATTGACTGAATTTTGCTTTTGCAGAAATACTTTTTCCGAAATTTGGGTGCCATCCTCACCTTTGCCATTGTGGGCACCACTTTGTCGGCGTTTCTGATCGGAGGCTTCATGTACGGCTGTGTGAAACTGATGCCAAAGTACTTGAGCAGCAGCTTCACATTCCTGGACACTTTATACTTTGGAGCCCTGATATCACCCACAGATCCGCTCACCATTTTAGCCATATTTAACGATCTGCGGGTCGATGTAAATCTATATGCGCTTGTCTTGGGCGAATCTGTGCTCAACGATGCCGTGGCCATAGTCCTCAGCGGGTAAGTTTGGCTATTTTCTTCGATTGATTAGTTTAAACAGGTGCTGATTTCTTTGCAGAGCCATTCAAAACTATGGTGAACATTATTCCAACACCGGGGAATTTGAAACTACAGCTTTTCTGCGTTCGCTGAGCGACTTCTTCTCTATCTTTCTGCTCTCCCTGATGATTGGCGCCGCCATGGGCTGCCTGACAGCATTGATATCCTTTTAAAGCAAACGTTTATCGTCAATTGTTAATTTTAATCCCACAGCTACACCAATAGTTTCCTTAACTCCTGCCACACATGACCAAGTTTACGCGGGTACGCGATTTTCCCCTTTTAGAGTCAGCGCTCTTTGTGCTGATGAGCTACAGCACCTTTTTTGCTGGCTGAGGCCACCGAGCTAACTGGAGTGGTAGCCGTGCTCTTTTGCGGCATCTGCCAGGCTCACTACACCTACAACAACCTTTCGGAGGATTCGCGCCAAAGGACAAAACAGATATTCGAGCTGCTCAACTTTTTGGCCGAAAACTTTATCTTTTCCTACATTGGCGTGTCAATGTTTACCTTCCCCAAGCATCACTTCGACGCAGGATTCATTATAACAGCTTTTGTAAGTTTACTTAAAATTTAAAATCGCTTCTGCCCATCTAATAATTTATTTGTTTATTCAGATTTGCGCCGCTATAGGACGCGCCGTAAATGTTTACCCATTGTCCTGGCTTCTGAACATAAAGCGAAAACCCAAAATTTCCACAAATTTTCAGCACATGTTGTTTTTTGCTGGTAGGTTAATTAAAGTAAATCTGAAGAAATTCAACAAGCACATCATTATTGTAGGACTACGAGGGGCCATGTCCTTTGCTTTGGCCATCCGGAATACTGTGTCGGATGCACGGCAGACTATGCTGACCGCCACATCGCTGATTGTGATCTTTACGGTTGTAATCCAGGGAGGAGCAGCCAATTTTCTGCTCAATTGGTTAAAAATACCGTGAGTGCACGACATACGTTTAAGTGCTTCCGCTTTATTGTCTCAAAATCTCTACCAATTGCAGTGTTGGCGTTGACGATGAGACTGAACAATTAAATAATTACCAAGTGCACAGTGTGAGTATATCAATTAAACGTACAATAGTGGTTAAAGCAGACATTTTCCAATACCACCTAAAGATAAAGTTTTTGGAAACCAGATGGTTGTTGAGATCAATAAGATATGTTCAAGGTTTAAAGAACTTGGAAAGAGTTGCTTACTATATTTCTTGCAAGCATGGTGAATGATACTGCGTTGCTCAATTTCCGATTTCTCTCTTTCATATTTTTAAAAGAATAGTTTTTAACTCATAACTTTTGTTATTTGTACATTTCTACGCACTTCATAACATAAACCATCTGATAAAAAAGGTTTACAATTCAATGGACAATGCACACCCGCAGACGGTAGGTTTTGACAATGATCATACAATACATGTCCGTTCTGTTTGAGTTTAAAATACTGGCCTTATCTTATTTAACATTTAGTCAGCTTTTTGTTCTGAGCTTTTTATTTCTTGAACTTTGTGCATTTTTCCTTTTTCTTAAGTTTTCGCCAAAGGTAGAGCTAACATCATTTAATTGAATTCTGTGTTAGTCTGATGGTTATTTGCAGGACGTGGAAAACGGCGGAGGAGGACGTGGCAAGTTGCGCTTGTCCGGGGGAACGGACTCCAACTTGGACACGCCGGCAGATGGTCCAAATGGCAGTTTGGGCGGTACAAGCGGTGGACGTCGTCGCAACAGTCACGAAAAGGCGATTTTGGCTAGGATCTGGGGGAATTTTGATACCAAGTGAGTGTGAGCTGAAAACTGTCTTTGGAATTCAATTAAATGTTACCCATGGCCTTAAGGTACATGAAGCCTTTGCTGACGCACTCGCGACCCACTCTGCTGGAAACGTTGCCCGTTTGCTGCAATCCGATTGCCCGGCTGCTCACCACTACGCAGCAGCTAACTCAGGTGAGTTTGGCAGTCGCCTGCAGGCAGAAGGATTCCAATTGCATGCCTGAAATACATTTCAGGATGGTAGCGAGTTCAGGCGCGTGGACTCGGACTCCGACATCTGCATAGATAATGATACCGGGAACGGTCTCAGCCAAGACGTCGGACCCGGAACTGGCACGGGATCGAGCATCGGCCGGCGAAACTCCCTCAGTCGCGTAAGTATCAAGTATACCGGCGATAACCACCATCTACTTGCTAGCTACCGAAACATTGAATAACCGAATGAGCGAAGCACCTCACCACCAAAGACTAACCGTAGCAAGCTGGCCATTAACACACGAAACGAAAGCCTCAATTTAACCAAATACCAAAAGAATCTACTCACTACATACTTTGGCAAAGTAGACAGATTGTTATTGAACAAAATTGGAAAACTAACAACCATGAAAATGTGATTTTTGTTAAGAGATATTTTGGTTTTGTATAATCTTATTGTTGATTTTGTGGTGAAAGAGGAAGGGAAATATAATTTTGTTGTTTAATTGTTTAAGTTTGTGCGACGGCAAGCGATTCTAGTCTACGAATGTAACACTTATGTAATATTATTTTGACTGTTAACTACTGTTTAATGCATGCTTACCAAATATACTTATATAATCGAAATGTAGAAACTCTTTCAGCGATGATATTAATTTATTATTTATTTCTGCGGCATCTTTCTTTCTTTCTGTCTTTCCTTCGACTAATCAATCATCTTACAAACTCATGCGGACTCCTTTATCAATTAAACTTTGGTTGCTCTAACAATACCAATTACGAAACAAAAACTCAACAACCAATGAAAAACTGCATTCATCTTAAACAAATTCCATCCATTGGTAACGCCCTAAACAAAAGTCTGTTCAATTGAACGAAGCCAACCATCTTGCAAATGAACTTAGCCTGGTTACTAATAATTTCATGTAATCATTTCTGTGGAAAATCGAGAGATCAAACCCGTTTCTTATTTGTTTCTATTATATTTATAAATTGTAATGTTTTTGTTTTTTTGTCTACTTTTCCTTGGTAAACCAAATATTGTAAACGAAGCACAGACGGAAACCCAGACATGATAAACTAAGTCCCGAGTCAGTCAGTCCAGTCAGTGAATTGATTAACCGACTAACAAAAGCTTTTTATAGCACAGCAGTTAAGAACGTTCCTTTACTTTTAATTTCTGTATTTTATTCCTCATTATCTGATTTCTTAGATTCTAACACGCGACTAACCATGTAAGTACAAATTAAAATGAAGTTGATTTCTTAATTTTCTTATTGCCTTTTGTACATAAACACGTATTTAAACAATCGTTTTAACGAATTTTAATTTATAAGAACTAAAAATATTATTTAGTCTCAATGTTTTTATTTTCTTTTAGGTTGAAGGCGAGCATCGAAATGATTACATATAAGTTACATTGGTTTCTATGTTTCTTCTGTTATTTGTTTAATTGGTCTCATTTAAAATGAAATATGTGAAAACTGTACAAATTAGAATATTACTTTTTAGTTTTTCCTTGTTTACGATATGTGATTCGGAACTCTAGTTATAAATATAAATAAATTAGAAGCTTATAAATTAATTTGAAAGTTATTGTGCAACGATTTAAAATCCGTAAGGGCACTGAAGCTGAAAAAGGCTATTTATTATCGAGCTGACACACACCTATATCATACCCAACAACACGAAAAATTACATGCCTATATAGCCTGTTTGATTCTTTTATTTTATGCTCTTTGCGTCTGTGCAATATACTTAGTTTTGCCAAAATATATAAATATGTATAATTAACCCTCAATAAGTGGACTAGAACAGATTTATATGAATACTTATAGACATATTTCCTTTCTCTATTTATTCACTATCGCAAAATATGCTAACATATTTATTATATTGGGCTGAAACCACAAACTAAATTGTATTCAGATGGAGATTTTGGAGCATGTTCAAAGTCCGGTGTCAACGAGAATCAGACTCCTAGGATTTTACGGAAAAAAATTATAAAAGGCAACATAGAAATATTCGTATTTAATTTTTGATGTATTTTACACAACATAAACTTCTAGCTTTTTCGTTTTAACAAAGTTAGTGTAAATATATCGTTTTGAAAACTGAGATAAATGGATTCGGTATAATTCTGTAGTTAAAAATCGATCAACTTGCTGATCTTTTAATTTGTTCCGATATTACCTAAGACACCATTTCTTACTACATAAATACGCTGTATTTAAAACAAAGCGAAGCTCTCTGAAAATATTAATTGTTGTGCTGTTAATTTTTAAGTCTAAAGAAAAATACATAAATACAAAAAAATCATGTGTTTTATTTTAAACACATAACGGGAAACCCCTTTTAAAAGTGTTTAAATGCACATGTGTGCAATTTCTTTCGAACGATTTTACTTATTATAACAACGAGATGGGCAAATTTTTTCTTTTGAATTTTTATTGCATTAGGTAAAACTTTCAAAAACATGGCGCCACAGTGTGACCGCTCTTGAGCAGGAATTATACGGTCCAAACCCTCTGGGCACACAGAACGGCGCGCTTCTTGATAAAGAGTCGGGAATTGCTTTGAATTTGTTTTTACAACTGATTTAAAATATTGAGTATGGAGCTGGTGAAGCGTGGGTTTCTCCGCGCCTGTAAGAACCACAGCTACCTAAGCTATGAGCTGATCGATAACATCCTGGTCCCGCTGTGCGCCCGTCACAAGGTGTTGAAACCTTCCAGCAAGGAGGCCATCAAGGCATTCGTAAGTGAAATAAACGACTCCATCCAAGATTTGGGACAGTCGCTGGTCTTCATCAAGTATCCGATAAAGGCCGAGGAATACTTGGTGTACTCCAAGACGGACGCCACTCCCGATAGTGTCGCAAACACAGGTCTTTCTGCCGAGGAGTGCCAGTACTTCTCCAAATTGCTCGACAAGATTGCCGCCGAGGTGGACTGCCACATCCCCTGGAATGCCGCCTACAACGAGCTCTTCCTTCAAAGCACTGCAAAGCCGCTGAAGAAGAGCCGCATGCAGGATCTTTTGCATAAGTGGGCTCAAATGGGATACTTTATGGAGCTGGACGAGAGAATTTACCTGGGCCCACGTAGCCTCGTCGAGCTGAGTTTCTACTTGAGCACCAATCACTCCGAGAACATTAAAAACTGCATGCTCTGCAAGTGCCTGGTGTTGTGGGACACTCGCTGCGCATCCTGCCACATCCAGTTCCACCGCGAGTGCATCCACACATATCTTCAGCGGCGCGATATTTGCCCATCCTGCGGCAATCTCTGGACAACGCCTTTAAGACGCTCCACTAGTTTATCTCAATAAATAAACGATTTTTGGTTTCGATTTTCAATAGTATGTAATCAAAATCAAACAACGATTTACCAAGAACCCCCGTTGTTCAATAAGCGGTATATAGTAACCTTACTATGCAGAAACAAAATTATTAAACCTAATTTATTTATATATTTATTTAAATTGTTCTTTTGGTTTAGTCGCTGGAACTCGATTAAAATGATAATATTAAAAAACTTGAACTTAGTGGTTCAAATCAACAACGTTTGCCATTGCGTCCGGGTTTACTGTTTATTTAACTGTATCAGCTCTCTTGGGGTCTAAAAATTAAGCACTCTCCGGCTAAAGAAAGTTTAAAATGGCGCAAGCGAAACAGTAAAATTTTAATGTTCTTTGAGATGAGTGTGTGCGACAGTCCCAATAAGTATTCCAAGCTGGACAAAAAGTCCATGACACCTTTTAAAAAGGTGCGCCGCAAAAACTGGAAACAGGAAGCCTCCTACAAGGTGAAAAGTATACTAAACATTACTATGGGCTTAAGCAAATGTAACCATTTTTACAATCAGACCGATACGATTACGAGCCATGAGGAATCCTATGGCGGGGATAGGTTTATTCCCAAGCGCTTTAAGCGGGAGAATATAGAATTTAACTTGAAGTACATTGGCAAGCGAAAGGAGCATGATATTTTGGAAACGGTGAGATAAAGACGTTAGCTATATATTTGACATTCATATTAAATAGTGGTATGTAGGGTGTGCCATTGGCAGCCAGCTACTGGCGGCAGAGTGGATTCATAGCGAACATCAACAAGACCTTTAGAATCCAGGACCGCCGCCTACTGCAGTTCAGCAATATGCAGGGGACGCGTTTTGAGGTGGTGAACAGTGAGTCCGCAGACTCGGACTGGCCATGTAATCCACGGGCGCGACCCTACGCAATTCAGAATGCCACCCACGAGATGTCAGGAATTTGCAGTCCAATCGATTACAACCTGATGGACTGGTCATCGGGCGGGATGGTGGCCATGTCCTCCGGCCAAGACATCATGCTGTGGCGCAACCTTGACGAGAGCACAATGGTCTTCAGTGTAGATTGTCCCAGTGCTCTGAAATACTCGCCAGACGGCCAATATCTGGCCATCGGCTGCATGGATAGAAACTATCCAGGTAAGGTTACATCTTTCCTCATTCAAACCGCATCTACCTTCCATAACCGCCCCTTTCTTTTGCCCAAGTGCTGGACATTTGGGAGGTAAGGTCCCCCGTGGAGTTCTTTGTCTCCTACCGCAAGCTACTCATCAAGTCCATGGGCTACATAAGTTGCATTGAATGGTCCCACGACGGAAAACAGCTTACTTGCGGCACCTACTGCGGAATGATTTTAGTGCTGGCCATGCCCAAATTGAGGACTGTGAGGCAGTTCAGCGAGCACCGCCACAAGGTGAACAAAATCAAGTTCAATCCCACCCGAAAGTATTTCGCTTCCAGCGATACAGGTGGCACCATCTTCATCTTTGATGCCGTGCACAATGTTCGATTGCTAAAGCTGGGCGGCAAGTCAATCATCTTCGACTGGCATCCGTGGACCGGTGAAGACTTGGCTATTGGTAAGTAAATTGGTAAGCAGCAGCCCTGTTATGGCCAACTATTTTCCGATCTTTTCTTATTTTTATATTAATGAATTTAAGTGTATATTCGTAAATAGTATTTGTGCAAAAATATAGGAAAACTCAAAAAAAAAATTGGTAGAATTTAGCATGGTACTGCTGTGTAATTAAAGGCCCATTTAGTAGTTGCCTTTACTTTTTACTTCTATTAAACATTTTTCGAAAATTTAACCATATTTAATTAGAAAGAATGTAAGTATGCTTTTAAAAAAACACTTGTAAATACCATAAGTTATAATCATTGGCAAAAAAATCGCCTCTCAAACCACAAATTAATTTTTTTTATATATGTATTGCAAATTTCTCTTCTAGCCGAGCGATGTCCTGCTTCGATTTTCATCTTCAACATTCCGCGCCGGCAGTTTGTGGCTTCGTACGGGCGAAGAGATGGCAGGATTGTTGTAAAGACAGTTACATTTAGCAAGATCACGGGCGAGTTGCTGGTCAACATTATTAGACGTGGTGGGATCCTTGCTTGACTCACTATTTGTCACTTGAAATTTAACTATTATTTTTTTATCTGCAGATGAATCGGGCTTCGCGATTTGCGAAATTTTGGTTTTGGCTTCCCTTAACCGCGTTGTCGACTTAATGAGCCATCAGGATCGCGGAACTCTGTTCCTAATGTGGAGTCCGGATGGGACCAACATTGCCACCAGCGGCCTGGACGAAACCTTTTCAATGTGGAACTTCTTTCCCACCCACAAGCAGAAAGCTATTCTCCGCAAACAAGCTCAGCAGACCAAGGACAATTGCAGCTCCTTGGGACTGTACAAATCAATTCGTTGACCTTTTACGACTTGGTTTTAATTTATATATTGCCTGTCATGTGTATAGTGTTATATTTAAACTAATTGTGCTTTTCATTATTTATTCAATTCATATTGCTTTCATAAAAATTCCATTGGATTTAACTTAAGCGTTGTTTAATCTAAAATGAACATAAGAAAATGGGGCTCTCCACCCAAAATGAAGGTATGAAAGTAAAATTCCATTGTTCACCATAGTTACAGCATTGAAATTTGGTAATTAATCACTAGCTAAATGTATGTGAAGATGATCATCGAAACAAGATATCCTTCGCTCAAAACTCGCTTTGCTGGCGTCTCGATTGGGCAGTCGGGGAGTGCACCTCCTGCTGGAACAGGTATTCCGCACAGGACTCGGCTTCCTCACGGCGTTTCTGAAGGAGATGGGGCTTGATAACAAGGCGATGGGTGGTGTAGATGAGGACGGTCGATCCGATGCCGATGGCCATCAAACCGACAGTAGTTGTGGCGAATCTCTTGAAGCCGTTAATGAAACTCATCTGGGGGCGAGAAGAAAAGATTTGACGATTATTAGCGGAGCTCACAGGATTTGATAGTGTGCTCTAACTTTGTAGATCCGCTAGTCTCAGCTGATTTTGGCTCCACTTCCGTTTTCTTGTCGTTTTTATACTTTAAAATGAGTGGCTGCCAAATGTAAATACCGCCCAGCACCCCAATTGCCGTGACCACCATCAACTGTGGAACTGTAACACCTCGCGGACGACGAATTTGCATTGCACGTGCGTGGGCTCGGGCTATTTATTTAATATTTGACATTAAATACACAACTTTTCTTTGCCGGCTATTGTTACATCAACGCACCATGAGATTTAACTTGGATCAGATGTTCGTTGATACCGTCTACCAACACTGGGCTGCGATATTTGGCAGGGCTGCCAGATTTTTCCGAATAGCTTAAGCTTATTTAAAACTCAAATTTTATTTAACTGTTAATTATAGCCTTATCTGCTTTGGGTATTTGTAGCGGAAGGTAAAAAACTGTGATATTACACAAAAAAAATGTTCATTAGTGAAACTTCCGCTTAGATGATTGGGCAAAAAATTGAATGTAATTGGGGAAGAACGGATTAAAGCGGACATGGAGAATTGTTTTGGTCACTTTGGGTAATTCTTTATTTGTTTGTTCTGGAATTTATGTATGTATATTTTTAATGCTTTACCTAAATGAATAAAAAATGGCAAATTGAATTTCGTTATACTATTTGACAGTTCTTATTTACTTTCTTAATTGATGGAAAGTGTTAGTACTCTCGATACAATACGGTTCTATGCACTCTTCTGCCGTTCAATCATAATCATCGTCTTTCCCAAGAGATAATGACGTAGATTTCCACTTGGGAGTCCCAACAAAACCCATACACGCGCAGCCATAGCGTCGACCGCGACTGCGCAGCGACAGAGGTGCGAGAGCGGCTTGAAGCTGGTTTTTAAAACGGCTTGCCCGCTCAGCTTGCTACTCACTCTCAGTTGGATCGGCGCGTCAAACGGTTATCGCTCGCCGGCGCGCTTTCTCCTTGCTCTGCGCCCCCTCACTAAAGACCCACCGCATTTAACAGTTGTTTTGCTGCGAAGAAGAGAAGGAAAGCAAGCGCCAGAAGAAGATCGAAAGTAAGAAGAAGAATCAAGTCGAGCAATGACAAAGATAGGCGGAAATTTGGCCGAGATGCTGCTGTTGCTGTCAGTGATTTTGAGTGCGTTTGCCACTGGCAACGGCAACTCCATTCCGACGACCACGACGCCGCAGGGAATATTCGAGACCCGGACGGACAAGCTGCCCAACGGGGCTGCCCCCCTGACTCCCACTGGAGCAGGTCTCTACGATGACATAGACACCTTCGTCCCCTTCCGAAGCGACTCGCACGACCCTTTCTCGTGGCACCTGCTCAAAACTGTTCTGCAAAACGAGACTGCAGCCAAGAATGTAATCATCTCGCCGTTTTCCGTCAAACTGGTCCTGGCCCTGTTGGCCGAGGCGTCAGGAGCTGGCACGCAGACACAACTGGAGCTGGCCAACACGCAGACCGACATCCGTTCGCAGAACAACGTGAGGGAGTTCTACCGCAAGACACTAAACTCGTTTAAGAAGGAGAACCAGCTGCACGAGACGCTTAGTGTGCGCACCAAGCTCTTCACCGACAGCTTCATCGAAACCCAGCAGAAGTTTACGGCCACGCTCAAGCACTTCTACGACAGCGAAGTGGAGGCTCTGGACTTCACCAATCCGGACGCGGCGGCCGACGCCATTAATTCCTGGGCGGCCAATGTCACGCAGGGCAAACTCCAGCAGCTGGTGGCTCCGGACAATGTGCGCAGCAGCGTAATGCTTTTGACCAATCTGATCTACTTCAACGGCCTGTGGCGTCGGCAGTTCGGCACCACCTTGCGGGGCCCCTTCTTCCGCAGCAAGGACGACCAGTCGCAGGCAGAGTACATGGAGCAGACGGACTACTTCTACTACACCAACTCGGAAAAGCTAAAGGCGCAGATCCTGCGCCTGCCCTACAAGGGCAAGAACTCCATGTTCGTGCTGCTGCCATACGCCGTCAACGGCATTCAAGAGCTGGTCCACAACCTCGAAAACGACGAGCTAAAGGGCGCTCAGTGGGCAATGGAAGAGGTGAAGGTAAAGGTGACGCTGCCCAAGTTCCACTTTGACTACCAGCAGAACCTCAAGGAGACGCTGCGCAGCCTGGGCGTGCGCGAAATCTTTGAGGACAGTGCTTCACTGCCGGGTCTAACCCGAGGAGCCGATGTCGCCGGCAAGGTGAAAGTGTCCAACATCCTGCAAAAGGCTGGCATCAATGTAAACGAGAAGGGAACCGAGGCGTACGCCGCTACCGTTGTCGAGATCGAAAACAAGTTTGGCGGCAGCACCACCATCGAGGAGTTCAACGTGAACCGGCCGTTTGTGTTCTTCATCGAGGAGGAGTCCACCGGAAACATTCTGTTTGCCGGAAAGGTGCACACCCCCACAATCCAAAACTAAGCCACCCTTCCGGCATTATTTTTAAATACGCAATAAAAATGTAAACATAACAGAATCGCTGCTTAAGTTCTATCCTACTACGTTCTTTGATTAACATGCTGCTCGAAGCCTGCAGCTGGAATTCTTAATTCTTTAATTAAATGTTCTAAGGTGATCAAAGTAAGTTTACAACCACAAGAGCTTTCTTTCGGTTCTGGCTATCTCAATACTTAAGCTACAGAAATCCCGCTGGAGAGCTAAGAAGACCGCAAAGCCTGGAAGAGAATCTAAGCTGTGCTCTTGACCCGCTTTTCGAAATCGTGCGTGGCCCCTCCCAGAGTTTGCTCCCATCTCTACTCCACTACATTCCGCTGCCTGATAAAGCGTCTAGTACTGTCGTTTAAAGTTTGTTTTTGTATTTAATGCCTCGCCTCAGGCGTACCTTGAACAACAGAAAGCAAAAGCCCGCAATCAAGTGAGAGATGCAAATACTTTCCGGCTCTGGGAAATCCCACGAACGTAACATTGGCAATATCCAATGGGGAGATCGGTGGGTAACCGCTTGCGCACATAGCCAGCGGCAAATAGAACCTATGACTCAGAGAACTGGGAAGTTGTTCGGAAGGAAAGTCTCAGGTGCAATCAACAGTTTAAGTTGTGCTTATGCTTTGCGCAAACAAGAACTGAGAATTTTGAATTCCCTTGTGTCAGTTATAATCTTTTTAAATAAATACTAAGGTTTGATGATTTTAAATGCCATTTATATATCTGCGATGATACTGCAAACAGCACATCCTTGAAGATGTCTTTTAAGTGTCAATCTGTGTCAACAGTCTGACTTTTTGAGACGCGTTCGAGTGCATTGGCAAGGTGCAAACAATATGTGCAATGTTTGCAGTGATAAAAACCAGTTTACAAATAATACGCGAAAGTGCACATTAAAGTGCATATTTGCTCTGCTTTCGAGAAATGAGCAGGCTGTCTGACTCAGATCAAAGTTAAATACAAAGAAGAAGGCATAAGGCTCAATAGCCCAGTAAAACCTTTCCAAAAAAAATTTTAACGCAGGAAAACCACATAATTTTAACAAAATGCTCTGCTAAAAATAAGCTTCTAAGAAAATATCGAAGCTTTACTTAGATATATTAAATGCGATCATTAATGAGTTAGCCGTTTAATGTTTTCTGTACCATTAATTGATGAAAAAAACTAAATATCTTAGTGTGGACATCAAAAAAAGTATAAGTTATAACAAACACTATTAAAGCATACGATATAAGTTTATGTCACTGTGCAATTGATCTTAAGCCGCAAATTAAAATCTGTAACGCCAAACCTTACAAGGATGAAAGGATAAGCAGTTGTTGTCTGCGTTTAAGACCAATTAGGTCTAGGCCAAAATATTATTTTTAATCGCAGGTCAATGAGGTCTAGTCTAAAATATTATCCCTGCACTAAGGTTTGCAGGGCGTACCATATATCTCACACAATAATAAACTTTTAAAAAGGGCTTTCCAACCAAATTATCTAGTCACTTACCTCCGCCATTAGGCATCATTGCAATTGCTGATTGGGCCTGCATTTGGGACTTGCCGAAATTATTGCCGCCGCCGGAGACGTTCTGCTGGTGAATATGCTGTTGTTGTGGCTGCTGAGTCTGTTGTTGCTGGGATTGTTGATAGTGCTGCTTGTATTGCGACAACAAGTGCGGTTGGCTGTGCTCGAAGGTTTGAAAATTTTGGTTTTCACCATAGCGCACATTGGCATCAGCAGCTGAACGTCGGTTGTTGGAATGAGATTGCAGCTGCTGTCCGTTCATAAGGTGGCTCGCAGCTTGGTTGTTGCCACCGCCAGAGATCAAGGCTTGGAGCAGGGCGTTCGAGGCGGCATCTGGTCGGACGTTTCGCTGTTGGGCACGGTTTAACTGCTGCTGCTGTGTCTGATGTTTGGCCCCGCCATTAATTAACTTGGAGGTCTGCTCCTCCATCTTTCGCTTCATCACAGCGTTTCGCATTATGACATTGGCATGTGCCTGCAAGTCCTCCTGAGTCAATTGCTGCGGCATCTGTGGCTGTGGATTATGCTGCTGTGCCTGTTGCTGCTGCTGTTGCTGTTGCTGTGCCTGTTGCTGCTGTCTTGCTGCCAAAGTCTGCTGGACGATGGCCAGATTGTGAAGATTCTGCAGCTGACTGGCAATCACTGTGCTGGACAACATGTCCAGCTGCTGTTTGTGCTGTTGCTGCTGCTGCTGGGTATTAGTGAACTGCAATACAGCCGTAATGGCTTCGCGATCCATGTCGGACAGCCGTGGGTTGGCCAACTGCACCAATAATCCGTGCTTGGAAATTTCTCCTAAAAGTTAAAAAATTTTAGACAATCCATCAACATTAGTTTCATATCAGCTCACCTTTGGTAAGACGGAGTAGAAGCAACTGGGTGTCGGCACGACCGAGGATCGCTTTCAGCTGCAAACCGGCCAGAAAGGAGGTCTGGTGCTGTTGCTGTTGGATGATGACGTGCTGCTTTTGTTGCTGTTGCTGGTACTGCTGCTGCTGCATAATGAAGTTGGATATGGCATCGTAGCCTACCACCTGCGGTTGGGGTTGGGCCTTTTGCTGCGGCTTAGCCGAACTGAGGGAGCCAATAAGCTTTTGGAAGTTATCAGACTGCTTGTTAGCCGATTCTCCAGCAGTGGTCAGCGAGCTGCGGCGCCATTTGGCCTCTAGCTGCTCCACTGACGGCATCTGGTTTGTGTGACCCAGCGACTTGGGCTGATCCGGATTATTGGCGTGGCCCTGGTTCATGGCCTGCTTGAAAAACTCGTTGAGCGAAGACGACGAGGTGTTCGTCTCCCGGGCGAAAAACGACATAAATTTAGAATTACTTGTGTTTGTATTAGTTTGCTGCTGCTGCATTTGCTGAGGCTGCGATTGCGGCAGCTGCTGATGATTGACATAGTTGCTACTCTCATAACTTGGTTGACTTTGATTAAACTTATCAAACTGAAACGAACGAACACTGCCTGTACGTTTTTCATCCTTTGGAGGAGGCTGATGATCGCTGCCCAAAACCTTGTTCATATTTTTTACGTTCTGGTTATTGTTTGTATCGTGCTTGGGCATAAATTTATTGCGGCCCACGGGCTCCGAGTGCGTCCATTTGTACTTATTCTGTTCCACCTTAAATAAATCATCATACAAGTGTACAATTATTTATATTTATACCGACAATAAACTAACCTTATGTCTTTGCACCTCCCTCTCCAATTCGCCAGTTCCTTGGTGATGGTTTCCCTCCTTTAGCATTCTCTCCTCTTCCTCGTCAAAGCCGCACAGCTCGATGGTGTCTAGTCTGGAGGTGGGACCGCAGCTGAACCACTCCGGCTCTTCGTTTTGGTTTCTGTAGCGTCGATGATGCCGATCTTCGGCGTCCCGAGATTTGGGTTTGGACACAACCAGGAATCCGGACATCACGCGCTTCACATAATTCTCGTTGGCCCGACTCAGATCCTCGCTGGACTCGTTCGACTCCAATGTTTCGTTTTCGGAGCGATTATTAGACATCCCCATAACTGGAGTGTTTGGTCTGCCCTGGGGCTGGCCCGTGGGGTTACTGCTGATCTCTCCGTTGTCGAAAAATTGTAAAACCGTCATGTTGCCATTGCTCTGGTGCTTCGGATTGACCTCTTCGATCTGCGGTTTTCCATTGTGATACGGTTTCATGGAATGGTAGTCCGCGTCGTTGTAACCCCATTTGGAATGATTAAACCGCCCGCTTCCGATTCGTCTTTGGTTTACAATTGCAGGATCCTGTTAATACACAATTACACAAATATTAATACAATTTGCGCACTTTTGGTAAATAAAAACGTGTTTTTAAATATACAAGTAAAAACAGTCTAATTTTATATTTTTTTATATCAACAAATTTCATATTGTTTTTACTCGTAAATTTGGAAATTCAAAATAACACAATAATGTGTTGTCATACAGTCTTATTTAGTTAGTTATAAATTATAGAAATATAAAGAAATAAAAAAAAACATGATTCTGAGCACCGGGATCAACATGTCACTCTCCTTCTCTCGTAGACAATGAATTTTTTTTAATTATAATATACTTATTTAATTTCAAAATAACCATCTCTATGGGCATTCAATCGACTGTTTCACATCTCTAAGGGCCAGCGAGATTCGCACACCCACAAGCGCACTTACATTATTTAAACACTTATATCAGCAAAACCAGCTGAGTGGGAGAGATAAAGCTTAGAAAAAACAGTTCAACTAAAAGGCGGAATGCGTGCCAAACTAAACGAGCGAACGAGAGCCAAAGAGCGGGACGGGAGCAAAAAGAGCTAAGGGCAAGGAAAAAAAAAGCGGGATTGGCACAGTGAAAATCTCAACTTGGGCACTACGATTACGAGTACTGGAGTCGGGAAATCGGAATAGGAATAGCAATAGCAACCGTAATCGCAACGCGGCAGGTTGACATTGTGCTGTCCCGAGAACTCGGTCGAATGCGGAGCAGCGACCATAACTGTAAACAGTAATCATAATCCGATCGGAGCGATACGAGTGCCAGCCTTTCGACACGATGCAGTTTGTGGCCAGTGGTAGGTGAAGCGTTTAGAATGGAAAAACATGAAATGTTTAAGTGGCTTGCCAAGATTAATTCAACATTTGAATGGTTTTTAAAATAACAAAATAATGATAAAAAAAAAAAACATTAAAGTGGTTAAATTATTCTATTAATTGAATAGTAAGATCAATCTATCTAATCTACAGAAAAGTAATATGAAATTCAACAGGTGTGCTTAAAGGCAAAACAAATATTTTAATGCTTGTTTTAATTTAAAAAAAAAAATCTTTTTTAAAATAGTTATAAGTTTCTATATTATGATTTTTTTTTAAGTTATTTCTGTATTTTTCCAACTTAGATTATTGATAGAAAAACAATTTTTTTTAAAGCACCTTTCAAATTGTATCTGTGTATAATACAATTTCGAATTTTATTCCGCAGAACATCCGCACCGTCGTCTTAATCCCTTGAACGGACAATGGGTCCTGGTGTGTCCACATCGCACCCAACGCCCTTGGTCGGGTCAACAGGAGAAGCCGCAGAAGAACGAGCTGCCCGAGTTCGATCCCAGCAATCCCCTTTGCCCCGGAGTGACCCGTCCCAATGGAATTGTAAACCCTAAATTGTAGATTGCTACGCAATATTCTTATCCGAATTCTTAATGGTTAGGAAACACCTGCCTATGAGAGCACCTACGTGTTTGAAAATGACTTCCCCGCCCTGGTGGAGGTAGTGCCCGTTCCGCCCAACAGCGATGATCCCCTGTTCCAGATAGCTCCCGCCCGTGGCAACTGCCGAGTGATGTGCTTCCATCCCAAATCGAATCTCACCTTGCCCACTATGAGTGCAGCGGAAATTGTCGTTGTTATCGACGAGTAAGTTCAGGATTTATGACCTTTATCAGAAAGTTGTGGTGATAAACACTCTTTTTATCTCGCCCTGCCTATCTAGGTGGATCAACCAGTTCAACGAGCTAAGTTCCAAATACGCCTGGGTGCAGATATTTGAGAACAAGGGAGCGGCCATGGGGTGCTCCAATCCCCATCCGCACTGCCAGATCTGGTCGTGCTCGTTTCTGCCCACGGAGCCGCAGATGAAACAGGAGCGACTGCGTGCCTACTACGCTACCAATGAGCGGCCCATGCTGGCCGACTACGTGGAGCGGGAGCTGCAGCGCCAGGAGAGGATCGTAATCGAGAATCCCGACTGGCTGGTGGTGGTGCCCTTCTGGGCCACCTGGCCCTTCGAAACCATGCTTATCTCGCGCAACAACAACAAGCGGATCAACGATCTGACGCTCGGACAACGAGAGAACCTGGCTGTGACCATCAAGGAGCTGACCACCAAGTACGACAACCTGTTCCAGTGCTCTTTTCCCTACTCGATGGGCTGGCACGGGGCACCGACTGGGCCGGAGCATGCCCACGCGTCGAGCGCCCACTGGACTCTGCACGCCATCTACTACCCGCCGCTACTCCGATCGGCCACTGTGCGCAAGTTCATGGTAGGATTTGAGCTGCTGGGCATGGCCCAACGGGATCTCACTCCCGAGCAGGCGGCCCAGCGGTTGCGGGAGGTCGATGGAAAGTGTCATTACCTGGAGAAGTGATTTCGCTTAGGTTAACCTTAAAAGTCACCACCAGCTGGTGGCAATTGGCATAGAATTTAATAAAACATTCAAATACAATGGACAGTCGATGTTTTTATAAAGTTCGCATATAACAATAACATATACTTATATGCAATCACTTTTTAAATATTTTAGAAAATAATCCACATGATTGGCAAAGACCCCTAGAGGTCATGCGTTGCAATCATTGATTTATAAGATAAGCCGAGAAGTGACTATGTGTTACCTAATACACAGTTGCAGTTCATTTAAATTGACTCATTTCAATATAATTTCAACATTGCGAAGAAAAATTAACTTCCTAACATTTAAATTAAAATTAATTAATGTATGTACAAACTTTCAACTTTAGGTCTCTTGTCATTTAAAAAAAAACTTGAATTTAATAGGGTTACATTAAGAAAACGAGTTTAGGATTTTAAAAGATTTATCCGAAAAATGTTTATCACATGATTCAAGTTGCCATTTTGTAATCGACGGAGTGAAATTAGGACAATTTTGAAAAAGTTTAAAAAACGGAATGTTTTGTTGTAAACTATTTAAGGCACTCACCTGGAATTCCGTTTGCGGCTGCGGAGGTTGACTTTGGATAATGGAGTCGTCGCTGATCAACTGCGGCTTATTCTTATTTTTATAGAAGGCTGGCATACACTCATTGTTGTTCATATTCGAGTTGTTGGTGCTGGAACGAGCACGGAACCTTGTACCGTCCGAGGTGCGCCAGATGTTCATGCGCCGGAGACGGCCCTCCAGTTCGATGTCATCGCAGGTGGCGATGCGGGGCATGACAAAGCTTTCCTTGGACCTGTGCATCAAAGCATTGAACATCTCATTGCGAATGTCCAGCAGATGGGAGCGCGTATAGCTCTTAACCGATTTGCAACTGATCATTGGGGTGACCTGAGGTCGGATCGCCTTAGGCGCCCGTAGGCTTCCCGGCTTTTGAATCGAGCTGCTGGCAGCACGCTTTTTGCGCAGCCTGTCGGGTCTGCTGTTCCGACGTGGTCTCCTTGTTGGCCTGCTGCTTCTTGGGAGAGTCGTGCTCCAGGTCACAGCTAACAGCAGTGCATGACATCATGCTGGTGGGCTGGGTGTACGGCGTGGAGGCCCTAGCCGAAAGCACTTGAAGCGACAGGCCCTCGTCCTCGTGCGGCTGCTTCGAAGATCCATGCATTGGAATGGCATCCCGAGAAATTGCTGCAAGACTTCTATTTTGCTTGGCCAACAGAAGGACAACCTTACGTCGCCTCTCCAGCTGTAGAATTACGACGGGCTTCTGGAACTTCGGGTGCAACATCAGAGCAGTGGACGTGGTTGTCTTGGGGCTGTCGCCTTGAGTCTCCGGTCTTGAGCGCCTAGGTAACAATTCCATGGCCTCTACTTTCTTGGGTTTAACGGAACGAGAAGACTGTGTGCCAAAACAAAAACAACATTTAAAAAGCGACATGATGTATGTATCAGTTTCTGTCTGTATATTTTGAAACTTAATGTCAAATGTAACGACTACAAGCAAAGCTTCAGTATCTAGATCTGTAAATGACATTGTTTTCAGATCCAATTCTGTTTCAAGATCAAAATCTGTACTCGAAAATTTACTTAATACTGCAGATCGAATAATAATAGTCTGCGAGTTAACTATTTATTATGCAGAATAATTTTCAAAGGGAAAAATAGTCTTCTTTTAAAAATGTGGTTGGAGACAGCAAAATAACTAACTTTTTATATTTATTTTAGATACATAGTAATCAGTAGTAGTCAATTTTAACCTAATATCATTTATGTTTTAATTTAAATGTTTTTAGTATTTATGAATTATGAAGATCCTGCCAAGAGTATATGTACTTTATGTGATACATTTGCTTCAACTTGTGTAACGCTCACAGAACCGCTCTTGTTTTTTATTATACAGGTATGATTTTTTAAATTACGAGAAAACTTGAATCGGAAGAGTACATCATAAAGCTGTCTTAGAAATTGTCGATCAAAATATGAAAAAATTTGAGAAAATCGCGATATTATTTTAAAAAGTTATTTCATAAAATATCGGACAATCATATAAATACCACAGAAAATAAACGAAAAAATCGACAAAACTAGATTTAGGATTAAATAGTTAAAAATGAAAATCTACGGTTTATTGTCTTATTAAAATTTCTTTACATTTAAGGAAAACATTGTTAGGTTCTTACCTCAGGGCTGATTTTCTGCATTTGCTTGTTCGCCTCTAGCTTGGTTATGGCCTTCTCCAACGCATCCTTAAGCTTGAAGGCGGGCAGCTTGAGGTAGCCCAATCCGGTAGCCAAAAAGGCGCTGGTCGGAAGCGGTGGCGGAGGAGGAGGGGCGCAGGGATCCTCCCACTTCTCAGAGTTAGCCTCGTCGTCGTCGTGTTCAAGATGAGCAGTGCCCTCCAGACCGGTAGCCTTGGTCGCTGGCGGAGCTTGAACGGGAGTGGGGGGCGGCGGCGGGGGTGGGTACTCGAACTTGGATTTCTCGGCGGGAGTTAACACCTCGTCCTGCTGATCCTCGGCGGAAATGGAGAGGTGGTGACGCGAGGGCTGATCGGTGTTACCCGCATTGGTAGCAATTTTCAAGGCGCCAGCGCCATTTTCTTGCATAGATTCAGCCATTTGCATTGGGCTTTTGTCGCTTAAATCGTCCTTCATTTCGATCATCTCATCATTCAAAGGGTCCATACTCACGTTTATAAATGGCTTTTTAATTAAAAATTAAAATGAATACTTTTGATTGGGATGAAAATTCTAACTATCCAAAAAAAGAAAAAAATCACGTTTAACTCAAGTTTAATCTTAAGATCCGTTATTCGACTTTGGTACGATGAGTAAGCAGGACAGGAACAGGCAAAAATACCAAAAATACCCGAATGAAAGATGAGAGAGAGAAGAGCATAGACTGTCAGTGTTGGTAGCCATATCAAAAAGAAAAAATATCAAACCTGACCATGATTGTTCTAACTAATGTATAGCTAAAAATGACTCTACAAAATGACTCTAAAATATTCAGGAATCCGGTATCATAACAAACAAAAATACATTGATAATATGAATATAATTAATATTATACTGTACTACCTAAGGACCTGTACCTCTGCCTGCGTGTGCCAATAGCAAAAACATATCGATTGTGTTAATGCAACATTTAAATTGAAAATAGTTCATGATTTCTATTAAACCAAATATATTAAATGCATAATTTCGATACCAATCATAACACTATCGCACTATATTTAAGTTCATGCATTGTCAAGATTTTTTTTTATTGATTAGTGATATTATTGATAAGTGATCATGGTGTAATTTAATTATTATTTTTTTTTTAAATTAGTCAATTGTAAAAATTTGTAAGCCGTAAAATAATCGATTATTGCTGGATTGTGTTTGAATATATCGATGTATCGAATAAGCCTCCATTTTTGTTGCATCTCTACAAGCCAGGCGAAAAAGTGAAGAAAAGTGGTAAAAACAATTTGTAGACCATCGATTGCATAGTTGGTACTTAGCCAAAGTACCCCAGTACTCAAATCTTACCAAGCGGATGGCTGCCTAACGTGAGTCTCACGAGGTTCAATTACTCCTAGCAGGATAAACAAATCGAAACTTAACCTCAATGTGCCCTTTTATTCCGCAGACGAGCACCTATAGGAAAAGGTAATACAAAAATAATACCCAAAAATGACTCAATATCTGCCGCCAAATCTGCTGGCGCTCTTCGCGGCCCGGGATCCCATCCCGTTCATGCCGCCGGTGGACAAGCTGCCTCACGAAAAGAAGTCCCGTGGCTACCTGGGAGTGGCAAAGTTCATGGCCGACTTCGAGGACCCCAAGGACACGCCGCTGCCGAAGACCGTGGAGACGCGACAGGAGCGATTGGAGCGACGTCGCCGCGAGAAAGCCGAGCAGGTGGCCTACAAGCTGGAACGGGAGATAGCTCTGTGGGACCCCACCGAGATTAAGAACGCCACGGAGGACCCGTTCCGCACGCTATTTATCGCCCGGATCAACTACGATACTTCCGAGTCAAAGCTACGACGCGAGTTTGAGTTCTACGGTCCCATCAAGAAGATCGTTTTGATCCACGACCAGGAGTCAGGTAAACCCAAGGGCTACGCCTTCATCGAGTACGAGCACGAACGTGACATGCACGCAGCCTACAAGCACGCCGACGGTAAAAAGATCGACAGCAAGCGCGTCCTGGTGGACGTTGAGCGGGCTCGCACGGTCAAGGGCTGGTTGCCCAGGCGCCTGGGCGGCGGTCTGGGTGGCACTCGTCGTGGTGGCAACGATGTCAACATCAAGCACTCAGGACGCGAGGACAACGAGCGGGAGCGCGAACGCTATCGGCTGGAGCGGGAGCGCGAGGACCGCGAGGGTCCTGGCCGCGGCGGTGGCTCCAATGGCCTGGAAGCCCGGTCCGGACGAGGTTTCGGAGCGGAGCGACGACGCTCCCGCTCCAGGGAACGTCGCGACCGGGAACGTGATCGAGGACGTGGCGCTGTGGCTAGTGGTCGGTCGCGCAGCCGTTCCCGCGAGCGCAGAAAACGGCGCGCGGGCAGCCGAGAGCGGTATGATGAGTTCGACCGCCGAGATCGGCGTGACAGGGAACGCGAGCGGGATCGCGATCGGGAGCGCGAAAAGAAGAAGAAGCGCTCCAAATCGCGTGAACGTGAATCCTCCAGGGAGCGACGCGAACGGAAGCGGGAGCGAAGAGACCGCGAACGCGGCACGGGAGCCGGTGGCGAAGTCAAGGAGCGCAAGCCCGACTTCCGCGACATGGACGTCATCAAGATCAAGGAGGAGCCGATCGACGATGGCTATCCAACGTTCGACTACCAGAACACAGCCATCAAGCGGGAGATCGACGACGAGAACGAGGAGAAGTACCGGCCGCCTGCGCATCACAATATGTTCAGTGTGCCACCGCCGCCCATTCTGGGGCGTGGCAATGCCAATCCGAATCCCAGTCCCGACAATGGCCAGCAGAGCTCCAGCGACCAGAGCTGGTGGCGTCAGTAAGGAGGTTGCAATCTTGGATCTGTCTTTCAAGGTTAATAATTGTAGAAATCAGCCGTCTGTTGGTCGCTACTATTTATTCATTCGACTTGAGGCGCAGCAATCCTGGAAGGAATAACCATAGCAATCCAAGGTTCCATTTTACACAGAAAATTTTAAGGTATAGCTTGCAGAGACGCCAAGCAAATCAACATTATAAAACCCCGACCGCTAAACGCAAAATCCACTAATGTGTGCGTAGCTTAAATCATTTAAATTTATAAGTAACTCTTAACAAATGAATATGAAAGAAAAGTAAGTAAAATAAAGCTAGCCCTACATGTGTTTGTTTCCCCACCTTTGGTAAGGGGGTTAAAGGGAATACGGAGGATCAGGAGCTGAAATCGGAGAGTTCGGAGGCGAATATCAAATATGGTGTTATCCCATGGTGGTTCCTGGGACTTTCTTTTTCATTAAACTTAAGCTCAACAAACGCAACCTGAACACAAACCCTCGCACTAACCCGTGCCTTTTATTTTCTCTGTTTTTTTGCAGTTTTCAATCAATTGAAAATCTGACTCTGACTAGTGTGAAATCAAAAGCATAAGTATTCAATCGAAAAGAAATCCAAACGGAAATTAGTTCCGCAAGAATTCGTAGCCAAAGTCCAAGTCCAAAATTCCAAGCCCACAATCAGGTAATTTGGTCTACGCACAAACCTCACTAATCCATGCGTCTACCGTTCTAGGACCGCTCTAGAATCGAGACAGCTACCGATACTTTCCTTCTCTCCTCCGCTCTGGGTTTCCTGTTGTGGTGTGGTGTGTAAGTTAAATCGGGCTTAATTTCAAAACCTTCCGAACCGAAAAGACCCGGCTATGTAAGTTTCCCCCGGTAAGATCTGCTCGAGCACCGACTGAGCTAAAGTGTAAGGGAGCTTTCCTCTGTTTGGTACACATTGCGAACTGCTCTGATGGTCTGTGGCAATCTACTTATCCATTATGTCTGTAACCGTTATGTAATTTACCATTTCGATCTTTTCATGTACGTTGCGCTGGTTGTTATCGTACTAAAGAGGAACCCGCGGCGGAAACTCGCATAGAACAGATAGCTGCACAAAGGTTTGCTTGTGGTAACTGGTAACGACTGGTCAGGTCAAGTCTTTTTGGGGGTACCTTATTTCCCTGGCTTCTCTTTTAGGTATCGGACATTGATTAAATTTTGGGGCCTTTATTTTGGTATGGTTTGCAGACAAGACATTCGTAGTTGCTTTGTTTTGTAAGATATCTTACTTTGGTCCTATCGGGAACAAACTTTCGTCTAGCTAGGTATCTTTAACATTACAATGTAGTTAAACTAGCTAAAAAGGTGTGCAGGATACAATGTCACTTAATTTAGACTGTCATCTAATAAAAGGAAACTCGCTCCCGAAACAAAAAAAAATTGTTTTATTTAAATTATTCAATTGATATAAACATTCATATGGGTGCCTATGACAAATTTATGAATAGTGAAAAATATCAGCTTTACAAAATACAGCCGAAACTTACCAATTGTACAATTAAAAAAAAAAAAAGATAAGTCCAAGCCTCACTTTCGTAAATAATTTTTAAATATTAAACTGTAAAAAAAACACTCAATCAAAATGTAGTTTTTGTAGTTGGTACTTTAAAAAAGTTTAAGGATAATATTAAATAATTCAATCGTTTTGTTAAACAGTTTAAGGATACATTATCTATTTAGCAATTATCCATTCTCTGAATCTTTTTTTCTTTGGAATGATATTAGATTTCAAATTATAAAGGAAAATTACCGATATCATCCTGGGACTGGGAGTTTCTGAAAGCATCTCCAATGACTTCTTTGAAGCCGAGATTGCGTGTCATCCGCGTAATTTATCAACAACTATTCAACATATCTTGTGGAAACACACTTAAAAAAATTTATATGGAAACCCTTTTCAATTTTAAAATAGTTGGTCTCAATGACAACAAAAGAAAACAATAAATCAGTCAATACGATTTCCAAATTTCAAAACTCCTGCTTACGGGGGTTGATGAACTTGCTAAAGTCGAAGGATGTAGGCAGGGTTGCCAACTCGGATTTATAAAAAGGCGTAGGTCAGACAAAGAAAGTTATGTAGAAATGTGAAATTGCCATATAGAAAATACGTAGATCTACGTACTTTTTTTCTGAGAGAAATTAAGAGAGTAGGGTAGGTAAAAGTAAATAAAATGACAATTTATATTACCCTAAAAGTAGTAGACAGCAAACAAACAACAAATTTAAAAATAAAAAAAATCTATGAATTATAGATCTACCAGAATCTCATGGCAAATAAGCCAAACTTTACATGCAAATATAAATATAATGATCTGTGTATATAGATATTTATATATTGGCACATAGAGTATGAAATAAATAAGGCTAAATAATGAATGGATTTGAATATACTTGTGTATAAAGTTTGGCTTATTTGCCACGAGATTCTGGTAAACCTATACCACCTGTAGTTAATTTAAACAAGTTAAACAAGAGGCTAGGGGTGCCCGTTAGTATGAAACGGAACGTTTATTAATTTTTTTCGCGAAAATAAAGGTAATTATGCCCATTCAGTCTATTTTGCAAATTTGAACAATTTTGATAGAAAATACGTAGATTCTGGGACTTAAGTTCGTAGGTTTGCAAGAAAGGCTTAAAGTACGTAGATCTACGTAAAAAGACGTAGAGTTGGCAACCCTGGATGTAGGGTCACTAGGTTGGTGCATTCGCTAGGTGAATTGAATCCTGTTTAGAATTTCTCTTACAAAGCAATGCTCTGAACCAAAGTGGAAATACACGCCAACCCTGGGCTCCCACCCATATCGACGGACAAACATCGATATTACTATCAGAACACCGATGCAACATCGAACATTTCCAGAACATCGATACTATCGCTTGTGACACCGACGTATTTGCAGCCCTAGTTTTTTTGGCGTGTAGCAGAAAAAAAGGAAGCCGCTTGTGGAAATTTTCAACTGCCTTCGGCGAGCATTAAACTCCTAGAAAATCAGGTAAACGCTTGCAGCAAATTGCAATTGAGTGCTATTCTTCGATTTTGCTAATACTTGACGCGAATAGTTTACTAATTAACGCGTGTTCTTTGCGGCATTTTGTCTCGTTTCGCGTACAGCAAGCCCGGCATTCGACGCACCGCAAAAAACTTCGTTGACTACTTAGCAGCGCCGACGAGAAAGCAAGAAGAAAAAACAACATGTCTGACGAAAAGAAAGGCGGCGAAACTGAACACATCAACTTGAAGGTGCTTGGTCAGGACAACGCCGTGGTCCAGTTCAAGATTAAGAAGCACACACCCTTGCGCAAGCTGATGAACGCCTACTGTGACCGGGCCGGACTCTCCATGCAGGTGGTGCGCTTCCGCTTCGACGGGCAGCCCATCAACGAGAACGACACTCCAACATCGCTGGAAATGGAGGAGGGCGATACCATTGAGGTCTACCAGCAGCAGACCGGCGGCGCCCTATAAATTTACTTAGTTAAGCTAGTTACTCCACCCTTTATAACTAACAAACCACGAAAACACAAAAAGAATCAACAACATAATGAAGAAAACAGCAAAACAAGCAGTAAGCATTAATTGAAACAACAGTACGTTTAGTACTACTGTAGATTTTGTCTGAATACAAGACCACAACAAAGATAAACTATTGCAGACAAGGAAATGGTAAATAAAGCATTTTATAAACTACATCTAAAGTCTCTGCCTGATCGGCGTCTTTTTCTTTCGATTTCCACCTTGTCAGTTTGGTGCGAATTTCCCGCTTCTTATCCCTCTGTACATACATACATACATGCAACGGGAGGCGCTCATGTGCAATGCACGCGTGTTGCGAACAGGACTGGGTTGAATGCGTCAGTGTGCGTACAAATTGGTATACATACACAACAGGGCTCACTGAATTTGCGGGAAAAGTACGTCAGTATGTACACCGGCGAATCTGCAGAGTCTGGGAAAACATAACCTCAATTTACAAAAATGCATATGACGTCATTTTATGGAACCTTCTAGGGAAACCGCATAGATGTAACATTAACCTCAAAATAGTACTAGTATTTCCATGTAATAGTACTTCCGCCCCATGTATGTTTGGCAAGCCAAGAATACATGATAAGTATGTACGTATGCATGTGTCTACCATGTAGGTTTTTAAAGTACAGTTCTGTACAAAAAGTTATGGTATACATACACACTTACCCCTTTACCTTCAAAAAATAGTGTTCAAAAATAATCCCCCATATCCTGTTATTATTCGTTTTTATTAAACTTGATTCAAAAATGTTCTCTGGTTTTCATAAAACGTCATACAATATGTTGTTGTGGGTATCATTGGGTATTATTGGCTCACTAACAAATAAAATATTTACATCCTTAGATAAGCGCTATTTAATATGAAGTGCTACATTTTACTGAGAACTACTTAGAAAAATAGCTTCTACTATAACCATACGAATTTATAATAAAGTCAGTATAGAATTTAGCTGTTAAAAGCATAAAATTAAACCACTTTTTTTCTACTATTTTTAGTAGTCCTGTGCAAACGTCATATGGGTTTTATAGTAAAACCGTTCGTATAGGTATGTAGCCGTATTTTTTAAATTCGTGTACCGGACAATTAAAGATGACGAATATTTAATCTTATCACTTTCACCATGAGTGCTTTAAATTTCGTTATTATTGTAAATGTATTTTAAACCTGAAAAATTTATAGAAATTAAGAAGTTCCAAATCGATATGATAAAATCTACTAGCTACTAACGTTGATATGCTGTTTTTAAACACTTCAATTATGATTTAATATTTATTTATTTTTATTTTTTCCAAACTTCAATTTCATTTAAAGTAACAACTATACTTTCATAAATATTTAAGAACTCTTAATGGAACAATAACATTGTCATGTTTATTTGCAACGACGCTAATAATATGTACAAGGTATGTAGGTAGGTTGGTAGTTTTAAAAATAATGTGAAAGGCACCGATTCCCGCTTATGAATTATTAAAAGCCAAACTGTGGCTTAGACCCAATCCTTGGGGTTTTTAAGGACTTTCATTAGCTTGCCCTCCTCGGTTTTGGATTTGGGTTCATGCATATACTCCCATCGGGCGTGCAGGGGCAGTGACATTAGAATGCTCTCATAGCGGGCTCCGGGTGTATAGAGCCCGAATTTTGTGCCGCGATCGTAGATCAGGTTGAACTCCACGTAGCGTCCGCGTCGCAGCAGCTGCCACTGGCGTTCGTTGTTGCCGTACTCGCGGTTCTTGTGCTTCCGAACGAGTGGCATGTATGAAGGGATCACGGCACGGGCGCAGCTCGACACAAAGCCAAAGGCCGCCTCCTGGTTGGGGGAGTCTATGTCGTCGAAGAAGATGCCACCGATGCCGCGGCTCTCGTTGCGGTGCTTGATGCGGAAGTAGTCGTCGCACCACTTCTTGAAGCGCGGATAGTAAGTGGCGTCGTGCTCGTCGCAGGCGTTTTTCAGCGTCTGGTGAAAGTGGCAGGCGTCCTTTTCGCACAGGTAGTACGGGGTCAGATCCGTTCCGCCGCCAAACCACCACTGCTTCTCCCCCTTGGCCACCTCCACCTCGAAGTATCGGTAGTTAAAGTGTATGGTAGGCACATGGGGGTTCCGTGGATGAATTACAGCACTGACGCCGCTGGCGAAGAACGGTAATGCGGCTCCCTCCTTAAGGTTTTTGCCCCGGGCCCGCATCTGCTGTACTGCCGCAGGAGGCAGGGAGCCGGTGACCACGGATATGTTGACGCCCGCCTTCTCGAAGACGTCACCGTCCTGCAGGACGCACGTAATACCGCCTCCTCCTTCCGCCCGCTCCCAGCGGTCAACCTTGAACTTCTGACCGCAATTCTCCTCCGCTTCCAGTGCTCGGCAAAACTCGGCCTGAATCTCCATAATCAGCAGCTCCATGCGGTGTCGCATGTTCTCCTTATCCTCTAGCAAGACCTTGGTGTCCGTGATCGGCTCGGCCATGAACCGCGATGTGTCCATCTTGACCTTTGGGTTGACCGCCTCCGCGGAATGTGCGTACGTGACCGCAGAAAAGCTGGCTAGTCCAAGACCGGTGCCGAAGAGAAAGCCTTGGAGGTGCTGGCCCTTGGTCCGCCGGACCAGTTGGAAGGTGCCTAGCGACACTAGGGATATCGTGTGACGAAGGGCGTTCATTTTGTGCTGTCGCCTACTCCAAATTTAGAACGAACGCAGTATGTTTGTTATCTTTTTCACCGGCATTTCTATTTGCACAGTCGCCAGTGTGACCGAGGTCCCTGGTTTGGGTATTAAAAATACATATACCAAAAACTGTTATTTGATTTGTTACTCCGGATCATATAGTAGTAACTATTTTTTAAATTTTATTTTCTTATAAGCCAAGGGTAACGGTACGGTCACTCAGATCCGAATTTGTACTACATATCGCATCTTTAATTGTTAATAACAAAAAAACGGTGCAAAATTTTTACTCTCCGCCAACGGATTTCGAAGTTTTAGAAAAAAACACATCGTTTCCATATTTTACTTTATTTTTTTAAGCTGTATTTACCGTGCACCGCACTTGTAAACAATTACCCTGATTTGTTTATTTTGGCATAAATCTAATTTAATAAGAATTAATAATATTATAAGTAATAATTTTTTGGAAAAACTTTTGAGAGCCCCAACTATTAGGTAGAATTTTACTCTAAACGGGCACACTGTAGTGGCATTCGAAATAAACGACTACAACGGCGCGTCGATCGCTAAACTGAAATTGTTGTGAAAAATTTTACTGATTAATTGTGTTGCTCTTGGAAATTACAGAATACCATCAATTTTGCCTTCAAAACTTTTGCTAAAAGGTAGGTGATCATCTGGATCGAAACAAAAACGCTACAAACTATAGGCAGCAATTCGCTATTGTACTTGACTGGAGTCGTGAAACCAGGACACACTCACACATAAAGAGAGCTCTGTAATGTCTGGTCTAAAGAAATTCCAAGACAACGAGGAATGGCGTCAGAAACTGCGTGCGTTTCTTTTGACAGATCGGTAAATACGATACCCAATAACTTTCTTTCCTTGGATAGTGTTGCACTAGTGTTCGATTCCATAGTCCTTTGAAATTTGAAAATACACCCTTTTGAATGCCTGCATGTCAAATACCAAAAATAAATTGTCCGAAGGAACAAAGCGTGTTTGGGGATACTAATTTTTGTTTTTACGTTACAGCGTGCCGAAAAAACCAGTAAAGATGGACGAATCGAAGGATATGCGCTACAGTTTGGAGATCGATGAGGATCTAAAGAGACCATTAAAGGCGAGGACACAGACAGTCCCTTTACCTAATCCCATTATTCAAAAAAACGTCAATTTCAACGAGGAAACCATATACGAAGGCAGTTCCCTAGGCCAGTTGGACGATGGCGACGATAGCTTTAGTGCCTTCGAGCGAATGTGCGACAAGACGGGATCTGATCCGGACAGTACTCTGTTCCAGTACCTACACAGCGAGGATCGAAGCCAAGTTATGGCCAGAGCCAAGGATCGCAGTACCGACGACCAAAAAGAGATAGACGCCTTGCGTCGCATGCTTGAGGCGGTCGGCACCGATGAGGATCTACTGGAGAACGAGAGTCCAGTGAAAGGAGTAGAGTGCACTCAGTTGGAGGACGTGGAGGCGCCGTCACGCTTCTGGGACAACACTTTAGCCGGGGTCGATGAGTCGGCATGTGGCTCTGGGCTAGAATTTAAGACGAAGGTCTCACCTGTCAAAATGGTAGGCCTGCTCCGTCCTTCAACCATAATCGAGGATAATGAACAGGACTCGGATGTGTCGTCCCATGTCAGCTTCCGAAGCGCTCGCACACTGAAGACAAATGCCTCCAGTTGCTACGAAACAGCCACGGATAGTTCGCTTAGTGGAACGCTTCTGAACGTCGATGATCTGTTCTACGCAGCAATTGCAAAGGCCAAGCCACCAGGAATGTCTAAAGGCGAGGAGTTGGAGCTTCTAAACGATCTTCACGGCAGTCTTCAAGAGCTAGCATCGCTTCCAAAAGAGGAAGAGGAGGAACCGTTGGATGATGTAGAGGACACCATAATAGAGCTGTCCTCTTCGGACGACGAGGAGGTACAACTAGTATCAGAAGTGAAACAAGAAGACACTTCGCGAGTTTCCGCATTTGGCATAAATAAATCCACTGACCAGACGACTGTGGATGAGAATAAGGAAAACTCTTTGCATTTCAACGATACCATGGAGGAAATGCAGTACATGATGCAGAAAGGCATGGAGTTTATGACCGGTGGAGCTCCACCAACCGCTGCCGTTAAACCTCTAAGTCCTGTGCTCGCCAAGCAAAACACGTTCTTGATTTCTCCGAAGCAAATGCCCAAAGCGCCAGCTGCAGCCTTCGTGCAGCCAAGTTTACCGCTTCGCTCTTGCAACAAGCCACAGTCGGTGGGAGCATCGCCGAGCAAGGCCAAACAGCCGCCCAAGGTCGAGCTTAGCATGGAGTGGAACAGAAAGAAATTCTTCAGTGGATCCTCGGGCATCCCACAGCGTCGGCAACAGCAGATAAAACAACCGCCATACGCCAACATCGTCAGTCCCATTCGCACATATACGCAGAAATCGGGCATCGCTCCGCTGATGAGTACATTTCGCCCAATCAGTACTGACATGTTGACTACCCTGGCCATCAGTGAGCTGGAGCAGGAATCCCGCTTGTGCCAGTTGAAGCCCGTTTCTAACTCGCAGGCCAGCACATCCAAGGGAATTGGGGGGTTCGGAATAAAAGGCATCGATTCCACCGCCCACCTGCTGCCGAAAAAGGCTTACATATCTTCAGAGATCAAGCACGTGAGTTGCATTTTATTTCGAAAAACTCAGAATAGTCAGATATTTTGAATAGTAATCTTTTTTAATAATCACTGTAATTCCCTTTTACGTAGTTTATGCTTTTAGAAGTACAAACTTTTTGATACTTTTGTTTTTTTTTTTAACAGATGGTGGATGAGCGTACTCCTGTGCCCATGCCCAGTGTGCCTCGGATTCAGAAGTACCTTAACTCGGCTGTGGAACCCACTGTCTTACGTCACGATGGTAAAATGAAAATGCCCGGCGAGACCACCCGAAACCCGTCCTCAACACACATTCCTCGCCGCGCCAATCACAGCTTGGCTGATCTGTCTCTCGCCTCAGGAGATGTGTCCTTGTACACGATAAGAGATGCCCAAAAGTTTTAAGTCCCTCAATAATAATAATCACCTCTCTTAGGGTTAATATTGCAACAATAATAAATGTATTGTAAAACTAGTACTATTAAATGCCTTCGTTTTCGTCATATCAAATTAGCAGGATCACTGGTTTTGCAGCTGAGGACCTTTCCAGGCTCTATTGACCTTGGACTCGGAGGGTCTTCCCAGTTCGGTGCAAATATACCGACCCACTTGGATAAGTTTGTCCAGGCTTACACCGGTTTCTAGGCCCAAGCCGTGCAGCATGTATACCACATCCTCGGTGGCTGCGTTGCCAGACGCACCCTTGGCATAAGGGCATCCACCAAGGCCGGAAACCGAGGAGTCCACGACCTGGATACCATAGTCAAGTGATGCAAGGATGTTACTCAGCGCCTGGCCGTAAGTGTCGTGACAGTGCACGGCTAGATTTTTCGCCGGAACGGCTTTGGTCACCTCGTCGAGCATACGGCGCATGCTGCCAGGAGTGCCCACACCAATTGTGTCGCCCAGGGAGATCTCGTAACAACCCATTTGATGCAGTGCCTCCACCACTTTGACCACGGCACTCGGCGCAACGGCACCCTCATATGGGCAGCCAACCACGGTGGACACATATCCCCGCACACGAACTCCGTGCACCTCGGCTGCCTTCAGCACGGGTTTAAAGCGTTCGATCGCCTCTCTAGCCGTGCAATTGACGTTTTTGAGAGAAAACGCATCGGATGCGGCTCCAAAAACTGCTACCTCTTGGGCTCCCGCCGCCAGAGCACTTTCGAACCCTTTTAAATTGGGCGTAAGCACAGGATAACTGACCCCGGCCACTTTACGGATTCCGCGCAGCACCTCCGCATTGTCGCCCATCTGGGGCACCCATTTGGCACTAACAAAACTGGTTGCTTCAATGGATTGCAGACCCGTCTCGGAAAGTTGGTTGATCAGCTCGATTTTGGTGGCTGCCGGCAGCAGTTTAGGCTCATTTTGAAGACCATCCCTTGGACCCACCTCCACAATTCGCACATGATTACCTGTGCTTGTGGCTGCCGAACGCTTTAAGTTCAAAGACCATTGAAATAAGTTGAACATTAAGATTTTTATTGCATTTACCTTTGCTGCTAGCCAAACAAGGGATCGTATATGTGGTATTTTCATGGCTCAACTTGTAAATAAAAGTTACGTATGGTTCTTCCTCTTTCCTCTTGGCTCTTAACAGCTGATAGGAGTTCAAGCAACAGTCGGCAAGATCGATTGCTTCGATAACTTTTTGGTTTAATTGTAGGACCATCTCTTAAAACGAGCGTAGCAAGCAAATTTGTAGGGGTGAGAATTTAATTTGGAAAAAAATACTTAATACTTATATCTTAAATCTTTTTTTTGCTTGCGCACAAGTAAAGAATTTTATTACAACATTACATACAACATACAAATATCTATTTTTTGTTCAAAGTTGAGCCCCCTGCTACGCCCATGCCTTGTTTGTAAATCCATCCCTTTAATTGTAAACACATTTTTTTTGTTACACATTTGAAGTTTGCTTAGTCTTTTATGGAATTGGAACCAATAGACGGTTCTTGTCAAGAAGATGAGGATGTGTTTCACTTTGAAACCGAGCACCTGGCCCTTCGTGGCAACCAGTGCTATGCTAATTTACTGCGTACCATCGCCGTGCTGCAGGCTCAAAGGATTCGAGTTCATCAGCAGATTAATGAGCTGGAGACATCCCAAAAGGCGTACTTGGAGAACCCTCAACTGATGCTGGAGAAATTGCGGAACAATGATCCCCTTATATCGGAAAACTACTTAACCATTGCTACGCTGCCGGATATGCCTACGTTAGATGCAAATAATGAAAAAGTTGCCCCAGGTGGGACACCAACGAAAATGGCTTCTTGGAAGAACCCATCGAGTGGTTCTACGGACAGGAGCCACGGCCGACCGGAGAACTTTAACCGATTGTGGACAAACGATGAGCAAAGACGGTTGGAGCAGCTGCTCATTCAATATCCGCCAGAGGAAGTGGAAATGCGTCGTTTCGCTAAGATAGCCAAGGCCTTGGGTAACCGCACGCCGCAACAGGTCTTCAGCCGTGTCCAGAAGTATTTCCAGAAGCTTCACGATGCCGGAATGCCGGTGCCCGGCCGGATACCTAAGCATCGACGGGCGGGACTAAGTAAACCAAAGGTACATTTAAAAAGGTCAACCTTCTTTCCTGCTCAGAACATATCGCTGCAAATGCCGGAGGACGATTTTTCACTGGATGATATGCAAGTCCTGTCGCCGGCCAACGAGATGATCCTGCCGTCAGCATCATTGCAAATCAAACACGAACCTAAAAGCGAGGCAGAACTCGCCGACCCTGAACAGGATTCGGAGGCCAATCGCAAGCAGGATCTGCGCCTTAAGCTGCTAACAGCCATTCATGATGAGAAACAACAGATCGAGAATGGCTACGAACCCGACCTGCTGGCACCAAAATGCGCAGAATGCGAGGAGGCTTCTGTGACTAGGACGCAATGGCGTTGCAACAGCTGCTATTGCCACCTGAATCTGTGTGGCGATTGCCTGGCTAGTCAGTTGATTGAAGAACGCTTCGAACATCTAAGCCATGAAGTTGTTGTTGACAAAGAGTCTTAAAAAGATGACCCAGGTGTAGTGTAAGACCTTTCAAATAATTATTGCGTTAAGAGTTGAACAAAAACGAATCCAGTTTGGTAATACCAAGATCCATATTTTTAGATGGATTTACTACTTATACTAAAGACATGCATAAGCTTAAGCCCTGTTCCTGTTCTATGGTAAGCTAGAAAGAAGTTTCAAGGTGAACAAATTAAAATGTTTTCCAATTCAATAGCGTGGTTTAGCACAGAGACAATAAACCGATACTGAAAGGGCTAACATGTTCATTAAAATGTAAATGCAGATTGCAGGCAGCATTCTTGAAGAGCTTAGGAAAAGGAAACTTAAAACTATATATAAAAGTAAATATATAAAATTGTTCCAGAAAATAGAATAGCCACAGACATAATAATATTTAGTTACTGAGACGATTTCATTTCTTTATTGATAGCTTAAAGTAAAATAAAATAAAAAAACGTAAATAAAAAAGATCCACCTTTAGTTACGTACTTGGGCAGTTGATTTCGGTAGTGACTGAAGGCGCTGGCGACGTTTGGACTCGAACTCGGTTGCCAACTGCCAGGTTTCCTTGTCCAAAGTCTCCTTTCCGCGGGCGATGCCTAGCAGACGCGAAAGGACCAGCAATCCGTGGAGATCATCGGCATTACTTTTTACGTTGGCCTTGCGCATATCCACAAAGTCCTGCTGGATCATTTCAGTGTGCTCCTCGCTTACGTTAAAGTTGCTTATCCGTGCTGAAGTTAAATACTTGCGAAACTGCTCAAGTCGCGTCGGCTGAAGATAGTGTTGGGCTGCTTTAAGAGATTCACTGACGAGGTCTACTGCCTTAGCATCAGCATTTATGGGCACCACGAAATCGCTCTGAAAACAAGACATTTTAGTTTAGCTGGGGGAATCAGCTTTCTTTCAGTTCTAAAGATCTCACCGGTAACATACTTCTTCCTTCGCTGAGCACGAGAACCGGAATGTTGGCATGGTAATCGATTTGGTAATACTGAAAGTCGCACTTTAGCTCCTGGTTGTTGATCAAGTGAGCCAAATGCTGAACCGCATGAACGCCGTTGGCCTCCAATTTGCCCTGCTGCATGCAAGTCTCATCGAGCACGAGATGCGTGTGAGGCGCCAACTGCAGCACGCCAGAGACCAATTTGTTGGTCTCATAGTCCTTTCTGTGAGTATATACATATATTTTTACTTTCAAAAGTGTAAAACTAGTTCTGTTTTTCCACTCACTTTGGAGCAAAAGCCGCGGTGTTCATCGTCTCAAGGGTCAGTGGAAGGTAATGGCTGGCCGGCAGTAGCAGCTCCAGAATATTATACAACTTGGTGGTGAAGTCCGGCAAACATTCCTTGGGCAGATTGCAGAGGTTTAGGGCAAACTTGCCGATGCTCTGCATCTCGGACCGACTGTAGACTGTTGAAATCAGATGAGAAAGTAAATACTCAGCGGCCAGGTCGTCGTCGAACAGGCAAAGTTTAAGTAACATGCGCAGATCCTTGTGAACGGCCAGCTGGGATGGATAGGCCTCTTCACATGGTACTGTGGGCTGCCGTAAACTTTTGTCCAGAAGCGGATTGACATGTGACAGCATCTGAACGCCAAAGGCATGCAGTCGGGGTATGAGGAAGGGTGATGGATGAGCTGCTTGAAGCTCACTTAGATTCTCACAATCGTCAACGTCTAGAGTGGCGGCGTCCAGCGAGGAATCCACAGACAGGAAGCCCACAAAGTCCACAAGGGCGTTAAGCTTGTAGCTGTCGAAGTCCTCGTATACCTTCACCATGCAAGCCATACTGGGACGATCCGGTAGTGGCGAGTTGAGCAAATACTCGGAGCCTAGAGTGGTTGAACAAGGGCCAGATTTGGCCTCCTCTTTCGCCTTGATCTCCTCGAGGCAAGGCCGCTTAAGGCTGGTTTCATCTGCTCCGTCCACCTCCATGGCATCCTGTTCTTCGATTGTCCGCTTTTTTGCTAAGCTAGGCGATTGAGCTTGGCTAACCAATGTAACCTGTGGACAGCATTGCTTCTCGTGATCTTTGCTCCAATCATTCAAGCCCGGCACGGAGATCACGAACATGGTTCGCCTCTCGCCATGCACGTTGCTCTCCGCGTTGAAGTCGATTTCCTCGCCGGTGGAAAGTTTTAAGCAATCCCTGTACTTTCCGTTCTGCAGGCGCCTGCTGCCATCGGCAGACTTTAATTCGTAGCGCTCCAAGTAGATCTCCGGGTCCATCATGTCCTGGATCATGCCGCGGAAACGCACCAGAGTCTGATCTTTCAGTTTGTGCAATGGAGTGTAATTCAGCAAAGGAACAGAGTGCCAGCGGCTGGGATCCTTTAATAGGTCATTGAGAACAGAGGTGTCCTTGTGCTGGGGGGCCAGTTCTTCGGGCGTGCTGGGTAAATCCATGACACAGGGCATTATTTTCTTAATGTAAACTAATGGAACCTCAAATCGAATGAGACCGAAAAATCAGCTGCTTTAAGCGCGCCAAAATCTGATATGCGGCATTTTTATAAGGTCCAGCGATAGCTGTCCTATCGATTATTGGGCTACCAGGGCTGCTGAACCTCTGCCGCAGAACGGATGTAGAGGCGGATGTGCACATCCGCAAAAAAGTGTACAATTTTGGGATTTTCCAAGGGCCAGAATCATGAGCAAGAAAAGCAATGTTTGGCAGTTCTTCTACAAGGCATCCGACACAGTGGCCACTTGCTGCCTATGCAACAGGAACTACTCGCGGAAGGGACGCGGCACCACCTGCCTAAGGAACCATCTGAAGAGTAAACACCCAAGCGAGTTTCTAACTCTTTCCGAGGACATTAAGTACATGGATCTGGTAAAGAGGGAGATATCCAGTAGCTCTCCCCAGCATCCCACGGCACAATTGGAATTAAATTTGCACGTAAGTGATAATTATAAAATATTATAAAATAATACTTTGAGTGAGGTCGGGTTCATAACCATTTATAGATACTTCAAAAAGGGGGGAGGTGATTCCCAGATCCCTACATCTGTAAATTTTCTGAAAAATTCCGATAAGTACATATAAGTATTTGGAGATCTTCATTAATCTTCGTTAATCTAAAATTTACAAACTGCGTTGGTAGCGGATGCGGATATAAAGATCCGCACTTGCTCTCATAAGATATTGGCATTGTCAATTATTAATTAAGCCTTAACCCTAAATTAACTTACTCTTTCAATATGTGAAATTAATTAGGTATAGAAAAACTGGGTTATAAAATTAAATTGATAAATTCGGACTTTTGTAGGACCCAAAAATAGATAACGAATTTATTTATTCTATTTAATCTAGTTTGGAAGTTAAAATCTAAAAAAAATACAATACATTAGGGAAATACATTTTTAAAGTAAATTATTTTAAGATTATTCATCACATTAAAATAATAATAACGTGTTTTAAACTTTAAACTTTAGGAAACGGATCCAGATCCTTTAGACACCGAAGACGTTTCCTGCAGTGCCCGCTGTGATGAGAAATTAGCTCTAATGCTACTTAACCTTTCCTTCAAATTCATTGAAGAACCGGGGTTCGTGAACTTTGTAAGAGTCCTGCAGCCGAGATATGTGATCCAATCAAGAAACTACTATGAGAATCTACTTTGTAAGGATATACACAGAAAAATGCAAGCGCATCTTAAGGAGCAGATTGATCTTTTGGATGCCATATCGTTGTCCACAAGTTATTGGAGGTGCGACAGTGGTGAAGGACTGCTGACTTTGACTTGTTCTGGAATTTCAAGAGATTTTCAAAGCCACCGACTAATGCTAAAATGCGAGGCTGTAAACTATGGAAGCTCTTCAAAATTGGCGTGCTGTATTCGGGATCTAATACCCAGCTTGCCATTAGAGGTTCCCAAAGAAAAGATTCATTGCGTGATTAGGGACGAAACAACGGCTGTGTCAGGCTCCCTTCCCGATTGCAGTGTGCATCGTTTGCAGATGTGCGTAAGATTTTCGTTGCAGTCGAACGAATTGCTCCAGAACCTGTCTTCAAAGTGCAAGCAAATAGTTGATCATTTCGCTTCTTCTAAGATGGGCCATGATCATCTTAAATTCATTCAAGAAATCCGCCTAACAAGAGACGCTTGCAAACTCCAGTCTTATGATCCATTACAATGGAATTCGACCTTCCAGATGATGGCCAGCGTGTTCAGGATGAAAGATGCTATCTCTCTATACTGCGAAGAATATAATTTGGTCCAAATATACCCTGATGAATGGATAGACATTGATTTGTGCAGCAAAGTTATGCAGCCTTGTGAAGAAATCATTAAGATTTGGAGCAATCCCTCCACCACCACGTCATCGGTAATTCCACTGGTGGCCGCTTTGCGGGATTCTCTTAGAACTGATGTTCACAACTATGTTTCCTCTGTGGTATGTTATAAATCAAGATTTTAAATAGTCTTAACTTATATTGTTTATTTTAGACTATTTGCAGTTTTGCCAGAAAGCTGCTTGAAGAACTGGAAATGAAGTTTTCCCACGTCACTAGTGATATCAGATTTTTAATGGCCACCTATTTAGATCCAAGGTATAAGCAAGCGTTCTTTTCCGAGCGGGAGGAGCAGTTGGTGGCCAATGAGGTTTTGCTGCTGCTTACCCGAGTACATGAAGACAGCAACGGCCAACCGCCTTTAAAAGTAAACAAAGTTTCATCTTCCTCCTTCCATAAGAATGAATCAAAAATTGATAGCATTCTGGATAATATGTTAACAACTTTGTCAACTAATACTCAACAGACGACAACATCATTTGGGTCCCAGTCACAGATTAAGAATCTATTATATCTATACAACTCCGAGCCTAGGATCGATAGAAATATGGACCCCTTGATGTGGTGGAAGGCAAACATAAAGTATAGTTCCATGTATTCTATCGTTAGGAGATTTTTGTCGGCTCCAGCGGCAAGCGTGGCTAGCGAAAGCCTGTTTAAAGAATCTCCACACTTGTTTTGTGATATACGAGCTGGATTGTGCGCCGAAAATGCATCCAAAATATTCTTGATAAAGTCTAACTTTAGAAATTCGTATAGCAAGGAGTAGTTTATTTTATATTTCTTAACTTTAGATAAATTATGTACATTTATTAACTTTGAACTTAACACTAATTGATCGCACGAAAAGTGAGGTCTTGCACTTAAGTCGAATCGGTCCGATCGGATCCTAGCCCCTGTAGTCAGGATCATTGTGTTCCTCTTCATCTTCCTCCTCCTCCTCTTCTTCATCTAAATTGTAAATACATTTTTCGTTTTGTTGATGTTAAATAATATTCGAATTGTAATAAACTTACCATGATCTCGACGTTTTCGTGTGTAAGCCCGCTTGCTGGCGACTGGCGCTTGGTCTGTTTCGCCATGGAGCAGTGAGTTGCGATATAATACCAGCGGCTGCCATTCCTCAGCCCGGCTGGATGGCATTGCGGGAGGTATCATCTTGTCCAGGAAACTCATAATTACCTTCTTATCTTGTTTTAGAAGCTTATAGTTGAACTCGTTTAGAACCTCAAGGAAGAGCAGACGAGTTGGAGCTCGCACTGGATCATCAGACTCTTTGTTGGCCGCAAAATAAATGCCGCCCCTGTGAATGGCGGCTACAGATTCGCGATTCTTAATTGCATCAAAGCCAAACGTAAGAGCAAATCGCTTGGCCAACTCCTTAAGGTCGACGAATTCTTGCGAACTCTTTGAAACAGCTCCATCTTCATTTTGCTCCTGCAGGCTCTTGAAAACCGTGATAAGGCTCAATAGAAGAGTCATAGCAAAGTTTACTTTGTTTATCTCCCGAGCCTTTCCCAATGTGGCTTTGATAATGTCGCCATAATCGTTGTAGCACTATAATGAGTAGTTTTTAATCATCTAAACCGCACACGAGAAATTTATTTAAGATATTTGTTAATGCCATTAGACTCACCTTTACGTAATATTTAAAAATGCTGGCTGCCCTCATTGTTGGTATTATATTGTACACTACCAACTTGCAGTAACATGCCAAAAAGTTGCGTTTCTTATGCAGTTCCTCGATTCTAGTTTCGTCTTGTGCCGCATCTTGCTTAAGGGAAAACACATAGTGCTGAACAAAGTTATCCAAGATAAGATGCTCATCCATTCGTGACTTGTATTCCAAACCACGAATGTGTTCAATTTCACTGCGAGCCAACTTATCAGAAAAGATGATTAGCAGATCGCAGATGGACTGGTAGGCCTGCAAAATATTAATTGCAATTGTTTTCGAAAATCGAGTTGTAATGTTCATAACAAACCGCCTCTTGGATCTGCACTGTTGGTCCGTCGCGGGTTAGTTCAAAGCAGGCTGCCATAAAGGAGTCCAAGTTTCTACGCAGCTCAGCAACCACCTCGGCGACATTAAGCGATTCGCAGTCATTTTCAACGAAGTATAGTCCCCAGCTAATAGAGAAATAGCATGCCTCAATGCAATAGGCAAGAGCTTCGTTGGGCAGACATCGTTCAACGTTCTCCTTGGACTGAGCCTCCTCGACGTCCTGGAACAGGGACTTGAACAGCTCCCAGGGGTTGAGATTGTGCGAGGAGTAAAGGATAGAGAGGACTTTGAGGGTGATCGTTATGTTGTAGATGTCATCCTCGTTGGGGGTCTCCTCGCCTGGGTAAACATTCAAATATTAATCAATTAACCCTACACTTTTAAAAGTCCCACATTTAAATACCTTGGATAAGGTTGCGCCACTCCTCAATAGCGTCCTTGTATTTATTGACCGCACTCTCGATTATATTGGATCTGGCGATGTTGCATCTGGTGTAGGTGGCACTTCCCTCGGCGCATAGACATTCAAGGGTTTTTGCGCATGTTTCTAACACTTCACGACCCGTGTGCATGCTCATCACCTGATTTATACGGTCTAACAGAGCCTGTAGGTTGCCTTCTTGTCGATTGGTAGTGTACAGATTAAGATCAAAGTACTGGGGAACTGCTAGCAGGTTGGCCAATTTCTCGCTGTCTGCCTGATATTTTTCTAGCAGCGACGGCAAAGTGACGATGAAGTGTTCTGTCAGCCTGGCCTTCTCATCCTGAATAGCCTTTAACTCCTTTGCGCTAAGCGTAAATTTTCGATTGCTGGCTCGTCCGACCGGTACTTCTCCAGTAGCCGATTGCTTAACGCTGCTGACCATGATTTCAATGAGTGTCGATTCCTGCTTGTTGTCGAGGACTTCCTCGTTGGGACCAGGTTCCTCCAGCAGTAGATCCGTCATACATTCCCAGTCCTTTACCATGTCATTGCTATCGATAAAGGAATCTACAAGATAGGCACCATGCTCGTGAAGCTCGGACTCGATAAAGAACTGCACCAAGTCCCGAACCAGCGGTGTATTGGGCATACGCAGTTTGCCCCTTTTGGTTTTGGTCTCTTCCATGTCAGCAGTTAAGTGAAACAGACGAACGTTTAAGAACTCGGCGGCTGCCTGAGCTACACCACGATGAGAAGAATAAACTAACTCGTAGACGATTTCACAATCCTTGTCAGCCAAAATCTCTGGGTGGATTCTGAAAACAAAAACGTTGTAGAAAAACGAGCACAGCATATACAATTTATCTTACTTTAAAATACTGATAACCAGCTTGACGGCATGAACCGACACTTCAAACTCTTTGTCCAGGGTCATGGCCACAATCCTATCCTTAAACTTTGAAGTGAACAACTCGAGCTTGCCCTTAAGCTCCTCCTTCTCGTACAGCGGCAGCAACGATTGCAGACAGCGCAGACGCACCTCTCCAATCTTGTCGTGAAGCGTCCAACCGATGTACTTAAGGTACGAGTCGTCAAGAAAGTTTTGAGGATAGTTTTCCATCCAAATTCCGATCTCGGCCATACAAATGGCGCGTATATCTGGCAAACTGTCCCTGTACCTATGAACAAACACAGACTTGAACATGTAGGTTAACATGCTCTTTATCTCGTCCATATTTTCTTCCAGTTCGGATCGTTTGGTCATTAGTGAATCCAAACGGTCTGAGGCACGACGATCTCGAGACTTCAAAAAAGTAAAATTAGTACTGGAATCCTGGCAAATAGTTGCTACTCCACCTTCACACGTTCAGCTTCGAATTGTTTTGCGGCATTGTCAAAATTATTTGAAACAAGCAGGGCCACATCCACCAAGGCAGTCATCAGTTTCATTGCCGCTAAAGTGGCCGTGTGTCGGAAGGCTCGCACCTGCGAATCCGATAGTCCAGTAAGCAGCGAGATTACGTTGTCCATCAAAAACTGGTCGTAGATTATGGAGTACTGGCATTGTTTCACCAGCGTTTGTACAAAATCGCAGAAGTTGTTTTTGAATTTTCGCCACTGGGTTCCCGTCATGATCAAGGGATATTCTCCACTTTCCTACAACATTTTACTGTTTAAAAATTACCTTTTCAGCTTTTTCCACTATCCTTACCTCGTCAAACTCCTCGGTCATGCGTCTAATAATGGCTGTATGATCCACAGGATACTGTATATCCTCGGATATCTTACCCTTGCAGCCACTGGCATTTATGAAGAATTGCATTAATGCAACTAGCGCCGTTTCCCGGTTCGCTTTGTATTGCTCAATCCACTGGTCAACAATGCTCTGAAATAAACGGATTGAAACTAATTCGTTTGAACGCAAGGATGAAGGTTTTCTCTTACGGCAATAGGATTTTTGGAGTGCCTCACAATATAGTACAGGCTGTTCTCGTCCGTGGTTATCTCTCGCTCGGTGTCGATCCGCTCGTGGTGCCCTTTGTCCACCGGCTCCTTGCGCGGCCTTTCAACGCGTTCCTTACGTTCTGTTGGTCCCTTTCGGGTGGCGGGAGTCTTTCGTTTGCGCGCAATCGGCGCGAAGAAGTCATCCTCGTCGTCATCAATAATGGGTGGCTTATCCCGTACCCCACCCCGGGCCCGCAACCTGGTCATCCGCTTGGTGGGACTGTCGGCGTCCGAGGTGCTTTCGTTCAGAGCATCGCTAAAACAAATGGTTGCATTTATCTTAGGCCAAAAAAAAAGGTGAAACCACAGTGAGCTATACCTGTGCAATTCCTCGTATTCCGGCGGCGGATCATCCATCCGTATGCGCTTTCCCCCGCGGCGCGCCATCATTTTATGTATTTAACTGGTGGGTTACAGACCTCAATGGTTTCTAAACATTAAAAAATAAATTAAACAAATCAATTTTGTCAAAAGCGTCCGCTACTACAAGTGATGACACTTTACCTAAAGTACAGCGTAAAAATATCGATAGGCGCAATGGTCAAACAGGGCTGCTGGAAATGGAAAGTACCTACAACTACAACTTAGCTTTGTAACTATTATGGAAATAAAAAAACTAATATTTTAAAACGTATCTAGTTTCGCCATCAATTTTGTCACATATTTAATAAAAAAAATCTTTAGGCTGTGTAGCCCTGCAATAAATGCAACTGCTTATCGATAACACCGTGTCGCCGCTTCACCAAAAGAAAGAAGAAGAACCCAAAACAAAAATTAACTCTGCTACAATAAACAAAGTAAAACATTTTTATAAATGACTGAATTCGGAGGAGATTCGGGAGGTCGATTAAAAGGCGTGACTATAGTAAAACCCATTGTTTACGGGAACATAGCGCGATCCTTCGGCAAAAAACGCGAGGAGGACGGGCACACGCACCAATGGAAAGTCTATCTGAAGCCCTATTTTAACGAGGACATGTCCATTTATGTAAAGAAGGTCCACTTTAAGTTGCACGAGAGCTACGCCAACCCAAATCGAATCGTGGTAAAGCCTCCGTACGAGATCACAGAGACCGGGTGGGGCGAGTTCGAGGTGGTCATTAAGATCTACTTCAACGACCAGTCGGAGCGCCCGGTAACCTGTTATCACATCCTAAAGCTCTTTCAATCGCCCGTCGTCGATGGTGAGCTTACCTCTAGCACCACCATGGACACCAAGAAGGGTCTCGTCTCGGAGTCGTACGAGGAGATCGTTTTCCAAGAGCCCACCCAGATAATGCAGCATTATCTTCTGCTCTCGGAACAGAGCGCAAATGGTCTTCTTACCCACGATACTGATTGTAACTAAAAATAGTTATTTTTAATTTACAACCACATTCACTAAGTACAAACTTCATTTACTTTTTTAGTTGAGGAAAAGAAGACAAAAACTCTGGATAACATTGTCAATGTGAAGCAGAAGGTCAAGGGGGAGATTGTTACACTTAAGGACAAACTAAAGCTGGCACGTGAAACCATATCTAAGTTCAAGGCGGAATTGGCTAAGGTGCAAAAGCAGGCTACATAACATCTGCTAAAATGCTTTCCGAATATGCCTCGGAATTCGCAATTCATTTTAAGTTTTAAGTATATATATATGTATAAATAGTAAAAAAGAGAATTAAAAATGCGTTATGTATTTAACTTATCTGTTCATATCGTGGGCAAGAATTAACACCTACTTCATGCAAATCTTGCTAAAGTGCCGGTTCTGGGTTAATTCACATTGGTATTAAAATTGACTAAAGTAATTTTTTGCAGTACATTTGCGATTCATATCGGTGCCTATCGACTTTGTCTGTGTAGCTCTGATCAGCTGAAATCACAATTTTTTTTATTCATTTAGCAAGTTTTCTTAATAGTGACAGCTTCACATTAAATTTTCAAATGTCCAACTTTGTTAACTTAAACGAAAAGTGCTTACTGTAAGAACACAAGCCTCTTCTTAATTTAATTTCATTTTTTGGATTGTCTTGTAGTAAAATTGTGGACTATCTTAAACTCGAGGATCAATTAAACCTGTGGAGTGCTACTAAGTGCATACCCAAACTTCAAAAGGTCGTATCAAGCTCCTGGCAGATCCGAAGACAACACTATTTACGCCGGAACACGTTTAAAGACAAAGAAATACTTCTTCAAGACTTTTTACAATGCATTGGTTGTACTGTAGAGAAGTTTATTTTCGAAGACTTCCCTATAGATCAATTGTATGCTTTCCGAAATCATGGTTTTCCCAATATGCGGGTATTGGATTATTCAAATGAAGATTCCGATTTAGTCAATGACGTGAAGACTCTGGTAAATTGCTTTCCTCTAATAGAGACATTTAAAATGGGAGCTCTGATCGGGGGGCTAAGCTACGAACATCACATAGCCAGGTGGAAGAACCTGAAAAGGTTGGACATCATGGGATCTTCTAAGCATTGGAAAACTATATGCTTTCAAGAAATATGCCAAAAATTGCAGCTACAGTTTTTAAGTGTTTCCTGGAGAGAATCGGAGGAAGATGCCTATGTAGAGGCCATATCAAAATTGCAGGAACTGGAGGAACTAAAGTTGGATTTAAACCTCATCAGCAGGGAAAATACAATAAAACTATTAAATCTTCCAAAGCTTCGAAAACTTTGCTTTGAAGAATTTGAGGATGTGCAGGATTTTCTTGATAACATAGTTGAAATTCGTGGAAAGGATGTTACAGGAATCACCTGGAACGAGAATTTTTGGCTGTGGCTGAATCCCAATCGATTTAAAAATGTGCAAAAAGTCTCGATTATAGACGAAGGAGTCGTAGAAGGAATTTGGTATGCACCCATTTTTAACAAAAGTCTTAGTGATTTTCCTCAATTGCTAGAATTGTGTTTGGCAAACATAAACATTTGGCAGACTGGGGACGAACTATGGGAAATGATCTATTCTTGTCAACAGCTAAAACTATTACAGTTGGAAAATTTCGAGATGGAGCATGAATTTTTCGATTTCAGTTTTATGTCTATGGACAAGGCTTTATGTCAGAGGCGTGACCCCTTAGTCATAAATTTTTTGAATACCTATCATAAAGATTTGGTAAGTGACTAACCTTAAATGACTGTAATGAAAATGTTTCTTTTGCAGATTTTTCAGCATTTTATTCATTCGAAACTGAAGATTTTCATCAACGTCAGTAGGGAATCCTTGTCAAAGTTCTCGGGCGGAGTTTTGGAGTTGGAATTTATTTCTAACAGCAAACAAGAAGTTTAACATACATATGTACACATGTCTGTACATACAACCAAATGGGAATTTACATAAGATAACACATTTTTCTGTGCAATAAATTATTGCTTTGGACATTTGAAAAATAAACTTTCTGTTAAAATAAAACTCTGCAGCTCAATAATGCTAATAAAGGCAATAGCCTATTCGTAATTCAGAAATAAATAATTCAGAAATAAATGATAATGGATAATCCAAAATTGGCTATTAAGTAAAACCATTTCAAAGTAACAAGTTCATATATTATTTTTTTAATTGATACATTGTTTTATGAAAAATTATTTTTTATTCGTGCCAAAGGAATATTTTCCACAGCCCAGGGCTCCAGAAAGTCCACCAACGATAAGTATCAGAGCAACAAGCTTCATTTTTAGGTTTTGAATGCAATCCATATCCGCTTTGACTTGAATTTATAGCTCTCCAACGTTGCTAATAATATTAGTCAAATTATACGTATCGAAATGTATTAGGCAGGCATTATTTTAATTGACATTTAAATTACGAAAAACGCTTTAGAACAAAAACAATTACTTAAAGTTCATGAAGATAATTCACAGAATTTACATATGAAAATTTGTTACTGAAATTTCAATGACCTAAAATCAAAATTTTAGTTTTATAGCTTAATTTTATTTTAGAAGCATTTCTATGTCTAGCAGTGCTACTTTCTGAAGTAAAAAAAATTACAATTCGATATAGAAATTATCTAATTTAAACAATATGCGGGTATTGGATTATTCAAATGAAGATTCCGGTTTAGTCAATGACGTGAAGACTCTGGTAAATTACTTTCCTCTAATAGAGACATTTAAAATGGGAGCTCTGATCGGGGGGCTAAGCTACGAACATCACATAGCCAGGTGGAAGAACCTGAAAAGGTTGGACATCATAGGATCTTCTAAGCATTGGAAAACTATATGCTTTCAAGAAATATGCCAAAAATTGCAGCTACAGTTTTTAAGTGTTTCCTGGAGATAATCAGAGGAAGATGCCTATGTAGAGGCCATATCAAAATTGGAGGAACTGGAGGAACTAAAGTTGGATTTTAACCTCATCAGCAGGGAAAATACAATAAAACTATTAAATCTTCCAAAGCTTCGAAAACTTTGCTTTGAAGAATTTGAGGATGTGCAGGATTTTCTTGATAACATTGTTGAAATTCGTGGAAAGGATGTTACAGGAATCACCTGCAACGAGAATTTTTGGCTGTGGCTGAATCCCAATCGATTTAAAAATGTGCAAAAAGTCTCGATTATAGACGAAGGAGTCGTAGAAGGAATTTGGTATGCACCCGTTTTTAACAAAAGTCTTAGTGATTTTCCTCAATTGCTAGAATTGTGTTTGGCAAACATAAACATTTGGCAGACTGGGGACGAACTATGGGAAATGATCTATTCTTGTCAACAGCTAAAACTATTACAGTTGGAAAATTTCGAGATGGAGCATGCATTTTTCGATTTCAGTTTTATGACTATGGACAAGGCTTTATGTCAGAGGCGTGACCCCTTAGTCATAAATTTTTTGAATACCTATCATAAAGATTTGGTAAGTTACTAACCTTAAATGACTGTAATGAAAATGTTTCTTTTGCAGATTTTTCAGCATTTTATTCATTCGAAACTGAAGATTTTCATCAACGTCAGTAGGGAATCCTTGTCAAAGTTCTCGGGCGGAGTTTTGGAGTTGGAATTTATTTCTAACAGCAAACAAGAAGTTTAACATACATATGTACACATGTCTGTACATACAACCAAATGGGAATTTACATAAGATAACCATTTTTCTGTGCAATAAATTATTGCTTTGGACATTTGAAAAATAAACTTTCTGTTAAAATAAAACTCTGCAGCTCAATAATGCTAATAAAGGCAATTGCCTATTCGTAAGTCAGATAATCCCAAATTGGCTATTAAGTAAAACCATTTCAAAGTACCAAGTTCATATTTTATTTTTTTAATTGATGACATTGTTTTATGAAGAAACACATTGATTCGTGCCAAAGGAATATTTTGAACAGCCCAGGGCTCCTGAAAGTCCACCAAAGATAAGTATCAGAGCAACAAGCTTCATTTTTAGATTTTAAATGCAATCCATATCCGCTTTGACTTAAATTTTATAGCTCTCCTACGTTGCTAATAATATTAGTCAAATTATCCGTATCGAAATGTATAAGGCAGACATTATTTTAATTGACATTTAAATTACGAAAAACGCTTTAGAACTAAACAATTACTTAAAGTTCATGAAGAAAATACACAGAATTTACATATGAAAATTTGTTACTGAAATTTCAATGACCTAAAATCAACATTTTAGTTTTATAGCTTAATTTTATTTTAGAAGCATTTCTATGTCTAGGAGTGATACTGCAATTATCTATAAAATAATTTACAATCCGATATCGAAATTATCTAATTTAAACAATGCCATACGATTTTCTTATACAAAAATAAGGCAAACAAACATTTTAATCAACGATTGTAGACAATTGACGTGACCCACGGTTTTATTTTAGTCTAGTCTAAGCATATGTTTATAATACCCACGTCTGTATCTATTTAATATTATTTTTAGGTTTTTAGTACATTTATCTTAAACATTGCAATGTATGTTTTACATAAAACGGTTTAACTTAAAGTGTTTTTTACCTATTTTTATGTTCACGTTAGTTAACATTCACTGTGTCCCGATGACCCGGTGAATTTGGAACCAGTAGTTCGCAGGCGAGTGAATCAATGCATCTGAACCAGCGTCGCGGTTCTGAACCTGAGTCCGAATCCAATTCCAGTTCCAGCATCCCCACGGAATAATAAATGCTATTGTTTATTTGACTTGTTGAGTGCATGTGCTTGTCCGGTGGCTTCGGGTTCCAATCGAAGCCCGAATTAAAGATACCATGATTTTATGGACCTGTTTCGTTAAAGTGTATTATGATTGTGCATTAATAATTTAGGCCCACAATTCCACGCACACACACACTTACAGACGTATAAAAGATACAAGTGATGCGCGCTGCTCGAGAGTGAAAATTTTTAACTGCGCAAACGCAAACGCGTTTCCCCACCTAGAACCAGTTGAGAAACCCAGAAGAAAGGTAAGTTAATGGCGTTACTAATTTTGGGCACCGGAATATATTGATATTTTCGGCTAAACCCTCGCCACTTGCAGCAGCCCACATCGATGACGCTGCTCAAATCCTCGCTGCTACTCTTCTCGCTGCTAACGTCGCGGCTCGAAGCAATTCCGGTTTTGGACAAGACCCCCGCCCATTCTGCACAATCCGCGCATCCTTCGCCTGGCGTGCGAATTCTTCGCGCACCCGAATCTCTGGTGGCGCCCCTGGGAGATGAGGTGGTGCTGGAGTGCGAGACCAGTTTGCAGCCAGAGCGATTCGAGTGGAGCCACCGAGGCAGCAAATCAACCGGCGCCGGGTTCAAGTACCTCCGGACTGGCACCGCCAAGGCCAATGTCTCCCAGGAAGCGGCGATCTCACGGCTTAGGGTGCTCGTCCGCCAGGACACATTGGGCGAGTACCGGTGCATTGGTTGGTTCGGGCCCCTAGTGGTTACCTCAACCACAGCTCGCCTGGAGCTGGCCAGCTCTAGCGTAGTGAGTGGCTCCAAGTTCGAATCAGACCTCCAGTGGCGCGTGGCTGCCGGAAACACGGTGCTATGGCCCTGCGGGCAGAATGTGCAATCGAATCCAGCCGCCAGTTGGTCATACTTCCGGAACGGAGTGGAAATCAAGGCTGAATTCGAGGGATCTAATGGAAATCTCTTCCTGAGCAATGTATCCACCGAATCCTCAGGCATCTACACATGCCAAGCGACAAACCCAGCCTCGGGTGAGAGAATCCAGCTAGACAGTTCACTGCAACTGCAGGTTACGACAGACCAAAGGTCGCAGAGTAAATGGCCTCACTTGTTGAAAGGACAACCCAACTCACAGGTAGTCACCAGTCGGGAAGGAAGCTCGTTGCTGCTGATGTGTCCTGGAGTTGGGTCACCACCACCTACTGTTGTCTGGAGCAGTCCTGATGTCGAGGGAGCAGTTAAAAATAGGCGCTCTAAAGTAATTGGCCATACTCTGGAGATAACTAATGTACAAGTTCAGGATGCAGGCACCTATATCTGCTTTCAGGACAATGGAGTTCGACCTGCGCTAGAGCACTACATAAAGCTGCGCGTGGAGCAGCCACCTAGGATTGTTCGTCCACCTTGGGCAAATCTCACCAACGAGGGTGAACACTTACGGTTAGAATGCGAGGCCACCGGAGTGCCCAAACCAGAGATCTACTGGCTGCTCAACGGACACAGCAGCACTGGTGACACGGAGGCTGAGCTATCCAACAATTTTCTAACACTTCACAAAGTTCTGAAGCGACACGCCGGCTACGTTCAGTGCTTTGCCCGCAACAGTCTGGGCGAGCAAAGTGCGAGTACCCTACTGGAGGTTAATCCCAAGCAGATTCAAGAACCCCGTGAATCGGGGGGAACCCACCGACCGAAGCCCAACCAGGGCTCGAAGCAGAAGCAGATGTTTCCACCGTCTCCCCCAAATGTAACGCGACTCACCGACGAATCCGTGATGCTCCGCTGGATGGTACCCCGCAACGATGGATGGCCCATCGTCATCTTTAAGGTTCAATACCGCATGGTTGGAAAGCGCAAGAGCTGGCAAACCACCAACGATAATATACCCTACGGAAAACCGAAATGGAACTCGGAGCTGGGCAAGAGCTTTACGGCCTCAGTGACGGACTTGAAGCCCCAGCACACCTACCGTTTCCGCATCCTGGCCGTTTACTCCAACAACGACAACAAGGAAAGCAATACCTCGGCTAAGTTTTACCTGCAGCCGGGGGCAGCACTGGATCCGATGCCGGTTCCGGAGCTGCTGGAGATCGAGGAGTATTCGGAGACGGCCGTGGTGTTGCATTGGAGCTTGGCCAGCGATGCGGACGAGCGACTGATTACCGGCTACTACGCCTACTATCGGCCCTCGTCATCAGCGGGCGAGTATTTCAAGGCCACCATTGAGGGAGCGCAGGCAAGGAGTTTTAAAATCGCCCCTCTAGAAACAGCCACCATCTACGAGTTCAAGTTGCAGTCCTTCAGCGCCGTCTCCGCCTCCGAGTTTAGTGCCCTTAAGCAGGGACGAACCCAGCGCCCCAAAACCAGCACTACGGAGGAGCCAACCCTGCAGATGGGCGACCGAGACACGACTACTCCCAGTCACAACGAGACGTTTAGCATGAGTCCCATGCTGACTGGGACCATTGGCGGCGGAGCAGTGCTTATCCTTCTCTTGGTCAGCACTTGCTTGTGCGTTTGTCGGCGCAGAAGTTCCCGGGGAAGGGGAAACAATCAAAACAAGCCGCGAATGGCGGAGATTCGTGAGGATTTTGTGCCACTGGGAAACTGTTCGCCCACCAAGCAGCGCCAGCGAACCCGGCACATACACATCACCCTGAATCCGCTGGCCCAGCAGCAGCAGCAGGCGATGGAGGACAAGAACGACACCGACCAGGACACGGCTTACTATCAGCGGCCAACCAGCTACGACTACGATCCCGGCTTGCGGCGAATGTCTTCCTCCTCGCTGCGCCGCTCACAACGCACGCTGGAACGTGCTGGCGGCAGTAATGGCACCAACAACGGCAACAATAATAATCTCAACCAATCCGTTGAGGCGGGTCCAGTTGAAAATGTTGGAAAGCCGAGTCGTGTACTCATAAAGCGTCCGCGGTTGTCCAGCCGCTCCGAGAATCTCTCTTCCGGCAGCCTTAACAGCGTTGGCGTGTAATCGCAATCTCGTGATCTTTAGTCTGTACATCCCTACGCCCGATGTATTATGCTATTCCTCTACCTCTGTTTTATCTACCACTTTGAATGACAAAACCTTTGCTGTTTGTACTTACGTACATGTATATGTACGACTACGACGTAAAGTTAGGGTACTTAAATAGACATTACTAGATTTATGCATGCATGATCGTTTAAAAGTAAGCATTATGTCCATTCGATTATAAGTCTTCCATGTTTCGCGATAAGATCAAAATCTGTACTGATAGCTTCTTAATTACCTTTGAAAATGACAATAAAGCTTGTGGCTTCAACTTTTAACTTTATATAAAAATTGTGTTTATATTTTTCCTTAGACAATAACATAACTACTCAGGTTGGAAAAGTGTTCTAGGAAAAACTAGGCTTTTGAAGTTGTCGGAAAATATTGAAAATTAAATCTAATTCGGATTGGAATTTTATCTCAGCCTTAACTTGTAGTAGGCATGCCAAAAAATGTAAACATTGATTTTGTAAGTAAATATGTAAATATTTTGACATAAAATAAAAAAACAAATATTTACCGATAAAATCAATGTTTGTTGCAGGTGAGAAAATAGAAACATTACAATTTAACATGACTTATCGTCTTAAAAAAATGGTGAACAAATAAAAATGGTTACTAAATAAAAATTAATTTTCAAAGAAAAATTTTCCACTTCCCGCCAAAGAAAAAATTGATAAATTTATGGTTGTGGTATTTTAACGGTATATTGCTAGTGAAAGATTCTTCCGCGAAAATGGTATGGCGTTAGTAAATTTTTTTTTGCCACCCAAACGCGCTTGGGATTTATAAAGCTGACAGCTAATAATTGGGTCGTCGTCAAAATTTCTATTAGTATCGTTTTTTTTTTTTTTACAAATTTTGGCCGAATAATCAGATGAAGCATTTAGCCTAAAGACGAAGCTGCTCTTAACCCGCACTGAAAGTAAGGCCTCGTTTCATGGACTAATAAAAACACATAAGTAAGGAAGCGCCCATTGTTTTGCAGAGCCAGCTGCAGAGGGCCTGGCCCCAAAAACAAAAGAATTCGCTGAATCGCAAACGGGGTAGGCAGAAGCAGGATGTCGAACCTATCCGTGGGGCAGATGATCATGGATGCGCAACGCATGGCCAGCCGGGTCAAGGACCTGGACGCCCTGGGCACGGCGCTCCTGGAGGAGGCAGAAACCAATAATCGGTTGGTGGAGAGCCTGCGGCAGTACCAAGACGACATCGAATCCCTCAACCGCATCTCAAACAACAAGACTAACGCGGACATGGTCAATCGCATCCAACAGCAGAACATCAACAGTTCGGAGATCCTCAAGGAGAATCGCGAACTGAAGATCTGCATCGAGGACTACGAGCGGGTCATGGAACTGATGATGCAAAAGTACCGCGAGCACACCGTCTCCAAGGTGCTGGACAGCAAGTTTAGCTTCAAGGAGCTGTACAATGAGCGCATGTGGCAGGTGATCCGGGAGCAGCGCGAGAAGATCAACGAAATGGCCGCTGTGATGCAGCGAGCAGCCAGCATTGATGACGGGGTGGTGCAGCGGGAGCTGCAGACCATCTCTCAGCTGCGCCTAGAGAACGAGACATTACGCGAGCTGCTTCAGATCTCCAAGCAGTACGGCTCATCCCAGCGTCCAATACGCGAGAGCGACCATCTGCTGGAGGAGAAGGCGGTGCAGACGGACAGCCTAGCGGACGACTCCGCCGACGACCTGTCCATTTCGGGTGCCTCGGTGGAAAACATGAACAACAACTCGGTCATTCAAATGTACAGCAGCCCGGAGCAGGCGGCGAAGACCGCCAGCACCACCAACTCATTCACCACTGCCCCAGTTCAGAGTCAAAGTGAGATACAAGCACCACCCGTTGCGGTAATCGAGACGGCGGCGCCGGTGGATCCGTTGGTTGCTAACGACAACAACAATGGACCTGCAGTCAATCCAATCAGTACCCCGCCACCAGCGACGACGCAAAACGATTCTGGCGAGGATCAGGCTGCTGCGACCGCAACATGATAGGCCCAGGTGCTTCACGTTGTTGCTTCATTTGGTCTTCAGTTCGATCACTGCGCTGTTGCATCGTATTTACTCACCCACTCACAAAGCAGCCCGAATATAAAGAGGGGCACTCATAACCTGCATTAGCTCTTAGCGATTGATAATCTCTAAGTAATTTATACATACGCATTACCGTTTAATGTCCATACGCATTGTAAACAATGAAGTTCATAAGATCAACCCACTCACACACACAAATGTAATGTACAATGTACTCTGTCGATTTTATGATTTCTAAATAAATTCCATAACAAATCGAGGATTAACCGAAATGTTGTTTAAACTGATGTTTTTAAAATTACCCATTTTTTGTTTAGAAGGTGTTTATTTTGTTTAAAAGGTAGTCATATGTACTTGTATGAATGCAAAAAAGGAAGAAAATTAAAACGTTAACTTTTATTTTTAGGCTGGTCTTCACACAGAAGCTTAAATATTCATCGTAATTAATAAGGATCTTGACAAAAAGATTTTTTTTATCATTAAAGAGCTCTGAACAAACCAGTTAAATAAAATATATTCTGTTGCTTTTTGTTAAAACTGTAATTCATTGAACTTTTTTCCAACACCGGCTTGCTTTAAAAACGTTATACATATCTGTAATTTAAAAAAATATAAAAATTAAGTGCTATAAGGAATCAATGCCGTCAAAAGTAAACTTTACGTGATTTTAAATTAAACATATTTATTTCAGAAAAGGGACTGCAGCCTCAAGCCGTAGAAACATTAAGTTTTTTTATTTTCGAAAATTTTCGAATACTTTTGCCAGATTCTCTCTGACGAAATCTTTTCTCTTTAGAAAACATCTTACCTCGAACGACTGCTAGATCAAGCTTTCAGAAATAATTTAATTTTAGTTTCTCGTCGATTTTCAACGCGTTCGCAACCCAAAACAGTGCCAAGAAATAGCGCCCGGTTCGCATGGCAGCTATCTATATAAGTATTTCGAGTGCTCGGGCGATCGACGGTTATATTAAAGCTATATAAATATATGTGCAGACCAGTGTGCGTGCATGTGATTCAAGTGAAAAATCCAATTTGGAAACGTTGCACTGCATGAATCGTATTGATGATCTTGTAAACAAATATTTAGAAATCTCCAAAGAAAAAGGGTCCGATATTGATTTATCGGTGTTTCCGATAAGTCTTGCATTTTAAATTCGCTGGGAAGATTTATGAGAAGTGCGCTGCCATTTACCAAGAAGAAAACTATGCTATTTATAAAACACAGCTAATTTTTGTGTTCGCAAATGTTTTTTACTATGTGAATATTCCGAAATAAGATCAAAAAATTCGGGAGCAAGGCAGAAGCCCATTGTGTGTGAACGAGAGAGAACCAAAGGACTAGGGTATCTGTTTCCTCGAAATTCATTTGTTTGGTAAATGCGCCTAAATAATCCGAGGCAAGACACACAGAATCCCGACGGTTACGCAACCCAGCTGAAAGATCCGCACCATCCACATCCAAAGGCTGGCCCCATTCCCCGTCGTCCAGCCGCAAATAATTCTAAATGCGGAAGTATTTCGTGTGAGTCGATTGCGTTCTAAATTAAGTCACAAATTTTGCAAGTAGCGCCGCTGAAAGCAGAACGGTTCAGATTAAAATAGGTTAAAACGGAGATAATTATTTATAAACGCACTAGGGATTTGCAACGGTCGATTAAGAGAACGAAGAGAAAGGAGTGGTGAAAGCTCCTAAAAATGCTCTTCAGGTTGCTCTTCCTGTTAGGTTCTTATTTTCGCCAAAAAAACATGCGCAAGCGGATTCATTCCGGCTGCGCAGCTTCCACCTGTGCTAGTTTATTTTGCTCTCTTCTGAACGCTCTAAATATGTACAATATATATAGATGGATACATATTTGTTATTGTTTATATTTACAATTGGTATTCGAATTTTTACTGTTAGTATGCGGTGCATTCTTTACAACTACAAACATGGAAAAAATGTTGATAAATACAAAAGCTCATTGATAAACAAAGAGTTTGTTTAATTTTTAAGCATCAATAATATTGAGGTATTCTTATATTTTTCCTTTTTGTTAAAGGAATCCTACTTTATTTGAAAAAGTATTTGAGGTTTCTGTAACGCACTTTAAGGGTTCGTTTAGAGCAGAGTTTCCGAAACATGTCGGGACCGCGACCCATCTACACGAACGTTTTAAGTTCGCGGTCCCAATCAAGACCCACCCAAAATTTACCCACACTTAGGGAAATACTGGTTTAGTGTATGTTTTTGTGAAACGTAATCGCAAAGTTTTATATAGTTTTTATATTTTCACTTTTATGTTCAAAAACAACAAAGGTATTTTCCACTTTTTAAATTTAACTGTTAAAAAAATGTCGATGGTATATTATTATTTATAATATAAATATAAATTGTTATTGAACAATGATTGTACAAATTTTGATTTAGAAAAATAAATTTCGACGGCTATAAAATAAGTACTTTTTCAAGGTGTACAATTTTTATATTTTTGCTCTGAAAAAATAGTTTTCAAAAAAATAAAATTATAATTATATGGGTGGAGTTGGTGGTGAACGGATTAATAGTTTTTAAGTAATCGCTAAGGTAATTTTGAAACAAAAGTTTCAAATTAGTTTTCGATGTGCAAGTAGTGCGCTATATTGAGCTATAACTTTGGTTATACAAATTCCTGAGATTTTTTGTTATCTTACAACTGTGTATAATACCTTAAACAACATTTGGACCCTGTCTTTGCTTAATTTCACTTTTTCGAAGTCATATATGGTTTATTTAGTTTTTTGAATAAAAGTGATAATTTTACATTAGGGAAACGTCGGATTTGGAGTACAATACTGACGTTTAACAAAAGGCTTAACATTTGTACTTCGTAGTTACAATGTTTAGTTTTTTCCCCAAAAATTATCCATAAAGGTTTTAAAAATTGTAAACTTTGTCCGATTTAGCAATTTTTCCTTAAGAACAAAGATTTTTTTTGGCAAAAAAAATTTCAATTCGAGTTTATGTATAGAAATGTATCACTAAAAAAGTTTGTAAAACATTTTTACTTTATATTAAAAAAAAATAAAACTATATAGATATTTCAATTTCCCAACAGATTTTCCTATAAATTCTAGTTTTCAATTTTCGCTCATCTACAGATATGTATATACGGCACATATGTCGGGAACCGTATGAACAATTCTGAAGTTTAAGTTTTCTGTGTAAAAAGACTTTTTCCGATTATCCCATTAATTTTCCTATTGGTTTCTATGACAATATTCCGATTTTTGAAAAAAAAATATATATTTGGGAAGCCGACAAATCCATTTAATGTTAATGTTAAAAAATCAATAGCATTGATCCACATCTGCATCTAAACTGAAAAATAAATACGAAATCCGTTGACACTATCTAACAAACCAAGCAGCTACACAATTTAGAACTAATGGGTCAATTGCATGATACACTTCGGTTAAAAATGTTTTACTGTTTAATGTACGTGTAGCACATTCTTTCGTTGACTTGGAACAATGCCAGAAATTCCACAGTTGTGTACAGACCGGTCAATTGAGAATGTTGATCGTGAAGAGAATATACTCGAGAAGGCAAATCGCCACCAAAAATCAAATGGTGCGAGAATTACTTAATAAACTAGTTTAGTCAAAATCGGATAACTCTATCATATAGCTGCCATAGGAAAGATCGAAAAATATATATTTAAAAATTGGAAAAAAACAATGATCCTAAAATTGCATCGTTGTTTTTTATCAGACAAGCATAATTTTTGGAATACAGAGTTTTCTAACGACTCTTGAATCTTGACAATCTTTATCTTAACGAATCTTGAAAGCATGATTTTCAAAATATGGAGTTTTTTAATAACCGTTGAATCGAGAAAAAAAATTTCATTAAAACCCGACATTGTTATTATAGCTATTATAGCTGCCTTAGGAAAGATCGAAAAATCTATATAGAACTGACGGAAATACAATTTTAACATCGTTGTTTTTTATCAGAAATTTTTGGAATACAGAGTTTTCTAACGACTCTTGAGTTACTAATTAAATATTATCAAAATCGGACGACTATATTATACCTATAGCTGTATTTTGTTCAACATCTTTGATGTCTGCAAGGGTATAGGTATAAGCTTCGGGTTGCCCAAGCTAGCTTCCTTTCTTGTTAATTTCTATTTTATTTATAAAAATAACCTTTTTTTATATATTTTTTCATAATTCAAGCGCTGTTAAAAATATATTTAAGAAAACAAGTTTTTATGAAAAATATCCAAGACCTTATAACTATAATTTAATTTTATATTTGTAACAAATCTCGATTAGTATAAATATGTCTTAAAATGCCTTTCAATGTTATGGCGTTGCTTGTGTTATTGTATAAGACCTATTTTATTATCTACGAATTACAGAAAAAGAAAAGCTGATAAGTTGTACGAGAACAGATGCATCATCTGTACCCATCGCTGAAAGGCGATCAGCTTTGCCCCCTCGGCTTTCACCCCCAGACGCGATATCCCACACGATGTAAGCGCTGTTTCCGGGATTACAAGGAGCATGGAGCACGTAGAGCCGGGGATGAGGTGGCCGCCTCCTCGCCCAATCTCTCCGATGCCCAGAGTTCACGGTGAGTTCTTCCGACAGTAAATCCAATCAGATATACAAAACAAATTTAAATAGACCCTCTTCGCGGACGTGGACCTCGACTCAGAACCTTACCAGTGCAAGCACAACCAACGGAAATGATATAGGTATGAAGGGATCGTTTAATCATGTAGGAAAAAAAGATTACCAATAAAATGTTGATCATCTGACAAGACAACTTTTGTTAATGTTTAATTGTTATGCTAATGAATTCTAGAAGTTAAGTTCTGCTCTTTCGTATGACTTGAGTATGTTCTCGTTAAAAATCAATCAATTGGAGATCTTCTATACCATGTATCTGCATTTATTATTATAAGCTTAATCTAGTATTAAGCTCTACTAGTATTTGTTAAGCTAATGCTCATCTGTTCATGAAATTTTAAAATACAAGTAGTTTGAGTAAACGTGTTCCAATCATTTTTGTTATAAGAATTTATGTTAGCCGTTATAATTAATACCTGTATTAGTAATGAGTTTTATAATGGTTTCTCAGTGACGAGGGTTTAAAAAAGACACTTATAAAGGATTCCTCAGAAGAGATTTTTTATTTGATAAAAATGGATAAAGTTTAAAGATTTTTTCTGGCAAAAATGATAAATTTCTTAAAAAGTTTTATAGCGTTTTTATACCCTTGCAGAGCAAAAGGGTATTATAATTTCAGTCAGAAGTTTGCAACGCAGTGAAGGAGACACCTTAGACCCCATAAAGTATATATATTCTTGATCAGCATCACCATCTGAATCGAAAAATTTATGTACGTCCGTCCGTCTGTCCGTCTGTCTGTTTCTATGTAAACTAGTCTCTCAGTTTTAAAGCTATCTTGCTGAAACTTTCCCAAAAGTTGTGTAGGTATTGCACGCAGTATATAAGTCGGATCGGGCCGGATCGGCCGACTATATCGGATAGCTCCCATACGAGGGAATGAAATGAAAAATTCTAACGCCGTTGTTTTTGATCAGATCGAGTTGAATTCTTCAAGATGGCGTTTTCTAACTGTTATTGAATTTCGGATTAAATTTTATCAAAATCGGATAACACTATCATATAGCTGCCATAGGAGCGATCGAAAATTTATATAGATTTAATGGAAATAAATTGATAACATCGTTGTTTTTTTATCGCACGAGCAAGATTTTTTGAACATCAAGTTTTTTAATAACCCTTATAATGAGAAAAAAGTTTCATAAAAATCGGAGTACCATATCATTTAGCTGCCATAGGAAAGATCGAAAAATCTATATAGAAATAAAAATTTATATAGATTTAATGGAAATAAATTGATAACATCGTTGTTTTTTATCGCACGAGCAAGATTTTTTGAACATCAAGTTTTTTAATAACCCTTATAATGAGAAAAAAGTTTCATAAAAATCGGAGTACCATATCATTTAGCTGCCATAGGAAAGATCGAAAAATCTATATAGAAATAACGGAAAAAAATTATAACATCGTTGTATTTCATCAGACAATCATGTTTTTTGGAATATTAAGGTTTCTAATGACTCTTGAGTTACAAATTAAATTTCATCAAAATCGGACGACTATATCATATAGCTGTCATGTGAACAATATAAAAATAATATAAAAATCGCCATAGATTAGATGTTGCTAGCCTTTATGTATTTTGTTCGACATATTTGATGACTGCAAGGGTATATAAGCTTCGGCTTGCCGAAGCTAGCTTCCTTTCTTGTTTTTTGTTCATTTTAAACAATAGATGTAAGGATAAAAAAAGGCACCATAGTATAGTTGTTTTTAAATTTGGTATTAAGCCCGATCCTGAGAAACCGTTCTTTGAATATTTAGCTGGCTAAGATGCTAAAAGAAAATGTTACAAATATTAATCAATGTGTTTGTCTCTTTCACTCTCACTGCGCTTGCACAAAAACCACCAAAAACTGTGTCTGTCTCTCTATCAATGTCTTTCTCTCAACATTAATCTCTGCATTAAATGAACCGTTAATGTTAACTACTACCATGCCACGCGTGATCTGTACTGTGCTCCCGCTCTCTCTCGTTCGTTCTGTGGCATCCGTTTGTCTCACTCTCGCACTTACGGCTGCGAGCGCAATTCAACGCTAATTGCAACCTGCCACTCACAACTTGCACCTGCATGCACGGCTCCTGACGTCCTTACTGAACACAGTTGTCCACTTCAATGTAGAGCTGAGGAAGCGTCCCCAGTCATGGGCCTCCACGCCGGATATCGACGAGCCGGATGATGCTGGCCGCCGTCCGCCGGCTCAGGCGTCCACAAGTCGAGCGTCCACCGCCGGAGAGGATCACAATGTGGCTGTCACGGTCAAGCTGCCGGTGCCGCCACGACGACACACAACCGCCTTGGACATCAAGGAGGTAAGGCATAAGATCATTATTGGTATTCGGGGGACAGACCTGGATCCCAAAAACTGGTTGTAACAGGACATGTGCAGCTCACCTTGAAATATCGGCAATAATGTTTTGAATAACTAATTATAAGAAAAAAATGTCCAATCATTACATTCTGTATAGGTGGAACACGCTCTAACACCGTCAACCCGCGTCACATCCTCACCCAGTAAAACTTCAAGTATTCCAGATGAGTTAGTCATCCTATCAACAGACAGTCTAGCAGAGCGTGTCCGCAAAATGAATCTTCTCAAGAAGCAGCGCAGCTTAAACTCCCGGGAGAACAGTCGGGAGAGATCCGTTCCACGGAGGGAAGAGTAAGTATAAAGTTTATAGCCATATAAAGCTTGTGAAGAATTTACCCTACGCGTAAAAGGTTACACGGCTGTGGACAATCCTATACGATTATTTTCTCAACAAAAAAAAAACAACCTCTGAAGCTATCAAAATTTGTGTTTCAATGTTTGTTTTTTAAATATTTTTTTATTAAGAAAAGACTAAGCCTCAGACACTTCATCAATTTCAATTAATGCCTTTTCACAAATCTTAGAGAAAGCGAATCCACAGCTTCCTCAACACCAGTGGTTCCTGATCGTCCTGAGCGCAGCAAGTCGGGGACATCCCTAAACCAAGCACCCCCATCCGAACAGAAGCGAGCCGCCCTGCCGCCAAAAAAAGTGGCAGTGGCAACCACCACGACTTCGTCCAGCAGCAGTGTCACCACAACCCCGAAGACCTCTACTCCCGTCAGCAGCGAGGTAAAGGCCTCTTCCTCGACCACTTCCTCGTCCAGCTCTTTGACGAGCTCCAGTTCGGTGCGTCGCAAGGAGGCGGATGCAGTGACTGGCAAAGAAATCAAAAGACAAACGGTACCAGCTGCATCGTCATCCCATTCAAACAGCACATCCATTAGCACTCCATCCAAATCCCAGGACTCGTTGGCCATGCAGGAGCAAATGAAAGCGTTGCGGCAGGAACTGGAAATGATGAAGGCACGGGCAGAAAGAGCGAAGCGGGAAAAGAGCGACATTCTCCTGAGGCGACTTGCTTCCATGGATACCGCCTCGAATCGAACCGCCGCCTCGGAGGCCCTGAATCTCCAGCAGAAGCTGAACGAGATGAAGGATCAGTTGGACCGCGTCAACGAGGACAAGCGCAAGCTTAATGTGAGGATGAAGGAGTTGGAGAGCAAGGGCAGCGAATCTGAGCTGCGGCGCAAGTTGCAGGCTGCCGAGCAAATCTGCGAGGAGCTGATGGAGGAGAACCAGAGCGCCAAGAAGGAGATACTCAACCTGCAGGCCGAGATGGACGAGGTGCAGGATACGTTCCGCGACGACGAGGTTAAGGCCAAGACTAGTTTGCAGAAGGATCTCGAGAAGGCCACCAAGAACTGTCGCATCCTCAGCTTCAAGCTCAAGAAGAGCGATCGCAAGATAGAGACTTTGGAGCAGGAGCGGCAGAGCTCCTTCAACGCAGAGCTGAGCAACAAGATCAAGAAACTGGAGGAGGAGCTGCGTTTCTCTAACGAGCTAACCAGGAAATTGCAAGTGAGTGATCGTCAAAGATTATAGAATGCTGTGTTTCAACATATCCAATCTAATCCAAAAACCAGACGGAGGCCGAGGAGCTACGCAATCCCGGGAAGAAGAAGGCTCCCATGTTGGGTGTACTGGGCAAGTCTACATCGGCGGATGCCAAGATCACCAGGGAATCGCTTACGCGTGGAGGCTCCCAGGAGGATCCCCAGCATCTGCAGCGAGAGTTGCAGGACTCCATTGAACGGGAGACGGATCTGAAGGACCAACTAAAGTTTGCCGAAGAGGAGGTAATGCCGTTCGACGCTCAAAACCCACCCAATTAATCAGTTGAACGTTTTACGCGAAGCTTCAGCGACTCAGGGATCGAGAGCGAAAGCGGGTTAGATTCAGTTGTGGCACTCAAACTTCTCCGGAAGCGCCCCTCGAGTTGCTGGCTTTCCCCGGGGAACACAAACCGAGGCCACAGTCCAGAGCGATATGGGTACCAGTTCGGAGAACTTGGTGACCTCCCAGGAGGCTGTCACCCAAACAGACTTTGAAACGATAGACAGAAACGCTTCGACCGAAAGGGAAACAATGGCGGCTCCGTTTGTAGGGCTTTTTCCACCGTCGTCGTCCTCTCGAGTGGGCCAGTCCAGTTCCCTGCTCTTTCCCAGCGCCATTTCGCATGTCCTTCTGAGCGGAGCAGGTACCAAGAACCTCGGCCAGGATCCAAGGGCTTTTCTTGTATAGCAACCATTTGTAGAACCAGTTAATGTTCCGTCCATTCGTCAGAGCTCGCCAAAACTATTTTTATCCTCGAATTCGATCTCTAAATGGGGCTTATCAATCTATCCTGTTGCCTTGCTCGTCCATAATCAGTTTCAATAAATCAAGTTTTTGTGTTTCAGGCTGAACACTTGAGGAAAAAGGTGACTCGGTTCGAGGATGAAAATGAGTCTTTGATGATGCAGTTGAAAAAAATGGCAACGCGCTCAAGAAGTACGAACCAAACAATACTCCCAAGTAGAGCTTATATTTCACTAAGTACTTAACCTTAGTTCGTTAACAAGTTTATCGAGTTTTACTCATCCAAATATTGCACCCATGGATGTCACTTTTGCTTTAAAAAATCCAGTTCTATATCCAGCATCAAAATGATTTAATACAAGTGGCAACCGTGGAAGTTAACCATCATTCACTCAGGTTAAGGTCACAAAAATCCTATTACCAGCGTGACCTTACCTATTTTCCTTTACTTTTTTCATAACTATATATTGAGGATATGATCTTAACTTACTAACTAAATTTTTCATGCGCTTATTAATAAATAAACCGAACAAGTTGTTTGCCATTTTTTGCGGCTGCTCATTTAACTAACAGTAGCTAACCAAAAAGCCTTTATCTAACTTGTGACTGATAATAACTAACTTCAATCCACAAAAAGCTTGAATGGATGATAATATTTCACTTTTCTTTAGGTCGCAAATTGAGTCCCACACCACATCCTCATCGATTGGCTCCCGAGGTTCACGCGGATCGCGATGAGGGAATCTCCGACGAGGACGATCCCGCCGAGCTGAGAATTCTTTTGGAGCTGAACGAACAGGAGGCCTCGATCCTGCGGCTCAAGGTGGAAGATCTGGAGAAGGAGAACGCCGAGTCGAAGAAGTACGTAAGGGAACTCCAAGCCAAACTGCGGCAGGACAGCTCGAATGGCAGCAAGTCCTCGCTGCTCAGTTTCGGCTCTTCCTCCAGCGCTGCCGAAAAGAAGGTCAAGACTCTCAGCGAGGAGTTGGTCCAGCTTCGCAGATGCCTGGTGGAGAAGGAGCAGGCGGTGGACACGCTCAAGGATCAGCTCAGCAAACTGGAAAGCCTGGAAACCGAGAACGACAAGTTGGCCAAGGAGAACAAGCGCCTGCTGGCGTTGCGAAAGGCAAGCGAGAAGACCGGAGAAGTGGACCAGAAGATGAAGGAATCTTTGGCACTGGCCCAGCGGGAGCGGGACGAGTTGACGGCCCGTCTCAAGCGGATGCAGTTGGAGGCCGAGAGCAAGCTCCCGCCTCGAACCGCCAAAAGGGTCAACGACCTTACCCCGAAAAGCCACCTGAAGAAGTGGGTCGAGGAGCTGGAGGACGAGATAACCGAGATGCGGGTCATGCTCAGTTCCAGTGGAACCGAGCAGCTTAAGGCCCTGCAATCGGCCAAGGGAACTCTGGAGGAGGACCTGAAGAAATGCAAGCAGAAGTTGTCCTTGGCCGAGGGCGATGTCCAGCGTTTAAAGCTCCTCAACGGAAACAGCACCAAGGTCAGCGAGCTTGAGCTGAAACTCAAGCGCAGCGACGAGGAAGCGAAGAAGCTAAACTCAAAGCTGAAGGACTTGGAGGAGAAGGTCAAGAAGCAGGAGGCCCAACTGAAGCTGGGCGAAACGAGCAAGTCCAGCTGGGAATCGCAGAGCAAGCGGGAGAAGGAGAAGCTTTCCGGCCTGGAGAAGGACCTCGAAAAACAGACCAAGGAGAAGGAGAAGCTGGAGGCCAAGATCGCCCAGCTGGATGCGGATCTGCTCAGTGCCAAGAAGTCGGCCGAGAAGAGCAAGTCCAGTTTGGAGAAGGAGGTCAAAGATCTCAAGGCGAAGGCCAGCAAGTCGGACAGCAAGCAGGTGCAGGACCTCAAGAAGCAGGTGGAGGACGTCCAGGCTTCGCTGAGCGCTGAGCAGAAGCGCTACGAGGACCTCAACAACCACTGGGAGAAGCTCTCCGAGGAAACCATCCTCATGCGGGCCCAACTCACCACCGAGAAGCAGAGTCTCCAGGCCGAGCTGAGTGCAAATAAGCAGAAGCTCTCCGAAATGGACACCATCCGCATCGAGCGCACCGACATGGCCAGGAAACTAAGCGAGGCCCAGAAGAAGATCGCCGATCTGCAGGCCAAGGCCCTCAAGTCGGCCAATGGAAACGGGGGCGAGTACGAGCGCACCGTTCTCAAGAACAAACTGGCGGAGAAGGAGCACGAGTACGAAAGGCTGCGCCGCGAGAACGAGATGAACATCGACCTGGTCTTCCAGCTGCGCAAGGACAACGACGATCTGAACGGCAAGCTCAGCGACTACAACCGGATCGAGCAGGCACAGTCCTCGCTCAATGGCCACGGAGCGAGGCGGGAGGCAGAAATCAGGGAACTCAAGGAACAGTAAGTCGACCTAAATTTTAAACTATTTTGCTTTGGTTAGTGTTGATATTACTTGAGTAATGAACTCTGCTGTTATAAAGTTGGATAATGGCCAATCTGCCAGAGAAACAACACATTTAAAAAAAAACTTAATATTTACTTGTATTGTCATAATAAAATTATCTTTTCCGTCTTACAGATTACAGAGCACTGAACTGCAGATGAAATCGGAAGTGGCCACCGTTCGACTCCGCTATGAGCAGCAGGTGAAGAACCTCAGCGGAGAACTCAATTCAATGCAGGTAGGAATCAAAAATAATAATGATGATAATTAGAACTCCACAAATAAACTTCTGCCTTTGCATCAGCGCCAATGTGAACGCTTCAAGAAGGATCGCGATGCATTTAAACAAATGCTGGAAGTGGCCCAGAAGAAGATTGGTGACCTTAAGGCCAACAACACGGGAAGGCAGAGTCGAGGCTCAATGCACAGCAGCGATGATGATGACAAGAGCAAGATTGCCTATCTAGAACAGCAGGTATGTTCAAAGAAACTAATCCCTCAAACAAATCCTTTTATTACAAGAGAAGAGCTCAAAGCTAATAAGAACTTTCTTTTATAGATTGGCCATCTGGAGGATCAGTTGGTCGAGTCCCGCTTGGAATCCAGCAAGATAAAAACAGAACTGGTCTCCGAGCGAAGTGCCAACGAGATCAAGATATCGGAGATGCAGTCGAAGCTCAACGAGTTCGAAGAGGAGCGCGTCATCGGGTCGGGCAGCACCAAGCTGCCGGGCATGAAGACCAAGCTGGAGTTGTCCTGGCAGAAGGAGCGCGAGGACCAGCAGCGCCTGCTGCAGGAAACCTCTACGCTGGCCCGCGATCTGCGCCAGACCCTCTTTGAAGTGGAGCGGGAGCGCGACAAGGAGCGTCTGGAGTCCAAGCGGAAGCTGGACCAGATCAAGCGGGCCACCGAGGAGGAAATGGAGGAGGGGCGCAAGAAGATCGCCGAACTGCAGTGCGATCTTTTGGAGCTCCGGGATGTCCATGCCAAGCTGCGTACCTCAAACGAGAAGTTGAGGCGCGAGGTGAGTGTTGCATATTATAATATATAATACGAGGGGTAAGTTCATTACCAAAGTTAAAGTGAAAAGCAAGTTTTAAACTTCTGCCAACGTACAAATTGGGCTATGGTACATAGAGTTTTAAAAATGTCAACACAACTCTATTACCTATGTACATCTAGACAAGTATTATAAACGATTTAACTCGATTTTATGAAATTCTAAAAAAATAAAAAGAAAGCACATAAACTTAACCCCAGGTGGGACTTGAACCCACAATCCCCGGCTTAGGAGGCCGATGCCTTATCCATTAGGCCACTGGGGCTTGTAACATTTTTTGAAAGGATACCTTTATCAAATAAATAAATACATATATTGATTGAGATGAAAAACGGAGTAAATACTGTGGAATACCGGATATTCATGCCAACTGAAGAGTTGTTTTCACAACTAACCCATACATTTATACTAAAAAAACTTAGTCAGATCTACATAATATTCGAGTTATGATTTTAGCATTTAAAATAATAAAAACTTATTAAGCTTTCTAGTTAGCAAGTAAACAAATCGATAATCAATAATTTTGTATTTAATCTTAGCGTGAGCGCTACGAAAAAGAGTTGATTAAACGACGCATGGAGGCAGATGGCGGAGATCGCAAGGTGGGCGCCCTCTTGCAGACCGTTGACGAGCTGGTGAAGATTGCTCCCGACCTGAAGATGGTGGGCACCGGCGGTTCGGGACGCAGCAGTAGTTCCGGATACGACAATAACTTGCGTCCGGAACAGCCCAATGTTCGGCGCAGTCGGTCGCCATCACCAACGTTGAGCAGTTCCCAGATCACCAGTGTCCTGGCCAGATTGGCAGAGGCCTCCGAGGAGCTGCGCAAGTTCCAGAGGGTCAACGAGGACGAACAGGAGCGCAGTCGGATGCGAAGGAGCAATCTGCGCCGAGCTGCCTCCCAGGAGAACGATCCACATGGCAGCACTAGCTCAGTGGCCAGTGCGGCAGGATCGCAACGGGGCGGAGGTCGTCTGTCCCGGAATTCGTCCAATAACGGAAGTCTGATCCGGAAAAGCCTCTCGCTGGACCACTCCATACAAAGGGATCAGGTAAGTTGGGACAAGAGATTTGGGGATGATAAAACTTTTGAAAAAACTCCGTTTAAGCTTAAACTTTTTAATAAAACTATACCTCAATAAGACGGAAAATAATTTTTCGCTCTACGTATAACATTTATTAACGGGTACATTTTAAATATATTCTTACATTTTTTATTAACTACAAAAACTTCGATTGAAATCAATCAACTTCGGGTCTTCGTGCAGAATATTTGGCGCCAGGACGATGGTAGTGTGTCCTCCATGCAATCAATAGACTCAGAACTGGGAGGCCTGGTGAGGGACTCAAGCCTGGATTCTCGGCTGGACTCGCGCCTCTCCGGTGGTTCCACACAGAGCGACATACCTCGAGGACCTCGCAAGAAGAAGAAGGGCATCATGGGCAAGCTGCGCAGCCTGACCAAAAGCAGTCGCAATTCCGAGAGTGAAATATCTGTGAGATTTAACCGAATCCAAAGTCTTTATGACTTCAGTACAATACCTTTTATATTTCAACAGATTCAAGGATCTGACTCGGACATCAGCGTAGCCAGCGACTTGAGGTCGAGCAAGAAGGATCTGCGTGGCCGGCTCTCCGGGATGTTCAAGCGCTCCGGCTCCAACTCGCGCAGCGAGAGCATGGAGCGGGCTGGAACCGAACAGAGACCCGTGGCGGTCACCGTGGTGGGACACCCGGATGGGCCACAACCTCGCGAGCCTCCCCCTGCCAATTCCCTCACACCCAGACCCATTCGTTCTGTAAGTCATCAAATACTTTTATTGGAGTCCCTTATGATTTCAACTGGATTGTCCATTACAGATCCCCAAACCGCCGAGCGGCGGAGCACCCACCACACCAACCACAAGACGACGCGTAGCCAAGTAGACGCCATCGGTTAATAGGTTTCAATCTCATAGGACTCATTCTAATCGTAGCTGTAGACGTTCGAATAACCCTCGCTCTCATTGGCTTCCGAATTTGCGATTTTACTCATGCCAAGCCATCACAATTATTTGTTGTTTTTGAATAGTTTATTTACTACATTTTAATTTGAGCTCTTAGCCGAAATAAAGTCATCTTTTTCAAATAATATCCTATCTGGTTTCCTGGGAGTGGTAGGCCCTTTATTTCTAAAAAATAAAGTAAAAACAGATTTTGTTTTGATTTCGAGGAGAAACACTAACATTAATGTACACCAATCCAGCGGAGAGAGTTCCCATTAGAATCGGACATGAGGCATTGAAATGTCCCCAAAATGTGGTTGGCCTCTCCAATTGGGCAACGAAAAATGACACGGAACTAAGGAGGAAAAGCACTACGAGTTCCAGCATTGAAATCTAAAAAGATTTGAGCTTTTTCTCTTCGAAAATATTTATCTTACTTAACAGAAATTTCAAATGCTCAACAAATATTTGATTCGAATATTGTCTCAATCCCGAAAATGATCGATCAGCTCAAGACTTAAATAAAAAGAGTGAGTGACATTTATTCTATTTACTTGCAATTTATGTATATATATTCAAAGTATTTTGTTTTGCTTAAAACTTGTTTTTACTTTCATGTTTTGTTTGTTTTTTACACACTACATTAATTTTGTTCGTTAAATATAATTTCAAAATGTATAATTAATTTGTTTACTTATTGTTTTTACTTCTTTTGTATTTCTTTTTTTTAAATGAATCCAACGTAAAACAATTCAGTTTAAAATATTTGTTCAGGGTTTTTTTTTAATAGACCAATCCAATATGCAAACAAAGTGTTTCAATTTTCAATTTGATGTCATTTTGAGTACGTGGCACGTTCAAATAATAAAACTTTGTTGAATGAGTAGCCCTTTAAGGATATCGGGGGGAAGGAAAGGATGTATTTATGTGGGTTTAACATAAATCCTGTGCGAGTGACGAGACGTATGTAGGGGGTACGTTGCATTATTTATTTGTGTAGTAATTACTCGGCGCTTTTGCGTTTCATATTTGTTTGAGTTACATTTATACATTCTTGCCAATTTCATTTTGGAGATTAACTTCTTATCAGCTTTCAGCCTCAGCTTCCGTTTCCTGCTCTTGTTCTTCTTTTCGTAGTTAGTGTATGTGTTTGTCTGCGTTTGTTTTTATGCACCAGTACATGTATGTATATTTATAAATTTTGTATGCAAGTGTTTGTTGGCTTATTTAAGTTGCTGAATTTCTGTCCCTCAAATGTTTGTCTGCTGTTTTAAAAGTGGTTCGATTAAGTTGTAGCATTATTAGTAACAATGTCCTTACTTGCGGCTCTTATTCTCGTTTTGTATGTTTTAAATCCTTATTTCCTTTTTATTTTTCGATTTTTGTTTTGATATTACTTAGGCACTGTGTTCGTATTACATTAAAGAATTAATTTAAAATTTAAATTTAGGTATGTATAAATACATTGTAAAAAATTTCTTTAAGTTTACCGTAAACTAAAATCTTGCAACGCTATATGTATTTCATTTTAAAGTTTTCTTGTTACTCTCAATATTTTTCTTTGTTGATGTCCTTGTATCTATGTATGTAAGTTAAGATAAGTTAAATCCTGACCTCAATGTTAATCTTAAGCACTGTACCTCGCTCCCCCAGCTGCCATCAAATGCTAATGTTAAACTCCTATTTACTTCTTTGCTATCTCGATCTAAAAGTACACGTAGAAAAGTCTATGAAATTATTTCAAAATGAAAGCTTGGAAAGTGACAAAACGTAGCTCTCTCCAGTTTCCCTTCAAGTTTCCGTTTCCCTTACAGACCCAAGTCGCAACACTTATATGCCTAAAATCGTTACAATCTGGTTTACAAGTAAGTCCTATATATGTATATGCAGTTTTAGGAGGTTTCTATGTGTCTCTGGCAAGTCGTACGAACGTACAAACTACCTATTTCAGTATCAGTTTAAGATTCCAGTTTCCTTATTTTCTGTTGGTAAAAAATTCAAATTCATCGAAAGTTTTCTTTTTGGCTTACAAACTCTTAAATCTTCTTCATCTAGTTTCGGTTTCGTATTTGTATGTACCATGCAGCCTGTTGATTTTTAAGTTGTTGACTTGGTAATGTATAGATAGATTAAATTTTTCTTTTGTACTAAACAAAAACAGGAAAAACGAAATCTACTTGTCATAATGTACAAAATTGGCTAAGACAAAAACGAAGGAAATGCAATTTTAGTACAATTTTCGTCTGAACAAAAACCTTATACGAACTTATGTTGGTAGCCTATCCATCAGTGATTTATTCGAGTTACGAGTTGTATAGTTTTATGTTTAGCCTTTTTCTGTTCAACATCGTCTCGCCTTAATCTGCTCCATTATGTTACCTTTCGTTTACAGTCTCGATTTTGTATTTTTTTTTTGAGTTTTGTATTATTTTGGTTATTTTGCTTAGTTTTCCTCTTTTTTTCTGTGTTTTTTCCGTATTTTTGTCTATTTGTATTTATCATTAGTATTATTAACTACATACAAATTAGTTTCTGTTCACTATTCTCTGCATTTGTTACAATTTAAAATTACCATATACATACATACCTCGTTTCGAATTTTTTCTTAAGAACGAACGAAAGTCGGGCTTTAAAATGAATGAGTTTGCGGTGTTCCAACTAAGCATTACATAATTTGTCTCTCAACTTGCAGGCATTAACAATTATCTTTCAATTCGCTTTAACTTTCGACTCCTACACAATCAATTTGAAACTGTTACTAATATTTCTAAGAAAAATGATAAAAAATTAACTTGAAGTACAGATACAAAACATGCCACCCACATACACATGTATATATATATGCCTGTTGATCTTTAATCTTATTGATTTCATTATCTTTTATTTATTTGGTTGTTCTTCTACCCCGTCTTGTCCTATATAAATTTAGTCATTACAAAAAGGTGTCTTAGGTGGAATCGTTTTGTCTTAGGAATTTAGCTTAGATATCTGTTAAATCTCATCTTATTTCAAATCATTCAAGTCTTTAAACGCTAAGAGTACTTCGTTACATAAAAACAACTCTCATTTTGAGGGGGTTTGAAAAGCAGGGAGGTCCTTGGGGGTATGGGACAAAACACATTTAAAATTCTAGCCTTCTAGCGTAGTTAGAAAAGGATCTGAGTGTACCAAGTCTGTGTGTTTGTTCAATAGATGTTCTCTTAGCTTAACTATGGGTACCAGTCGACGACATTTCCGATTCGTAAACAAATTCGAGAAAACTTAATCGTAAGAATTATAGATCAAAAGTATTGATACGTATCTAGTTCATTTCTCTCTTCTCCTAGAGCTATATTTTATGCATATACGTATGTAGAGCTATACAATGTATACAAAAACGCATTCTCGTCAGTGATTTTGGTTTGCATTTTGGCGCATCATTCGTATGTTGTTAGCTTATTATTATATTAAATAATATAACCCTTACATTATTGTTTCTTTCGTGATTCCTATGATCTTTTTAATCGAAACGTCGAGAAGCCAAAATCAATCTGATAAAAACAAACGCAAGAACAAAAGGCAAAAGAAATGCTCGATAAGCTGTCAAAATCAAAACAATACCGACACACAACTTTCGACAACGATTAAATATCGCGATTTTTTTTATCCCACCTTTAATTGGCCAATAAGAAAACCAACAATAATGAAGGAACAAAAGCCATATTCACAAAATGACATCAAATGGGAACGAAAAACAAACGAAACAATCTATTTGTGGTTATTACTTTACTTCTCTGGTGCTCCATTGTGAATGTAAATTCTCCGGATGTTTGGACATTTCGAGTTCGTTCACCTCTGTTGCATATGGACTTTTTCTGCAACAATTTTTAGGAGTGTACGCATGTGTGTTGTGTATGTGTGCTGACAAACATTTACACTTAATTTTAAATTCTCTTATTTCCTTCTCTGTTTTAGCTTGAAAGTGCAACACTTTGTTAAATACAATATTTAAATTTATTTTACCTTTAAATCGTTATATGTTATAATTAATATGTATATAGTATATATAGTTGTATATAGTAGGTTTATTCATATATATTTTTGTTTTGTTTATTACTTTTACGATGCACATATATTGTATGTAGTTCATTCTGAATAGGTTTTTACGTTTAGGTTAGTAAAAAAAAGGGTTTACGTTGTATTCAACTTTAAAATGATTAATTAAAAATGAAATTGTTTTACAATTAACAGTCAGTGTATGTGTTTTGTCTTCTTATAATTTCTAATCGCTCGAATTAGTTAATAATTTTACTTTAACTTCCACTTCGTACATGTTAATTATTTGCAATTTTTGTCTGCAAATAGGTTTTATAATAAAAACAGAATTCATACACAGGTATATAAAACACCAGAAATTAAAAAAGGTTAATCTTATTAAATTACATCAGGTTGATTTGCTGGCCATTTCTTTAACATTATTTGTAATGGTTGTTGTTTTTTCTCTCTGATCGCATTCAAAGCAAACCAAAAATGATGTTGGTTGCTGCAGCCGGTCTCTGGAAATGCTGCCCAAAACTTAAAAAAGCACTCCACTCCTTGTTCTTCAATATCATCAGCTGATCAGCTGGTCCTTTCTCACGTCACGCCTTCTCCTCGCCGCCCACTCGCTGCCCTCGATGTGACCTCTGCGACAACAATAACAAAAAAAAAAAAAAATGTACACATACAATCACACTCAGGCACGCACACCGATACAGAACGATACAGTAAAAATAAAAAGATAGAAATTCAATAAATTTTCTAGATTGTTTTTTTTTTTTTCAAAAATCGAAACGTTTTTCACACGTTTACTTTACTCGTTTACTTGCTCATTGTTTTAGCATTTTTGCTTTTGTTTTGTGTTGGTTTTTTAAAAATTGTATAATTAGTTATAAAATGTAAGCATATGTATTTGTAATTTAAACGAAATTAAATTAGGAATTTATATCTGTAGGATTTGTTTTGTTGTAGTAGAGTACAAATTATACGAAGAACACTAAGCAATAAATCACCGAAAAATAAAGTAAAGTATTTGTATTGTATATTGTAATTAAACGTATGTATGTATTGTAAGTTGATTTGTTGTAAATAAACAAATTAAAAATTAGTGTATGGTATTTTAATAGAAAAAATTACTTCATATTTTATAATATATGTGTATGGTAAATGTATTAGCATATAATATGTATGTTTCTCATTTTGTTTTTGTTGTTTTTTCATCGTTTCGTTTTGTAATAATAAATTGTAAAATCGCAATCATATAATCATCATTAAAATAGTTTACTTTCATCTTGTTTTACACACAGTGCACGCTCGTTTAAGTGAGCGTGCAAAGTAGTTAAGAGTAAATATGTATAAGTAATTAAAGATATATATATGTTATGTTCATAATCAATTAAAGTTCTTCTCTTCCTTTTTCTTTTCCTTTACCCTCCTTTTTTCTCTCTGTGTCTCGCTTCTGTTCTGGTTGTTGGTATTAAATGGGGTTAAGTGTGAGTGGGTGTGCGTGTTGATGGTGTTGTTTTTGACTGATGTTTTTGTAGTGCACACTTTAAGCTGGTTGTTGTCGTTGGTTGTTGTTTCTGCTGTTGTTGTCTGCTTGGCAAACGATGAAAATTTGAAAAAAATGTGCAACGCAACTCTAAGCATCGTATTTTGTAACTTGTTTTAACTTGTCCTATTCTCTCTGCCTGCCTCCCTTTTTTAACTCTGTACTCATTACTTTCATTAACTGTAGCTTTAAATTTACGTTTCCTTTTGCTCTTTTTTTACTCTTTTTTCCTTTTTTGTTTCCTTTCTATATATACTCGTTATATATATTATTGTATATAAGTATGTATGTATATAGTTTTTATGTATATTGGTTACGAGTGTGTTTTGTTGGTTTCCATATCCATTATAATCAATCATCATTATCATGCTGCTGCTGCTTGGCTTCTTCACTTCACTTTAACTAAATAATAAATCCAACGCACTATATAATTCTAGTTTCAAGTTCAACTTTCGCTTAGATGTAAACGACCACGTACGCTTATTAATTAGGTTTCTTTATATATGTAGTTTAACTTTTAGCTAGTTTTTGTTTTGTTTACTTTAAATGGTAAATTTTTAATTTTGTAACGTATCTTTCCCAGGTCAGTACCGCCCGCCCTTTCTCGCCACCACACCCTCTCATCTAGTGACCTATTAGCCGATAAAGCAGTTGCCGATTAGATTGGTCCGTTTTCCGGTAAGAAAAGCTAAGATATAACGCCATGTCTAAGGCCAAGGCGGCCAGTCAATGAGTCACAAAGGCTAAGGCAAGCACAGAGTTCTCGAATTCAACTGAATTCCATGCGATTTTTTTCTCAAACCCCTACTAAACCTTGTCGCCTGATCTAGAAAGCGGGTGGTGGCGAAAGCAGATCGGAGGCCGACGAGCTTTTGCTTTAAAATGTACAATTTCGAATTTGTATTTACTAATTTTAGTAATTAAGGGGATCTTTACTTGTGTACTCTTTAAATAAAATTATAAGTTCTTATTTTCTTTGTTGGTATTTCGCACTCTATTCTTGATCTTCTTGTGTCTAATTGGCTAAACTTTATACTTGTAAATCATTACGTTTAAATCTTCACATTTCTATTTTGTTTGTTGTTAATGCCATGTATCATAAGTTTCTACGGGTTTTAGTTGGTTGGGAAGTTCTTGTTAGTTTACTCTGGCTGGTTGTTTGGTTGGTGAGTGTGGGTTACAGGAGAATGCTTTTTGTGTGTGGAGTTTAGTTTATGCGGCGCGTGAAAGAAATAATGTTCTCTTGTCTGAATGGGTGAGTGTGGGTTGATGTTCCGCCTAAGAATTACATACTCGCTGCTAGAACATACATGTATATCTATGAATCTGACTTGTCGCTAGGTATTCTCGTGTTAAATTTGTTTCGCTTTAAATAATAGTTGTACAAGAGTTTTAAATATTAATTTCAACAACTGATCTGATCTGAAATAAAAACGAACAGACGACGCTTTAGCTTACAATTACCACCATCTTTTCTGTCTTCTTCATCATTCGCCGAGGACGACACGACGACGACATTTGCTTCGCTCTGCTACTCCTACTCCTACTCCTCCTCCACTCGTTTCTTCTTCTTAGACGGCCTGCGAGGTTGCGTAGGGTGGCTGCGTAGAGCTGTCGTTGCCATACGCTGACCGCGGTCCGGCTCCGTAGTTCGAGGCGCCCTCCTGCTTCACGTAGTTGCTGTAGTCGTAGTCGTAGCCGGAACCATAGCCGCCGTAGTCGTACTCAGAGCCGGACTTGGAGGCCGAGTTGCCAGGTCCAGTGCGCGGCATTCCGCCCACGGGTCCGGTGGTCGAGGGACCGCCCGCTGCCCAGGTCTGGGCACGCGAGTACATGTCCGTGGCGGTACCCGCGCCGGCTCCTGGTGCCCCAGTAGGTCCGGCAGAGTTAGGGTGCATGTTCCACGAGTTCCAGCTGCCGCCGCCCGATGGTCCCGAAGGAGCTCCGGTCGACGTCGAGTTGTACATGTCGTAGCCACCATAGCCCTGCGTTTGCTGCGGTCCAGCGTAGTTCGACCACTGCGGTGGCGGTCCCTGGGGTCCTGGAGGAGCTCCCCAACCCTGGTACGATCCAGGACCGCTGTTGCCGTAGCCGTATTGCTGCTGCTGCGGCGAAGTGCCCCACCCTTGATAGCCAGGCATCATGTTCGGCGCACCAATCTGCATGTTCAGCGGCGGTCCGCCCATCTGGCCATTCTGGCCCTGCATCATATTGATGGGCGCGTGGTGCGGTCCCCAGTGGCTGCACTCGTTGCCCAGCTTGCCATAGGCACCGCCCACCGTGCTGTTGTTGGAGTTCTGGCCACCAGATCCGTCACGAGGCTCGGCCTTCTTGATCTCGACCTGAGAAGGTAAATAATGACGATTAATGTTTATGGTACAAGCATTGTCAATTTGTGTTTTTCAAATTAAAACTAATAGAAACTATGCTTAAGAATCTGTGGTCAATTTGCATGAGCTTTTAAAAACACGTTTCTTAGCTTTTACATTTAAAATAGAGTTTGAAACAATAACTTAGACCGCATTATCAAGCTAAGATTTGAGAAGCCCTGGCTTACTGTTTTATCAGAACTTCCAAAGAACCAGTTTGCTTGTTAATCAAACCTCATTTATATAAGTATGCAATTCTTTTCAAATATTTTCAAATTACAAACTTGCTTTAATTATATTATTTATTATTTTATTTTAACTTATGCACCGGTTTTTTTCTTTAGGTTTAAGCTAAATTGTATCATGATCTTATAGGTTTTCACTCTTTTTGGATTTTACAATAGATAAGTAAAACCGAAAACTTTAACAGCTTTCACAGCGTTATCACTGATTCTGTAGTTCAATTTAAAATTCACAAACAATCACAATATTATAAAAAGATAATTGAAGTAATTTAGTTTTTGGAAAGGAAATTACACCGGTGATCGCAACACCGGTTAAATAGTTATACCACTTTCGGACGGTAAAGATAATTTTGTAATAAAGACTTAATTATTCAAGAAAATTCCTGGCAATAACATACCTGCTTGCCATTCAGATTGATGTACCGCTCGTTGGTCACGTGCTCGACGGAGGACTCTTCCTCGAAGGAGAGGAAACCAAAGCCGCGAGACTTCTTCTTTTCCTGATCGTACATGATGACCACCTCGGTGACTTTGCCGTAGCGTCCAAAGAAGGTGCGCAGATCGGTTTCAGTGACGTTCGAGGGCAGGCCTCCCAAGAATACCTTGTAGCCGCCTCCCTTCCTGGGTTTCTGCAGCGTGCGCGGATTGCACGGCTTGGGGTCGATGGTGCGGCCGTCAAGCGTGTGCGGTCCATTCTGCAACACGTGGTTGACGTTGGTGGGGTCGGCGAAAGTCACAAAGCCGAAGCCGCGCGACCTGCCGCTCTCGTTGTTCTTCATCACCACGCAGTCGATGATATCGCCAAAGCGGCAGAAGTAGCGCGAAAGATTCTCCTGCGTCGTCTCCCAGGAAAGACCGCCCACGAACAGTTTGCCCCTTTCGTCCTCCTCCATGATGTTGTTCTGGTTGTGGTTGTGAGCTATGGCGCCGGGAAGGTTCTCAATAATTGACGTAATCTTGCCGCTTTTTTATTAACTCGGGGTGCAAAGAAATTAACTTTTTGAATTTTTACACTGTTGCTGTTAATTTGTATGTGGTTTTGTATGTATCTTAGGTTGGTTTTAACGTAGCCAAAGTTCTTTTCCTTCAAAACAATTAAACAAAAGCCACGACGTTCACACGTAACTTTCTATCGTAACATTTTCGATTTTGTTGTTGCAGGTGCATAAAAAGAAAGAGATAAAATTTATGAAATCTGGTTAATTAAATGGTTCACAAACAAAATCAGTTTTTAAGCCGTTTAGTTATGTTAAGACTGATCTTTACAAATTGTGTAAGCCGTAGAAACGTAATCTTCATAACGTAGTTGAAACTATGTTTTTTTTCGGTTTCACATCATTTTTAATATTTCTCCCAGTGCAAAGATCTTAGGTGCGAATGGGTGGAAACCGCCAGATGACAAAAACACACACGCACGCAGTAAATGAGAGCCAAATAGTAGACACATATGTAATTATGAAAGGCGCAGGTAGGCAGAAAGAGAAAAAGCGGCAGAAGCAACCGGCCGGTACACACACATGCAGCTAAAGACATTCCCCATTATAAGTGTTGGCCGTCTAACTGCTTTTTGTACACGTTCACAAGTTTGCTCGTTTGCTTGCTCCATCGCTCCCCGGTCTCTTCCTCTTTCACTTGCTTTTACACGGCTACGTGAAAGTATTGTTTTCTTTTCGCTGTGTCACGAGCGGATTTGTTGTTGTACCAAAGTCCCCAGCCTCACTCACACCCACACACACACTCGCACACATGCCGCCTATCAATGAGAACAACGAACTTATTTCCAAGGTGAAAAGAGAGCTGTCGCCGGTTCACCTCATTTGCGCGCCATTTGCTAGCAAATTCCAGGTTACAGCCAGATGTGGGGCAACTGAATACATTTTGACAATTATCGTTCAATTTTTATGCTAAGGGAAACATCGCCAAACAACGCGTGGTAATGCATTTAATTGTCGAACAAACCCAGTTTTTCTTCACTCGTAGACACTTTGAAAAGACATGTGGCAACGCCATGTGTGACGTGAACGCGAATGAAAAGCAAAAAACAAACGTACCAAAAAGCAATGCCCCCAAATAAATGTTAATTTCGACCAAAGAAAAAGCAAACAATTCTTTTTGAGTTTTCTTGTTGTTTGGAGCGATTCCTTTTTTCCTGGCCCGAATACTCGCGACTGAACTGAATGAATCGCACAGAGTGTGTGGGAAATTCACCACGGCAGAGGCAACGAAGAAAAAAACAAAATGGAAGACGTGCCTGATGAAAAAATGCTACAACAAAGAAATCCCAAGAAATGTTTTAGCTCTGAATTCTTACAAATGGGAACACATTTCACTTTTTGTTGTTTTTTTTTTATGGATTAACCGATAACTTAGCAGAGAGTCACCAAAACACGGATGCACATGTCACGTCGGGTACACTTTTTAGATTTTAGGCAGCATGCCGAGGAAATGTAGACGAAATTTACCAAGATTTCTACTACGCAATTTTACAAATTTCGCACGATTTTTGTATTTTGCACCGCAATCTGCTGCCGTGTGTTAGTGCATGAGTTGGCCGTACGTGTGCGCGTGCGAGCGTGTGTGCGCGAATGGCCGCCGAGCGATTTGCAGCGGTGTGCGTGTGCGTTGGTGTGGTGTTATACATAGCATTTTTTCGTATGTATGTATAAAAATATGAAATTTTCCACTTTGATGGGTGGAAATAGAGTGCCGAAAGTGGCACGAAAAGCAATGAAAATTGCACAAACCTCCGCTGGCGAAAAAATAAAGGGCGATGAAACAATCAAACGAATTTTACTTCGCACACTAACACAACCACGCAGTGAGCAATGGCAGCTGCGTCAGGTATTCAGCCTTTTTTTTTGAAAGAAAAGGCTAGGCAGTCATTTTGTTAAAGCACCGTAATTGTTATGTAAATGCGATTTTCAGTCGTTTTCTATTCTTACCGTTTGTGCCAAGTGTTCGTCTGTGGTTTTTTAAAGATTTCGCACTGCAAATTCACTAAATTTAAGTGTTTTTTCCTTAAAAAACTAGCTTATAAATAATTGTATGATTTTGATGCATACGATATTATAACCTAACTTATATGATAAATCGCCGCCACGTTTAACCCTGTGTGACCGCCGCACGCAATAAAAAAATACCAGTGATCCATAAATATACTAAGAAATACTTGCACAATACCCTGTAACGCTATCTACGAAAATATATACATATTTTAATTTTGGGTTAGGAGAAGTTTTGCGCTCAATGTTGTTCATTTTCTTGTATCAAATAACATTTTAACATGGATCTAAAATTTTGAAGAATTTAAATTGCATATTTTATTTAATAGTTGTAATGTTACTGTATCATAGTTTCTTTAAGCGAAACTGTGTACTTAATAATGCTATTATACGTTTCTTAATACAGTTGATAGTTTCATTTCAAAGTTTTTTAAGTGGTGAAAAAATAAACTGTCATGTTTTCGCCAACCCTGCAACCATTACCAGATCTTCCTGTCTTAGAAAGACCGTTTAACGTCGTATCAGCTTAACTTCTGGTATATTTTTGCAGAGTCCTCCGGTTTATTTTAACGGTCCGCACACGGTCACTCTGTTTGCTACCCGGTAAAATGAGTTTTGCGCTGCGTTAAATAAAAAATAAACATAAAAATTCGCAATTGCCGATCGCGTTGAGTGTTTAAAAGCGTCCGCCAGTGCCTGTTTTAGCATTTGAGCTTCCCAGGAATACGGTGGCAAGTGAATCTCCCTCATCATCGATTTTTTCTGCGCTGCTGTTGCTGCCACATTATCGAAGCCCAGGGAAAAGCGAAAATAAACAGAAATGTCGCGCCATCCAAGCGATAGGAAGGTGTACGTGGGCGATCTGGGCAACAATGCCCGGAAAAACGATCTGGAGTATGTGTTTGGGGCGTACGGTAGTCTGCGCAGCGTTTGGATCGCCCGCAACCCGCCGGGCTTTGCTTTCGTGGAGTTCGAGAGTGCCCGCGATGCGGCTGATGCTGTGCGGGGACTGGACGGACGGACGGTTTGCGGACGCCGTGCCCGAGTAGAACTGTCAACTGGAAAGTACGCCAGATCCGGTGGAGGTGGTGGTGGAGGAGGTGGAGGCGGAGGACCTGGAGGACGCGACCGAGGCGGTGGCGGAGGAGGTCGTGGAGATGATAAGTGTTACGAATGTGGGGGACGCGGGCATTTCGCACGACACTGCCGCGAACGGAAGGCTAGGCAGCGACGCAGGTAAGCGCCATTTCCATTTTTCATTCATTGCCATTGCCAAAAACTTCTTCCTTTTTGTAACATGGCGAGGAATCGCATACATACACATGAACGTGCGAGTGTGTGTGTATGCCCATGCAAAAAAGTTGAGTTTGTTTGGTTTGTGGTGAATCTTGTAGCATTCGTGGTGGAAAACGAGCCTGTTGGGCGCGAACACCGCAAGCTATGTTAATCTTAACAGCGTGCTGTTGAAGGCAATGTGTGCTGTTGAGCGCAATTACTGAGGCTGTGACTAACAGTACGCACACGTGCTCGTGTATAATTTCCTTACCTTTAAACTCGAGGGCATATTATTTAATAGTTCATGCAACATATTCTAACTACATTAGCGATTTAAGAGCATAGGTAGGTTGTTTAGATGTCTTTTGTTTTCTTTATTTACTTTAAAGAAATTCAATGTTTTTTAATATAAATTTGATTTATTTCTGTATCTTAACTGAATAATTATGAATTATTTTCAAGACTTTAGCACATCCTATTTTTGTGTAGTTTTTTAAGCTATCTATTAAAAAACTATAAACGTGGTGGAGCTGTGATTCTGAAAAACAGCGTTGCCAGTTTAGCTTGTTTATAAGCTAGATTTTTAATAAAATAAGCTAGAATAAGCTAAAATTTTCCAGTTTTAAATGCTATTTTGATGTTATGTTATGTTAAATCTGCGGTTATACACTTTGAAACTGAAAAATTTTAGCTTATTCTAGCTTATTTTATTAAAAATCTAGCTTATAAACAAGCTAAACTGGCAACGCTGCTGAAAACAATTTTTTTCAAGGGTATCGGGCAGTCGGTAAACTAGCCTCCCATTTTTAATTCCGCGCGCTTTACGGTTCGTGGTGAATTTACTAACAGTGGTGCTGTTAACCGTGATTCGGATGGCAACGCCATCAAAGACCGATAGTACACGTGCTTGCGCTTCATTTTGGATTTTTCTTTTACACGCGGCATACGAAAAAGAAGGTTAAGTTGCTGCTGGCTGCCGAGAGTTTTAGTGGTTTTTATTGAAATAAAATTAAAACTAAATGAGCAAAGTATAACGCCATGTTTGTACTCTACGAAACGCCGGCGGGCTACGCGATTTTCAAACTGCTGGACGAAAAGAAGCTCGAGCAGGTGGATAATCTGTACCAGGAGTTCGAGACTCCGGAGAAGGCCAACAAGCTGCTAAAACTTAAACACTTTGAGAAGTTCAACGACACCACAGAGGCGCTGGTCGCTGCTACGGCGGCTGTGGAGGGAAAGGTGGCCAAGCCGCTAAAGAAGACCCTGAAGAAGCTGCTCGTTGACGACGTGCAGTCGCCCCTCCTCGTCGCAGATGCCAAGCTGGGCACTGCTATCAAGGACAAGCTCTCGGTACAGTGTGTTTACAACACGGGCGTGCAGGAGCTGATGCGCTGCATTCGCCAGCAGGCGGACAGCCTGCTGGGTGGTCTGCCCAAGCGAGAGATGACCGCCATGGCCTTGGGTCTTGCCCATTCCCTGTCGCGCTACAAGCTCAAGTTCTCTCCAGACAAGATTGACACCATGATCGTGCAGGCCCAGTGTCTGCTTGACGACCTGGACAAGGAGCTGAACAACTACATGATGCGAGCCCGCGAGTGGTACGGCTGGCACTTCCCCGAGCTGGGAAAGATCATCACGGACAACATTGCCTTTGTGAAGACCATCAAGCTGGTGGGCACCAGAGACAATATGGCGACCAGCGATCTATCTGACATTCTGCCCGAAGACGTGGAAGAGAAGGTCAAGGAGGCGGCCGAGATCTCGATGGGAACTGAAATATCTGAGGAGGATGTACTGAACATCCAGTGCCTGTGCGACGAGATCATATCCATCAATGATTACCGCATCCATCTGTACGACTACTTGAAGGCCAGAATGATGGCCATGGCTCCGAATCTGACGGTCCTCGTCGGCGATACAGTGGGCGCTCGGCTGATCGCACACGCAGGTTCGCTTATCAACCTGGCCAAGCATCCCTCTTCCACCGTGCAGATTTTGGGCGCCGAAAAGGCTCTATTCCGTGCACTAAAAACCAAGAAGGATACGCCAAAGTACGGTCTGATCTACCACGCGCAGTTGGTGGGACAGGCTAGTCAGAAGAACAAGGGCAAGATGTCGCGTTCGCTGGCCGCCAAGGCGTCGCTAGCCACGCGCGTTGATGCCTTTGGCGAGGAGGCCACCTTTGAACTTGGTGCCGCGCACAAGGTTAAGCTGGAGTCGCGGCTGCGACTCCTAGAGGAGGGCAACCTACGCAAACTCTCCGGCACCGGCAAGGCCAAGGCGAAGTTCGAGAAATACCAGGCTAAGAGGTGGGTTATAGTTGTAAATTATATAATAGTACACCAATTTCCAGTGATGATACCCAAAAGGTTTCGCATTTATCCGATTATGATGACGATAAACCTTGGCTGTCTGAGCGAAATTGTCTTACGTATCAGGCCTTTTTTTCGCTTGTTCTTTTTATTAATCAATGTTTTGCTTTTTAGTGAGGTGTTCACCTATCAACCGGAGGCCGACAACACCTTGAACGTCAAGAAACGCAAGCACTCCGAATCCGAGCAGACACCTGTTAAGAAGGAAATCAAGGAGGTCAAGGACGAGCCGGTTGAGGAGGATACAGAAGTCAAGTCCGAAAAGAAGAAGAAAAAGAAGAAGAAGCAAAAGGACGAGGAGGCTGCTGAAGAGGCGGCGGCGCCTGAGCCAGAAGATCAGCCTACTCCAGCCAAGAAAAAGAAAAAGTCAAAGCACCAGGATTAGTTTTGCACCTTGACTAGTTGTAGGTCCTAAGTTTTAGTATCCTAGGTTACTTTACTGTAAAATATAGAATTTTACAATTATCCACAAAAATAAAGTTTCTGTTGTACATTAGAAATATACTGTAATATTTTCCAAAAAAAAAAAAATACAATGTATGTTCTTCACATTTTGGTGTTGATTTTCTTTTCCCTATTTCACAATCATTCGTCAAATAACCTTTTTTGCTATACACAATAAAAAATTAACTTAGATGTTTAAATTTAAATTTGAAAAAATTAAATGTGTCTATTTTGACAATTATATTATATAAAGAATTGCGCCATTATATAAATGGATTCTGAAAACCAATGGTTGAGTTAATCAGTTTATACTTCATTACTAGAATTAATTTTTTCTGCTTCGGTAGCTAAAAAGTATTCAGTTTTCGTCTTTAAGAGCTTACAACATTTCTTAAAGCGCCTAAATTTGGAGGCCAATCTGTTGTCACTCTCCGCGTGGTAAGAAGTTCGATTGACTGCGGTGAAGAGGTCAATGAAGCAGAAAGTTTTTACGTCAGCTCCAGAGGTTTGCTTGCATCACGACGCCTGGTATTTTGAGCGAGTTGTGGTCCACGGCGAGCTATATAAAGCTAATGCAACTGGTGCCAGTTGTAGGGGAAAACGATGCGAGATGCATGGTAATCTGAAGCTGCTGCTAATCCTCGGCCTGCTGCTGACCTACGCGGCGGCCAAGAAGAAGGAGTCATCGTCATCCGAGGAGGAAGAGGGAGGGGACAAGTACGAGAAAAAGAAGTTCGGAGACGAGGAGCACAAGGGTGAGCACGGCCACAAGGAGCACAAGGAGTGGGAGGAAGACGAGAAGAAGCACCACGAGCTGGAGGATCACGAGCACCACCACGGAGACAAGGGATCAAAGAAGAAGAAACACTACGATGAAAAGGACGAGCACGGCGAGAAGCACGAGCACGGGGCCCACAAGAAGGGTGGCAAGCATCACCACAAGAAAAAGCACAAGAAGGGCCACAAGGAGTTGGAATACCACAAGAAGTTCAAGAAGGACGAGTATATCAAGGAGAAGAAGTTCTATGATGACGAGCACAAGGGCGGCCATCACAAGAAGTACGGGAAGGAGCACCATCATCATGCCGAGGAGCATGGCGAGCACAAGAAGGGCGAGAAGCACGAGGGCGGCAAGAAGAAGGGCCACAAGAAGCACCATGGTCACTACAAGAAGGGCCACCACGACGAGGACCACAAGAAGTACAAGAAGGAGCACAAGTACGGCGACAGCTTTGAAGAGAAGAAAGAGCACGGCGAGAAGGGCTCCAAGAAGCACGGCCACAAGCACTACAAGAAAAAGGGCGGCAAGCACTGAAAGAAAAAATAGTCTCCTGTAGGCTAAGATAAATGTGATGTTTTAAAATTAGCTGTATTAAAACTGGGCAAGGTTGTAACAATACTTACTTCAAAGTGTTTTCTCTTTCTATTGGTTTTGTTTATTGGTAAAGGGTAGTTTCCATTCCAGTGCCAAAATAGTTTCAATAGTTTCTGTTCAACAAAAACTTTTTAATATGGTACTTTTCAGCTTTCAAAAGGGAAATGGTACTTTATAAGCTAAATTACTAGGTAGAAAATTAGATTGTAACATTTAAAGTGAATAGAAATGTTTAATATTTTGTGATGTTAGGCAAACCACTCATATATTACTCAGTTTAAACTTTAACTTTACCAATTCTACAAAAGCTGTGCTAAATCTACGCTTTTTCTTTCCTATTGCAGAAGCAACTCATTCAGCAGATCGCGTAGCACATCCCGTCGCAGGCGCACTCGCTCCAAGTCCGGCACCCGTTCCCGCAGCCGTTCTGCCGGCTCGGTTGGTCGCCGCTCCGGCCGGTCGAACGGACGGGACGAGAACGGATCGGCGTCGCGGTACAGCGACCACGAACGCAACGGCAGCGGGGCGGTAGACTCCCCACCGCCGCCAAAGCGGCGCTATGACGACGACGACGAAGAAAGGGCCAGGGGATCGCCGCGGTCTCGTTCCCGTTCCCGATCTCGATCGGCGTCGCCGGCGGTGCGCCGAGGATCGCCGCCCAGGCGCCGCGGCGACTCATCTGCCTCGAGGTCCGTCTCCAGGGACTAGCGACAGCGAACGGATGCAGACAAAGCCCGGCGTGCAAAAACGGGGGCCTGAGCTGCAACACCCCCAAGGAATCCGGCGAAGTGGGGTCACCACACACTCTGGACTCTTCCCCTCATTCCCAAAAAAAAACCTCATGTGTAACAAGACAGATTCCCAAATACTTTTTCATGCAGTATCCATCTACGGTTTAGTTGTCCAGAACCATATTAGTTAAGGGTTTTAATTTATAGTGGAACGCGAGTATGCATATTAAGGTATTCTTATGTTCCAACACAACAACAACACATCCAGAACAAGGGCTTCGGAGAATCATTTGACGGAAAGAAAGTTAAGATATAGATATGGATCGGCAGCCGCAGAATATCGATCTAGTCAAGTTTGCTATGTAAATTGATTTGCCTTTGGATTTTTTTTGCTAGCCCTGGAATTATACTCGAGTGAAGACGAAGCACCGCCTCCATTTTCATGTCAATTTCTACAAATTTTTTCAAACTTATACTACTCAATACACTTGATTACTCGACTCCAAACCTTTGTATGATGTGTTTCAATATTCGTAATTATTAAGTCTTGCAAAAGTGCGTAACAATTATTCATACATTGATGTCGTAGTTAAGTATTAAAGAAATACATATGTATGAATTCTTGAGATGTGTGTTTGAATTATATAGCAAATGCGCTGAACACTAAAATACACAAATATTCAATCAATAAATTAAATGCCAAAAGTGTTTGTTTTTAATTTTTAATGGGCAGGAAACATTGGGTGGGAACTCCACTTAGGTATAATATGCGTTTTCTTTAAGTCCTGGAAAGTCCTATAAGCTTCCGTTTTCAATTCTGGTAATGCATAATAAAAGTATCTAAAGGGTCCTCGATCTTGATGATTTTATTCTTCGCTGTATTATTTTTCACGCACCCTCATCGCCTTTGACAAAACCTTTTCTGCAGGCTTGGAACGGTCAACCTAACTAATGGCATCAACCCTGGCAACCTTGGACTCGATAGAATGATGAATCACTGAGGAATCTTGAAAATGCAGTGTTCAAATCAGACTTATCCGAAATGGCACCTTAGTGCTATTATACTCCCAAAACGGTATTTAATGTATCTTTGCTCCCACTGGTTACATTATATTTAAGTTGATTTTTATTTTCAAATATTTGTACATAGTGTAAATAGTTCATACAGTTTAATTTGAAGTAAATGTATTTTGCAAGTGTACACACTTAACTAATTCGGTCCGGCAACGCTGCATTGATATTTTTTTTAGTATTTTTATTTCTAAGCTAGGTTTTTCTTGGCGGGGTATTATATGGCCACACTAATCGAATCGCATTCCTCCAGTTCAATTTTGTTTTTGTGTGTTTTGTTTTTCTATTTTTTTATTTAACGCATCCGATTTGATTTTCTCTCGGTTTGTTTTCGAACAGTGGTGAAATCAGGAAAAGTAAATCGCCTTGCACTGCGGGCAGCCGGACAGCTGCACAGCTACAATGGCCTTCCGCCAGTCGGAGCACGAAATGAGCGTCACCTCTTTAGATTCGAGCGTCGAGCTGCGATCGCGCTCCCCGTCGCCGCAGATCTTTAATCCGCGCAAGCTACGCTTTGCCGATGACGATTTTGACAAGGACACGCACGAAGAAGCGAGTCCGCAGCCTCCTCTCCAGCAACGGCAGAAGCTATCCTCCGGCGGAAGACCGCAGCTGGGCAACAAGGATGGCGACGGAGACGGGGACGTGTCCATGTCGCCTCCGTGCCAAAAGGTGCGAGCTCTGCGCCTTTTCAGCACCCCAGCCACACCCAAGACCATCCTGCAGAAGTCTACCACCCAATGTAGCAACCATCTGTCGGCAGCGGCAGCGGCAGTCAACGCATCCCGGCGCAGCGAGGACCTCTTCCGGCTATCGGAACGACCGAGATCCCTGCCTCTGCACAACCGCAAACTGCCCGCCCAGGACACTGCGAATGTGAATCCCTTTACGCCCGATAGTAAGTACTGTGCTTTATTGCATTTCGCAATTGATCCACAAAAATAGATAATTGGTATATCTATTATCTTAAATGTATTATCTTAATTTCTATTAGATTTTATAGATTAGATAGATAGACAAATAAAAGTTATTTGGTACAAATTGGGAAACTTTTAAAATTTGTAGTATTTAATAGTATATTGAATTAAATTAAATGATTATCTTTTGACGTATAAACAGTAAAAATTATTCTCTAAAGTATTTGTACTGCAATAACGACGTTTTAATAATTTAAGATTGTTTAACTAATTGTGTCACATTTGATTAATTTTAGGCTTACTGGCTCAAAATAAAAAACGTTGTCGCACACAATTCGGACGCGAGAACCTCAACCTTAATGTGAATGCTATGCAAAAGTATTTGCTCAGCGAAACCTGCGACGAGGATGCGACGGAGGAGACAGGCGACTCTCTGCGCGAGATCCACCAGCAGGCTCCCAAGCGGCTGGCCCTGCACGACACAAATATCAGTCGCTTTAAGCGGGAGTTCATGCAGGTCAATGTGATTGGCGTGGGCGAGTTCGGTGTGGTGTTCCAGTGCGTCAATCGCCTGGATGGATGCATCTATGCGATCAAAAAGAGTAAGAAGCCGGTGGCAGGAAGTTCTTTTGAGTAAGTTTTTTTTTTAACGGAAACTTAACATCAGCACTATCTAACCTTTGATTTCATTGCAGGAAAAGAGCCTTAAACGAGGTGTGGGCCCATGCGGTTCTGGGAAAGCACGACAACGTGGTGAGGTATTACTCCGCTTGGGCGGAGGACGACCACATGCTAATACAGAACGAGTACTGCGACGGGGGCAGCTTGCATGCCAGGATCCAGGATCATTGCTTGGGCGAGGCCGAACTGAAGATTGTGCTTATGCATGTAATCGAGGGCCTGCGCTACATCCATTCTAATGATCTGGTGCACATGGACTTGAAGCCGGAGAACATATTCTCCACCATGAATCCGAATGCACACAAGCTAGCTGAGGAGCAGCCGCAGCAGACCAAAGACGACGATGGCATGGACAGCGTCTACGAAGAGCTGCGCCACTCGGAGAACTTGGTTACGTACAAGATCGGCGACCTGGGCCATGTGACGTCCGTCAAAGAGCCCTATGTCGAGGAGGGCGACTGTCGCTACCTGCCAAAGGAGATCCTTCAGGAGGACTACTCGAATCTCTTTAAGGCCGACATTTTCTCGCTGGGCATCACGCTATTCGAGGTGGCCGGAGGCGGTCCGCTTCCAAAAAATGGACCCGAGTGGCACAAACTGCGAAACGGAGAGGTTCCGTTCTTGCCGAGTCTGAGCAGGGACTTTAACGAGCTAATAGCTATGATGATGCACCCAGATCCCGATAAGCGGCCCACATCGCAGTCCATATTCAATCATCCGTAAGTTGATTTTTTTGAAATGATCAAAAAGACTTTGTTGTATGTAAATTTCTCACATTTGTGAAACTATTCATTCAATTCGCAGAATTCTGAGCGCTGTCGACTCAAAGAGCAAGCTGCAGCTCGGCCTGGAGTTGACAGTGGAAAAGCGCAAGAATGAGATACTAATGAACAAGCTGAGGGAGGCCAAAAAACAGATAAAACAACTAGAGCAAAAGGGTAAGTTGTTTTGGCTAAAATTATGAATCAAATTGTTTGCATTGTTTGTGCTGGAAAGTTTAAGCTTTGCAGAGCAGTTGAGCTATAATTTCGATTTAAAATTCATAATAATGTTTATGTTCTCTGTTTATTTTTCAGTCAACCTTCTTGCGGTGGCCAACAATCCGGATAATCTGGATGGTCAGCGATGCCTTCGCTCCTTTACGCGACGCATGCGCACGCCGTTCTCCAGCCATGGAAAGTTCGATAGCATATCCGATCGCAACAAGAACGTGATCACCAATATCTGATAAGCTCGCACCTCGTACCATACCGATAGCCAAACTCTTCCGAATCGAACGTGAACTAAGCTCACATTGTGTTACCTATTAAGCGTATTCCTATATTCATCAATAATTTTTTAAAGTTTTCGCTTCGTAAAATCCTAACCCCCAATCTCATAACCCCTTGTAATTCATGCTCGTGGATTTAGAAGCATTCGTAATATAATATATATATTTTCCAGGCTCAGTGAACTTTTCTTTGTAGAGAAAGCACAATCGTTTTAAGAAAAGGCCCCGTAAATCATAAGACCATCGCGTAGATGTAATGAGTATTGTTTTCGAAATTAAACTATTTATTATGTTACATGGAAATCGAAATTATAACATTCCATTCGTTAAATATATCGAATGCTATTCCATTTGATAAACAGGATTCGTCTTTTACTGAAGGTTTGGGTTGTTACAAAAACAAAAATAATTATGTTTTGGCATTTTAAAACTAATTATTTATTAGAAAAACAGAATTTTGACCTTAAACGTTACAAAATTTAGTTTGGTAAACCTTACCAATCCTGCTAGTGCCTGTTGCGTATATATCATAGATGTATATTTTTGTTTTCTTGTGGATTTCTCTTTTGTTCTCTTTGTGTTAAAATGGATCTTTATCTCCGTTATCTGCAATGCAATTGTTGAATATAAAATAACAACTACTATATTTTCTTATTTTCCAGTTTGGTAATCGTTTTCTCACGCAGTCAATATATTTCAACGTTGTAATTTGACTTCTTTTTATTGAGGCACTGAGACTAGATGTTAAATGTAAGCTGTGTTGATGGGAAATACAAAAGATTTTGTTGATATTTACGATTGCTTGTGTTGACTTTTACTACATTTCATGATCTATCGGTTGTATAAACTTTTTATACCTTACTACCAGTTTGTCTGAACATCCTTAAACACTATTTTCATTAATTAAAAATATTGTAAATGAACCTGGAGTATACACTTTAGATTTGACAGGCGTAACTTTGTATCTATGGTCCACCTAAAATCTTCTATAGTTCTGGTTCTGTTGCCTGTTGCCGCCCTGCTGCTGGTAGTTGTTGTTCCTTGGACCATTGTAGTTGCGCTGCTGGTTCGAATTATCCTGGTTGTATCTCTGATTGTGGCCATACTGCTGTCGGTTGTTATAGTTGCCTTGATAGCCGCCACCCTGGTGCTGGTTGTAGTTGTTATTGTAGTTGTAGTTATAGTTGCGGCTATTGTTCTGATAGCCCTGTCCGTGGTTTCCGCCTCCCTGGCCATAGCCACCTCCCTGCCCGTAGCCTCCCCCTCCTTGCCCTCCTCCTCCGCCCTGATTGTTTCTAATTCCGGCGTTCAACATGCGATGCCCACTGTCCGGTACATAGGCCCTGGTCAAATGGCTGTTGAATCCGATGACGGGGCGATGCTTCTGACCCGTCTGCTCGTTGGGCAGCACCTGCGGCGGATCCACGGCGTTCTCCAGCCGCTTTGCCTCGAAAATGTAGTCTTCGTCATACTCCGGGTCCTGGAACGTCGTCGTCACTGTTGTGTTGTCACTGATATCCGACAACCCTGAGATCGGCGACCGCAAAATGCCGCTGATGGCAGTGTTTAGCTCTGTTTTGCCCAAAGTGCCCCGCATCCCGTCAAAGGAGATGGCCTTGCACTCAGTCTCGTCATCTTTGTCGTTTATTTTCTTGACTTTCTTGAAGTGCGGACTCTTGTTGCTGATGTACAGGTAGTTGTCGCCCCGCTTGTTACGCTTCACCTCCTCGCCGGTCAGTTGATCGTAATAGGGAACCAAGGCCTTGAAGAGCCGCTTCTCATCTACGAAGGGCAACAGGGCGACTCCCTGCCAGGCGAACTTCTTGCCGTTCAGATCAATCTTGAAGTCCTCCGGGTAGAAGTCAATGATCGGTGACTCCGGATCGGACATGAGCTGTGCCCACGGTTCGGGCACATGTGAGCTACTGGCTGCCGGGAAGACGCCCATCAGTTGCTCCAGGGGATTGAACGGCTTCGTGCCCTTCTCGAACATTGTGGAAAGACCCTGGATGTTAACGAAATCCGAAGCGAATGGGGCATAGTGGTACGGGAAGTACCAGTTCCAGGAGGCGCATCCTTGGTAGTAGTACTTGAGCACCCAGCACAGTCCGCGAACGTACTGTAAGGCCACAGCGTAGCGGAACTGCTGGTTTCCCGGCGCCACATCGAACTTGGACTCGTAGTAGCGGTCCTTAAAACCATCCTCCCACAGCCGCACCTCGTCGTTGTCCTCCTCCTCCTCTTCGTCATCCAAGTTAGCCTGGTCACTCGTTCGTTTCCTGTTGCGAAGGGCTGCGGCCTCCTCCTTGTAGTTGCCAATGCTCTTTTGCTGGCTGTTTGGGCCTACGGCGCTGGCCCCAAATGCCGACTGGTCGAGGGCTCTGTGGTCCTGATTCCTTTCCTGCCTTTTGCGCGCCTTGTCCCTGGCCTTGAACTGCTGCTCGCGTCGCTGCCGGCTCTTGAAGATCTGGTCCTCGGCGTTGCCCAGATCGGTCATAATCAACTGCACCCTGTCCAGATTCACGTCACCCGAGTCGGTGAGATAGCCCCTCGTCTTGTAGACGCACTTCTTGTACAGCTCCACGAGCCGATCCACTGCGCCCTCGCGGATCTCCAGGCTGGGCAAATGGGGCAGAAAATCGTTGCCCACGAAGAAGCACATGAACACCCAGTCGTCGAGAGCGCGTTCAAAGCTGTACTCAAACGGCAGATTGGGCATCTCGAGCGTCTGCTTCAGATACTCCCTCAGCACGCTCAGCCGCACAAAGATGAACTTCACCTCGGCTCCGATGGGAACATCTGGCTTGAAGTTGGCGGCCGTCGGTGCCGTGGCTCCCAGGCCCACACACTTGTCCATCTCGTGGCCAAATCCATTGCAGATGTCGCAAGGGCGCGGCTTATTTGGCAGAAATTCCTCGCGAATGATGGTGAAGTTTGGCTCGTGGGTCGCCAGACCCAACATGATGAGATCGGCGTCGGCTCCGCACAGGACATGCTGCGTGTTGGGATCGTGATCCGGCTGGGCGCGCTGCTTGCGGATGTAATCCATGATCTTGTGCTCGCCCTCGCCGGGCACATTGGCGTCCGACAGGATTACCTTGATGCCCTTCCACGCCGGATTGTTGTTCAGCCGATCGTGGACATAGTAATGCAGGCACTTGCTCAGTCGGTCCATGAACGGAGTGCCTGGCGTGATGCAGTTGGAGTCGAAGTGCTCTCCTTTTTCCTTCTCCGGGGGCAGCTTGCAACCGCGGCTTAGCAGCTCCTCGCGGATCCGCTCGATCTCCAGCCGCTTCTCGGTGGTCTCCTTGGCCGCTCGGAAGCGACGCGACCGCTGCTGGTTCATCTTGGCCCGCGGGGCTACCCCATCGATGGCCATGTAGAGCAGCTTCCTGGGACGTACGATGCCGAACAGACGGTCGATGCATTCGAAGATGGCAACCATCATCTCATCCTCGTTCTTCGGCGCCGGCTTGTCCTCCGGATGCGTACACGGATGAATGATGCCGTTCATGTCCAGATAAAGGTTGTCGAACTCTATCCCATTGGGATTCGGCTGGGTGGCGTCTTCGTAAATATTGCGACCGGTGTCTGGGTCCACCTGCTTGTTCTCATTGCACTCGATAATAACGCTCGGGTACTTCCGGCTTAGCCAGCGAAAGAATGCTGGAACTCCCATTTTGACGTCGTTCTTAACTCTATTAGCTCTTTTATTATTCAGTCAGACTCGAGTTTTCTTCGAGTTTTTCACCTACAATACCAGCATGCTCCCGTGAGTGGGACCGTCCCATTCGCGAGCATTTTAAAATACTAGCAAAAATACCATGAATATTTTCAGTTATACGGCTATAAAATATAAGGCTAGATAAATATTTACAGCCATTTGTTTCTACGTGGTTTGTACCGCATCCTGGAATCTATTATTGTATGTTGCAATTTAAATTTAATATAACCAACAAATAACGAGTAAATTTAAAAGCAAACTGACAGATCTGACGGTAGCTAAGCCGGCATCACTACGCATGAAAAGAAGCACCTGCGAGGTTGCCAGATCGCCAAATGCAACTCATGTGGTTGATTCGAAGAGGCAGTTTCACGATCTCGCAATGGCCAAGATTTTACAGAAATATATAAAATTCACGGCCAAAGAGCTGGAAAACTACGCTAGCAGCACAGGGTCCTGCGTGCGGCGTATCAACACGGACATGCATCTGGCGATGGGTCCGTACGGTTTGGCCAGCTTCAAGAACTCTCTCCACGAGCTCCTCATTCGCACCAAAGTTGGATTCTACGACTCGAACTTAAATGGGATTGTCCTGGGCATCAAGAACATCAAAGTGCTGGGTCATACGGCTGGACTGCGCGCAGACGATCCCACCATGCACCTGGTCATAAACGCAGACTTTTACGTTTTCCGGCCTGAGAAAGGTGCCATTCTAGACGGCGTGGTGCGGCACATCTCCAGGCACCAGGTCAGCGCAGTCATCTACCGAGTCTTCAACACCACCATTCGATTTACCAACAAAGGCAAGAGTCGTGAGGACATTTCCATGGAGCAGGTGATAAAGTTTCGCATCAAGAATTTCGACATCAGCAATGTTATGCCCTACATCGAGGGAGAACTCCTGCTGGAGGAGAGCGAGGAACCGAAGGTGGGTTGTTTCCAAAATGCTATGGTTAAGTTTAAATCTGTGAAAGGAATCTTAAGGGTCTTAGATAGTCCTTTGTCCTTCTTCCCTAAGATAGTGTTATGTTTTTGCATATTCAAGTAGCTTAGCTTCCATTAATATTATTAAAGTCGTTATTAAAGAGGATAAGACGAATTTTCAAAGGAATTTTAACTTGTAGCTTGAAACATTTTTTTGAGATATCTGTTATACCGAGGTAAAGGCTAGATGCTAGAAATATACAAAAACTACTTTAAATACAAAGTCAGTTTCAACAAGCGTTCATTTATATACGCAACCAATTTAAAAATCGTCTGAATATTAACCGATTTTTGTTTCTTTCCCAATACAGAATACGTCCATAAAGTTTGGGAGTCCCGAACCCGAGGAAAACGGTGTTAAGGAAGAGAACCCCGATGAAATGTTGGATGCTCTTTTAGAGGAAATAAAGAAAGAACCAGATTTTGCGCCAGGCAAGGATTCGTCAACAAAGAAAGCTCCAAAGAAACGCAAGAATGGTGAAAACGGTGTCACAACAAAGACGAAAAAAGTTAAAAAAGAAATAAAAAACGAGCCAAAATAGCTTTAAAATTATTCGTTTTTAGCATCTCTGTATAGTACAAATTAATTTAATATCGAAATGTAGAAATTCGATAAAGTATGAGATCAAGATGGTAATGGCTTTGTATATTTTTCAAACGATTCTTTTCCTCCACCGCTCCGAAAATTGTATGCCCAAGATACCTATGTTTCAATTTATTTACCATCCACTGAATGCCATGAATGATACCATATAGTTCAGTTAAAAATCATGAGATTGAGACAGTTTTAAAATGTGAATATGAATACTTTGTAATACATATGTATTTCATACAAATAGAGTCAATATTTTACAATACATTAAATACAGTATGTGTATCATAGTTATAGTATCTGGTTTTCTTTTACAAATCATTAAAAGCTTGTTGTCATATTATTTTGATTTCGCTAATTATTAAATAACAAGCAAGTAGAATAATATGAGATTCTAATCGTACACCAAAAAGTAACATAAACTATACACACAATGATAACACTTGAAAAAATATCCCTACATAATATCTTCTCAATCACGCCTACAAGGAACATTTACATAATGTACAAACATACACAATACAGTTACAACGATTTTTGCATTGAGGTTGAGAAAACAGAACTAACCTATTTTGGTTTTCTTTGGCAGAAATATAGGGCAGTGAACGGGAATAAATAGAGGAATAAACGTAGGTGAAGTCAACAGGAGTCGAACTTATCGATCTAACATTTAGGAAAGTAAGAAAATAATTAAAATACTTGTGAAATAGAAAAGCTCAGGTCGAACGAGTTCGACAAAATAAGTAACTAGATAAATACTTTAAACTAGGCTCACAATTGGTTACTAGAAAGGTTATGATTGCTAGACTGAGATTTCCTGAATATGTACACGTTTCTTGCCGCTGCTGCTCCCCGATCCTGTGGCGGAACTTCCGCTCGCTCCCGTTTGTCGCAGGATTCCAGTCTGCTGCTGCTGCTGCTGTTGTTGTTGTTGTTGGGCGGCTAGGAAGGATCGAGGTGGTGGCGGCGGCTCAGGGATGTCGTCATCCCGGGTGATTTCGCAGTCGTTCCCGGCCGCCGCCTTGACAGCCTCCTCTATCGCCTTGAAGGACATCTGATCCGAGGACTGGACTGCGTAATCGAACTGCTGCGGACTGTTGAACTGCAGCGTGGTGTCCACGAAGGAGCCCCGCTTACTGCTCATCGCCGACGTGGACTCCATGACCGTCGGCAGGGCGCTGTAGGTGACCATTTCGATGGGATCTCCTGGCTTGGTCTTCAGCAGATCCAAAGTGCTCGTGGAGCACGGACCCCAGGTGTCCATCATCAGGGAGGTCTGGCCGGTGGAGGAGGAGGGGGGCAGTTCCACCAGCAGCTTCTCCTCTTTCAGCTGCTTGGTCTTCTCGTCGTAGCAGCTGTACTCCCCGAACACCACGCCCACCCCGCCCTTGCCCTCCACAACGGATCCGCTCAGAGTGTACGCATCCGCCAAGTCACCTGGACCGGGACCACCGGCTCCTCCGCTGCCGCCCATCAAGGCGTTCAGCTTCAGTATGCTGGAGTTCTTGCTGTTGTCGCTCTCCTGCAGCTCCTCCTTGGTCTTTGCATCCCGAGCCCGCTTCTCGCGCTGATGATAGATGCCGGCGAAGATCAGGACATTCAGGATGAGCAGGAAACAGCCCACGGCCACGGTGGCTATCAGAGCGGTGGTGTAGCTCTGGAACTGTTTCCCTCCAAATCGCCGAAGCAGCTCCAGGTTGCCAATGATCCCAGTCGAGGCGGTGGCCAAGTCCTTTTGAGTCTCGACGCGTGTGATCCCTGTTCTGTTGTCCTTTGGCGATTGGGTGGTGGTTAACTCCGACACGGACATGGCTCCATCGATGCCGCACTCTGGAAGGGATTCAAGGAATATTTAATGTATTTGATATTCCCTCCCATTTTTCCAACTCACCTGTAGTGGTTGTTGCTCCGGTGGCAATGGGATTTAAGGCCTGCGTGGCATTTGTACTTGGACTCTTCGGAGGAGGCGGTGGCGTAGTTGTCCTGCTCCTCTGCATGATGATTATGGTATCGTCCTCCGCCGGCTTCGTTTGCAATTGTGGACGCACCACACCTAATAAAATAAAGGTTTAAATACATATTAGGTACACTTTTTCATATTCAAGATTCAAAATAGGTTTTACCCTCATAGAGATCCCTGTTGTTCATGTCATCCTGGAACTGATGATGTCGCATCGACTGGTCGTTAATGTTGAAGTGGCGATGCAGCTGAGGGATGAGGTTCAACCACATGGACAGCTTATGGCCGCGATAATGGCTCTGAATGTTGGCCTTATTGCCTGGAAAGTTAATTACAGGAACATAAAACAATTAAAGTATTATACTCGAATTATATGTATTTAAGGGACAACTTCTATAATTTTGTGCTGGAATTTAAACACGATACCACCAAACGCAAAAAAAAAGATTAAAAACTACGAAATTGCATTCTGTAATATCAGAAAACTTGAAGACAAAAATTAATAACTTATATGAAACATTCAATTTTGAAATCCTACCTAAAGAAATAAAAACCACAATCTTATTTAAAATGTTTCAATCTCATGCAATAAAACTGCGGCTCCTTGATTGTCGCTTACCCAATTCCACGTACAGCTGGTTGACCACATCGTAGGCATCCCAAAAGGGCAGCTCGTCGCCATCATAGCTGCCCACATCCCGCTCACTGGACACTCCCAGTTGGGTGAAGGCTGCTGCATCGTTGCTCCGCAGTCTCCTTCGGATGTAGGATCGCTTCTCGTGCATCGCGTTGCTCCGGCGCTGGTTGTAGATCACGGCCAGATTGAGGGCCTCGCTAAGATTGGGATGGGTCAGTCCAGTGGAGCGTTTTTTCTGCTGATGCAGGTCTTCCACGACCTCGTTTGGATTGGGCAGCGACGATTTTGCCGTGGCTTGATTAGGATTGCTGTGGGTTGAAAAAGGGTTTACTCAGGAGTTCAATTATAATGCCTTAGCTAAATACTAATGTTGAAAAACTGAGTTAAAAAGCTAATATCTTATTTATAAAACATATTAAAATAATTGAAGAATATTAACAAAATAACCAAGCTTACCCAGTTTTAGCGAAGTTGGATAGGTATCGCAGCATCAGTCGCCCGATTTGCCGCTCCTGAGTGGTGTAGTTGTGGGGGAAGAGCGGGGACATGGGCAGACCCAACCAGAAAGGCACATCTTCGCCGCGCACGGAGCCGGTTCTCTGAGGAAACCAATTGGGGTTAGATAAGGAGTTGGACAAGTTTCGCCGAGTGGATCGGGCCACCAACCTGCGGGTACTCCTCCTCGACGGTTTTGTGTTTAAAGTGCAGGAAATAAGCCCGGCCTCCGCGCAAGCTGTGCATGTAGCCCAACTTAATGAGTGGAGAGGCCGTGTGGCCATCGCTCAGGAATTGCAGGGTGGCGTCTCGGGAACTAAGAGGATTACGTATGGCCTTCTCCCAGTCGGTGTACTCGTTCTGCCGTAAATTAAGTTTGGCATTTTAATTAGCTCAGCAGATAGAGTCGGGCAATTTGAGTCAAGGGTCTTAAAACGGAAAGGAACGTTGAATGGCACTCACCTTCAAAACGGCAAATATCTCGTTCAGATGATAGTGAAAGTTGTTGCGCACAAAAGTGCGCAGGATGCGATCCCGTCGAGTCTCGTTGAAGCCGAATTCCAGGTCTTGGGCACTCAAGTCCAAATACGACTCCACAGATGTAAGGCAGAAAATGAGGTCTCGTTTCGGAAAGTTTGCATATTCAATTCCTGAAGTACTGTGAACGCAAGGGGAGCCATTAAATAAACATACGCTCTCACATTGCATTTAGTATTGTATTCAAGTACCTAACAATAGCTGAACCCAGGGGCAACGTCGTGCTGCCCATGGGATTGGCGCCGGGCGATATTACAGTGCCATCCACAAACGGAGCAAAGCCCACCAGGAATCTACAAGGTTTTAAGTTAGATAATATACATTTTCCATCAGGTATAAATTGAAATGAGAACATAATTAACGGAAAAGAAAATGAGGCCAACACTAATAACTTAATGTAAAACAATTCAGTAAGAAACTTGCTCGGACTGTCTTTTAAGAATCTTGTTAAACGAAGTATTTTTGAAATGACTTCATTTTAGATATTTTAGTAAGTCAATGGTTTTGGTATGGCAATTTTTGTATTAATTCTTATATAAATTAATAGAATTCTTCATTTTTTTCATAATTTATTAACTTATTTAATTTAAGTTTAACTATATATACTATTTACTAAACAACAACATCAAAAATTAATTCAATAACTTTTAATAATCATAAGTATGTCATATAATAATAATTTGATAGTTTGCAACAGATAATTTACATGGTTGCATAAATTACTACATATTTCAAAATAAATAATATTGAATTCAGGGGGATAAGTTTTAAGCAGCCATTAAAATTATTTATTTATTTTTTTTATTTTGTTTTTGTCGCTTAAAACCTTTCGGCTTCGACGAACTCCGAGTAATCGGCCTTAAAACGGAAAACATGCCCATCTAAAGGATTAATGGAATGTGGGACGTACCGGGGATGATCCACCTTGACCGCCAGCAGTTCGGCGACGCTTTTGGTGCGGAGGCAGGGGGCCAGGTCGTCATACAACATGTCGCCATGGCAGCCAGTCTGCTCCGCCACACGCCGCTTCACAAAGAGCGGATTTTTCTGAATGGCCCATGGGGAAAGTGCAGAGCCGCTGACCAGAACTGTACGCTGTATTAAATCTGGTGAAAGGTTTATCATTATTCATTGAGCCTCAACGAATCGATTCTGAAACCTAGTTCCCGCTTTGGACTCCAGTTAAATGTGCTCATATTAAATATTGATGTCAATTGTACATTTTTGACCTTTTAATGCGTGTCATAAAATGTTAATTTGCATTGCCATAATTTAAATATATTGAAAATGTAGTTGATTCGTTATTAATTCAAAGAAAACTTTTGTTGAAATTTTTTTCATAAACATAGGATGAAAAATAAAAAAATTTTTATATTCATAGGTTATCCACATATAAGGTTATATTAAATCTATTACTTAAACCTTCCCGAAAACTGTGAAAACAAAAAATCGAACCTCAAGATTTTAGCTCTTTTGATAATGAAGAAAATGAAGCGAAGGTAAGTTGATATCAGAGCACCTGAACAAAAGAGCTTTGAAGAACAAGAAAATAGTTTTCTTTTCAATTGCTGCTAATTAAGTTTGAAAAGGTGTCGAAAATGGGAACAGGTGATATGGAATGGGGATTTCCTACCACTCGCCACTGGGGAAACCACCAGGATGTTGGCCAGCACCGCTCCAGTTCCGTAACCCAGAAGTGTGATGCTCTGCGGATCTCCGCCGAATGCCGGCAGGTTTTCCTTGAGCCAGTGGAGACCCGCCACCAGATCCATCAGCCCGAAGTTTCCCTGGGCACTCTCCTTGCCGCCAGTCTTCAGGAATCCGAAGATCCCCAGACGGAAATTGATTGTCACGACGATGACGTTGCCGTGGGCAGCAAGTTCGGAGCCATCGTAGGGGTTCCCTGAGTTCCAGTCGAACGATTCGCCATGAATGAACACCACAGTGGACAACTTGGTCTTCGGTTCGCCAGCAGCATCATCGGTATTTCCTGAAAAACATGTAAAAGATAATTTTAAAATATTGTTTTGTATTGATATTAATAGATTTAAAGTATTTATAATCATTATTCATAATTTTACATTTAATTAGCAGATGATGGAGGCCATCAAAGTTGCCAAATCCGCAGCGCTTGCGGTTGATAATTAAGCACACTGCAATGCACTACGGAATTGAAAGCTTCAATACCTTTAAGAAAAAGCCAACAATAAGTTGTAGATCCCCACAAAAGCAAAGCCAGTTAACCAATTAATTATTCACCTAAGCTGCACTTGCAACTACACTTTCCTTAAAATATTGTACAGGTAAGTCAAAAATGAAATCTGAAACCTTGCCACGAGTGTATAAATGTACTTAAATTTGCAATTTTCATAGCTTGTTCCACATCCGCAGTATGATTGATTAAGCCACAATAATAATGAATAAATCTCTCGTGTCAAGCTTCACTTTAGCAGAAATACGTTTCAAATTTTAAAAAGCTTTAGTTTTCATCTCTTTGACCAGCTGCGTAAATTGTGAAAATGAAACATAGTTATCATACATAATAACAACCATTTTGCTTAACGCTGCATTGTTTAAAATAATTTTCTACATTCCTGTTTCGCACGAAATTTGACTTTTAATTAAATGGTTTTATGCCAACAATTAAATTCGGGACCAACAGGCACTAAACGGAAAAAAATATTCTCCTCTTTTCGATTAAAATAAAAACCTGTTTTCAGCTTGCGTAGTCGTGTTTTAACGGTAAAGCTAATTAAAATTAATTATTTCTGCTTTTATGGTGTTTTCCTGGTTGCCTTGCAACCAACTTTAATTTAATAATAAGTTTGTGCTTTCAAAAGTTTCGGATAATATAGTCGCTTTATTTTGTACTCGTTTATTTTTCAGCGAAAGTTGCAGTAGAAACAATCGCGACTACAAACAATGCGGAGCCTAAAGTATTATATTTCGTGTTTCATATATTTATACCAGATGTGTGTTTAAAAAAAAATGGCATCCGTTGCTTAAAAATAAAAATAACTCGATTATGATATAAATAGATTTAATTAATACTGGCAAGTCATATAAAAATGTCAACAAAGCTTTAAATATGAATGCATTTGTTATTTTGAAATTGAATAATTTATAAGAAAAGTGTATTTGCCTCTACTTCTATTACTAAAAAATTCTTATTTAATAATGACTACACCATCTCATTAAAAGTAGTAGGATTTCTGTACAAGCTGTTAAGGCCAGGAGTAGATTTCCCAACAGCTTTCGGCGTATTTGAGTGGCAGTATACAGAACAGGTCTCTGGAAGGCAATCAAGTTCGAAATTGGCACTTACGTCTCAGGCGGCGCGTCTCGTAGGGCACATAGATATTAAGGTATAAGCAGTCTTCCGATTGGTTCTTGAGCAGCGGCAGCAGGCGGCGCAGCTGGGCGAGGCGGGCGCGGGGAACCTCGAGGAGCGCCTCCGGTCCATTGGGCGGTATTGGGATGTTCTGCGGACAGACCGGCGAGAATCGATCCGCGCTGCGAACCGTTTTCCACGTCGAGGGTGTTATGGGGGGCATAAATCTGCAAAAGGAGCCAGCGGTCGTTTCGATAAGTAAATATTCCATTTCGGCCACATGGGCCACCAACTATCGCATCACGTATACGCATTGTGTGCCCCTCCACATGTACAGCTGAGGCCGAAAATAAAAGCGAGACATTTATTTATTTTCGAATGGTTTGTACTCAATTTATCGGTCGCCAAATATGGTTTTATGGGTAATGACAGAGATCAACGCTTAAAAAAGCAGTAATACATTTTGTCGTACTAAAAAATGCGAAATAAAATTTTTGATGATCACCGAAATTTGAATTTGAGCTGGGATGTTAAAGAAATTTTACTATTCAGTTTATTTTTAGAGGGATGTAAAAGGTTTATTTCTTTTGAGCTGTTAAAGATAATGTTATTATTTTCTAAAGGATAAGAATAATTTTAGTAAAAAGAGTTCATTAAGAATATGTTTTAATATCCAAGAAAAAGGTTTATGATTTATCGTTTTGCATATAAAATTTGAGAGTTCTCAGGACTAAAACTTGAGCCGCCACTGTAGGTAAGGGAAGTCGGCACTGATGTGTGGAATTTGCAGCGATTAAACCAAAAGGATTCGCGGGGCTCGTAAAACACAGAAACTAAGTACCGCCCATCAATCAAAATCGCAAACTGCTTTTGATTAATTGTGCATTTTATTGTTTTGCGTTGAAATCCATCGATCACGTGGCCGGATTGGATGATTGGATGAGCGAAGGGGACAGGCATCAGCGATAAATATGGCTTGGCTATGTTGATTTTATGACACGATAATTGACGCGAAACGTTTTGATTGTTTTTCCATCTTTGTGGCTAAAAGGAGGAGCCCCTCCGCCATTCCGACCGCCTTTCAGTCCATTTAGCCATCCGGGAAAAGGCAAACAATGGACCGCATAAACAAAAAGCTCGCGTTTTGCGGTGAGCATAATTTTTCAGATATACGTGACTTGGTTCGTGTGCTTTTCACGTTCCCCGTTTTTGGTAGCTACCAATCCTCTTCTGCACCTCCCCCTTTTCCCGCCTTTCCCCTCTTTTTTCCGCTTTTCCCCCTTTTCCCCCACCAGCGAAAACGCATTCGACATGTTCGCCAGCCAAAATTAATACTTTTCGGCAAAAAGTTACGCCATAAACTATTTATAAACGAATATAACAATTTTTGTTGCGAACTTTTTCTTTTTCGAGTGTTAACATCCAACGTTTTATTCGGTGTTTTATTCTTTTTTCGCGCTCGCGTACACAGAATTTTGAATTTCCCCGTTGCCCAAAAAAGTATGCTGTACTATATGTTGGGCAAAAGGCGAAATCATACAAAGCACTTTTGCAGGTTAGCTAACAAGCTCACTATATGTGTTGAACACATAAATAAGCGTCTAAAATATTAAAAGCTTTCAGCGGTATTCGATTTTCGTTCGATTATTTGCCTTGCTCTTTTGATTCCCCAGTGCCACTTGGTCTTTATTACTTTCCCTTTTCCATTTTCGATTTTTGATTTGGATGTGGTGCGTTTTTGATTAGAAGTGGTTGGCATTGGCGACAGATGCGATTGATTAATTACCTCTCGCCCGCCAGGATGTCGTGGCAGGAATCACGTCTTATCTGCCCACCGCTCTCGGGGGAGTCGTCTCTTGATTAACTTCTGTTTGCCGATTGCCGGCATCTGTTGCTGCATGATAATGAACCGCATTCATAAACGACTTCATTCCGCAGGCGTCACACTCTGCCACAGGAAGTAATTAAAGAACAATTTTCATGAATTGTGGCTAAGCAAACAACAATGTGCTGTGGCAGCGGTGGAGCTGTTGAAGGACCCCTTAAGTACTTCATCCAATCGCTTCATCAAACACACTTGTTGTTCGTGCATGTCACACGGAGCTTTCACTCCTTCCTTTCGAACACACACACACACATCGTTACGTGTGTGTGTTAGTGTGTGTTCCAGGACGAGTGAGAAAGTACCCAAGTGAGGGGAAACTTTTGTAATATCCCAGAAACTTCACTGGGGAGCTCGGCTTTCCGCTCTCGTTTCGCCGCCCAATGCCGTCAAACGGCGGCAATGGCTTATCGAACTTTTGCGGCTCAGAGGTCCTTGACGAGCTCCTGAGATCCTGGAGCCGTCAACTGTTTTGTTATTAATTGGGCGTGGAGCTGATTCCTCGCTGATTCCTCGCGCAAGGCAGTTGGCTGTTTTTAAAATCGCGCCACCCAAACTAACTCCCGGAAAAAAAACTTTTTAATTGTTACGTATACAGTGCAAAGTTGTGGATTAATTCGAAGTAGCACTTTGGCTTCATTACGAGCGGCTCCGTTTCCCCGTCCCTGCGGAACTTTAAATCCTCAAACAATGCTTTGGGATTTCCGTGGCCGGGGCCCGTAAACTTCTCACTTTCAGGCAACTCGAGCGTGGGAGGTCCGGACCCCAGATCCCAGAACCCAGACCCCGCCTCCGGAACCCAGAACCCAGATCCGCATAGTGCCAAGCGCCATCCACACACATATTTCATGAGAATAATTATTAAAATTGCTTCGGATAAAGTTGCGCTGCGGCCCTGTGTGAAAAAAGTTGTCCGGGAGCGGCGAGCCTTTCAGTCCGAGACGACCCCCATGTGGCGCCCAGATTGCGATAGCTCTGCTGGAGGTGGAGGTGATGCCAGAGGTGGTGCCGTGAGTCCCGGTCAGAGCAATGGCTTCCCAGGTAAAACACTTTAATTTCAGGCACAACAATCTTGGATTTCAATTTTGAAAAATATAGCTAAATCTATTTGATGTTCTATTAAATTTAAGTTAAATTATTCAATTATGCTTTGCAGGCTTAACTACAATAAACATTCAAAAATTCTGTTTGAAAATTTTGTGATAGTAATGAAATATCTTTATGGTTTATAGATGCTAAGTTTTGTATCTTGAAAAATGAATAAGACTTTCAAGTCCTTTCCTGAAATTCCTTTTATTGCCTTTTTAAGTATGAATAATTTTCTCAATAAAAACACTTTTGGTTTTAGATAGTCGTTTAGTAGGTTTAGAATTAATTCTTGAAATTCTGTGTGGGATTGTATATTCTTACGAGTATAAGAGGCTCTAATAATAAACTCAGCTTTGCTAAATATGGTCTTAATACTCTGGGCAGAGAGGGATTGCGTGTTACAAGCGCTTTTAAAATCCGCTTCAGGCACCAGACACAGAATCTACTCGGAGTTTCGCTAAAACAGAATGCTATCAATGTTTAATCCCAAGGCAAGGACCACCTATTTGGACTCACGTGAGTGTCACGTTGTCAGCGCTGCCGGGAAAGTTTTCACTTTGTGGAGGACGACCCCCCGGGGAGGTGTAATCTTGTGCCACACGAAGGTGCGACTCAACTGGCCGCGTTGCGACCCGATTCGACTCACCTGAGACTGCCCACGGGGGCGAGGCGTAGGGGATGCCCAGGAAGGCCTCCACCAGCGGCGAGGAGCGGACGACGATGCCCCGGAGCAGGCCGTACTTGGTCTTCACGGTGTTGCTGCCGCCGTGGAGGCACTCGCAGCAATCCGGCCAGAGGCTGGTGAGCAACAGCAGCAGGAGCAGGGTGCCCGCCTCCGGGTGTGCCGGGTGTCCTGCCGCGTGTCCCGCCGGGTGTCCCGGGTAATGGAGGTGTCTCCGCCGCGGGCTGCTGGCTCCTCCAGCTGTTGCCGGTGACACAGGTGACGCCGATGACGCCGATGACGCCGATGACGTTGCTGACGTTGCTGATTGCTGGCGCCTTTGATTGTGTTCGTCGGTTGTGGAATTCTCTAGAAATCTCTTTAATGTTATCAGTCTTATAATGCAAATTCCCGTTGCCATGATGCGGGCATCCGCCTCCCGTTCCGCTCCCCCCTTTGTTTCCGCTTCCTTCTCTGTCTCCTTTTCCTTTTCCGCTTCCTTTTCCGTTTCCGCTTCCGCTTGCCGCTCTTTATCCCGATCCTGTACATTCGCTTCCGCAAGCGTTGGCTGCGCAATTGAGGCGGCGATAGTTTTAATGCAAGCCATCAGGGAACCGAGGCAAAGTAAACCGTAAATGTGTAGAAAACGCGATTGAATTATCTTAGTTTGTGTCGTCGCAGAACTCGCCTCCTTCAATTGGCCCTGCCCCATTCCGATTCCGAATCCGTATCCGAATTGGAATCCGTATCCGAATCCGAATCCGCTTCCACTTCCGGTTGGCCGTGACACTTGCCGGGCTTCCTGGGCGTGCGAATCGAACTGTGACTGTAACTGTAAATGTGACTGTGCCTTGGACTTGGACTTCGACTTCGGGTTCGACTTGGACTTGGATGGCGAGTTGGGATCGCAGTGGGTCCGGGGCTGGGGATGGCAGGATGTGGGCTCCGCTTCATCTTGACAGCCGTCGTGCGCATGTTGAGCTTGTGATTCACGTACAGCGCCGTCATGGTTGGACCCTAACGCTTTGATTTCAAATATTATACACGGAACGTGTTGGCCTCTGCTCTATTAGAGCCGCAATTTCAGCGCGATGTCGTCCCGTCTGCGGAAATATCTGCAAATGTGAGAGAAGCAAATTTCCAGCATTAGCGAAAGCGGCAAAAACTCTGAAACGGGTGAACGGGCTAACCAATCGAGGAAGATGGGGTTAAATGGGTTGAATGGGTGTGCCGGGTGTGCTGGGTACTGGGAACTGGAAAGTGGGGTTCAGAGTTCTCCTTTTATGAGATTGCAGTCTACAGATTACAGATTGCTCTGCGGAGCGGAGTGCAGTTAGTGCCGAGCTGATCCGAGGCGGCGAGGAGAGGACCTTTTCGCTGTCAGGCTCCGGTCTTAACTGCGCCACGCATCAGAGCGTGGCATCCTTAAATAGCCTTGGTCAATGCATCCGGCCAAGCAGCAATGGAAGCGACGGCAGATGCGGCGATGGCACCACCAGCAGCCTGCACTTGCTATACTTGGCAAAAAAGGGGAGAGCTAAGGATCTCTCTAATAAATGTTATTATAGAAATTATGGAAATTCCTTAATTCCATAAAGAAAGGCTCAGTGAATGAATATCCGCAACCATTTAATGTGATACCACATAATAATTTCATTGTCTTCTATGATTTTAATACCAAAATATCTGCAGGTAGGCAAAAATAAAAAATGTAAAATTGCTGTAAAATTAAAAATCTTTGAACTTTATTATTTGTTCAAAGTTGAAGAACTATTAGAAATATGATTAAAATATTAGAAAACTATTTCCAAGCTAGTCATACATAAAAACTTCAAGGGGGTTAGTTAAATGGCTTATATATTTTAGACTTTAATTATTTAGCATTTGTATAAACAGAAAACAATTACAAAATGTAATATATATATAAATATAAAGCATATATTTTTTCATCACTTCCAAATATTTCTTATATTTTTTTCGGAATCATTTCTCAACCAGGATTGCTAATAACTGAGGCTTAAACTTTGAACCTGCCATCAACTCCACAGCTTCGTGGGTCAAAAGCGCTAAGTTTTAGGGGGACTCTTAAAGGGTAATGATGCCAAGTGGCATCTGGAGGAACGGATAAGATCTGCCTTGAACATTTTTCCGAGTGTTCGGTAATGCCGGAGCCTGCTTTGGCGCCCACTTTATGGCTGCCACCTCAGGTCGAGGCACGTTTGTGGTGTTGGTGTTGCTGTTCTTGTTGCTTTTGCTTTTGCTATTGCTGGTGGTGTTGGTGTTGTTGCAGCTGCAGGTGCAAAGCGCTTTGCACCGTTTGACCTCGCCTCCTGGCTCCAAGTCCCTCGTCCCCCTCCCCTTCCCCTCCCAGTGAACCAACCCATTGCCTTCGGTGAGCCTTTTGTGCCAGCCGGAGCATTGGATGATTGCAAACGTGTTGGGTCGCTGTGAACTAGTTCAGAGGATGTGTTTTATGGGAAGTAAAAAGCCGGTGATTGATGTTTGAATCGGTTCGAATGGCAATCTTAACGACAAGCGGTGATCTCTTTTGGGATTTCAATGGCTGTTTTATTTCCATTAAGCTCCGCATAAAACTATTAAACGGAAGCTAATCAGTAACAATTGCAAAACCGATCAAAGTAGACGACTAATTTGCTCTAAATAAATAGTGATTTATGGAATATAATACCAAGAAAAATGCGATGAGTTGATTAATTTTAAACATATTTTTAAAACTCATAACCCCTTTCCAAATAATTTCAACAGGCTTAAAGAGTTATTACGAAAAATGCGGAACCCATTAGCAAGGACCTGGCCTAAAAGGATCTGGCTGCGAGCATATTCGTGCATATTAACCCATAGAAATGCCTCCATTTGCATGGCAGTACGCATAACCCACTCACCACATTACAATGTTAATCCCTAATGTGGGCCCCGCAGAACGGGGTGGAGAGGCCCTATTTGGGTTAAGATAAAAATGTGTAAATCTGTCAACCTTTTAGGTGTTAATTTAATGTACTTAAACGCTGTCCCCGCCATAAGCACACGGCGGGCACTCGGAAAATGGTGGTGGTGGTGGTGGTGCCAAAACCGGACCCAAAGCCAAACCCAAAACCCGGAGTGGAGTAACACAAATGTTATGGACTCCTAAGCTCTTGTGGGCCTCATTAACAAATGCTACACGACGGTTCTGTTCTGCGGGTTCCAGCCATTTCAGTTGGTTCAGCCGCTTCAGGAAAAAGTAAAGGGGATGGGAGTGCTCGCACAAGCGGCCATATATCTTCGCCATGTTGGAGCAGAGCTGTTTAAATCCGTATATTTTATAAAGCTAAACAATTGGCGAAAATAAAACAATGCCAGAACGAACACACACTGCAGAGCGGCTGGAAACGAGACGAGCTGAGCTCAGTTGAGATGACTCCGGTTGAGCTGGGCTAAGCAAACATACATTTCACTAAATTGCAGCCATAAAACTAAAGTTTAACTATGCTGCGGACCCGGGAGTATTGCCCATGGCCCCCCCCTTTTCCACTTTTCCATTCCATAACCCCCCGTCCCCCCTCTATTATCCGGCTGTTGGAAAACTGTTCGGGTCTGCATGGGTGTGTTGACAACCAAAATGTCGGCACGTTTTCCAAAGAAAAAATTGCTCGTGTCTTTAGTTGACTCTGCTTTCGGGACGGCTAATGCGGTGAGTCATGGTCGTCCGGGATTTTAGAATAAATTCCCACTTTTCAATTAACTAAAAGCCGAAAATGACATTCCTGCCACTGCAGCCCCAGCAGCAGCAGCAGCATCAGTATTATTTATATTTATTCAAGCGCTTTAAGTTGAGGCATCTGGACTGCAGGGGAAAAGTAACGCTTGCTTTTCCCTGGCATGATAAATATTTACATTTTTCCCTTTATTCGAATTGCTTGGCAAACGCCTTTCAAGCCATGCGTTTTCTTTAGCTCTTTACGTCGTTTCAATTTTCTTTCACACGAGTGTATGGAAAATCTGTGAGGACCGATAAAATTGCATATTTTCCCATGAAAGGCGTCGACCCGGAGGGGCAGCAAAAAAATTAAGGGGGTGTCAGCGTCACGCAGACATTTATCCCGGCCATCACGAGCGTTCACTTCACTCACCCACACACACACACATACACAACAGCTGGCAAAAAGCAAAAGGGGGCTACATGCTACATGCAGATGTACGGGGATACACTCGCACACACACACACACACACATGGGGCGGAAATGCGAGGAACTGGCTTGGAAATCATGGCAACGCAAACAGGAAATGTTACGCTCCCGTACCGTACCGACTTACTCAGGTCTTTTTCCCAACTCCGCTGCCAAGAAAGTGACGGCCAGGCAAAGTAAGGCGGTCGAGGCTCCTTGGAACAACTTGGAGTCGACTATTTGTTGCCCAGCTCCGCAGAATCGCGAATTTGCGGGCTCTCGGAGTTATGATACGGATTTTCTTGAATTCGCTTAGCCCGGATTTCGGATTTGCTACTTACAAATGTATAAATGTATAAGTAGCAGCTCAAGGCATTTCAGGGATTTGTGCGAGTCCGGATTCCGGAAGGGGAAGATAACAGCGATATCACTTTGGTTTCGGATAAGCTAAAATGTAGTTCAAGCCAGAATAAACAGAAATAAATTCTGCTTAAAGCAGACGGCAAACAAACCGCATAAGATTCTGCATTTTGCGGGCGTAAATTGATAGAACTAAAAACGGCATCGCTAAAAATGCCTTTGAAAGCAAAATCAAAAGGAAAAACTTGTTCATTTAGAATGAAATATTTCTACGAAAGAAGCAAAGTTGTGGATTTAGCTTTTGTCAAAGGAATTTTCTGCAGTTGTGTAAATTTTTTGATGCCCACACAAGTGTTCTTGTGTTGTCCCCTTCCTGCTGCGCCCATGATCCCACCCGAGTGTCCCAAGTCGGGCCATTTTCACTGGGTAGTTGGCCCGGAGAAGTGGCAATCCACCCGCAAAATCGCACACTCGCCCGCTCTGAAGGAATCCTTCTTCTTCCGAATCCTCTCCTCGCCTTGTCAATGCCACTCGCTGGGTGAAGTTTTTGCATTAAAAGTGGAAATAAAAGTTGCAAGACGCATTAAAAATTGTTGCATTTTACAATTGCGAAGGAATTGCAATTGTGCAGCGACGATGGCGATGGCGATGGCAATTGCACTGCATCTGGAATTGCTGGGATGTGCCAGAGGAGGCGATGTGGCTGATGTCGATGATGACGACGATGATCCTGGTTGACGGTTTGTAACTGCAGCACTTTTTAATAAGTTTCCCAAATGAGTGTCGGATAAGCTCGTGTTTTCCCCCGCATCATCACCCCACCACCCATCGAAGACAACTGAAAAATGTAAGGAAATTGCCAAAGCGAAGCCAATCCAAAGCAATATCTTCCGTTTAGTCAGGCATCCAATTGATTTTCTTCAGCAGGCATCAGGAAATAAGCTTTAAGCGAGCAAGACAGAGAGGAACGAGGAGAAACAATGAAAAGGCAGCGGAAAAAGGAAAATATTTATGAAAATAAATACAGATTGGGCTTTCAGCTCCTTTGGGTTCCAGCAATGTCGGTTAAGTTTTTATGGCGCAGCTTTTCTCCTCTAACCAAGTGCTATTTTATTTTTCTTCTGCGCTCGCTGGCATACAAAAGAAAATTTGATAAAAATCTTCAGACTGTTAGGCAAATATATATTCCTAACTTTAAAGAGAAAGTTGAAAAGTTTCGTATTTTCTTATCAAGAACAAGACTGGTTTTCGAGAACAAACGAGAGCTGGCCAAACATCATTCTCTTATTCAAGCGTTTTGTCAAACAAATGCCAAAATAACTAAGCTTTTGACTGATTCCATGAATAGCAAGTATTGATTAAAGCCAGGTGCACAACTTAATTAAGGGAATTCATTTGGCAAATATATATTTTGGTAAAAGGATTTATGATTTGCTTAAAGCCCAGCAAAATAAACACAAATAAAAAGTTTTTGAGCTGTGATTTTTGGTTTCTCCCCTTATATATACATACTTTTGTCTGCTTTTATATTTTTACTAAATTAAAATGCTTTCCGTTTTATTTCGAAGTATTAACTGAAGCATAAACA